ATAAGTATGCTCTCAATACCAGTCTAGTGAAAAGCTGCTTTCGCGACAGCAATATTTTTTAATTTCGTCTCGACCTCTCTGACATTTCATTCACATTACATGAAAGGAATAGAGCTTTCATTTGCCTATATACACAGTTGTTGTCTTCAAATGTTCTAAACTAAAGTCTTGTGGCATCGAAAACAATTTCATCTTGTAATTTTTATTAGAGTAAAATTATTCGCAGTGTCATTGCCATATTAAGCTATCGAATCCACTTAAAAGAAAAAAAAGGCAACTAAATAACGTGAGCAGCTTCAACTTCAAATAAAAGCAATATCACTTGTTGATAACAAAGTTTGTAAGCACAATGGCGTCATTATCATGTCAACATATAAGTCTATCGGTAGCTGCAGCTGCACAAATACAAGCTTCGTAAATCGTGGCTTTGAAAGGACGATTCTGTCGAGGTTTATAGCGCACACGACTAACACGAGACTAACAGCAACCACAGCAAAGGGAAAGGGAGACAAGACTAAAGTTCATAGCAAGAAAGTTTGTTTCTCTCTCTCTCTCTCTCTCTCTCTCTTTCTCTCCCTCCCTCTCTCGCAAATGCACTATATAATAGCTATACTTGCGACGACGACGCTGACGACAACGATGATGTTGCAACGGTACTCGAGCGCAAGCCGTCTCAAAACATCCGGTTCGATCGTGCGCACGCTTTTATGCCGATTAGGGAGAAAATTCGCGCTGATGATAAATTCTTTAATTACTCTTGCGTAAGTCGATTACACGAGCGCGAGAGCGACGTCTTATGGCTTTTTGCATTCTTCTCTATGTGTACAGCGCGATGATGATGCTTCGAACGAGAATCTCTTTTTCGGCTCATGCTTGCTTCATCCTTATTAACACCAACAAAGTCAATTGTTGCAGAGATAGAACGGAAATTCATCGGGTTTACGGGTTATTGAATTATATTTTGATCAATACGCTAAATGAACTACTAACGACTATATAATTGAAAAGATGTTGTACTGCGTCGACAATCGTAACGTCAGTTAGAGTATTGTAACATGTGACACTTTTACGTTACTTTACATACAATTTTTTGATTTTTTTTTCAAAGTTTTGCAAGAAAATGTACAAAAATCGAATTGAAAATTCGCATAAAAAATTAATTTGTAACTACACTAAATTCCAAAATGAATAAGCTTTTAACTTGGTCAATATTAATAAAGTTTTAATTTCTACATATGAAATGAAGAATGAGTGCTAAGATTTGGTGTGGAATTTTGAAGCAGAAAATTTTGGACGTCTCGAGTTCAATACTCGCAATTCATTAAACTCAGGGCTTCTCATCCGTGGTCATTGGAATAAAAGACTTGTTGCAAAAGTGCTGCCCAACAGGATATATCATTGTTGTAAATTAACGCAATTTACTCCTTTGATCAATCAAATAAATTAACGCGACTAAATTTCGAACATGTCGTATTCGCTGGAAATTGCACATCAACTCGCGGGGCCCGCAGTTTAACAGTTATACAGGAACAGCGTAATTCCAACATGCCACATAGAGCTTCGCCGTTAATTACTGTACGCGGCCACCCTTACATCCTACCCTACATTGAGCAAGCCGTTCCGCGATCGAACGCGATTTCATTTGTTGGAGCTGGCGTTGCGATTTCATAGCACACTCACAGTCCAACTTTGCTTTCGCACACGTTTACTGTATGCGCTCCTCGAGTTTATTCGTTATAAATTCGTGAATTTGCTTTTATGCGACGCGCTACGTAGCGCTTGATTGGATTGTGATTTATGTACAGAAAGTCGTACAACTAACATGGAAAGTTTCAGTTTGATATGTACATTACAACAACCTCGATTTTCCAATATTGATATAATAACAACACACATATAACATATTGCCCTGTAACGACTGATTCGCTTCACGACAATCAATAAACTTCTTGGCAACCTTTTGATCTTCATTTCTTGAAGATCGATGACCCGATATATTACATATGTAGAGAGAAAGAGAGAGAGAGAGAGAGAGAGAGAGAGAGAGAGAGAGAGAGAGAGAGAATGAGAAAGAGAGTGATATCTGATGTTGCAATAACTTGAGCGGTTTGTTGATTTATTCTCCGTAGTTATTTTTTAGGGCTTTCCTCTGAAAGTAGGTATATATTGTCAATTCACCTCATTTATTTCACTAGTATACACATATTTAGGTAAATGTCAATCAGTATCGGATATTCATATTGGAAACATTACGTAATAATTCTTTTAATAATAATAATAATAATAATAATAATAATAATAATAATAATAATAATAATAATTAAAATGACTATTTAACTTGTAGTTCCGCTACGTTGATATTGTTATTCTATTATAAACGAACGGACCAAGGAACGAATGCACTTGTTGATGAAGCGATCATGGTTTATTCTCAATTATCCCAACCGTAATAAAACGTAATACTTCGTGCGGACAACTTATTTAGTACAGGTAAAATTGCGATGCTTCAGTGGAGGAAACTTTAAATGCATTAGAAAAGAAAAGAACACGCACAAATAAAGAAAAATTCAACGGTTCAAAGATTGTTTAATTACAACAATTGCGCGATATCTCACAGACAAGTATATAAGTAAACGGTTATAAAATCGAGACACTGTACGATTCTCCCATTACAAATCTCGCGGAGATCACGAATATAATTTAAGTATACAGGTGTAATGCAGAGTAAGCTTTGGATACATTTAATCATATGCCCAAATCTATTAACAGTCGGTAGTACATAAAGTCGCTCCGAGCGTTTTCCTAATAGCGATAAATGTCAGTAGACATATGCGCTTCGTGGGAAATTACGTTCAATGACCTATTATTTAGAGGCGTGATTTCTCACTCGAACGATTGGTTATGTTGATCTCTCGCTTTGCGAGCAGCAACGTGCCAAATATTTCTATGAACAAAAACAAAAAATAACCTTTTGCGCTGGCTTAAGTTCTCTTACGAAATGTTTCGTTTTCGCGACTCTTCCGCCGCGTGACGGTTACATTGACGAGGCGAAAGATCTTGCGGAAATACATGGCATAGTACGATTACAAGGATTTATTTTCAGTGCACATTTGTGAATATACATGTGTATGACTATGTTGCGCTGTTTTGATTTTTTAATAAAACGCTATGCGTTAGTGTCATCAGTGTCTATTGCGCATATAAAAATTGTTACAAAACCATGTTGTGAAAAAAATTAAAAAACAGCAGCTGTCATGAACGCTATAAGGTTATAATGATCAATATACACGAGTCATGATATTTGGATTGTACAATTTATTGATCTTTACACTTTTTTCGTATTTCTATCAATTTTCTTACAATAGCTTATTTAACGAATATTTACGACTAATTGATTCAACCGCAATACCTCGTTCGAATTGTATAGATATAGCGGAAAACAAGATTTTGAGGGATGAGTCCTTAATACGATGTACAATACATTTGAAACTGACGAAAGCGCTTCAATTTAGCTCATCGATTCGAGTTTGCATTTGAGCTGTAATTTGAAGTGCCTTTAGCAATCTATCCAATGAAATAGAAATACAGTGATAGTTTTGAGACTAGGTCAGAAACATATTTCACAAATCGAATCTTGAATAATCCAAATAAAAATGCAAGTCGAGTTTGAACAAAAAAAAGTTATAAGGTTACGTAACACCTCCGAAGTGAAGAGGAACCATCAAGTTAAGTCGAGTGTGCGCGTAATCTTGAAATTCCGCATGTAAGACGACGCCAAGTACTGCACTGCATGTGGAAAGTCGAGCAATTAAGCAGGCGCTAAACGTGCATCGCGCGTCGAAGTTGCAAAAGCTCGCAAGAAATTAAAATACGAAAAGGAAGTTCTTTAAGAGTTTCCGCGAGCTGAGTGTCTGTGTGGGTGTGCGCGCGCGTGTGTGTGGCGGCAATGTTCTTACGCCATTTCAAACGTCCACGTGTCGCGCAACAGCAAAAGTAAAAAGAGAGAGATTCACCACGCCTTTGCGCTCGCGCGACCAAGCCAAGCGAAAACTAGGCCGAAACGATACTCTGACGTGTATAATACGCGGCGACGCGGTTTCACTTTCGACACATGCCTCACATCTTTTCAACGACCCTGCCGCGCATAATCCTCTCAATTGAGCATCGTTAAACCGTAGATTTTTTTTGTCTCGCTTTGGCAAACGATGGTTTCGTCAAGTTGTTTTTTTGATCGAGCATTGAGTTTGATGAAAACAATTTTAAATAATTAATACTTAACGTTACCGGAAATGAAATAATTATTTTCGCAAGATCTGTAGACAAAACTTTTTAATTATTTGCAAAAACAATGAAAACTGCAAATTTTTGAATACCAAATAATACATGCCTTGTTAGAAATGCAATAGTATCTTTATTATATAATTAAACGGAATATGAGGAACTTCGTGTGTACATTAATTGGAACTGTAATGGGTGTAAAGCCGCGATACATAAATTGCTTTTATATCAAACTGTGTAAATAAATAATCACGGTGTTTAATATCAAAATAAATTTATTGATGTTGCACATTCATTTCAAATTTCCGTAACTCGCATCATGACTTCATGAAAATCTGATTTACCACGCGACAAGTTCAATCCAACAAAATAGTCGATCCACAAAACGTTTATCACTCAGAAGAAGAAGAAGTAAAAAACTCCAAAGCAACAGTGAAAGAAAGAGATCATTTCGGCGTGTATTATACATAGCAACGCGCGGGCAGTAGCTAACTTCTGAAAGTGGGAGGTATGTAGAGAAAGGAGCCCTCGCGCAAGGGTCTCTTGCTCTCTTACTTTGACGGCATACTAAAAAAAACAAGCCGCAGCGTGAGAGAGAGGGAGAAGGGATTATGCAGCCGTTAGAGAGGGACCAACTCTCAACCTTGCTTACGTGGGGTGGGAGGTGGATATAAGCCCATCGTACAGAGATGATGCTATCAGTGTCTTCGCGCGCAAAACCACTCTTACGTTCGTTTCGTACACCAAAGTTTGTTATATTTTTTTTGTTTTGTTCTTGTGTGTTTAATTTTATATGCTAAAATTCTGTGCAGCCTAGTAATTTCTTTTATTCTTTTTTTCCTAACTCGTCAGGATGTTTAAGGTATTATTATTATTATTATACACGTTGTGAAATTATTTTTTATTGGAATTCATGTGTGCAACTTTGGTTATGGATACGTGTGATGCTCGCGGCCTGAAACGTCTTTTAGAGATGTACACTTATCGACTAATGTACTTTATTCACTATTTTTATTTTACGGAATTGGTAAAAAAATATTTTTAAAAATTTTATGATGCGCGACGTAATTAACGTAAGATTATATACGTTAATAATGAATTTCATCTTTACTTTCGACTACATACATATAATTAACTGCGAATGTTAAGTTTCAATTATAGCCAAAATCATTATTCGCGCTGTATTTATACTCTGGCGAGCTCATTTGCCATAGAAATAGCAGAAGCTATTTCAACATTTTCAAGGTAAAGATATATACTCGAGTGTTGTAGACAGACATGTTTACCATAAATTCAGCCCTGTACGTTTTAAAATTTAACTCTAAAGCTGCGCTTGACCAGTTTATATATTCAATTGCGCAGAGTTAAACAGCGATACTAATCTAATTAAAAAAAAATACATTATCGTGTAAACTATTCGTATAAATATTCAATCGTAAGATCATGTCATGATAAATTTATTTTTATTAACATTAGCTACCGTGTAGTTATCGTCAATTAAGCGTTAACATAATATTTCATAATCTCTTTATCTCGTATTTTCGATGGTTATTACAAGCGACGAAGGAGAAAGATAGACTTGCGAGGAAAGTGTTATTAGGTACGCCGTCGTTACAGGGCTTGGCTTACCAGTTTAACGATCATCTACTATCTTATTAAGCTACGAAGGAAAGGCGTTTGATGCTCTCGGCACGCGCAACTCCTTTTTTTTATTCTTCTCGTTACTCCAACATTTTTTTTAATGCTTGTTATGAGTCCCTAGGTAGTAATGTAACTTTGTTTAATTGCATGTAACGGAGATTACTATTATTATCATCTTTTTTTCAACGCAATGAAAATGTTAAGGTAATTTGAAGACACCTTTCGATGGATCATTCATCAGTAACAGGCGCGTATATTAATAGTTTTTATTACTTTTTGTTGAAACTATTTTTTCAAAAAATATATTTAATTAATTTCCTTACTCAAAAACTGATTGTAATTGCACTCTTTCCAAACATCCTGAAGGTTAAGGAAACATCACTTGCCATTTGATGTAATGAATAATTAGCGTTATAATAACAAGCTTATTCCCAAGCCAATTAATTTCGAACCCTCGTGCCGAGAAAAACTCTGATGAGAAGAAAGGGGGCAAATTTTAAGTGTATCTAAACGCGCGTGTGGAGAAAACTAACAAAAAAAAAGCCAGACACTTACTCGTCTTTGGTTATACACAAGTGCTTTGCAAATTTGCGACACGTGTTAGACGCTCTTGTTTTCTTTTCCTCTCGCCTTCTCGTATTTTTTCTAACACTCAACTTTCTCAAGATCGCACGTACTCCTGCTTCCGTTTCCTCCTACTTTTCTGTCTTTCCCTCATTGTTGCCATGCCGGCGAAAAATTCACTCGACCGGAACAATGATTCGGTCGCGAATAAATTTCGTGCCTCGTATAGCGTGCGAATATGCACTTTTTTGTTTGTTTGTGTACGCCACTATTTCGTTGCTGATTGTTGTGTCAGCGTGATTCTTGTTTCTTTCTTGCTCGTTGAATTCAATTGGCGTAATTCAATTTTCTTTCCATTCACCGTATATTACGTAAAAATACTTCTGTAATGAGATCTCGACTTGGCGGCGAATCCTATTGAAGATTAAACTCTAGAGATGAGTCATTTTCATCACGTACTGCACATTTCATTTTTATACAAATTAAAAAAATTATATTAGAAGCACATGCGTTAGCAGTTTCACACGACTCTCACTAAGCATTAAGACGAATAGCTTTTCTATACACATTAGATTATGGTCTACGCGACGCGAAGTTACATAGCGTTAAGAAGAAGAAAGAAAACTTTTTTACTCGCTAAAATTATGACACTTTACATGATTTAGAGCTGTCCGTTGAACGCCTTCTCAAGAACTAATGGATATCCTGTTTAAAATTGTGTATGAGATCGCGAGCTTCTCTTATCATAGTGACGCATATTAGCATATGAACGTAGAAGAAATATTTATTGATTGTTTTGCGAACAATAGTGCGTGTGAAAAACAATCCATAGTTTTGTAAGTTGTTAAGAGCGTTGCCTTTCATCTGTCTGATAGACGCTGTAATGATATATTATTTTAACGCTATTTCTCCTTTTGAAATAATGTCTATTGTAATTGTAGTTAGATGTAAGCTTGTTAATGAATTATTTTTATGTTGAAAAATTACTATATATTACAAAATATTCTCTACGAGATATAACATTTATTTTATAGTAAATTTGCTGTTCGAAATATAATAAACAAATTATTTGCCATTCAGAAACACAAACATCGTCATGGAAAAGTGTGCTAAAGCATAATCATCAGCCAAATTAATGTAGTTAATTAATTTTCTACAATTTTTTATCTCGAGTAACGAACAGTATTTGCTAAAATCTTCTATAGCTTCTCGTGCGTATTTTAGATTAAATGCGCTTTTGAGATACAGATTTTTCAACGCAGTTTAGATTATTAAATAGAAATGAATGTAAAAGGTCAGACGAAGTTTGCTACCTATTCTGTTCTTCATTCCACGAAAATTTTTAATGAAAATAGAATATTTATGAAATTTCGTTTACATTTTTACAAAAAGAAAATTTTGTATCTATACTGAAAATCAGACACAATGTCATTCATTATTTCTTTTGACATTTTAATTGCGCATTATCAGTATACGAATATACACATCGACAATAGCTAAATCAGCACCAATCGATTTTTCCATTATTCAAAGTTTGTGAAATATCATATACACTTGATTGCCTAAAAGGTTTCCGACAACACAGTATCCAAGAGAGAAAAACCACAATAGCTAGTTTCCCATCGATAAGACAGCTGCGCAAGTTACGCACTAAACGCTCAAGATCGTCGGCAGCCGATAATGCATATATATAAGAGTATAACGTATAACGAGCGGTGATTCAAAGGACGACTTGAAAGGCCGTTCGCGCGGAAATGCCGTGTCTTTTTTTTCCTAGCACACACGAGAAAAAGTATAACAGATGTTGGAAATAAGATTGCGAATTTTTTATTTTTTGTTCGATACGTTAAGTCGAACTGCACAAGGGTTATTACGCAGCGTGAAATCGACGTCGACGATGTTATTGTAACACGCAGAAGACATTTTTACGAGTAATTAGGTTGTCACAAAAGTGTGACGGAAAATATTTAAATTTATTATCACACGCGACTACCATTTCTTTCAGATCGATAGCGTTCATCGATTTCCGCATGATGACTAAGATTTTATAAATTAAACAGTGAAAAACTTTCAGAAAATTAATTGATAGATTTTAGAAAATATCGTGACTGATGTTTCGGTAAACATCTTAAACAATAATAGTGTTATTGACATTATAGGTAACGTGAATTTTAATATTTGTATACAATATGCTCGTTTGGCCAAATCATGTTGGTATTAATTTGTTTTACTCAGTTTTATCGACAATGAAGACTTTTTATTATTCTAATGGATAACAGTTTATGGTTTAGTAATGTTTACGCGTGCGTGTTGAACATCTGTCGTACGATGAAAATTTAAAAGGAAATGTTCGCGCACATAGACAGATGGTTCTTATGATGCCATTATACACAGACAAAATTCACTAACGTGTGAAACGTAAAATAACGAATTAGGATATATGTACTGTAAAATTTACCTGCGTATTATATATATATATATATATATATATATATATATGTATATGTATATATATATATGAGATTTTGAAAAATTGCAAAAAAAAAAACATTTTAATATGTCCGTGGAGCATTTCATCCATGGTATAAATGAGCTTGGTAAATTCTATGTTTACTTGAAAGCTCGTTAAAATCTTATGCAATATTTATGAGAAAATGTTGATGCATACTAAGTAGAATGAAATTACATTTTATTATGCGTTGAATAAACCGATCACGCGCTTACTTCTTAAAAAAATTGCACGAATAACTTGTAAACTGACGTCGTATTAAGGCGATAAAATACAATTATTTCCTGCATAAATTATTCAGTAACAAATAGAATTAAACAGTTGAGCCCATGAATCATCATAAGCTCGCATATTTTCCTGATGTGATATAATTTTATGATAATTTTTACACAGATACTGGGGATACTGGGTGTTGTGATAGTTTGGTGCGATGGTTTGGTAATTGGTTACAATGGTGGTCACCATCACGCTCCATTAGCTGACTACGCATTGGAGGATTATCACGATGGTCATGCAATTTTACCGACCGTAGCAGTACCTATTCACGCAGTATCGGCAGCACCACTTCATCACCACGTGTTATCTGCTGAACACCACGATCTCCACCACGTTAAGCCTTACCATCACCACGATCACGAGCCTGAGCATGACTATTACGTAAGTCTCAGTTCAATCTTTCTCTTCTTCTCCGCGATCCGCGTCCAATGATAATTGCAGGATACCCAACAACGACGACGAAGGATGTAGTTTTGCAAGCCAAAGACCGCCACCGCTTTTTGTCTGCTGTGTGCAGACACCTAACTTGCGACACTCGCATGCGATGCCGCTCCGGGATTACCTATCCCCATCGCGCCTCGCTCGTTCGCTTGTGGGACAGGATGTTCGTTCTTTCTCTCTCGTCGATGTTGATTATGGTGATGGTCTATGTGCATGTAGTGTAGACTGGGAATGATTTTTTCACTCGTGTGAAATATCCGTCGAAATCTATCGCACGTTTTTGGGCATTCAAATTTATTCATGATATTTCCAGGTGGAATCACGAGTTCACCTCGATGCGAAATCTATGCTAGCTAGAATTTGTACGACGATGTTTGATTTTTGTCTTGGCTATTTATTGCATCGAATTTTCATGCACGCGACGACAGTTTGATGGTTATGCACGAAACCTGTCGCATTTTCTCACCTCGTCTACGGATGTGTAATTTGTGAGTCTTCTGTGGATATACAGATATTTGTATTCTTTCTCACAGTATGTATGTATGTGTAGGTATATACAAGTCGTGACGTGTGAACGATTCGTTTTTATACTCGCGCTGATCAAACAAGAGAGAATAGAAAGGAATTCCACGGAGAGCGAAAGAAAGTGTTCGGGGAATCACAATTAGATAATCGTTGCAAGTTTCAAAATACGAAAGTTAGTTTGGCTGTCTTTCCATCATTTTCTGATACATTTTGTTCAACCATTTTTTTTTTACTTGCTTGTTATTTTTTTTAAGAAAATCGTAAAAGGCATATGAACGATAAAATGAGCCTTCTTCTAGAACAAATCTTTTTTGTGCAATTGTGTGGCAAAAAACGAATCTCAACAATATAGCATGTCTGTACTATTAGGCGAAGGCGTTATCTGTAGATTTTATTCGGTCTAATATCACTGAAATTGTCTTGTCTAGATAAAGTAGGGTTCTTGAAGGCAATGTACTTACTCTCGATAAAATTAATTGAAACGTCTAAAAAATGCATATATAAAATGAATTTTCAAGATCGACGTACCCATTAAAAAATAATGTCATTCCACAATTACTTTGATAATTAAAAGTATCGATAGAAAAACAGAGTCATTTGTATTGTCGAACAGAAAAAGAATCTTCTATCTTGGTCGTTTGCACATTTAACTATACTTTTACTGCGTGATGGTCTTTTCAAGCGCGCGAAATCTTTCAATCTAATAGCTTTCGTGTCTCGGAAAGCTCGAACATGTGAAAGAACAGCTGCTAGTTATATCGCAATCGTACGTTGTTATATACGAAATAAGTCTAAAAGAAAAACGCGCTAACTTTATATATACTTCCGATTTTTTTCGTCTCAATACTCGACTTGGTTTACGATGTATCCTCACACTGTTATTGTTATTTCTTTCAATTTTGTCCTCTATGTAGACATTAAGGGTGTGTATATGGCTGATTTTATCGAGATGCTTTTCTGACAATATTCCACGAGTCTCTCTCTCTCTTTCTACCTCTCTCTTAAATCGAATCGACTTATCTCTCGAAAGTTCGCGAAACTTGTTTAGTCTTTTCTGTTGACTATTATTTGACATAGACTGATGACTATGATGTTCGATAACAAAAAAACAAATTGAGAAACCCTTTTTATTAGATTATTTTATGCTGTTGATCGATAAAACTAATATTAAACAATAGATTAAAAACTTATTTACTAACTTTTCTTTTTAAACAGTTTTCATCCAATCACAATAAATCTAATTTTCACGAATTTATTCGTAACACGTTTATATTAAAAAGCACCACGTAGTTAAAATACCTCAGCCAAGCTGTAAACAAATTTTTTGTATACACTGTAAACTAATTATAGATATTCGTCTAGCATCTTTTGATGCTCCCTTTAAACGCCTGAGCTTGTTACCAAGAAGTAGGTATAGAACTTTAACTTCAAAAAAAGTCTTATTACCTTTAGCAAATCCTCGAAATTGAGTTGGGCAATCGCTTTCATACCATTTAACAAAGTACGAATACGTTCAGTAAAAATGCAAATTTGTTTTTTATTTTGTAGGCTCATCCGAAATACACCTTTAACTATGGAGTTCACGACCCGCACACCGGTGATGTAAAGACGCAACACGAGGTGCGTGATGGTGACGTAGTTCATGGCTCGTACAGTGTAAATGAGCCTGATGGTAGTGTGAGAATTGTCGAGTATACAGCTGATGATCATAATGGATTCAATGCTGTTGTCAAGAAGGTTGGACCACAACTTCATCCTCATCCCATACCTAAATTTGTAGCACATGCGCCTGAGTATTACGGATACGAGCATCTTCCTTAGACGACTTTAATTTGAAATAATCGATGCAAGTAAAGTTTTACGGAGTGTGGAACAGAGGTACACAATGAAATGCTCTGAAAGGCTTATACAGTCAGCCAATTATAACGAATAAATGTTTATTTTGCTTGATTAGGTTAGTCTGGTATTGATGTTTGTGTCAATTAAACGCAGAGTATTGACTTTTTGACAATTTTGTTAAGTAGATTTTAAGGAGTGATTATTTTACTTGTGAAAAAAGTTATGGCGTTAATATGTTTATATTTTCAATAGGACAGTGGCTTTACTCCGTTAAATCTAGATTGAGTTGGTGAAAATTCTATCGACTTCATTGTGTATTCTCTGCAAAATTTAAATTCAAATTGTGAAAAAGTTAGCAATCAGTGAGATTACCCTTGGAAAATATTTTTTTGTGTTGTAATTCTTAATGATCTCTTAGATGTGGAAAATTAAGCACGTCTAACTCAATTTGGTTTTTGTGTGAAATTATAAATACTTAAGTTAAAATGTAAATGTAATCTGTTAACATAAAAATCAAATTCAAGATCATAAGATGACGTAAAATTAAAAAAAAAGTAATACTCCTTTTCTTAAAAAGTAAAAGAAAGTGTTCAACATGAACAGTTCATCTTACATCTACGAGAAAGTGGATACAGCATCAAAGCGTATCACTCCATGCGATTTCATTAGCGAAGCAATTTCACGTCACGAGTTACTGAATACACTTTCCGCTATACTCGTTTCTGCTTTGAATTTTTTATTTTCATAACTTATCTTATCGACAAAGTGTGAGAACACTTTTCAATCGAACTTATCCAAGCCTAACAATACGTAAAGGTTTCGTAGATAAAGTATTTAATTTATAAATAAACGATTAAAATACTATGTAATTTTGTTTACAATAAGAAAGTTTTTTTTTTACTTTGGTGTACAGAGTGTACGATTATCTTCAATCTATTATATACATAAAAAAATAAAACTAACGTATATCAACTATATTACGACACGGTTTACGTCGACGTATTAATGAACGAATTGCATTAGTATTGATCGATCAATATATGCGACTCTACACTTTAGCCGCCTGCGCAGAAAGAATATAAGAGAGGAAGACATTGGACGATGCGCATTTACTCATGTAATTAATACGGTATTACACTATATATATATAAGCAATTACATACATCAAAGAGAAAATAAAAATATTGTATTTTTGTAAAGCTTATACAAACTTGTCATGACATATCAATAAAAACCACAAAAATTCATTTACCTTTGTTACATCCGTCATGAGTCACATTTAATATTATTACATTTAAAGATAGTTCACACAATTAATACAAGGTGAGTATGAATGACGTGGATATAAATTAATTACATGTATGAGAATCGCGACCACTCGTAATAATTTCTTGTTATTGGAAAATTGTCTTAAAATAGTTTGGTATAAGATTAGTTAAAAATACAGCCAAATGAAAGAATCTTTCGAAGCCAAATGTACAGACGATTCCACGTATACACTTATCCCTTTTGCAGTCCTTTCAACCAAACCGACAAACGCATATACTACGAGTAAAATTATAATTACAGGCTGGCCAGCGCCCCCTTTTGCCTCGTAACCATTTTGACTCCCAGCCTCGACAACATAATCGCTCGTTTAGCGCAAGGTAACAATCCTTCCTTCGTGACGGACAAAAGGAAAAGACAAAAACGGAAACCCAGCGATCCATTTCCTCGCGAAGGGTTTCGCAAGCACGCCAGCAACGCCCAAGTTAATTTAGTTTAGCTGTAAAGGACGTGCGACCATAACGTATCTTCGAAAGTCCTTTCGAAAGTGAAGGACCTCTTATGCCTTGTATTTTTTGTACTTTCTTCGGCTGACGACGTGATACATAAGTAGCCGTGTGAGTATAATCGAGCGCTTGCGCAAAAGGTTCCCCGCGCGTGTTCTTGAGCTTTTTGCCGCGCGCGTACAGTGTAGCAGTTTTTGCGTTCGGTTTTGAAACCCGATTGCTCAGCAATAACGTCGCCTGCGGGAAAGGATCGTTGCTTGTTTCCGGAGGATGTAAACTTTTCAAAATCCCTTGTCGTCTTTGAAAATTCACCTTGCTCTACCCGACTGCCGATGATCGACTTGTGGCGTACAAAGCGGGCGACAATGTTGAAATATGCTAATGGTGTTTGTTTAGAAAGGGAAAAAAATTATTTAATCACCATGTGCATAATAAACTTGGCAGCAGATGGTTTTGCAACGTTTTCTAATAAAAATAAAATAGTGCGAGCTCGTGCGTGTTGCAATTTCGTGCCCTCGATGACTTACAATGCAAGTATAAATACGATCCGTACTGCATAACAATCTTCTCCTTTCCCAACGGTGGCTGTCCAAGTTTCATTCAAATTATTTTTCTTTGAGTTACGTTCTTTTGTGCAACAGTGTCGAAGCCCATCGTCATACGATTATGAAAATTAAAGCAAACGATCGAAAAGTCCAACGACATAGCCTGCCGTAATTCGCCAAGTTTTTAAAAAGCTCGGCAGAATCCGCAATGTCACTCTCTATTACCCACTCGTTATATCACTGAGAAAGGAAAAAAAAAAGGCGCAACTCATTTCCGAGATGCAGTGATCTCGTGTAAATGCCAGTGTCGTCGACTCGCGGAGGAGTGTACCGAAGAAGGAAAAAAAAATACACAGCTTTGCTTCAATCACACGACCGACATAGAATGAGCAGCGAGCAGGCGGTTGCCTGTAATGAAATTAACATAATGGTTAGCGCGCGCGGCGAGGATTATTACGTGAATTGGAAACGTGAGAAAATGTGCTAGCGCGTGGATCAGTTTTGCGCATATTCGCCACTTTCTTCTGTGTGCGTGCGCGCGCTATCATTTTGCGCAAGAAAATATGTGACAACTCGTATAATATACGCGCTAACTCTTTATTATTTCATTCCTTACATAAGCCTTTTTTGTGTTTGCTTCGCACACGCATTCGCGCGCTTGACTTTTCCTATAATACTAGGTGAAACTGTAACTACTAACGATAACAAATTGAGTTTTACCTCTCTAATGCTCAGAGAAGCTATGTAGCGAGTATAATTACAAAGAGTTTTGATTTAACTGACACACTTTACTACTCGTCGTTAAACACTTACGTCTGCAATTGCAGCTTCAGATGCCTTGCGATATTGATCTACATGCAAATCGAGAATAATGTTTTTTTATACCTATATCGCTTTATGTTTTATTATAGAGAAGAGAAATCTGTTCAATGACAATGGACTGCATAGAAAAAAATATGATGGCCACTGGATTTTTCTCGTTAACACGACGGTATATAAATCAGATTACAGCCATTATATGATGTCACTTGTAGATGTCGATTCAAACGAGAAACAACATGTTTAAGGTGAGTTCTATTGCAATCCAATTGTTTGTTTGAATATTTGCACGACTTCTTTTATTCGGTAAAAAGGAAACGTCGCAGATAATCAGATAAATTCTAGTGAGCATAAGTAAGTTGATTTTCAGCAGAAAAAGGTGCGCAAAGTAGGATACGATATCGAAAGATAAATCCGTCGCGGTGTATATATGTATAACTAGATGCAATTTCACTTGACAGGGTAAGAAGGAATAAAACAGTGATTTATAAGAAAACGTTTCATTTGAATAATGTTATTAGCAGAGCTTGTTTTAAGAGCTAATGTATCGCAGTCAATGTATCGGAAATTCCATGTAAAGTTGATAAGAATGTAAAAAAAAGACGTTACTTTCTCATGATTTGCAATATTTTTCGTCTAATATGTCAGTCATAAATGACTCCTTTGTTAATTGACAGACAGATGTGCCACTCGATATACGGTTTTACATAATATTTCATAAGCATCGAGAACTATTTCTTATTCTATTGAAAAAGTTCAACGCGATTAAGTTGATGAAATCACGTAATATCATAGACGCTATATTTCATTCGATTCTCCATCGCAATAGTGACTAATATAGCTCAAACAATTTGTTAATATCTAATCATAGGGCAGTTCGATAATGCTTAATCACTGAAATTTCAAAAAATTTGATGAAATATACAGATAAATGTCGACGCATTAATCATCATAAATCAGTTGTCATATAATTTATAGATAAACATATTTTGCAGTTGATGCTATTGGCACAGCTATGTTTGGCCACAGTGTCATTATCATTGCCCTCGGCGTCGACGTCAAAAGGCGTGAAGAGAGATATTGCCAGTCCAGGAAGCATCGCCAACTTGTTCGCACGTGACGATGACTTGTACTACGTGAGTGTATTAAAATAGGAGCGTTGAGTTATTATCCGTGACGTACGTGGTCGCCTTTTCAAATGAAATTCGCTGACTACGAAGAGGCACGCGTGGGCTGCTGCTGCTGCTGCGGAGGCAGATTACTTTACTATCTATTCTTTTCTCTCGGGGAGTTAGAGAATGATACGCGAAGTTGCTATGAACCTCGAGAAGGATTTATCCAAGAGAGTAATTATCGGTCGTAATTGTTAGGCAAGAGATTAAACGTGCATTTTACGTGGCGAGCGATGAAGATTTTTTTCACTTTCGTGTTGTCGCTGGACTGTTAAACTCGGTAATTACAAAAATTTTTGTCGCATTACTGCAATGTTTTCGTTTTTTATTTTTCTTTGCGCGTGAGAGAAATTTTTATTGAGGATCTTCACGTATGAAAGAAAAAGCCACGGGGCGCTTAACATTAGGAATGCAAAGCCATGGTCGAATGCTTTGCATTTACGCGGTGGTACTCAGGCCCACTCATTTTTCCTCGCTGGGTCTCTTTCATTTTCTACTTAGATTCTACTTTTTTTTTTCGGTATACTCCTACCCACATGCATTTTCTCGGTAACAACTGTTAAAGTGCTCTTGCACTAATTTTCAGATGGCGTGCCATAAAATTAGAACAATACGCGACAAATAAAAATAAAGTTGCTGTTATATTACAATATATGCTATATAATTCTAAAGTGGTGAATAAGGCGAAATTGTTTGATCACCCCCCCCCCTCCACCGCCCTTCAATAAAATAAATCATAACACACAGTTCGTTCGAGCGAAATTAAATATTCTTTCAAATAATACCCAAAAGATCAATATTCAATATAATAGCAAAGCTCCGCGAAGCTAAAATTTCTATAATTATTAAAAGCCATTCTAAAATTATTTTCTATCTTCGCAAAAACAGAATCAGTATCCTGGCTATGCCGGAGGTTATGGCTATAGTTATGGCTACTATCCTCGCGCAACTGACGTCATCTCGCCATTATATTATAACGACGGCTATGGCACCGGTTGGGGTTATGGAGCCGGACTTGGCAGAACTGTCGCATCTTATCCCTATTATTACAGTGCGTGGCCTGGATACTATGGATATAATCGTTATCGGTACGGTGGATATGGTGCAGGAGTAGGCTATGGACTCGGCGGCTACGGACATAGTTATTATTAAGCCATATTATATTGTGGGCTTGGACTACTACTGAAACTTTACAAGGATGCCTGCGTACTTGAGAAAGTTAGCAGCAGAGTTATAGCATTTGATGGATATGCGTAAGAGATATTCATTAAATGCCGATTGTAGTCATTGAAGAAAATGAATTGATTTTTTTAAATATATTTGCACTAAATAAATATTTATATTGTGAATGTTATACCAAATTTGTAAGTAAATAAAGTGAATATTAATCGCATATGTTTATGTTGACTTTTACGTATATGTACGAACGTGAACTAATTGTCAGTAGAACTTCATTTCTTAGGATATATCCTAATGAGCTTATTAAGCGCCGCCATAATAGATCTCTTTCTTATTGTCTACTTTGTGCCAATGAAAACATCCTAATTTCATCTGTGAGATACATTTTCGAATGATGTAAAAATTCATATAATATTGCAGACACGTTGATTTTTGGAGGCCAAGTGACCATTCTTGAAAGAGAATAGCCTAAATAATTCATTCAATGAACATTTGTTTGCATCAAATCTGTATCCCTTGAGAACATTCTGTTTGAATGGTGTTCAACTTTTTTTCAACTACTGCCCTAAACGAGCTGTTATTCACTCTATCACACGTGTACTACTGGTCCACGTCTATGTTCTGTTGCAGAACATAGCCCTAGTTTTTCAGTTTAATTAACAAATCACGGAAAGTCGCGTCGGGTGATAAAAAAAAAGTAAGAGTGCTTCTCATAAAGTCAAAAGATCAAGAGAGTTTGGCTGTCGGGTTGCCGTTAGCAACACGCGTCCGCGTCACCGGAAAGCTCATTCAGAGATAGTAGCAACTTACTTCGTTATATGAATACGCGTCCCCTCTTTTTTTTTTCTTTTTAACGAATGGTCAAAGTCAGGAAACATTAACTTTTTTTGTTTGACTTTCAGGGCGGGAGTAACTTAATTTATCGAGTCTGTTAATGGACGAGGAAAGCTGCATGTTCATTAATCTTGCAAAAAAACGACAGGGCAAGAAACGAAAAAGATGGATTCGTTTGCAAAAGTTTGAAAGGAAATTAAAAGCTTCGCGTACTCGTAAAGATGATTCATGAAAATAATCTTTGCACGTTTTCAACAATGCTTTATATTTCTGATACATCAATTACGTTTCCAAAACTATGCTGTACATTATGTAATCACATTTAAATGTATTCGAGCGAATATAATATAATCTTTCAAAGGAAGTATGCTGTAGGTGTAGCGACCAATGCTTTTGTGAAAGTTACGCGTATCATTGAATTTTTTTTGCGCAGTATTAACAAAAGATATTGGCTAACTTACATACGGACGCATTGTGTAAACGCACGCAACTACATGACAGTTTTTTAATTTTACTTTCAAACTGAAAGTAAAATGACTGTTTTTATGATGAACGTTGCTTGGATTATTTACTCTGTTCAGCTTAATTATGAATACACATGTAACAGTAGGTAAATGCAAATAAGCTACGCATACTCGTGCATTAATGCTTTCAATTAAATCGTACACAGTACCAAATAGTCAACTCGATGATATTGTTAGCTCAGTCCGCTTAATTAGCCAAGTGAACACATACATATTCTGTTTGCTCCCATAACAGATCCTACTGCGTAAAGCTATCAATACGAATTAAACAACATTAAAAAAACCCGTAATCCTTTTTCACTTCCAACACGCATAGAGAGAATGAGTAATTAGATTCTCCCTGCAGGTGCAGATCGTAAAAGCGCAGCAAATTGTGAAGCTCACCTACATTTTGCCGTACACGCCCTATGTTCATTGTTTTTCTCGGATCATGCACGAACTAGAAAGATGCACGTTTCGCAGTAGCATCGTAAATTTTTTTCCCTTCTCCAAGTAAAGAAGAACGGAGTGTTCGCCTACAGGACACGAAAATTGATTCTCAATGCGGAGTTTTATTATTATTACAGTGATAAAAAGAAAAACAGGGCTATGGTCTCACTTATGGTTAAGCAACCACTCGAAGAAGAAAAAGAAAAATATGAAATTTCTCGAGAAGAAGTATCACAAAATAAATATACACAGTTATATATTTTTATTTATTCGGTTTAGCCTATAAATAATTCCGCTTCTTGAATCCACCGAGCACTCTTTGAAATCTCGGCATTGTACGATGAAATAAAAAAAATGAAGAGATATTCATTCTTCGGGTATACGCACACAGACGGAATCACAAAAGAATGAATAATTCGAGGAGATTTCTCCAAGGCGATATCAAGTCTTAAACATTCATGCACTTTAAAAACTTCCGGCAGTCGTGAAAAACCTTCACATCGTCGCGTCGACAGGTCTATTAGTCTCAACAACAGTACAGAGAAGTTTCAAAGTGGAGAAGTGATTTTCGATGGGCAATTTGTCGCCTCATCGCTTCTGCGATAGTTTGGAAACCGATACATCAATGGGAAACCCCTGACCTAGCGCCTTGACACTCATTCGTCAGAAGGATTCTTTCTTTTTTCTCTGTCTATCCCTCCGCACCCGCGCGTCGTAAAACCGCGTTCTCAAGAAATGCTCGGACTGTAAGACACTTGAGTCACTCGAGGCGAGAAAAAACCGTGCAGAGACGCGTAAAAATAGGCGAGGTGATCTTATGGGTAACGCCTTAGTGAACTGATTACCGCGGATAAGAACTTTAATAAACGCTATGCGTCTTCGTGCTATTACACGTCAAAAGCTTTGAGGCCTTGTATGCGTACGAATTATTTCAAAAAGACAAAAATTAGGCCATGCAAAAATATGACTATATCATTGTACTGCGCATAAAAAAGAGAAAATTTTTTTTGATGGATTTATTGCATTTCTCTTTTTATTCCGTTTGTGTAATTATCACGCTGAACGAGTTTTTTTTCTCTTCGCTTCAAAACTCACGCTCGGATGAACATAAGCAGCAGCAGTACCGCGACTTTTTTCTGAAATTATGCGCGCGTTGTGTAACGACAGGTGTACTCGTTATATGTATTTTTTTTGAGAATGTCAGACTCTACAAACTGTTAATTTGATAATCCGCATTAATTGCAAGCACGAATAATTATGAATGCTTGCGACTATACAATTAGCGTGAAGTGAAATTAATTTGGTCGTAATGTGAATATAAAATTAATTTTATTTACAACAAATCTGCTTGATCGTTATAATTAAGAATTGTCACTTTTTCGATGTCCGTGAACTAAAAATGAAACGCGCGGGTGACTGTAATCTACAAATCAGATTAAGATATGTACTGCTGCGAACAGTAGTTACTTTTATCTGAATATCTTACGTAAAAAGAGCAACATTCATGTGAAATTTTTGGAAAAACGATATTTGGAAAAATTTCAAAATTATATAGTATTTTTAATCTTTGATATACTGATGGTAAAATTAAAAATAATTTCATTTCATTCTTCGCTGATAAATATATTTTTTAATTCTACAAAGATTCAACTCGTAAATTTCAACAATGCACTTGTCGAAATGAAATAATGTTTCACGCCGTTTTGTTTGTAGAGGTCCTATGCATATTTTCTTTTTTCTCGTTATTGACAATATTTCAGTTTTTATTCGTTACTCCTATAATTCAAACACGTCACGTACAACGAGTGTCAAAGATTTATTCTTCCATGTAAAACAAAAAGAAATGTTTGACCCAGCTTGACAAAATATCAATCCCGAATGCAAATACAGACATGAAACACGTATAAAAAAATGAAATCAGAAAAACACAAAATTGAAGATCAACTGACCGCATCGCAAGTTAAAACGGCCGAAAAATCCGAGGATAAAACCGTAAAGACGGTAAGCTGCACAGTTCAAGCTGTCCAACCCAGCGCAAGAGGTCAAAGCACGTATATCTCCAATGATAAAAAAATGATAGAGACAAAAAATTCGACTCGCGTCTGTGCGTTTTTGCTCTGATTTCACGGTAAGCCCCCCTCTGGTCGCGGTGGACGACTTTCGCGGCGACCTTCGTCATAATAGAGCCGGCTATTTGGTAAGAAAGTCGAGCTGCACGCACACAACAATTTCATAGTTTCATTGATGAGGAAAAAAATAAGGAGCTGCCTTTAAGAGTGTGTCTCAGACCTTGAATTACACAACGTGGAGTAGAGGTGGTCTGTGTGTGTGTTGCCCCCTCGAGACGAGCAGCACACGCCCCGAACACAGGTATAAAAGCCGAGCGATGCACGAGTCTAGTTATCACTTCGACAATACCTAGCGTTCAGCTAATAATATTTCAAGCTTATACAACAAGTTTACATTATTCAACATGTTTGCCGAGGTACAGTGGAAAAAGTCTATTATAAGTGCAATCATTGTTTTGTGCGGGAGCTTGCGAGCGCATTGTATGGGCGATTGGGCTTTTCATTCTTATATTGTAGCCAGTGGCTTCAGTGTTTGTCAATTACCATCCATACCATTGCTGAGTACTGTACTTCGAAAGCTGGTGTTAACGTCGAGTTTACGCTCTTCGTGAAATACATACTGTATACTGTGTGTCAAGTGGAGCTTTCAGTAGAATGGATTGCGCGAGCGCTTAATTCAAATAATATTAGAGTTTGCAAGTTCTAAATTTCGTATGTTGTAATGAGACTATTTTTATTTCAAATTCAAAGTTTATTTAGTTCAATTTTCAAATAAAACGTTTATACTTTTTATTTCGATTTTCCACTTAGTTTCATTAAATTAAAATGAAAAATGTTTTAGCTCGTTCAAACAACATTCGGTATTAATTTCAAATATTTTCTTCGTCCACGGTTAATCACAGCTAAGTCAATATTTTGTTAAAAAATTGTTTACGTGCCTTTTTGTTTACAAACGAGTGTTTTGTCACTGACAAGACTATTAATCGAGTTACAAATCCTCGTTTCACTTGTTTTTGACAGGATGTATCATAGAACTATGTCATTTCCGTAACAACGTCACATCTAAAATCATTTAAGATGGTCCCATCGTTCATCCTACGGCAGTCGAGAGAAAAAAAGTCCGCACTCATCATCTAATATATCCGTCACTTCCCATGCTCGCGTATATATAATGCAAATTTTCTCATGCCCGCGAAAGCATTATGCAAAAGACCGAGAAGTCACGCCTCACATTAAAAAAAAGGGAAAAAAATTGCAGAGTGCCGCTCTAGTGTTTCTGCTGACTTGTGGTGGCGCGTTAGCCGGTGTCGCGCCGCTCGCCCATTACAACGCCCTTGACGGTGGTTATCCCTACGGAACAGCTCATGGACATCTCGCTGCCGCGCCTGTCACCGTTACTACTCACGGACTTGGTCATCAACCTATTGCTGTCTACGGAACACCTGCTGCTTATCCCCATGCTCTTTACGCTGATTATGGACGTCACGGTATTTACGATCATCATGATGGTGTTTACGATGAACACCACGGACATCACGGAGACTACCATGTAAGTTGATTATTTTTTCATTTATATTTATAATCGAGAAATTTTCTTGAGTAGAGTTTAACGAATTTTTAGTAGGAAAATTTAAAACGACTTGCTTTGTATTCATGCATCAAAGGATTTTCGCTCGCGTATTGAATAAAAATTTAATTTAAAAGTTGATACTTTTTTTTATTATAGTTATTTTCAACTCATTTTTCATATATGGTTATTTCAATTTTTTATGTTAAATGAAATACAAATTATTATTTCATAAAATGTAATCGTGTAACCAATCAACAAAATGTCGTTATGGACATGTGATATTTTTCATTGCAATGAACTATAAAATGATTATATAAGGTGAATTAAATAAAATACAACGGTGATATGTTCACACGTCATAATTTCTTGTAATTCTTACATCAAAGTACAATAATATCTAGTATACCCTTATCTTTCTCTAATTAACATCTACGCCAACAATGGTACGCGTTATTTCGTGCATTGAATAAACACGCGAACGGGTAGGAGCGGAAGGATCAACCGGATACCAGAGCTGTGATTACAATACAGAGAGAATTCTCGAAATTTAGCGCGATTTGTATAATAGAGTATATAGGTCATTCGATGTTGATTAATCACGTTGGTTTAATCAACTTCTTATTTTGAAATACTTCAAAACAACTGTCCTTTTAAAATGTGATTCATTTAATTCGTCACACTCTAAACTATTCGTGAAAATTGCTTTATACTACTATGTTTGCATGATTTAACAAATTCTCAATCTCACTCGATTAGTCACAGCATTACCACGAATGATGGTAAAAGCGAAATTAAATTATCGTCTAATCGATATTTAATTGACTAAAATATATATAGAAGATGTTTAATAGATTACTTGAATCCAATTGACAATAAGTTTAAATAAATTATACTTGAAAGAATTTGCTCAAATATTTTCAAACAAGACGATATCCCAAAGGTCAACTCAAGTACTTTGTTGCCAACAATAATTCAATGTCAAAAATGGTGTTTGCCACAAAGTTTAACAAGTTTCATTCGTACCTCATCCACTAATTGACATAGGCAAATATCAGTTGTAACAACGATAAAAAAGTATATCATTCGTCACCCATATTTCACCTATTTCAAATAGACAATATACGATCATTGCCCTTCCAAATTTCTGTTCAATAAATCAATTTGCATCTGCTCACAGGGTTACCCGAAATACGCTTACAACTATGGAGTAAACGATCCACACACCGGTGATGTCAAATCAGCTTACGAAGAACGCGACGGCGACGTGGTCAAGGGTTCGTACAGTGTAAACGAGCCCGATGGTACAATTCGTGTTGTCGAGTATACCGCCGATGATCACAATGGATTCCAAGCTGTCGTCAAGAAGATCGGTCATGCCGTTCATCCACAACCGATTCATGCCCCAGTGCCAATTGCTACCGTTCCACTTCACGGTTACGGAGATTATCACTACGATAGGAAATGAATATCCTGTTCGACATGTTACCAACGAGATTCGACCAAATGGATCTGTGTGTGCTTTCACAGAGATAAATCTTTCGAGCTTGCAAAAGCTTTCGATTCTGAACGATTTAAGCGTCACTTAGAGACTGCTCCGAGAATTTTCACCTTAGTATTATTTAATATTATTTAGTCGAGCGCACTAAACAATCACTGTTAACTGTGCAAATTTTATTTTTTTCACGAATTGAATAAACTATTTTTTCAAGAAAACTCATAACTAGTGCACCTTACTTCGTTCTAATGTTTCTCAAAGTGCTTGCAGCGATTTTTTATTATATCATTTGCACTCGAAATATCAATTTCTAAGTAGATTATACTTGCGCGTTACGTGCTAATTCGGAAAATGCATCTTACCAGTATTCAATATTTTTCTCAAACGTCTTACTTACCTGGTTTGTTTCCCGGAAGAAGCTCTCTAATTACAATTGCAAATAATAATAATAATAATAATAATAATCTTAGGATAAATAAGATTTTGATAGCGTCCATCACAAGTCTATTATTCTTTTCTAAACGGGCATTTTTTTCTTCTCACGACGCTAATCATATAACTGATGTTCACGTACTGATACTTATACTTTGAAATCTCTCAATGCGACAGCTCGTAAGCTGTTCCCCGCTAATACGTGCTTAAATGATTATGTCAACGTTCGTATACATCTTTTTTACGGTGCTTTTTCCCACGCTTATAAACGCGCCACGGACACGTATAAGATTTTCCAACGTACCACTTTCTCTATTTCACATTTACCGCGAGAAAAAAATTTTTTTACGAAATTAAAATCTGCCGCAAAAGGATATTTTGCTGACAATAACGAACTACGGCGATTAAGAGAATTTTATAAGAAGACTTACCCAGGCTTCGTCGAAAATTTTGTGGGCAATAATGCTGGTACTCTCGAACATATCCTTGCCAGGCCCAGAAGCGAAGCACATTTCCTTTTGGCCGGGGCACGTGTATTGCGCTGAGCACGGTTTTCCCGAGAACTCACACTTCGGACCACGGGTATTCGGCGACACGTCTCCTAAATTAGTCGAGGCGAAGGCCGCGACGAATTCACCCTGTAATTCATCATGGCAAACACAAAAATAAGTAAAATAGCAGTAATATGATATTTTAATGTCAATCCTCTTTTAAATATTTTTATTTCACTAGTCCGATTGAGAATCACTGATTTCTTAAACTATTTTGAAACCGCTATACAGAATACCCAATGGCAATCAACATCGCAATTTGAATCAACAGAAATAGCACGTATAGCATTAATAATTTTAGTCCTTGAATAGTTTGCATAAATGATTAATTTTCAACATGCTCCGGTAATACGAGCACTTGATTAATACGATTCAACTAATGTTCTATAGCATTTCACATTTGGCATTCAATTAATAAGAGTTTGTCACGGAAAAGCTTTAAAAAGGATCATTTCCTCCGCAATTCCGTCGTGCAATTGATGGCGAATTCTCGCCTCAGCCAAGTTAATTGCTCTAATTGGCTACACTTTGAAAATACACGTAAAATAACTCGACGCGCGGTTAGTTGATTTCTCGGGGACCACGCTACAAGCCAAGTAAATTGTTGCAAAGCGAAACATCCATTCACAGGCGCGCGCCTATTGAACGCCGAACGCCGTGACACCATTCACCCGTTCAACGTCAAAGCTTTCTCAGTCGATCGGTTCGCAGGAGTGCCGACTCCATCTCTGGCGGCGTATACAAGAACGGGTTGACTATATAATATCATTGGATTGAATTTCTAAAGCGTGCAGCCGCGCAAAACCCTGCAATTGAAATTACTCTGCTCTGGACAATTCATTTACCTTTCCCACCATGACGTTCTTGTTGATTTTTTTCTCGAAGAGCATGGACGCGTAACCAACATTGTCGCTCGAAACAAGGTGATTCGTATTGTTCATACTTGTCGGGTGTACGGCAAACCAGTTGATCACACCCAGTGGCTGGCCGTTCGCTGCGACAAATTGGAGTTGCACCAAGTCTTTGTCCACGTCATATTTGTATCTGCAAAGTAAATGCGAATGTAACAGAATTGTTTTATGTGCTCAAACAATTAGCGGTTTATTGTTTTGCATTGCTGCTGACGTTTCAGATCAAACAAAATTAACATATTTTCAACAACTTCAAAACCAAAGAGATCAATGTCGAGTTTTCAGTTTCAGCGAGTAATAATTTGATACGCTTTGAATATTTCTACCTCATATTTAAATAAGCCAACGCGCATTTAGACGGCATTAAATATGTAGTGCGTCATTCAATTAATTAATGTACATTTAGAACATTTTATGAAAATGAAGTAAATCCTATCCGAATATCATAAAATTAAACAAATAACACTATGTTAAGAATGTTGCAATACTGCATTGTAAAATTTAGAAGTACTGTACGTATACAGTAATAATATTCGACAATGAAATATATTTACGGCTACTTCAAAAAGTAGATTAACATAAATAGTAAATGAAGTGCGTACAAAAGATTATAGTCGTACACGGAGCGACTGCTTTTGTTTCTCAAAATGTTGCCAATAAAAATCACACGCTGTACGTCTGATAGTGCAATGCGTTTATGAATTTCTATGTCGTAACTGAAACATCTCACGTAACAATCAAATAAAAAAAAAACAGCTATCAGATGATCGAGCATAACAGAACTTGTCTCTCTCTTCTTGAGGGTTGTTCACATAGGCCAATGGACTGCGATTGATATTGGCATCCAATACTTGTCCACGTGTAACGAATATACGTCCAGGTACAATGGCGTTGTGTGCTTTGTCGATACTCTGCGAAGAGACAGAACGGAAAAGAACAATTGAAAGGTCAATTGACGGCGTGACAGTGGCGATGATCTGTCTACAGACTCATCAAAGCCGCTTGTCGCGTACTTGTAGTCGGATTTCCGTGTTTTACCTACCTTGGTAATGCCGTTGACTAAAGCGCTAAATGACTCCTTGACGAAACCATAGGTCGATAAATCGAAAAGCACGTCCATCATGAAACCGCCTGGACTCGAATGCGTATGCGTGCTGCTGATCATCACGTTCGACTCCGTATACAACTTGCCGTACTTTGATTGAAGGTTACGCAGTACCTGCACGACATCGTAATGCGATTATAATTTGCAATCGAATTAACGCTTTTTTATTAGTGTATCACTATATATTGTATAGTGATTGTTGTCCTTTTATTAGCAACTATGTACCAATAATTATGCGATTTCAAACATTTAATTAAAGTGACTTCAGTTGCATTCACAGCGTTCATTTGTAGAGGTACATTATTAGTGACGTCGAATCAATCAAATTAACTGTATTTATAATGCAATTGTTCGAAAATTTAAAAGCTAAAAAGCTAAAAATGTGCTGAAAGATTTTTAAATAATTGCATAAAAGTCAAAAGACAATTGATATATAAGAATTTCAAGAAAAATTTTCGAACACCTGTATCAATTCTTTGACAACGCTCTGTACGCATGCGATAAGCACGACAAATTATGATAGCATCGATTACGATTCGACCTTCTGTTTCGAACTAATGTACAGGAACACAACTAATACAGTTCGATAACGGCTGATCCTACTCACCGCAGCTTTCGCGTCGTGGCCAACCATTGCACTGTCAACCGTAACGAAGACGAACCTCTGCTCACCATCGTCAATAATAAATGCTCGGGAGAATGTTCTCAAATGAAGACCAGAGCCTTTTTGGTCCATTTTCGCGTAGCCCATCTATAAAAAATATAACTATTTATTATTGCATTTGTACATGTTTATATTGGGAATCAAATTTTTACGTTGATATATTTTCTTTCACTACACAGGAGTATATTGACATTTGTAATTGCTCTTTCCAAATACATATTTACTTATACATTGTATAACGATATTAAATACCATTTCCATATTTTTCAATTTTCTTAGATTTACAATCTCGAAAGTATCGCTTGTTAACAAGTAATAACGAACGATACTATAAGGTAAAAATTCATGTACAAAATATATGTAGCCATCACCGTAAAATTTTAGAGCTTATCATTTTGACGCATAAAATTAATCTCGTACTAAGATACAAAATCGAAAGTTTATAATCTAATCAAAGCAAAGTTTTAATAAAGTTGTAAAATCGATAACCAATTAAGATAAATAGAGAAAGTTCGACATTGAAAAATATCCCGATATACCATCCATCAAATATGAAAAAAATAAGAGCACAGAGTACCTTGAAATTTAATTAATTATATTTTGAAAGCACGAGAAGCTTACAAAAACGACTTCGGCGACAGGTCCAGTGGTGTCGGAGATGCCGATGCCAATGCTGTAAGAGGAAGCGGCACTCGGTACCAGTAAACCAATTAGAAGGCCGATCATAATTAAACCACATGTCGGCGGTTTCCACTTGAACGTCAACGAATCCATTCAATCTCCTGTTCTCTCCAACGCACCCCAAGACTCCTCTGCGATACAACAAAACAATAGACTATTCCTCATGCTTATTATATACCTGTGTTTTTATCTCATCTTATCTACTTAGTTTTACGATAAGAATGATAATTTTTTTTTATTTAGTGATAAATTTGTAACGACACGATGAATGATTTATCATTGCATTACAGTAAAAGGATTTGCATTTGCGAAAAAAAAACAGCAGAATATTGGAGCGATTCCGACGAGTTAGTTTCCAACAGGTAAAATAGATAGGAATACATGTGTCGTGCGTTTGAATCAGATAATTTTTTATGCCGATGTTATTTAAAAAGTAGATTTATTGACACTTCGTCATCCTGCCATACCGAAGTACGTAAGTAAGAAACAAAGAGCTCATCTTGCAACAGTTGGATTGCAACATTTGTTAAAAACAGTTAAAATTTACTGACCAATACCGCAGCAAAGTTAAAACTACTCAGAAAGAAATAATACGTATTACCAATACGTAACTTGGTCGGAATTCCAGACTTTATTTGCGTTGCTTTTTCGAATGCGTTATATACGAAGAGATGATGGAGTAAAAGGGTGGTTTAATAGTTGAACGAAGTCAGACGAAAGCAGTGCATGACCCAGAACCATGCAGACAGATGTTAAAATATATCTTTTATTCCCGCACAGAAGCTTACATTACGATAATGCACATTAATCGTAACTCTTATGAAATATTTGCAAATTCCATGTGTGAATGAACGATGACGCGCGTGCACGGTACTTTGATTCCATCAACTGTGTTCGATTGTTATTCACGACAATATGTTAAATGATTCATTGTCTTATCGTTATTCTTCATAAATAATAATAATAATTTATGATAAAGATAAATTTATAGCACGTTGATTAGTTTTCAAATTTATCGCTGCAATCGGTACGCGCTCAAACGATATAATGTCCAAGACTGTCGTTTGGTCACAGAGATAATCATAAGCAGGACTAATTTCATTAGAATATTCAGCGAGATGGGCATAACAAAGTAAACTAAAGTTACATAAAATGAAATTATCAAAGAGGAACACTTGCAAATCTAATTATTTTGGTAAACATCATGATCAGCAATTTGGCAAGATCGGTCAATCAATTATTAATTTTGTCTGCTTAGTTTAGGAATGACTTTAAATACAAGTTTATTCCATTTAGCAGTCTAACAAAGAAGCTTATACAACTCCTCGGAAACTCGTCATAACAAGTTCTATCCGAAAAAGAAAAGTATATAAGAAATACCTCGGGCGATGCACAAGTAGAACCAGCCACGGTACAATTAGTAGCTGACATCGAGTCGTAAGGAAACTCCCGTAAAGCGAAACCGGCCAGCCAAAAGCGATAAGCTCGCGCACGCTCAACGCATAAGCAGTCGCTGCGCTATCGTGTGACACGCTACACAATGCTTTGCTCTCCCTCTATATCTCTTTCCCTCGCTCACCTAAGTGCACATCCGGCCAGTGAAAATTGCCGCTGGAAATATCCGACACTCTCTGGAGTTAGTGAACACTTGTGCAGCGAGGAAAACACTTGGCACATGCAAAAAGCTCACTGAATCACCAACACGCCACTCGCGCTGTTACGAACACACACACGTGTACGCTCGCTTGCGCGTTTCGACTCTTTTTCTGTCTCTCAATTCCGTGCACACGTGCGAGCCACCTATATGTACTTGATTTTTTCAAGTCCTTCGCGATAATTTATTGCGCACCACTTCGTCTCCAAGAGCAAACTTCCTTTTACTGCCGAAATATGTACAACGTGAATAGCCTATTGTTGGTTGCTTCGTCAATTCAGCTTATTATACACAGGCCATTTCGTTCAAGCGATTACAACGCATACAGGGAAAGCGAGTCAAGGAAATACTTGTATATATATCCCAAACGGATGTTATCGTTGCGTGCGCGCGAGCGACGATAAATACTCTATGCTGTGCCACTTGCTCTTGACATTCAAATATCGTTCTGCGTAAATGGATAATCTGTGAGCGCGTTCATAATGAGAATCGACAAAAAGATGGCTTAGATAAAACTGTTTTTACTGGAATATTAATGGCAATTATTTAACGTGCATTATGCGAGTGCAGCCGTGACTCTCCGTTTAACATCTCGACGTTAATGCTCTCACCGACCTTCATTTATATTGCAAAATGCAAGAACATATCACGATGCTTTCAAAATTATAAGTAACGAACAAATGTATCGACAATGTGAATCTTCGTACGGCCTTCCCAAACCACGTAGATACTAATTTTTCATACGAAACAATTGATAAATTCTTCACTAAGTGATTCAGCTGTCAAAGAATTCTTCGCTTAGCCGGTCACCATTAGAAGTATTCGACGAAAAGTAGCTTCGATATCTCTTTGTCTCTCTTAGGCAAGAGAGAAAAGATCTAAAAGTGTCGAGAATTCCAAAAAGATTCCAAGCTGTAAACCTGTAGAGCGAGCCACGAAGGAGAGCGAGCGAGAAGCCCGGCAGTAAACATTAATTTGCTCGAGGAACAACGAACGAACACGTGCTTGCACAGGAGAGAGAAAAAACCGAGAAAACCAAAAATCGCACAAAGAACAAACAGACTAAAGAGATAGGTAGCCACCACCTTGTATTATCACTGTCTATATCCTCGTCGTTCGGTAGGCGCTGGAGAAACAACGAGCACTCGAAGAAACAACTATAAAAAAATGCACTCGGTGCTCTCACTCTCTCTCTCTCTCTCTCTCTCTCACTGTCTTTCAACGCAGAGAGATCTCTCGTCGTTCGCTCTCCTTTCAATTCGCTGATCGACTGCGCTGCTCGCGCGGGGCCTCACCGCAACAGCACGCACTGCTATGCTCGCAGGCTCCGCGGACCACTGACGTCAGCCCCCGCCGCTTCCCCTGACAGGCCACCGTACGCTCGCACGTATGCACACACTTGTCACAACATTCCGGCCGCGACTATTTCTCGCTGTTAGCGTTCGATTGCTATCACCGAATTGTAGAGCAAGTGTTGCACGCATGTTTTACGATTACGATCGATGGAAAAGCCGCGCACATTACGACAACGTGGACTTTGTTTACATTCTATATCGTCAGTGGATAACTCGCTCACCAACTTATTAGTATTATCAACTTTCACGTCAGTTGCCGCTTGCCTACTGCGTGTTCGCTGATTTTTCTAATGTGCACCGTGAACTTTCCTTGTATAGCTGAACATTTCAAAGCGTTGTACAATGGAATAGAAGGTTAAGGAATGCCAACCGTTAAATTAATTAAGTTACTTGAACGTATTATCCATGATTGGCATCGTTAGCAATAGTTCAATTTTCAGTCACGAGCGCTCCATTGAATGACACGATGACTGTGCGAAATATCGCAGCTATTAAAGAGCTTCGTCGCCCGACGAATAAACCGCCGGCGAGGCTGCGGGCGAGATGCTAAGAACTGTTACTTTCACTTTTTACCGAAAATAATTCAGAAAGAAATGCGGTTTGTAATATGTTTCACTTGCTTTCGAGACAACCACGTCTTAACGTATATGCCAAAGCTGCTTTTTTGCCAGTTAATGTTTTTTACGGTTTAGTCTATCTTGCAAACGGGTTTCAGTTGCTCTAGAAATTTTTATCTGTCAAGGTCGCCGAGTGCCGGCTGTTATTGACCTTAAAAATTTATTCTTGAAAATTTTGTCATGTGTAGATTTTAAATAGAATTATTAGTTTATATGCGATGTTTTATTAATTGTCATTTGACATTTTTAGGTAAAAAAAACATTGCATTCCAGTTTTATATTCGAGCATCTTCTATAGGTAATGTCGTCCGTATACGAGCGCAGTGAAGATTTACAATTATATTAATAAAATTTTTCTACATTTTTTGCATGACGCTTATTTAACAACAAGATTAGCGAACGTACATAGAAATGGTTCGTGCTTTGACTCATGTCGAACTTTTACAAACTTTTCATAAAACAGACTCGTGACGAGAATGAAATGAAATGTTGACTTAGATGGCACTCTGTTTATTATTGAATTTGAATAAAAGTAAAAAAAAATGGTTCCAATGATTGATATGGAAGCTCGCTAAAAGCACTATTCGTCAACTAAAAGGGCAATAACGTATTGTACGCAAATCTACATTTTTATCTGTCACGTATCGCCAATCGCTTATTGTTTGCACGTCGATCACTGAACGGAGATACGCCGCAGGCAGTATCCGAAATTAAAAAAAAAAGCGGAAGAGTATCTGTCAGTCGTAAATACGTCCACGTTTCGGAAACACGCAAAGAATGTACGATTCCAAATCATCGAAGGTCAGGTTTTCGATGTGCCCTGACTCGCGAGAAATCAGAGATCTTTTACATTCGAACTAAGATACCTTCTGGGTCGGCGTTTGTACACGTAAATTCTTCTTTATGGACAAATGCGTGACTGAAATTTGATAAACAAATGGATTGTCAATAATGTGCCAATAAAAGCTTTCTAATTACGTATTTTATGAAGATTCCTAAAGTAACTTCATAGCTCCATTTTTTTTGCTTGTATAATTTATTATCTCGGAATTGGTTGAATTATGAAACTATTAAGAGCAACATTTTTTAACTTATCGCTAAAAGTGATGTCATTTCTATTGTATGCTTTATCTAGAAAAGTAAGTTAAATACTAAGGCAGAAAAAATTCATTAAGGAATTTAGATAAAATTATTTTATTCTACATCGATTTATGATTACATGTTAAATTTTGAAAGGAAAATTTTTCCAACAATTGAAATGTTACAAAATAAAATTTTGAGATTTTCAATATACTTATATAAATTGCTCTTAAAACGAGAAATTTAGTTCTTAATTAAAAATAAAATTATATAAAATATAAAAATTTCAAAAATTTTTTATGCAAAAAAGTAAACTTATGTCAATCGTCGATTGCGAGTTAAAAAAAAAATCTTTCACCATTATATCGACATTATCAACATTTCGTAACGCCGTCGTCAAGTAAAACTATAAACCGGCAATTTCGTCGTGAGAATCAAAGAACGTTGGAACTGTGTTGCGTTGGTAACGACGGCAACGAGTCAGGAAGTCGAGTGTGAAAATGATCGACGAGCAAAAGCTGCACTGCCATACACGCGGATGTAATAATCACCACAGATACCAACTATATGTATTATCATTACGCGTGATAACGCTAATGGCCTTTTCCTCGTCAGCAGTACAGGTTGTAATTTCTTTTTGCAACATCGATTTAGATGTCACTTGTACACACGGTTATACACATAGATTGATGTTGGGTTGGGAGATTATAACCTTTTTCTTTATTCGTTTTTTCTTGTCATAAGAACTTTTTAATTAATGTCATAAGTTGAAAAGCTATTTCGTAAACTTCAAATTTGTCATCAAGAATTCGAACTTAGCGTCCATTCTGGCATATAACGGTGTATATGATTTTTTAAATTCCACTCAAAAATTTGCAAATGATTAGAGCTTTCAAGCAACGCATCTTTACAAGGCGCATAAACATTAACGCGAATACCTTGTATTTTATTTCTCATAGAAATACGTTATAACTACACAAATGAACCATCAATAAGTAATGCTGACAAACAGAAAAGAATAACAATCAAAAAACTTTCCCACTTTTAAGCAAGTGGATTTGCTTCATTCGTTCTTTGGTTACGGTCAAGTTTGACCGCATTTTTCACAACTTTCTCTAGATGCTAAACACATGCTAATTTCAGACCGATTTTTGAAGAATAAGTACTCTTTTGTCGGCTTTAAAATGTCACTCTACTTTCTTTCAATTATTCATATGTTGCGAGATTCGTAATTGGGAAAAATTCCTACGCTTAAAGTAATTCAATCGCAAAGTAAAAGAGAAAGAGAGAGAGAGGGTAAAAAATCACTCACCATAATAAAGGAAAGTGGAATCTGTTGATCAACGGGTGATTCGCAACCGTATACCCCGTCCAATATCTTCGAAATGCATCTTGTTAAGCAATTCTAAAGTCGAATGAAACTTATTCGATAACATCCTTGAAGAGATTGGATATCCTATTATCCCTCTCGTTTCCTCTAACAACATTTATCAATAGCGACATCCAACTCCTCTCCCAAAAATCCTCGCGCGATTCACTTTATACGTTCACAATTTATGTTCCAGTAAGTAACAAATTAGTAGTGATTTGCATATTTACGCAATGTCAAAATCAGCATTTTCGAAAGGAAAACAAATTAAAAAGTACACGGTATGTTAGATATCGTATTAGAGAAAACGTGCACTTTATCACGGCACCACAGCGAACGAATGGTTGTGGATATACTACTATGGTGTGGTGTGTAGTCAGACAGAATCGTCCGAGAGAAAGTGAAAGAGAGACAGAGAGAGAGGCCAGTTGAACTCTTTTTGCTCGGCCAATATCTGTTACACCATCGAGCGATGACAAGAAAAAAGAGAAGCCGTCGTGTGCATGAAATGCTAGACACATTTTTCACTGTCGCACAATAGCGATCAATTAACGATGATTTGTATTTTGGACGCTTTCAATAGTTTGAAATGTCTTTTTTTTTAATATCGACTTCCGAATTTAACTGAATACATAATGAATTAATTTAGGTGGAATTTTAGTAATCGAGAGTAACAAAAAATTATACAAGGGATTTACATTTTTTGATAACAATAAAAATCTGACATTTGAGCGTAAGACTCAATTTCATCCAATAACAAAAAAGGAAAATAAATTTTACGGTAATCCAAGCTAATAAAGCTCTGTTGATAATTCTTGGGGGATGCTTATTAAGATAGTAAGATCAGTTCACGTCAATATTCACTGTAGACTTCTTTCATCAAGCCAATCTGTATTGAAAACTTTATTAAAGCTTTACAAGAAATAAAATTAATTTGCTTCTCTGTCAGAAACGACAGGATCATGTCTCATTGTGTCTCATTAATAACTAATTTTTTTTGCTAATCAGCTGTTTTATTATTTACCTTTGGAATGAAATCGTAATTAATTGATAAATTCTACTGAAAATAAGAACCAAATACATGTATGTAAATGGCTCTGTAACTTTACACCCAAGTATATGTAATGAGCTTATATAAGGTTAAAAGCAGGATGAAAACTTGAAACTTGTTCCGGTCGTAAAGCAATTTTCAGCGACACTAATGAGCTTAAAACTTTGAAGCGATTTTCCACAATAGTAACAAGCTATATCGATTTGAATTTCCACCCAAATCCCTATTCAGACATTAATCGCAAGGTCAAAAATATAAGAAGAATAAAGAAAATAAACGTATTGAATCTTGAATCAGCCATTGTAAATAATAAAGGTGATTTCTGTTTGATGAAAAGTTTCCATTTCATGTACTTAGAAATGCAGAGATTAAGAAAATGTCGTACTATTCATTATTTATATATTTGTTGATGCGATTTGATTTTGCTTGATATTATTACCAATAAAAAAGTCGAGCTAACAACCTTTGAACAAATATATTAGACGAGTTCTCAATTCAGCGCGTTAATTCAAATAATTAAGTTGCTGCTACTATTTTGAATATTCATCCTTCAAAGTTGTACGTTTATGACATACAGTCATGAAAACAGTTATATTTCTAGATAATATACTTTAACTGAGCGCCAAAAAGCGTTTCCACGTTTTAATCTTGTATGCGATTACATTCAAATTCAGCGACGTCAGCGTGAAATGGCATGGCTGTTGTCGCTGTGGTACCTATATACAACAGGGCTGAACACGAGAAAATAACGCGCACGCTGCTGTCTCAAATGGCATTCACCTGAAATTTCGAAATGCAGCTGCGAAATTTTCGATACTTCAGCTTACGACGGCAATTTTCGTATAGCGTTTACTCGAAATGTTCTATCGGAATTATTACTTGTTCGCAGTTTAATTTCAACAGTCATATACATCGCAGTTTACCGTATTAACACTTATAGCTGTTATAGTGCAAAATACGACGCTTTTATAAAACTTTTATAAAGTATTGTTCTCTTTGAAAGTTAATATTGAAAGTCCATGCGACGTAATTATGTGATAAATGTTTGATAATTGTTATTTCTAGTGAATCGATATCGCGCAGTTTTGATAATCATCCTACTCGCTCTGGTCAGCAGTTTTTGGTTCTATGCGCTGCTAACCTTCAGTGATGTTGACTTTGGTAATAGTAGTTTTACTGCATTTATAATCGACAAAAGGAAGTGAAACAATTTCCAATTTTCAAGGTGAGAACGTCATTCGCATTGCAAGACAATCGGACAGACGTGAAAGTTACCAGCAGGAATCACGGGGGGCTAATGCAATTCCAATTCGCCCAGTGAATTCCCGCGGCTCTTTCACAGCACGCGTTAAGCGCGAAGCTGCAGATGGAGAAAGAATCTCTATATTGCCTGCTATGGAGATGACAAAAAGCAGTCAGCAGATACAATTTACACCGGAACTCGGTTATTTCTACGGAACTCCCGAATCACTAGATACGCAGTCAAGTGAGTTCCCATTTTTATATTTGCAGAAGCCGTACTGTTGCGCTACTTGATGGATATTGACGCTTTCAACTTTTTATCGCGTCACGGTGACGTACGTAGCGCGCAAATTTAGATTTTATCGACAATGCATTTTCTATTTTATTCTTTTATAATTATTATTCTTCGCCCGTGTGTGTGTATGTAGTTTTCTTTCTCCTCCGCTGAGTATACCAGCACAGCTCCGTCATTTGATAATTTTCGTAAATTAATTTATTTGTAAGCGATTACGATAACAGCATTTGCCAAGTATGATTCGCGGTCATTTTTCGATATAACGAGATATTATCTCTTTCGACTTAACGAAATTATTTCATATATCGAGAATATTCAATGACATTTATTGTTGACACGAAGATCCAAAAACATTTTTCAAAACGTATTTTTCTCCGTAAGGTATATTTTTAGTTGTACATCTGGCTGTAAAATTTCGATTTTTGCGCACATGCATTACCATTATGTCGATAAATTGACTTCTTTTTAGTGTCAGATTTGGGGCAGTTTTCTCAAGTGCAACAAGTATACGCCAATGCATTTACGCCCGGATATTGGCCATTCCAATCAAACGGTCAGATAGCATGCTTCCAAAACCAAGAAAATGCATATCCTCTCTTTTATTGCACCTTTATGCCTGTGCAGCAGTCACCAATGACTTACCAATTTCCAGCAAATCCTGATTTCAGTATTATACGAAAAGAGAGTAGGGTTCCAACTGATTTTTCTTATTCACAACTCAACCCACACGTAAAACTGCACGAAGGTTGTATTATTATTTATTTTATGTTTTTACCTTTTGTATTTAAAAATTTCTCATCCCTATTTATTTCATATTTATTTGTATTATATTCATGTTTCATTTTTCAATTTCCATTTTACATATTTAAGTTTAAGTATACGTCTCACAGCTCAGTTTGAGCAAATAACAAGAAGCGCTAAAAATATTTAAATATCGATGCTTTTTTAACAAAGGCACACTCAATTTTGCGCTTTTCAGAACACAGACGGGAGTGTCCGTTAAATCATTACATTTGCAGCGACGGTTCAAAATGCATTCCCAAATTTAAATGGTGTGACAATAAAATTGATTGCCCGGACTCGAGTGACGAGAGGACGTGCTCGTGTCGAGAACGACTAGATAGCAAACGCTACTGTGATAATTATCTGGACTGTCCAAATGGCGAGGACGAGCTTGGATGCTTTGGTAATTTGATCATTATTATATTTGTTAAAATCAACTCTTTTGAAATAGATTCCTGTATGTAATTTTGAAGCTAAAAAAAATGAAACTTGTTTTTTATTTCGTTCGGATGTTAATACATTTTAATGATTAAGTTTTGATGAAGTGCTTCAAGGATATGTGCGATTTACCACTTCACCATAATGCACTAATTAGCCTTCTATCGTAGGCCAAATATACGTAGCGTAATTCTGAAGAATTTAAGCAGCTAAAGTAATCTGAAAACATGTTGCTTTAAATAAAAACCAATACCTTTTGAAAAATTCAATGGACTTATTTTTAGTCAAAACTCGCTATGCACAAAACAATCTAAAAAATCTTTTTCATCAAACCTTGGTAAATACCATTGTAGAAAATTCCCCACGTGCAGTTTGCTAATAATTCATGTGACTCGTGCAAATAAAGGATCTACATATGAAAAAAACTCAAATATCATATCCTATCTCGTAAAATTGTATGACAGCTTTTTTTAACAAAAGCTGCTTTGTCGTAGCACTTAATGTACCGGCTAATCAATAAAATTTTCTCGATGAAACCGATCTCGAGTTGTCAATCTCGCAGAAAGCGATAAGTTAAGGTTTCACACAATTTTTTCTGTTACCAAAAATAAATCAAACTTCAATCTCACTCGCGTTTCTTAACGATGCCATGTTCTATTATGTGTAACCCAACCCAAAGCTCGTACCAACACAAACGAAGTCGACGCGCGTGGGAACAAAAGGATCATCACAAATAAAGTATAAAAGTGTGCTGGGAAAATGAAACACCCTTTTCAACAAAAGTTAGTAGTATACGCTACATGTAAAATCATATATACCACGGAAAATCTCGTTTTTGTTCAAGGTTGTCCGAAGACGTCGTTCAGCTGCCATGATAGCATCGGCGGTAAACCTAGTAATTGTTTCACGCTCGAAGACTATTGCGACGGAAACAATACCTGCGTCAACTTAAAGGACGAAGAAGATTGCAGCGTTTTAACTCGATCTTACGCTGCAACTAGCTTAGGGGTATTGGAATGAAATTTTTTATTTTAAACGACCGAATAGTGACCGAGAGCTTTTCTATTTCAGCTCTTTCCAGCTGGTTCACTTTACGGATTTTTGCAGAGAAATTGGAAAGGTAGATGGTATCACGTCTGCAGCAAAGCTAATCATTGGGCTAGCGAGGCTTGTCTCGCTAAGCTTGGATTTCTAAGGTCCCTATTTCATTTAAAATTGATGAGTATTCTACGTAATACGAGCCAACTCAACAAATTCAATTAAAATTCATATTTTCGAAAGAACGAGATTGACAGCGAAACAAAATATTTTCTTGTATGGATTCTTTCGTCAAGTATCTGATTTTCCCCATTACATTAATTGTGAGCATCACAAGCGGGTAACGTAAGCTGAAAGAAGCCGTGTTCGATAATTGACCGTAACTAAAAGTTTTAATATTATCTCCGCTACCAAAGCGTTTACTAACACGTGACACTTGATTGAAACTGAGACTATTCAATATTTAAATTTGATTCCGCACCTTCTTTGGCGAACAAAAGATCAAATTATTCAAATGTTCATTTAAAAAACACCGATACTCAAGGATTTCTCTTGAAATTTCAGCCGCCAACCCGAGCAAGAAATGGTAGACGCATCAAATCACCAAGATTTCGGTCCTTTTTTGCTACAAGATGGCCGGATAATTCAGGAATGTCCTAAAGAAATATTATTCGTGCGCTGTCCAGATGCCGGTCGTGTGAATAATTCCAGAAGCAGGGACGATCAAACGACAACAAGCGACGACCGTTCGCTGCAGGCGTTAAACTCAAGTAACTCGGATAATCCGCTCGTGAGCATCGTAGGTGGTCGACCATCGAGAGCAGGCGCTTGGCCGTTCATTGTGGCAATCAATAAAAACGGCTGGTTCCATTGTGGCGGCGCCGTCGTCAACCCATATTGGATACTCAGCGCTGCCCACTGCTTCTCTGGGTGAGTGCGTATGCGAGTGGCGAGGCTTTTGTCCACGAGAGCAAAAGCTGCTTTATTTTTTCTTCTTTTTTATTCTCGAACTCCCAGTGATTTTGATCACGTGGCGCTTCAATGCAATGGGGAGCATTTTAAGGTCTCGATAAATTTTATTAAATCGTCATTGAATGCCGCTAAGCTTGTGGTAGAGTGTTAAAATGTGTTTTCATCGATGGTTGATGGATACTTAAATTTAATTAATGATCAATAACGTTATAGACATTTACGTGGACGTAGTTCTTAAAGTCATAATAACAATAATGGACCTCATATAATATTACGACAAGCTCGATGAAAAAACAATCTGTCGAAGGCGAAAGATCACATCTAGTTGTTTATGCTTTAGCTAATATTCAAAGAATTGAATTGGATTTAATACTTCGGCAAATGATTTATCCCTCGAGCTTTTCCAGTTACGACATCCGCATTGTCTGTCTTTCTTGATAAAAAGCTCAAAAGAAATCAAGTAGAATAAGTCCCATACCTCAGTTAAATAATGATCGGATGATATCTCATTTCTACAAACTAAAACATTGCAAAGACAACGTTTTTAATTTTAATTCTGCCAAGCGGTATTAACATTTTAAATTAATGAAAGAAAACTTTCATAAACTTTTTATAATTTTTGTGCTATCTTACTTCTACAAACTATAGAGCTACGAATAAAAGCTTATAATTTTGATTTGTAGTATTTCACACTCGCATATATTTTTAAGTACTCTCACCAATCGTCTCAGACATTCTAATAATTTTTCATGCAGTGCCCAGCACAGCTACTTTGAGATTGAAGCAGGTTCGCTACGCCGTCATTCTTTTTCACCAGCACGTCAAATTCGTCGTGTGACCCAAGTAATTATACATCAGCATTTCAACTCGCAACTTTTAATTTACGACGTCGCTCTTGTAAGACTGAATGAACCACTGGATTTTAATGAATGGGTTAGTTCCGTGAATTTGCCCGCATCCGTCAGTTTCAGTGGCTGGAATATGGAACCAAGCCCTGGTGCCAGTTGCGTTGCTCTGGGATGGGGTGCTCTCGTGGAAGGCGGACCCGACCGTAAGGAAACTTTCTATCTTTTATATCCTATAAATGAGTGTTACATGGAAATTTCCAACGTACAGTTCACCGCGCGCAGGTTGCTGATATGAAACAATGCATTCGAACGAAAAAAAAAAGATTCATGTATTCTTAAACAGAAAGATATTTTTCAAAGTTGTCGACGATCAATTTGACGTATGTTATTCTCTTTCGCAGCTGATCATTTGCAAGAAGTTGAAGTGCCAATAGTCCCGTGCAAACATTTTCCAGACAGAAATGCTGCGGAAATCTGCGCAGGCTATAAACTGGGAGGTCGTGATGCATGTCAAGGAGACAGCGGGGGACCTCTGATGTGCAGGTTTATAAAATTTATAGTAATTGATACTTAGAAAACATCGCATATAACTTCTGTTTTTTTCCTTTTTACGCAGAGATTCTAATTTGGAGTGGTATATTGGTGGTGTAGTCAGCCATGGCATTGGTTGCGCCAGAGTAAACGAACCAGGAGCTTATACAAAAGTTTCTTATTTCGTCGACTGGATCAACGACATTATAAGTGAGTAAAATTAATTTCATTCAATAAAAATTTTTAGATAATTAATTGGGTGTCAAATGTTACATATAGTCATCACTCTACCTGGCACACAATTTATTGATACATCCTTTACAGTCATGCTAATCATGGCTAACATGGTTCAAGATCATTCAATTTTCCACGATTCTAAGCATTCTGTGACTTTCGAAACCATATCTATTTTACGATCATATCTATTTTAACCGTATCTATTTTAAGGCGAATTTTATCACGTTTTGTTATCCTTATTATTATTAGTTCGATTATCATTTTTCTCAAATAAACTTATTTTACAGATGATCGTACAAAACTATCTACTGCTTTTCATCCGTCCGACAAATGTCCGGGATTCGTCTGCCATCCGCCATTCAATAGATGCATCCCAGGAAAAAAGCAATGCGACGGAATTGTCGACTGCCTCGAGGCTGAAGATGAAAGAAACTGTCCTCGGTCTATGACCCAAAGTGCAACTCACTTCCTCAAAGGACTTTTTACGCACCACAAACGAGAAGTCGAGCAAGAGAGGTCGGAAGTTTGATTGAGTGGTTTCGAAAGTTACAGAATGCTTAGAATCGTGGAAAATTGAATTAGATCTTGAACCATGTGATCTGTGCTACTTTATAAATTGTTCCTGAAGACGAACTTGAACTTTTGAGCTTGAAAAATATCTGCAACCGTATTTTACGTTGTTTTCTCATGTAAGTTATTGATAACTTAAAGGTCAAGGTGATACGAGATCAGATTCTCGGGTCGGATGTTGTCACCATCATTTTTCGAAAATCATTTACAATCGCCATCACTTACAACAATAAATATCAGACATCTCGCGTATCACTGTATCTATTTTAAGACGAATTTTATTACGTTTTGTTATCCTTATCATCATGGTATAATCAAAGTTTAATGAAAAATGAGTTTCGGTTTTGTTAGAGGATTTAACCTGTTTTTTTATTTTTTATGGGGTGTTAATATTAAGGTTGCCTTTCTATGATGAATTGTTTTCGAATTAATTATGGATTCTCTTTGTTATATTTATTAAATATTTCATATATTAAATAAGTATTCGAGCGATACTAAGAAATATAATTATTAATTATACTCGTAGTTGTTCCAACTACAACATCCTTCCTGTAATAATACTATTATATAGTATTAAATAAAAAAAAATGCCGACTTAAAAATTTTTGCAATTACTCATAATGTAATGTTCAAATCAATTCAGTAAGGAAACGGCACTGTCTAGGAAGCGTACTTTTTCAAATAGTTTACTCCCTTTGAAATCGCTTGAATCGTTCTAGAGATATGCGCGGAATAGCAATAGGAAAATTTCAGGCTGAATAAGAAATTCCTTCTATTCCTAAAATGCAAAAATAAATTTGGTCATTTCGTAAATTTTAATTAATATTTCGAAAATAATATTTCTACGATAGTTTTTTATATGATATCAGTATAAATTAATGTAACAAATTTGCTTCAGATAAATTAAAAATTGATCTTATTTAATATGAAATAATTGCGGAATAAAATACTCATTTATATCCTACCATCACCTCTACTAGGAATCTTATAGACGTGCTGCCATCTGCGTCACATTAACGGTCTGTAGAGGAACTATAAAAACTGAAAGAATGTTTTGCCAACTGTCAATAAAAAATCATAAACTTCAAAAATTGTTTTAGATTCTTTACAATCATAGCAAATAGTATTTTCACGTAATCAAAATAACTGAAAATTCATGCTTTTGTTGGAATAATCTTGAATTTTATTGGCATAAAAATAAAAGTGAACACTCTGTACTGCGTTTTTGAGTAAATTTTAGGTATTTTTTATGTGATTTCTCTCAATTTCATATTATACGTATAAGAAACTTAACATATGGAATTGCGATCAAATTTGTATTTGTACTCCATATAAAAAAAATTAATTAGAATGATCGTATATTTAAATTGTAATGCAACTCACTTCAATAATACAAAAAATGTTGAATATTCTAAAGTACAGTCTCAAATTCATAGTTAAAAATAACAACTTTAATCCTGAAATTGTAAAACAGTAATTTTGTTAAACGTTTGCTAGAGGTGCTGCCATCTAAGCAGCATTGTGCCACCGCAGGAAGACAGTTCAGTATCGTTTGAAGCTTTGCCGACCGCCAGCAATAATATAATTAACGTAATTTTCTCTCAAACCATTCGCACAAAGTAAAAAACGCGTAAATAAGTCGAAAGCTCACTTATCCTATTACGTCCATACAAATGCACGAGTAGTTTTTGAATTCATGGAAACTCATTGTAGGATTCAAGATAATCGTATTTAAAAAATTTAGAATCTCACAACACACCAAAAATGAGAAAAAAGAAAGTCATCGTAAGCAATTCAGTAGGGCATTTGCGAAATGATGAACGATTCTGCGAATAAGTGACAAGCTCGAAAATAAAAGAAGTAGTCACAACTTGCATCTGCCCACGACATAAAACTCAGCTAAAACATACACATAGCCGCAAGAGTCTGTCAAGCGAGATGTCAAAAGTCCGTAAATCCCATCTCTCTCTCTCGCTGCGCCATGCGGCAACATAAGGAAAGCGCGCGTTCGTCTGACGGTCGCGTACGTTGCTCTCTCCCTCTTGGCGAATTAGTACGCAGAGAATGTGAATGGCTTGGCTGAGTATTATGGAGGAAGGCAGGCAGGCAGGCAGGCGCAGCCGTTCGCCTTCAACGGCAGCGACCCCATTCGCTACATTCCTTCTCCTCTCTTTCTCGCTCCCTCCACCTCCTCCTCGGCTCACGCTCGCTCGCCTACCTTTTGCCTTTTCCATCCTCGCGCGTCGCTTCTTCTTCCTGATGATGCCCGCTGAATAATATCGCCGCGCGCGCCTCGCAATCAATGAGCCTCGCGTCGACCGATCGCCATATCGTTTTATTTCCCTAACTGTACGTTTGTCCATATGTAATTGCTATGAAATAGCATGCGTAAGAATTCTCTGCGAAGAATATCCGTTATATAGCACGTGACACACGTTTAGCGTGCGCGCACTATTGCGAAAACCAAAGGGAATAACTCTGATTCACGACTCTTTCTCGTTCTCTGCTTCGTGATTGAAATAGCGCAGCAATGCTGCAGGGATGAATGTGCACCTAGCACATATTCGTGTCTCTGTAATTGCACCGTGATCGGATCAGCATAATTGCGCCCTCTCTTCTTCTATACCTTTTCCGTTATCGATGCCTATTTCACAGCATTTTAAACGGAACCGTTCGATCTGATGTACCTACTGTTCCCAGCTTCTGCCATGACTAAGAAGAACTTTCATTACGTTATAACCACACCCATCGGAATATTCAATTTTCAATTCAATAAACAGCACAGTTAACCAATCGTCGTGTACCATTGCAGCGGCTGTTGTAATTTCTCTTTCTTTTCTTCCTCCCTGTTTATAGTCACAAATGCTCTTTCCGGATTTCTTTATGATGGATCTTAGACTGAAATCACCTCGCGATCATCAAAATAAAAGACGGTATAACTATCTACTCGAGGAACGAACCAATTTCACGATACTGTCAATCGCACCATCCTTTGTGACCGAGTCAATTACATAAACCGGAAACGAGGAGATATTATCCGCGTAAAACTGACAACGTCGTCGTCGTGACCTTTCCTGTGGTGAATTTAATGCAAGCGTGCGCGAGCGGCTCTTTTGTAAATACAACGAGCCACGTTGTTAATCGTTTGAAGCAACATGTCGCAAAGGATTTATCCTGTCGCGGAGAAAACCTTGAAAAAACAGAGAGCGAAGCGTACACATCTTGCTACAACGAAGTTGTGTACGTATATGCATTGCACCCTCGCAACGTGAAGCAGGAGGCGGCGCGCAATATACAAGCTAACCATCGTATAAGCTTGCGCCAGTGAATTGCTCAACGCGCAGCGCGGCATTATTATACTTTTATTTAGTCAATTACGTGCGGAATTGTCGTTGCCGAGAGAAAATTGTTGCTTCTGCCGTCGCATGAATCAAAGCTTTGATGCACATTTCGTCACACAGATTCTCGCTGTAAATATAAATATTAAAAGAAAAAAGTTAATTCTCGCAATTTTATATAGCTAAACCTCGATACTAATCTCAAACTCATTTTTATTTCTTATGCCGACCACCGAGCATGCTGCTGGGCATATAATACACACCCAGCGATTCATCAGAACTCGAGTTGTCTCGACGCCGTGCAACGCTATACATAATAATAGGGACGGTCCGCGCGCTGTAAAAACAGCTTGAGGATCTGAACTGCGATTTTCGTTATTAATATTGTATATATACAATGATCTCTTTTTGCTATATATATAGGCATTCCGGGGCTTTGCTGCAGTGTCGGCTCTAAACAGATCGTACACGCCCTGTGATTATGCAATTGGCGCCGCGCAGGACAAGTACCGTTCGTTTAAACCATCCTTCGAGGTGAGCGAGAGAAGAGAGAAAGATTGGCTTGAAATAGATCGGCGAAATGTGTATTAAAAGTGTATGAAGTGGAGGTATATACTGAATAGACAGTATTTTTTTGAGCATTAGCTTATCGGATTTTTTTTTTTTTACTCTCGATGATGCATATACGAGTGAACGTATCGTAACGGTTCCTATTTTTAATAAACCTCATGCAAATGAGGTAAAGGTTTTTGAAAAGAAGTGAATACATCTTCGAATAATCACGAAAAGAAGAATCGGTTGTTGAAGCTGTAAACTATGTTGCGCGACGAGAGCAAGGCGGATGCCGATGTATGCGAAGCGAGAAACAGAGCGAATGACGAAGAGGCGAGGAGAAAGCACCTGCATCGCTACTGCTGCATGCTGCCGCCGTCAGGAATGTGTGAAGTTCCGTTGCATATTACGTGTGTGCAGCCGCACACGAGACCGAGCATCGATGAGAGAGAATTGAAGGAACGTGAAATGAGAAGAAAAAACGACTGTTAGCTCCCACTGGTTTTTAACGCCCTTTTTTTGCTGACATGCGCGACTTAACATTTTTGCGAGGCCCAGGAATTCCTTGTATTTTCAGATTTTATTTTAGTATTCGGATCTCTTTTTTCTGCTTCTTTTTTCTTAACTGCAATATCGAGAGACTGAGTGAGGTATGTGCGTACGCGCTTTGTTTGAATACTCGAAACTATGTTTGCGTACTAGGATGACGACAAATATTTTATTTATGTTTATTAGAATGTTACGAACGTTTTTACCGTAGAAGTTATCTGATTTTTCTTTAATTTACGGGTATTGTTGATCAACAGGTTTTCTATCCCTATTGAAATAAAATTTCCAAGTGAGAGAAGTTACGTTAGCGTATAGATTATCGCTTGAAAATCTTCACGACTTGGAGTACAGATGCTTAACAGCGATACTTTTTAGAACAATTTTACGACTCTCGCCAATTTAATGACTTTAGAATCAGATTCTACGATCGATGTGTATAAATGTTGCGAAACTTTCATTTACTTTCCGTCTCTTTAGGATTTTCGGAAACACTGTAAAATATTACGTATACATTGCAATTTCAAAAAGAGTTCTTCAAATTAATTTTTAAAATAACGATGTCTTCAATATATTTTTTCAATCTGTCGTAATCTTTTCCTTGCAAAAATAAATATCAATAAATGTATACCTACATAAAAATATAATAATTTTTCAACGCCGAAACTAATTATTTATATGCAACTCGAAACAAATTTTCGTAAAGAAATCAAGTGGTAGAGTATGCCGCAGTAACCTTGTTCCGTCTTATCATAATAAGCTGATGAAAGTAGTATATAACATTAATTTTCTTTCATTATGTAATTTAACGACAACATGACGAAAAATTACATGCTCCGCGAGGCCTCGTTTTTTTTTTTTTTTTTTCGCAAAGCCACGAAAACCACGCTCGTACTGATTACCATTCGCGTTGTTGACGCTGACAAGTGGCAAAACGTGTCCCTCGCTCAACGGTTTTCATTCTTTGCTTACTTTGATAATGACATCCTACCGTCAGCTGGATTCGCGATCTCTCACCTACTTATCTTTAACGACGAAACTCAATTGTTCTTGACCAACTTGACACACTTAAATTTTCTTTTCTTTTACGACGAAAACAAATCAATCTGCCCAAGAATAGATAATTATTCACATTGGAATCTAATTGAAGTAGAAGAATAGCAGACGGATCAAATAACAAAGTTAGTTACAGGATAAAAGCACACAGCTTTCAGATTAGAATGTTTGTCTAGATAAGATATAATGCAGTAAAGAGTTATGTATACACATGTACTAGACATTTTATTAATAAGCTTCCCATGATAAAAGCAATATTTGTTTGAAAAAAGGAGAATATATATATAATTTCTCTAATCTTGTCCCATTTCAAAAATTAATATCTCGCAGACGTGACACTCAATCAAAGACATCAATGAGATTCAAAGTAGAGAAAAGTCCAAGTCACTCGACAACTCGTAAATACTATAGCAGTAATGTTGTCAGCGATAGTCAAGCACCTCTAATTCGCCCAGCACATACTATAAGCGGGAACAGCTCGAAGTCGAAGCACGATCGAGCTTTGCGTTATACGCAAAGTGTCCGTGCGCAAAACAAGCTATGCTCAGCTGGCTGGCCGCGGCGGAGTGTCGTCGTCCCGTTAGTCGCGACTCTCTCTCTCTCTCCTCTGCGTGCTCGGCTTTGACGGCTTGGCGCATAACTTACACTCCTGGGCCTCTTGCAGAGAATTCCAATTAACCGGACGACTACGGCGACGATGATGATGGATACGTCGAACGTCCAGCCAATTTTTTTTACAAAAATTGAATCCTAAATGCTTGACGTTCATAGACAATTGTAGAAATTTCTGCAAAGTCACGCGTGCATCGTGACTCTGCAAATCGCGACACTGCTCAGCGTGTGAAAAGTAATTGGCACTGGGTGCACTTAACACAAATCGAGAATGATGTATAAATCACAGTGATTAAACAAATATTGGACGATCTCCGTCCAAAAAAATCTCGTGAGTTTTCAGCCGCTTTTCCTAGCGGACATATAACCAGGTAAAGAAAAAGAAGGTAACGAAGAATACATCTCGCCGTGAATCACGATGTAATGACCCATCCGGTTTTAAAAGCAAACGGTGCGGCGCGCAAGGCCTTTTGTAGGCCAAGATCCCTCCTTTTTTTAATGCAACATACAAGCAAAGCGTTATCGCCCGAAAAAAAGCATAAGCGGACGTAACATATATAACCACCTGCGAAAGTATGAGAAGGCCGATGACCCCTTACGCAGTCCAAATTTATATCCTACCGCTAGGAATTGGTCGGTATGCAGACGAGTTGATTTTTTTCTCTCTGGAGGGGGAGGAAACGTTGAATGGTGATCAATGTGTGGATCATGTTTTTTTTTTCAAATTGGCGCCATTTCTTCCTGACTTTCACGATGGATAATTGATTTTGTTGGCGTGCAAAGTGTGGCAGATTGAGACTTGTCGATTCCGTACGGTGTCTGTGCGTCATTTTTTTCTTCTTCCCTTTTTTCCCTTTCCGTTAGGGCACGATGGTCTTTTCTGTATGAATACCGGTACTTGATGGATAAACTGAGTGTATCTATATCTACATTATTACCTTTATGTAGACTATTATTATGATATAAATAGAAAAAAAAATCTGTTGAATATAGATTTCATAAAAACTTTATTTTAAAGCTTAAGAACTACAGATATGAAACTCAAAGATCCAGTAAATGTATTCTTTCATTTAACTGTGTAATGTATTTAAAAGTTACATACTTTTTTCGATGAAAATTAGCTATACTGTCACGTAGTGCCATTCAATTGATATCTATCTGTTCAGTTCAATTTTTCTGAATGATCTGAAGTAGACTCAGCAATGAGCGGAAAAACAATTTCAAACTAAACATCATGAAATTGTAGTTTCTTTTATGTTGATTTTGAAATTTCTCTCCGGTTCTGTTTATTCTCTGCTCATAAATATGCAAAAAGCAGATGCTTCATACGGGTATATTATTACAAAACAATCAAAAATTTTCATTACTTTCACTCGTTATGTGTATATGATCATCTTTTGATATCCATAGTGTTCCAACTAATAATTTTCAATTAATAGTAGGAGTTAATAGTTGGATAAAAAATGAAGCACCGAAAAATCGCGTTTCTCATCTCCGTGATTTCTTTAGAGACTTTACGGTAATAATACTTTTCTAAAGTAAAAATAAAGAAACGCAGTCTCGCAATTTCCTGCACGTCTCAAGGTGGTACTCCATACAGTCGCAGCGTAGTTAAACACTTCCATAAAGAAAAAAGGCTTTCAATTATTTTGTAAGCTAACGAGGCGTGCAAGTCATTTATCTCTCGATGGTAGCATCACACTCTTATATATATATGTGTTGTTCTTACATCAATACTTGCACAAACATTCACACATATTCTTGCTACTCTTGCGAGAAAGCCAATTTTTAACTGCGACGGCAGTGACCGTTGCGTCACGAATACGCACAGTCGCGCGCGTCCATAATATGCCTACGCTCACTTCGATCGGCGAATATAAAAGCCAATAGGAATTCTCGTGGGTTCACAGCATAGAGCAATGTTCTCTCTGCAAATGGAAAATAGTTATGCTTTCTTATGTATTTTTTATCCCTGAATCAGTTTTTTTTTCACTGGGCTATTGTTGATGTTTGTTATTGGGTACAAAATGTATTTGCACGGACTAATATACCATAGCTTGACTACAGGACATATTTAATTTCCATTCTCTTTTATTTTAAGATACGTCTAACTACAATAATAATACACTTTTTTCTGACATTATTCTAACGTAACTTCTTACTTAGTCGTATATATCTTAAGGTAAACGATTTAATAAATGATAAAGCGAACATTATTAAACGGCATGCAGCAAAATACGCTGTGTACATTGCAGCTAAAATGCATATCATTATGAAAGCATAAACATCAAACAATTCAATTTGCCACCATTTGTAATTTAACGAACGAGATCGAAGAGCATCTTTTCCATGACGTATTACATATTCTATCCAGTATGTTGCCTCCTCCTTTGGACTTACCAGACGGTCTTTATACACTTTAGATATTCGTTTTGCGGCATGTCTGATAAACATATGAAATTAATACAAATAAAACAAAATTTCTCGTTTAAAACTATTCAAAAAAAGAACTTACTTGTAAGATGGGTTATGCAATAATTCGTCAATTACACGATGATACTCTTCTTGAGGAGCATTGAACATGATAAATTTTTGTCCGAAACCTTTTTCAGAAGTAATATCACAGTTAATATGTTGATCAGCGAAAAGTGGAACACAAATAGTAGGCACACCATAATAAACGGACTCTTGAGTACCTAATCCTCCTCCATGCGAAATAAAACCTCGAATTTTCGGATGTTCTAAAATGAAAAGATATTATAACCATGGTTCGGAATCTTAGATTTCAAATAAAATATACTGATACTGACGCAATATTTTCCGCTGTGGTAACCAGAAAAATGTATGTACATTATCCGGTAGATTTTTCGGTAGAGCTTTAGGATTTTGCGACTTCATGATTATCTGAATAGGTGATATTCTTCGAAAAGCAACAAATAATTGTGCAAGTGCTTCCGGTGGTAGAGATTCAATTTTCGTAATAGTTCCAAATGAAAAATATATGAAACCATGTTCACTGTCATCCATTATCTTTGCTAACTTCTGTTGAAAAATAATGACTTTGATATGTATTAAATGTCTGTGCATATAAATGTTTATAAATACGCTGTCTGTCACAAAGATAACAAGGTGATTTTCCATACCGGATCAATTGTTGAATTATCATCTTCAATGTGGATTCCGCCTATCTGAATTAAAGCAGGAACCTTCGGTAAAACTCCGTGAAGACTGTGATGTGAATTGCTCAATAACAGTGATACACTTCTTTCTAATTCGGAATAATGAGGTGTGTTCGTACCTAAATATTTTTTCATTATCGCATCTTGTTTATAAGCTTCAGAGTAAAATTCGTAAATTGCATAATGCGTCATGATGAAATTGTATAGTCTGTCCCAGAAATTCATTTTTTCTTTGTCAACACGAAGATTGCTTGATGACATGGCCAAATTTAATGGATTCCCAATGTAACGATGATTATATGGATATAAAAATGTCGTTGCGACTCCAACGACTGGAACGTTCCATTTGTGTCCAATAGCTGTAAGACATTGATACCCGCTGACAAACTGAGGGAGAATGTCAAGGTGGTCAATAGTTTAGCATTTTTTTCAACATCTCTTTTTTAATTTTGACTTTTTTTAAATATTTATTTGCACAATGTAAATAACTAATTGCACTCGGTAAATTTGAGTACTTCTTTATAATTATTTAAATTGTATGAAATTTCTTATTATATATGTTTGAAAGTGCTTACTTGAATTAAAAGCAGATCGTAGGGTGGATCGGTCGGTGGGTGGTCGATGATTCGTGTTATTTCCGGATTTTCAAGTGTATCGATACAATACTTTCTTTTCCAAATATGCAGAGACTTGAAATTCTTTTTGCGCGTCGAAAAGTTTTCATATTCGTGATTTGACGAGAGATTGAGTGGTGGTAATTTCACAATTTCGTTGTAGTTTGGAAATGGTTGTTTTAATGGGAAATGACTAATAACGTCTACTTGATGTCCCTTTTCTGCAAGTGCCTTGAACAATGGTTCTAAGACATTGAAATGACTTCTACCTTCCACAGGCGCAAGCGCTAAAATTCTATAAGATTTGCAAGATCGTAATAGTAGCAGTAAAAAGAAAATTGATAATATACGATTTAAAAGCATTCTTATTATTTGATACGTTTTTACTACGAAATTTACTAATTTTATTGGAATTTTTCAACTGATTTATCATCTGATCGCGGTGACGCGGAAAATTTTTTCGGAATAATAAAATCGCCATCCGCCTGCAACCAAACTGCTAAGAACTCTATTCAATTCATGTATACTCGTATATTTATATGTCTACAAATACATTCTTAATACGATTATCTCTTATCAGCTAGTCGTTTAGTTTGTATTCAAAGATTGAATGCATCGTTATCTTCAATATCTGCAAATTTGATCCATTGTACTGATAAAAATTTCCTCTTACATCCTATCAGTCAGAGATATTTTATTCCAATATCGACTTACACAATCCCAAACGAACTATATCCAAAAAAGTTTTCCACCTTGCTTATAATGCAATAAATTAATTGAGGCCATTTTAATCAAGTTCGTTTTGAACATTTCTAATAAAACAATTCACTTAAAAAATTGCAAAATTATGTAAATAAATTATTTCACTGAAAACTTACTAATATCTTCAATAAACATTTGTTATCAAACGAGTATCAGAATTGGTAGTCTAGCTATTGAAGGAACTTTGTTAGTCATGCAACTGCATTTTCTGGTAGTGCTATTTGAAAACGCGCAATTCTTAGTTTTAAGCGAAACGAAAAAATATAAGCTTAATATTTCCCTGTATTTAGATAAAATACATAGAAATTATTATTATCCCTTAGAATATGTTATTTCAATTTGATACGAAAATGCTTTTCGGTAGCTAATAATCTTCTTCCGATCTATCTACATTTTTAAATGTTCGTGTAACCGTTATCGTACGTACAAATAACTGAAATTCAATTCACAGGCAATAATACAACCCTCGTAAATTAATCAGAACAAAAGAGTTTGATCGTTTTTTCGCACGAGACACTTTGCAGCGAGTCTCACGTGCTGTTTTGCGAGCAGCTATGGGTATCGCGCGTAAAAAATCATTGCACTCGGTCGGCGTGCAGGATTTTCCAGTTTGCCGAGCAGTCTAAGGACGAGAGTAGGATGGCTGTTGGGTTGAACGCCTCTAGGCACTAGTATACAGTGTGCAGCGGACTTCACCCATACCATACACCACGGTATATTACTGATAACAGAGGAGGTAAAGTACACCTACGATATATACAGTCTTGCCTCGTTAAAGTGTACATATCAGCTGCGTCAAAACGACGTTGTAATTTTTATATTCCTCGGCAGATTTAACGCGCGAAACTATAAAGGGGGAGGAAGCTCCGCGCGTGTGTAATGATTATATGGACGTTGCTGCTTTTGCGGGATCTCGATGGCTCTCAAGCTCGAGATTTTTTTTTCTTTTTGAAATTGGGTTGACCGTCCCCTGATGAATTTGAGTTTATTGCTGTACAAGCAGATGGTATTTCATCTTGAGCCTTGTAGGCGTTGTTAAACGCCCGTCGAGATTATGAATGAAATTACAGGATGTGCAACCTATGCGATATACATAAATATATAATTGGGAATCAAGTTGTTTCAACTTTTAAAGTTAAAAAAGTAATTCTACAATTTAATCAGTGGCTCTCGCATTTGCGGAAGTTATTGCAATGATGTTTTAATGCCTTGTCATTAACGTATATTAATTCTCGCTCTTGATAACACGCGTACGCTGACACATATTATTATAATCTGAAAACCGTAACGAGAAATGAAAAGCAACAAAGGAAACTAAAAATGTTCCGTGTTTGATGATTACAGTACAGCACCAACGCCATTTCAGAGAAGTTTCCGAGTGGAGTGAAACACGAAAAAAGCATTTTCCGTAACGGTCGTATGTTGTTGTACATAGCGTCTCGTGTCATCGGTATCAAGTAGAAAAGGAAAGAAAAAGGTTTATCTTTTTTAGTTAATGAATATCAAGTAAGCTAGTAGCTCTTTTTGCTAATAGTAGCTAAGGTAGCAGCAGTAGTATTGATATAATACTATAATTATAAGTCAACTCTCACCGAAAAATTGGTCTTTGCACAATCTACGCATATACGAGACGCACGAGCGATATCGCGCAGAACACGATAGTCACGACCTACTGGATGCGAAAGTACTCGGACAGATTATTTTGACTTTTTTCCCGTTAGAGATAGGAAAGTAAGGTCAATTTTTGTTAAACGATGAGAAAATTTTTACTAAATGAAACTGAAAAGAGTACCGATAATTGTATACTTTCCGAACGAAATGGCAAGACAATTGATTCATTGTGTAGGTCTATTGAAAAAAATTATCAATTTTCGATTCGCCATTGGTGAGTTTGCCGGAGACGCGATGGTGCCGCGTTATAAAAGAATGATGACAGAGCTTGGAATTTAATGGATCGTCAAATGACTCGCGCTTGTCCAAGCATTCAATTCACTTTGTAAGATAATTCTTGGCAACAAACGTTTGAAGTGTAACTATGTTGTGGTACTGTCATCTGCAATCCTAAGACGAAAATGGTACTACAAGTAACATTGAATAGATTACTCTCAAATTTCTCATCAAATATTATGTACTAATAATAAGATCGATAATTATACATTTATATAAAAATTTTATTCGTTATATAAAAATACAGGGAGGTGACTCTGTGGCCCAAAATAAGCAAAAAGTCTTTCTTTACATTGAACGAACTCTGCATCATTAAAAAAAGGTTTTAGTGCTAAGGCAAAATGACTCATGTCCCTCAGAATATTCCACCCAATCTCATGTGCAGTTTCGTGCACGATGCAAAAGAAAATAAGAAAAAATTGATTAGCGTTAAGCAATCCCAAATAAAAAAAATGTAAAACCCAAGAAAAAATAAATCAGACCACGAAGAAGAGGCGAAGTAAGAGGAAAACAACAAAAGAATCCTCTATCTCGCTCTAAAAAACGAGAAAAAACAAAGACGTTTCGGCTGCGTCATGAGGTAGGTACCACGCGTGTGTGCATCTCTCTCGACATACTGTCCGCGCGAGGGCATAAGTCGCGCAGAGTCACTGCTCCCCACACACGCATGTCGAGAGAGAAGTCGTCTCATGGCCTACTGTCCGTACGCACGAAGCATGGGCGAAAGAGAAAGAGAAGGAAAATGTACGTACGTATATACACGCGGCGCCGCCGCACGAGAGAGAAGCCAGCAGGTACAACGTTGGCTGCGGCTCTGGCCGTTCACCAACGTCTCAAATGCTGCTGCTGCTGCTGCTGCTGCCAGAGTGGCGCTCTCCACTTTTGCCTCCTCCTCGGCCAGCAGATGGTTGAATAACCAAGCACGCCGTTTTTCTCCTTTATTATTCACTTTTAGGCATGCACATGTTGCGCAACGTAGTTTTCTTTTTGAACATCGATCGAAGCGTTTCGGAAGCATAAATCTACTTTGAGATATTTACGCAGGTGGGCGACTAGAGTAGGGGGAGCGGGGGAGCCGACGTGTATCTTCTATAAAAAGTCAAGTCCCATTGAAAAGCCTTGGACCACGACTGCATAATCCAATAAGCGGGCAAAATCAATCTCTCGGAAAGAAGGGAAGTCCTCGGTCAGTGGAGGCAAAGCTTAACGGCCGTATGTGCGCGCGCGTGTGTGTGTGTGTCTCGGGGAACAGGTATACACGTAGCCAGACAAACTCGCGTGAGAGAAGGAGCGAGAGGGAGAGCTGTGTAGGATAGGTTGCCGTATAGCCACCGCCGCCTCGCCTGAAGTCCCTCGAGAATCTCTCTCTCTCTCTCTCCCCTCTCACTGGCGCGCCGCCGCGGCCTGTGGTTGTTGGAACCAACTCACGGTTGGGGCCCAAGCGTCTCAGCTTAGTCTCGAAGGCGGCGGGCCGGAGGTAAGGCTGCGACTCCTTTTTGAACGGGAGGGCCCACATCGAGAAAAAAGTGTGCGTGTATATCAAGACCTGTGTATATATATATATGTGTGTATATATATGGATTGTTAACGAAATAACGGCCCTCTGCCAGTAGTCAAAAAATACAGGGACGAGTGAAGGAATAATTGTTTGTCTCGCACCAGTGATTATTAAGTCCATATGCCGCTGCTGCTTACAAAAAAGTGAGTTTTATGAAGTTGCTTAGAAATAAAGGAGATAACAATGCTGAACGTACCGATTGAAAGGATGAACGCCGCGTGCTGCACACCTGCTCGTTCGACGCGCGCGCGCGCGTTCGTTCGCACCCGCCTTCGTCCTCGCCCTCTGCTGCATTTTCAATTATACATACGCCACGCGCGAGACACTATGAAATAAAATAAGATCGGCAAGACAGCGCGGGGATATAATTAACCTGCGGCAAAAACGAGTTTCGAGCCGGGGCGAGCACGTTTTATTTTACTTTTTTCTATTCCTAGCGCGCGGGGGAGAGAATATTTCGCTGCGATTGGAGATCCATAAACGCAAAACAACCAAAGAGAGATAAAAACGATGCGAGAAGAGAGAGAGAGAGAGAGAGAGAGAGAGAGAGTGAGGGAGGGAGAGGGAGGGAGGAGGAACCTTGAATCCTTGCGGCGCTCGCACTCATGGATATTGTACCTCTCTCCCAGTTTTGCGATCGTTTGGAATGCGGTAAATATCGATATGATACGTGTTTGCTATTTAAATAACCATCGAGCTTTTGCTAATTTCCGTATTCTAGTGTATAATGGTTCCTCTTTGAGAAGCATTAGAAAACTTACGTAGCTACACGGTGACTTTATTGGAAGGGGCGGGGAGGGGGGGGGGGGGTTGCGACAAAAAGTACAAGCACGAGAAGCTACTACTGCTTACTACGGGAATGAATTACCGTTCGAAGAACGAGGGTATTTCCGTGGGCTCACTCGCGCGCGCTTTAGAGAAAAGCACACGGCAAAACCGGTCCTTATGGTCTCTCTCTCTCGATTTCCAATGACGACGTTGACCGTCGTTCTTTCGCGTATATAGATATATATGTGTGTGTGTATAATATAAAAGTGTCTTTACGCCGTCTTATCGCCTTAACGGTTTATCGCGCTTTTTTATCGTTAAATAACCCAGCGACAGCTTAGTTCTTTTGTCATTACCTATCGTTAAGCCTACTCGAGCCTTTGCATTTTGGAAGAAGTAGAAATCGGAAGTCATTAAAAAACAATGTAGGACTGTGATTGGTCATCCTTTAAGATATATACACTGCGCAATGTTTGCGTTGAGCGCGTGAGAGAGAAAGTCCATTAAAACTTACTTTCCACCGTAGGAAAAGCCCAGCGTGAAAAACTACGTGCTTTTCTTTCAGGGACGAGCCTTTTACTGTAATGCGCGCGCTGTCTAGGGTGGCATTGTACTTTGTCAAGCATATTTAAAACGCGTATACAAATTAATCTTCGTTGAGAAATTTTGACTCGATAATAAATGTTTATGCGTTATGCATCAGAATACGTAGCCAATACCGTTGAATAGGCATATATACAAACTTTCGAACGCGTGCTCAACGGACGTAAAGGAGAGTCTCTTTTCTCACGCGTACATATGAGAGATGCTTTACTGTACCACTGGATAATTGATAGATATGGATAAATCATCATCGACTTTAGAAAGTCTCACACGTCGTCCAACATCCGAATGTTTCTTCCTCTTCTTTTCTTTCTCCGATAAGCGTGTGATACTCGAGCGACGCACGCAATAATCAACAAGTGTTATTATTCACTTTCTAATCATCTTTGTGCCTCCCTTGAAGCGCATTCATATACTTTACGTAAGCTCGCTTGCGAGCGAGTAAAAGTAGCCGTGAGAGACGCAGACAACGCGGGCGCGTTGAATTTCATTTCGGCAAAAAGCAATTAAGCGTCGTAATGATGATTAGCGCACCCAGCTACTATAGCCACGACGAAGTTTTTCTCTAAACCTAAGTGGAAAAAAGTATGCCTTCGTTGCGTTATTCCGCAATTCGTTGGGATTTTGTTGCTGAGGAGATACAAAAATGCATTGCAAATAAATAAATTGCAATACCGCCTACGACGACTTCACTAATACGTATTCTTCGCAGACTTCCTTCGTCACTCGATCGGAAAGAAAAAACAATTCCGATGTGTGTTTTATCATTCAAACTCTCATCCTGAAGGCATACGTTGCATACGTTAAAAAAAAGTTTCGCCGCACGCGTGTGGCGAAAATTCATGGCCTCGGTTGTGCATCTCGCCTCTATAAGGATTCGTTGCAATGATTCACTCCTCGACATTCACCTTGAAACCCTCTTTCTTTAACATCTTCATAGAACGAATAAGGTTTTTTCGTCGGGATTTTTTTTTTCGCGTCCCGTTAAGATTTGAATGGCGTATTCGAGGCACGCGCGCGTCAGTGATACAGAATCATAATTAGCTCAGCAGCAGCTCCATATATATATACAGTTACGCGTTTTCCGCGCGTTCGTACATGCATATATATCTATATCTAATGATTGCGATCGGTTAGAGAGAAGTAGACGGAAACGAGTGCGTATGTAATGTCACGGCCGCGAGAAAAAAGTGCAGCGGCGGTGTATTATTGCATCGATGATGCCACGGCCAATTAGCTTTCGTCAGTAATAGATCGCGTGGGACTCACTTTTGCAATCGTGCGCCGCTGTGGCAATTAGATCACAATCGGACGTCTTCGTTCTTCGATTGTCTTTGTGCATAAAGTGTCTTTCGCGATTGCGCGCGTCGTTTGACACGCTAGCAAATTAACAACGTGATAACGCGAAAAAGTGATAAAAAAAGAGGGGAACAGAGAAGAAGTAGCTCATCAGTGTAAAAGCTGTTCACAGCTGTGCTTAGAGAGACGAAATGTAAAGATGAAATAAACACGTGATGTACGCACACACACGGCCAAGGTACTTTGGCCATCCGCGGAAGTTCGCTTAGGTGGGCACCCACACATACACACGCGCGCGCGTACACATACGCGTGTTATAGTATATATAAAGACTACTGTACAGAGAGCAGACATTGCACCCGTTGACGGTCAACGATCGTATCGACTTTCCTTCGCATATCGGCTCTTCTACATTTCCACAAGTACACACGTCACGATTACGGAGCTGGGCATATCTATAGGAAAAAAAGGATTGCACACTCTGCGTGATATTCATCGTGCAGTGGAGGGTGACGTGTATTGCTGTTAATAACGGATTTATTTATGGCGCGTTGCAGTGCTGTAAATCTTTTTGGCGATGGGTTTCTTTTGTGTGTATCGCCGAGGCCCATCTTTTGCTGGGATCGAGTTTCGACAATACCGATTTCTCGCCATCCGTTTGACTTTGGCAAACCGATTATCTTCTTCTGTTCCAACCGAGAATCTTCTCAAATCAACTTATTAATTATCCATGCTGTAAACCTGCGTAATCTGAAATCTACGTTTCAACAAATTCCGGTCGAGCCTCGTGAATCAAAAAAAGGTCGTAACTACTGCTATCCTAACGGTACGTCTCCACATTTTTCTCAAGCCGGCAATCATCGAACAGTTGTCGCGTTTCCCGAAAAATCAGCCGAGCTTAATTATTGGTCTGGTTGAAAAACCAACAACACTTGCTTTTACTGGACTTGAAATCGCGCAAAAAAGTGTCCGATCAAATATCGCGAACTTTCGCGCGTCCCGACAAAATTCCTTCATGTATATTCAGTCAGCGTCGCAGGTTGGCAAAAGTAGGCTACCAAATAAGGTGACGTTGCAACGATCACGAACGCAAGATATCCCGTTGGCTATTGACTAATTATTAATACTTCCGTTGATAATCGTCCACGACGATCAAGACTTCTTGTGGTCAACGCCCTTTTTCTTAAGCACGTGTGTGTCAGACATTGGTATGCATTATCTATATGATATAACCGATCGACATTGAATCAAATATAGGCATTGGATTAATAGTCAGTGCTCGACAGCTTAAAAGAGGTGACTAACCGTATATTGGATTTCTACAATATGTATATAAGTTGCGATACAATCGATCGAAAAAAAGAAACTTTTCTTCGTTACTTTTAACGAACTAAAAAAGGTCGTGAAAGCATTCGCGCAAAACCATTGTGCATTATTTGTTTGATTACAATGACATTACACATACACACTCGCTCGTTACGCGCCTCTTAGCATCCTTTGTGAAAAGAAACAAAAGGGAGGGCTCGGCACATCTTCAAGGCCTATTACACTACCTTTTTTTGCTCTCTCTCTCTCTCTCTCTCTCTCTCTCTCTCACTCTCGACCATTCTTTGGCCTATGCTGGTATATATGTATACGTATACGTTTTCGAGTTCTATGGGCCGATGCGAAAACCATGCCACCTTACTGTGCAGTAAAACAAGTGTAGATTCTCGGAAAATATGTTACAGACTTCCTTTTTTCCGTCCTCTTTTGGCTTTTAGCCGAGGGACTCCACTTTTCGATGACCGTTTTGAGTGGGTCATTAGGTATTGACGTCTTGAGCTGTACGATAATTGGTCTTGGACAGCCTTTAAATGAACTTTAAAGTTTCCGAAGAAGATTATTTTGATTGCTTTTTAGGTGATTGAGCTTATAAGGATAGCGGGTATTGAGAACTACGAGTAATAGTAGTTTTCCTTTGAAACAAGTCAAACGATTTACACGTTTGAAGGATTCGTTAATATTGAACATTATCGTGTAGGTAAAGCCTTCATTATTCTGAGAAATCAAGCTATAGGCACAAAAATCTACGCCTCGACGAAAGCCGTAGCAACGAATAAAGAACGAAACTTCCCTTCGGGGCAGTATATGGACGCATACTAATTGCCCTGCGTTAATTTTTTTTTTCGTGAACCAGAACGCCGATAAAGACTGCGTTTGTGCGAAAGAGCTGCTTTCGTGTACATCAAAGCGTGAAATCCTGGGCGACTTGGCGCGTTTCCCGCCGTGGGAAAACGTGCTCTGCGCGCGCACCATTATGCCAGTCCATCAGCAGCAACGAGCGAGCGGCCAAAAGTGTCGAGACAAAGGACGAAGGATAATAACTCCCTTTTTACGATCAATTATGCGGTATTATTGCGGTTATTTAGTCCTTTATTATATGCTCTTCCAGTGATGATTACAAATAGCCATTAGCGGTCAAAAAAAGTCACACGGTAGTGTTTAACACTCGTTGAAAATTTGTTGACCTGTAGCACGATTGATGACTCGACTTGATCCTATATGTTCATTGTACTGGGCTTTCTCCCCTTTAAAGATATTCCAAGTCACACTCGCACGCAAACTGAACAAATGCAAAGGTGCAATTTTCACAAACTTAGCCTTGCAAATGAGCTGTTGACACGTATGTCACGTAGAATATTTTCGACTCATCCTCTACCCGGTTTGGCGTGGTAGTTTTCGCGAGCGACTGAGAGACAGAGACCAAGAAGACGAAAAATCGAAAGTCGACAAAAGTGTCTCTTGGATTTGTGCGGTGCGTCGTTGTCGTTTGGTCCGATACTGTGCGATTGCGGGATCGTGTACCGTTAGAAGAGAGAAAGACCTACTGCTGTGTCTGAGTGCGATGGGGTTTTCTACGCAACTCGGTCCTCTTCGGTTCTTAGTTTGAACAAAATCGATCGTCTTTGCCTTCTTTTTTCTGTCATTTTTTTTTGTTATCACCCGATTTCACGGAATGCGGGTGTGCTCGAACGCTATTTTCTCTTATCGGCGATGAGAAATTTTTGCGCGTAACTGTTCCGCTGCAAAACGGAGCTAGAGTTATAAACACGGGGTTGTAAAAAGGAAAAAGAGTTTGCTATAGCAATAATTCTGACTGCGAGAGGTCAGAAGTATTTTTGAAATTCAAATTTTACAGAATTGCAATAATATTCAAAAAAAAGCTTAGCTTTCACTTGAGTTTACGTTTTTTAGTATAAAAAGGGTCATAAAAGGAAAATATTGCACGTTATAATACTTGTTTACTTCTGCGAAGAGCGAGAGAGAGAGAGATGAAATTATGAAAATAACTGGTGAAGGAGAAAATGCGTACTCGACGAAAAATTATCATTCAGTGTTTCGGAACGTTTAATAATCCTTATACAACAATATGAATAACTTTTACCTGAAAGTGATAATGGAAAAAAGAAAAGAACACGAAAATTGAAAGCTCTTTCCTATTTATTAATCGGCTAATACTTCCGACCTGACTCTCGGTAATCGATCTTGATATAACCACGCGACACTGAGTTCGTGTTTTTTTCCGGCTTCATACGTTCGCCTCTGCATTTAAACGTCCATTCGCCTACGCACGAGAGTAGACTCATTGTTCTATACACATATAAACTTTTCACACGCACACAGTTTACTTTCGCTTCGCGTTACTCATTATATGTCGATGTGATGAAGTGTGACGATCGGCCGTACGGAGATTTTTCAGAGAAGAAAACCATTCGAGTTTCACTTGCACACACATCTTATATACTCGGAGTCTTCATTAATTCGGCTAGTAAGGACGTGCTGGATGGTTGAAGAAAAAGTATGGGCATTAGAGATCGGCTACTGATTGAAAAAATTGCTGTAATTGTAGCGCCGAGTAGTTACGCGCGCGCGCGCGCGCGCTGGTTTAGCTTGCGCGATGAAAGTTTACGCTCGCGACTTGGCGAAGTATATCTTCAAGCGATAACACTTGCCCGAGCAATAACTGTAAATACTCGCATTTCTAGATTGTAGATTTTTCGTGCAACTGGTTACTTGTTCCCGTGGATGTTTTCTTACAGCTGGATTGCACCTACTCGACGAAAGCGATATATACGGGGAAAAAAAGTCGTGTCAACGCCTCAACAACCGTAACGATAGTTTAAATACGAGATTTCTATTTTGATGCACAGTGACGTTCAATACCGGTTCGCGCGGTGACAAATAACGCGAGGAGTTCCGCACGCGGCCACATGTATATATTCGTAAATACGTCAACGTCGAATCGCCGTTTGCGGGCGCGTGCGTCTCATGCCAATTGTTACACGATATATCAGTGTTATATGCGTTGCACGCACTTTCTCACCTCGCCTGTATACTTTCCAAGCGTCGTTTCCCCTCACCTGAATCGACAAAAGCCGAAGGCGACGGCGAGTAATCTATTGGAGAGACGGGAGTTGGCACCTGTCCTGTAACTGTTCTGATTACAGTAACTTTTTAGATTTATTTTTTCACTCATCGCGATTCGTTACGTTGTTCTTTCGAAATAACTTGCAACGAATTTGTATTTTGTCAATTCGATAATACCATTGAATTGGCGTTGATCTTGCCGCGTACTATCCACTCGGCACTTTCAAAATGCGTCTGCTTCATTCTTAGCGGTGAAATTCTTGAATAATAACCATCTCGTCGAAATAAAACCAATCATTCGACATCCTCACGCACCGTGTTCACCATTAACCGCCACACAAAACAGTTATGAACTCGTCAAGCCTTGCGTTCATCGGTAGAAATTCGCTCGCTTCGGGAAAAAAAAATTTCTTATTCCTCTCTTGCCATTTTCATTGCACGCACAGCTCGTTAAACCATTAAATCCAGCATAAAGTTTATTCTCAACACGAAATCAATTTCACCGTTTGCGTGTCGATGGGCGCGCTACGAAAAGCCACTTACACGCACTTTCGATTGTACGCTTTTTCTCTCGTGGAAAGGCGCGAAAAGACTTATTTATATATATGTACCAACGACTAACCCTGAATTCGTAATCGTCCATCGTTTTTCTTTTTTTTTTTTTTTTAGAGAGAGCGTTAAAACTCTCGTGTTACTGAAAAGCGTTGCTGCCGCTTTTTCTCCCCCCTCGTGCGAGGCCATTCGCTGCGCTCTGTGCACACTGTGGACACAATTTATTCGAGCCCCTCGCACGCTCGACACAAGGAGCAATTTACACGCGAATGTCGCCAAGAGAGATTGCTCAAGCAAATAATTAAACTACTAGTTGGTTTCGCGCGCTACAGGCGAACGAGCTACTAATGCGAAACGAAAAACTAATCGAATGCCCAACTGAAATGGATACGAGTGTTATTAACACAATTTCATATAAAAAGCCGCAACCAACAGTTCGCATTAAAATCATCTGGTAAGTTTCTCATCTCGACGCGCGCCGCAACAATTCAATGAAAATCTTGCACCGTTACGTCGCCGTTATAATCCAATGTTTGTGCAATGTCGCTCATCTCCCTTCGCGCTCTTCTGTAACTGGAGCGAATTACGAGTACACGGGTAAAAGCTCTCATTGCGTTGCGCAGATCTGCATGGATATCGGCCACGATGCTCACTCGCGTGGTTAATTAATGGATCACCGACGTTTGCGGCTAAATTTTGGCTTGGTCGTTGATATTTATGTACATATCAGTAACTTATCTGTTTATTATGAAAGAGCGAACTCAACTTTAAGCAAGTAATTTCCTACATAGTTAGGCGTCGACGTGTTATCTCATCGATGCTTCTTCACTGACCGACACAAGCCCTGCGCGCAATCGTTGCACAGACGTTTTGGCTACAGCCCATCCCCGTGGTCGTCCGTCTGTAACTCTCACAGCTTATCGTTTAGGGATATACGAGTACTCTCTCATTTATCGACGCGAACTGATTCGCGCTTAGCGCGTTTCATGATAGCGCACTGTAAAACGTGTTCATTCCCCGATAGAATGTTCGAACAGCGCAGAGTACCGTTCCGACCCACATGTAATCATGTCACTTTTCATAAAACGATAAGTCATACATTGTAGAAGTCCTAAGCGGAAAGCGGTGTCGGCATTACAAGGAGTCGCGTGGCCTCGAGACGCGCCCTCTAATGGCATTCGAATCGCAGCCGCTATAATTGCTCCGCAGTGTGGAAGACGCAGGTGTAACGGTGCCTGTGCATAGTATTTGATTCTCCGCGTAACGAGACGTCCGATCTCGCGGAACGGTAGCTTATGCGTGTATTTTCTTTTTCGCGCGCATGCCCAACGAATGGGCTCTCGCGTCCAATGAACATTCAAATCTGGACGTAATTATTTTCACAATTCTATAGTATTTTCGATATTATAAAGAGAAGAATTCTCGGTTTTGCCGCATAACCACTCGACAATCCATACAGTTATAAGTAAATCTATTGGAATCTCTTGGGGGCAAAAAAAAAACGGACAGAAACTATTCGTTCGTGGAAAACTGGTTTCGCAGGTGTCGTTACGGGATCATAACTGTAAAATACTCGAGAAGAATTTTATGTCGAATGGGATGTATGCCTAACGAAAGCTTTCTTTTTCGCGTCGGGAATTCGGATGCATCTTCTTCTCATCGCTATATACCCGAGTGTTCGTCACGCGTTACGTCATGCGCGTGCGTGGCAATTAAGAATTGCATAGGGATTTCCAGCGCGGTATTATATATCATGCATGGGAACACAGATGCGGCTTTTTTTGCAAGAGGTCTTATTTATGACGGATTGACGCTGGGTATCGTTGACAATGCTGTTTTTTTGAGAAATGAACTGTTATTGTTATTTGATGCGTTTGGTGAAATTTTTGACGCAAGGAAATGGTCCATACTATTTCTTTACTTTCGTTTGAGTTATGAAATTAATTGCTTTGATGATTTTACTTTATGCGTAGCATTCAAAGTCTAAATTTAGGTACCAGATAATTGAAATAAAGTAATAATTAATGTAATTCATTGATTACAACGTGAAAAATACAATTAAATTGCCAATCAATGCATTGATACTAAATCTATTTTGAACTTAATCATCGATATTATCACAAAGTCGTACATCAAATACGTAATATACTCAATCATTCATAACTTTCCATTCGCACAACAACATCCGAGTACATAGATATAAATCCGTAAACATTTGTCTCTGCGGACTGTGACAATCAAACATTTCCATGGATAATCTCTGATAAGTATGTCTCGTAAAGCTCAACCGATAAACCTGGCAATGCACGTCGCACGCAAGTGCACGCAACGAATCGGCAGACAATCGGGGCGCCAAAACGATGCTCTCACGGCTCTGTGATGTGAATGGAGGACGCTGGTATAGGCATCCTTAGCCCGTTACGTTTAATTATGTCATCCATTGTCTGCCGAGAAAATTCTCAGACGAATCGTCCGCGCACACGTACACACGTGTGCACACGTGCGCAATGCGCGAAAACAAAAGGAAAGCGCAGCGTGCGCCGAGCAAAAGCGATTCGTGTATCGATAAAACTGCAGTAATGCGCAATGCTCGCGCATGTGCGCGCCGCGTTACAGTTTCCTTTTTATTTTTCTATTCTCCTTTCCTCTCCTCGCTGAATTAATTCAGCGAATTTCGTCATGTACGTGTAGCTCGCTGGGAACGTTTCGTCACGCATTTCGTTTTGTTATCATATTTACAAGCTGATTCGGATTGCACGAACGATCAAGCGTGCATTTTTCGACGACTTAATTGGCAAACGGACCACAACAAAGCAACGATCCCCGCGAGTATCGATAAATAATCTCGGCGCGCATGCCATTGAAATTCTATACGACGCATGAAAACACACCGCCGGCAATTAAAATAGTTTAACAGAAATACAAATCATTCGATACGCACGCGCGCTATAATAGCCCTCTTTCTTCTTGCAGAAAATGCTGATAAGGAAATCGGCGGCCGTGTGGCTGGCCGTCCTCTTATGCCATCTTGGACTAACGGAGTCTCAGGTAAGTTATTTCTCTCTCTCTCTCTCTCAACGCATTTGCACACGCACACGCGAGCTCGAAACAGGTTTTCGCAAAGATGTTGCGCAAGTAAAAGCTCATACACCGGAAAACATTATTAAATAACGAATAAGCGGTGTACAGCTTTCACGATTGACCGCAAACAATATATTCGTCTCTCACTTTCAATTACACGTTTTTCCTTCTTCAAGCGCAGAAAGCGCGCTACGGCAAAGACAAGATTTATCAATTAACCGAGTTCGTCACTGCGAGACGCGGAATGCGCGCAGCTGCAGAAGCGAGAAAAGCTCAGAGCAACGCGTTCGCGTGTCGGAACTAAATAAATTAGCGGCTGGCAATTCTCACAGTGGTTCGAGCCGTGCCGCGATATCCAGGGGCAAAAAGGGTGCAAGAGCGAGCTAATAATCGTTCTTTTCCAACGTGACGCCTTGTTATTACACGACTCGTGCCGTAAATAGCCGCTGGGAAAACTGACGCCAAGTATAGAGCAAACATGTGATTTTTCCTTTAAGCGACACTGTCGATCAAACGAACGCACGCGGATATATTTATTGCCGGACCTGTCAATACAGCGATCGGCCACGTCTCTAGCTCGCGCAAAGGAAACTATCAAGTTCAATCAACTTTGTGCATTACGGAAGGCTGGTTCGTAATAATGCCTTTCTAAAATTACAATATTGGCGACAGGAAAACCTCATTAAACGAAGAAAGATTTCAAAGGCTATTAAACGGTCGCGACGTCGAAAAAAGCACAGAGATAGGTATCTGGCTATACAGGCGCGAAATGGCCGATCTCCGCACCTAATACTAAAGCAGCCGAGCGGTGAAAGTACATTGCTGTGCGCCCAAGAGCTGCACGCAGAAAATTGGCACTCGCTGTATACGTATATATATAATACAACACACAAACAACTAGATCTGTCGTGGCGTATTATCGCCCATTTTTCGACTAATATCTCCACGTTGCGTAAATGGCAAATGCCTGACAATTGCACATAGATTTACGCAAAGTTACGTTTTCAGATGGCGAATATACCTACGTTGCCGTAACGTACATTAGACTACAATGTTCGCGTGCTGAGATAAATTGATTTATTGCGCAAAACGTGTGCAATTCGTTAGGCGATTCAACCGTTTAGCGCGATCGCCATTAACTCTCTCCCTCTCCGATGAAGTTGTATGGAAAATTTGACTGATAATAGAAATTACAATGTCACGTGCACGTATAGTTGCAACAGTGACCGAGGATAAAAAAGAAATCGGCAATCAATTCAGGGTTACAATAAACAATAGCGCATACCTCGCATCGACAATACATCCAATTTTTTCACGCGAGAATTGCGAACAAAACGAAAGACTTCGCCGAGAGATATTTCCGCAGAGCCATAAATTAAAAGCGCCTGCGATAATCTGGCCAACACGCCTGGAATGCGTATCTCGCGCACGGGCACGGCATATAATGCTTTCTTGCCGATGGAATGCGATAATCCGTTATGTCATTTAACCGAGTTGTATGTGTATCTGTAATACACGGCGCGCATCGCCTACTAAAACTTTTGTCGGCAAAAGGGCTTCAGATGCGTCGAATATAGAGGGAAAACTGCTAGGACGACGATGATCACATGCGCCCCGAGATTCGTAAAGCCGATAGAGCAGTGGCTTCTCGCGTGGTCGATCTTTTGTACTCGGGCGACGGAAGCACGATTCGAAGTACTTGTCGTCTGAGGATCTCGCTATTTTCATAGAAGAACGATAGCCCGAGTAGTTTATCTCTGTAACTGTATACAGCGCGACAGTCTGATAATATTTTCTCTAACGTAAAAAATGTTCATTCCGAAATGCGCGCGTATTCTTGCTCGATGAAAATCTTTATGCGAAGCCCGCTATAACTGTTTTGACAATGCCATAGCTGTGTGTAAATATAAAAACTTGGCTTTTTTCACACGTGGAAAAAACAAGATAACACTCTAGAATGACACTAACGAGTCGGCTCCTTATTTCGACTACGTCGGGAATGCAAATATAGCCAAGACCGCATCGACATTCCGTTGCACATTGTATAAAAAGAGCGCTTTAGCCGACGAGGTGCAATCGCTCGGTTTATTTTATACTTTCACTAAGTGCACCACATCAGTTGCGGCCCAGAACAACAAGTATAGTGGAATGTGTGTTGCTCATTCAAGCAACTTTAACTACCATTCACCTAGAAAAACCTGCAAGCGCTTGATCTTGGACCCGTTGAAAGCTGACTTAAAGGAAACAAAACGATTGCCACAACAGGTGCTCGTGTGATGAAACTTGCGCGCTTCTAAATAGAACAGCAATACACACATTTGCTTCGCGATAAAATCGTATATATCTGCTCGCTGAAAAAAATAAATCTCGATTGAATCTGATTTTTCAATTGAACACAACGCATACTATCCAGAGACAGCCGTGAGTTTCATTACACAAGATCCACACGAAAGTTCTCCGCGTCGCAAAATTTTCTGGCCGCAACTTGTGTGCGAGACAAATCAACGGGATGAAAATCTTACATGCCTTGCACAAGTCGCCAATAACAAAGCAGTAATCGATAAAGCGCAAACATCTTCACGAGAAGTTGTTATATCACTGGTGCAATGCAGCTTTGCCTGGAGAAAGCTGAGACCAGCGAAGCCATCTCAACCTGCGGCTTCTTATATGCACCTATTGTCCGTGCTGCTGCTGCTGCTGCTGCTGCTGCAACTACCGAATTGTGCATCCCGTCACGCTAACCTGACTTGCGCTATTTCAGACTTCTGTTCTCCTTCAATTTTTTTTAAGATTGGATACTGCGTGTTATAGTTTCCAGCAGGATGTTGTTGCGCGCACGCCAGCCTTGTGCCTAGTGCTTTCAAAAGGACGATATTGAAACGTTTTCTGTTGCTGCGGTTGCTTTTTAACTTAGTCAAAGATTTTCTAGGGTTGGACTTATTTTGCTTATGATGTCAATAAAGATTTTCTTTCGAAGTATAATGTAAAAACTTGCAATTTTTTACTTCGAGAACGTTCTTTTTTTTCTGCAGGCTAATTTTGCAAGTGACTTCGCACAAAGGAAGTCTATGGGTTTTTGCCCGTAAAAATGTCGTAAAGCCGGTATATACAAGCAACATGTATGCCGCACGATGGTCAACGAACGTCTCTTCGACCGTATAGAAAGTCGCGCTAGGATCTCGTATTTTTAATGAGCCAGCAGCAAGGGTTCAATAAACTCTAAAAGTCGTATATTACTACATCCAGTTTTCAAGCATTTAAATATATCTTCTCTTATAGATGAGTATCAGATTCTCTGAAATATCAAGTTGTCGCTTATACCAAAGCTATAGGCCCGGCCCTCAAATCGAATTCTCTCTCGAAAAAAAAAAATGTTTTCCGTCACACCTGGAACAACAGCAATTAAAGCCCTGTGTGTCCAATCAATGAAAAGTTGCGCATGTCATCTTCTCGATGAAAATAACACGTTTTGGAAAATGAGCAAAGCGAGCTATCATGGCAAAACTGAAAATTACTAGTGTCATTAAGTATATGCAGGTCGACTTAGATATATTCCCATGCGCATTCCCCTCGAATAATGTTGCACAGACTAATATTAAAATATTACCTAATTCTCCTCATGTTATATATATGCGCACACGCATAAAACGCAACAAGTGCGTCAGGCAGCTGAAAAATCCTCTTGCGCACACGATTACGCAATTACATCGTACCCCCGTCGATATGTTATGCACCTGCAGCTCGTAAAAAGAAATACCTGAGCGAGTGTCTCCGAGTACCGAAGCGGGAAGCCATTAAAGAAAAGAAACGAAGCCGTGCTTATCGCCGTCACTGTCTGGCTCTGTACAAATAACATGTCTGCTTGCGTTTGTTACAGGTCTCGGCCACAAGCATCTTCACCTGTCCGAACGGTGAGTATAAGCACATGCATCCGCCACGAATATGTAGACGCCCGTGTGGGGTACATATGGGATACGGTCATCGGAACAAAAATAAGGGACAGAGGCATGTGGCTCGGAGTCGGGAAAGTCGTCTGGTTTTTCGAGTTTTCTCCGCGTGATCTTCAAGCCTCGCCGACGCCGCCTTCTTTTGCGCGCACATGGAGAAAGGCGCATTTTTTTTCTTCTATATACGTATACGCAAGTTTAACGGGCAGATGAAAGGTTCTTTTTTAGATAAATCCATTGGGAATTGAGAATTCACTCGGACTCCGCTTTTGAATTTCAGTGAAATGTTCGAATTAGCATGCGACTTACGTAAGCTAATGCGGCGACTAGTCGAAAGCGCATATCTACGCGTACTTCGCTCGCTGAAATATGTGAACGCGCGAATGATTTTGTTCAGCACGGAATGCCGCGCGCGATTGCTAATCAAGTTGCGGTTTAATGAATTATGATTAGACCGTTAACGGCATTAATGTGTTTTAAAAATGGCACACTGCCGTTGATGTATAAATAATTTCTACACTCGCGGCAGCAACTTATGGTATACCGTTCGATATTTCCACATTCGACAATGAAAATATTATCTAACAACTCACACCGGATCACGATCATTTGGTTTAATGAACCTGGACGTTCTAATAAGTGAGATGTTATAGCACGTTCATTGTCAATACGATTAGACCTAACTATAGCTACTTCAAATGAAAACTGTGCCAATTTTATTTTAATGAATACGCAAGAAAAATCGATTGCAGCAAAATTGTTGCGATTACACAGTGACATCAATTTCACTTCCTCGTAGTTATCGCGTAGCTGCGGCTTACAAATTTCGCACGGCGATCTATCTGCTGACTTGGCGATCCTTAGCAATGCACGCGAGAACAAGAAAACGGTGTTAAGCACGTCGTTCCGACGGACTACGACCAATTTTAACTTGACTTATCGCTGCGAACGGAAATTCCGGTATCGACGTCGTTGCAACTGGCAAGCTGGGAAAAATCTGTAACCGTCATAGCGACATTTTTCCTCGACATCTCTCGAGTCGCGTAACATCCGACACACTGCCATCTCACGCGGCAGGAGCGTAAGGTAGCCAACGCATCGTGATTTTCTGACGCATGTGCGCGCGAGTCAGCGAGAGAAAGAGAGAGAGAGAGAGAGAGAGAGAGAGAGAGAGAGAGAGAGAGAGAGAGAGAGAGAGAGAGAGAGGTTAACGGCACCAAGAAAAGAGAAGATCGGCTACTGCTGCTAGTACCGGCAACCTACATAATTGCGCAAAAGTGGAACGACGTGCCTTGCTTCCTTCGCGCGCACTAACGAATGCTCGAATTCTCGCGCGCGCTCGCGCTTCCACGGACGCCGCCGTATATTTCTTTTTATGCACATCACACACGTGTCGAAGGAATAACACTTTCATCCTGCAGCTAACGCACATAGGAGCATCGTATCGACTTGATTTGCCTCATTTGTACGCGCTCATTGCCAATTGCTTCAAACTTCTTGGCATGTGGGCTAGTTTAATTTAAAAGATTGGTTTTTAGCTTCTATGCCGTGGAATATTCTATAGCTAGTTGACACACGCAAACAATCTGATTTTTAATAAACACTTATGTCTGCGCGGTAAAGTGATTTCGAATGCAAATTTTCAAGAAGCTGCGAAAGCCGCGTCATTTAAAATGCAAGGTATAACCCAAGGCAAACGACAATCAGGAGGTGATATTTTTCTGAAAGTTATCCTAAAGTCACAGATTCGTTAAACACTCCACGTGAAAGCAACTTTACAGTTTTGGCAATGGCCGAAAGACGTGAGAAAAAAAGATAGGAGACACGAATTCAGTGCATTAAACTCATAATCGCGATAGTAAAAAACAGTTTGATAGGTTGATTGGTCAACTAAAAAGAACAATTCATCCAAATAAATCGCGATAAAAAAACAGCTTTTCTGGCGATAATCGCACGAGTGCGGTAAACAAGAGAAATCCTAAGAATGATGCAGTCCGAAAAGTAGCCGCTCGACCACTTTTGCAATGGATTCGAGGTCGATCACCTTGACTTCTCTCCTCTACTGTATCGTACAGACCAAAGGGGGGATTCAGGTGACACGGATCAGCTTCTCGGAATAACGCGACAGTGCGCGGCTGCGCGACGCACAAAGAAAAGACGCGCAGAAAAAGCGCGCGAAAAGAGAGAGTTGCGATCGCGGATGCTGCGCGCCTCGGCAGCACAGGATCCGCGCGAATGCGTGATTCATTCGAGCACGGCCTAGATTTTTACTCCGGGGATCGTCGCTCCCCCCCCCCCCCCCCTCTACTGCTCAAGGCGATCGACTTTTATATATAGATGCATATCGCGCGGAAGTGATTGGCCGGTGATTGATGCGATGCCTTTACCGAGAGGGATCTTTTATCGAGGAGTGGCACAGCGACGGCGCAGCCAAAAGTCTCTCGAGGGTTTTTTCCTTGCGCAACCTTGTGCGGCGGATTGTGTAATGCACGTTCAGATTGAAAGGCTCGATATATCGGACGGACGGATCTTCTTGGATGTTTTGAGTAATGTACAGCTGAGAGATAGCTTTTCAGAATTCATTTGGCAGCTTCATTTTCATTTAGAGTTTTATCTTTGTAACTTGCATTTTGGAGATATTAGGACCGAGAAAATTTTTTAAATTACGTTACTGAAGGTCACCTGCGAAAGTTATTGCTGATTATACGCTTCATCCGAATATAGTTGTCGTATAAATGGGTTTACAGAGAGAAAGACTTTATATTAGAAAGACTGATTTATTCATGATTTGCTGGTTGATGACAATATGATAGTTTTTGGTTCGGGACGAATAGGTTAAATAGATAGAAAAAGTTGAAAGTTTGTTAGAAGACCCTGAATACAATTTGTGTTGGATTCGAAAAAAATTCAATACATTATAATAGTGATACAAGGTTGATTATTCTACGTTGGTTCAATAGCCAATTTTTTTCAGCAGTTTATTCCATGTTGTCATTCTTTAATGAGCCATCCAAGTGTGTAATATCGCTAGATTAGCGTTTTATACATTTGCAAGTGATCAAACTCGAAGCTATTTCACATTTAAATGTGCACAGTCATCGGTCAATGTAAAAATCTCGCTTTTTGCGATTGCCTTTCTCGCGATTATCTCAACCATGTGATTCCTAACGCGCGTCCTGCACGGTCAGACGGTAAAAAAGAGGAAGCAAAGATTAGAGAGACAGACGCGAGGAAGAGAAAGAAAGATAAGGCATGAAATAGCCTTAAACAACAAAATGCATTCCAGAGTTAACCTATCAACCCAATGTATGGTATAAAAGATACGTGCTTTGGCTGTATACCTGGACGTTCTCCTCGCTTGGTTGTGTATATGCGCGCACAGGCAATACTTGCACGCACGCGCACTAGAAACGATCGAGGTCAGCTAAGATCTCCTCGCAGTGCTCTTCAACAGCTTCATAGCAGAGATCAATCGTTATATCGGTAAGCTTGACCCTTCACGGCTTATGAAGGTCGTATTGCTAACCCGATCATTATATTAGAGTTTGTTTGACTGTGACCGTGAGTATGTGGCAAAATAAAGTATGATGATTGGGTGTTGCGATTGTATTTCTCACCTGCAATTGTATGGTTCTAGCCCGTCAACAATTTGATTGCTCGGCGAGTGTGAAAAAACTCGCGTGCCAATATTGTTTTAGAAAGTACCGGGTTTTCAATAATCTATGCCTTTGTCAGCCATGCAATTATTTTTAAACGTATACATTTTTCGACGAGCAACGTAGAGAAAACTCGAGAAAATCGACGTACATTTTCTTTAGTCTCGAATATCAAGTGATAATCTGCAACAATTTCATTGAAAAACAAACTGTCAGCCCGTGGAAAAAAAAAGAAGGCGCGAGCAGAATAACTCGTAAATCTTGCAAACTTGCGAGTCCTAACGGTAAATATCGAACGATAAAACTCATCACTGCTTTTTTTATGATCTTTTGCTCATAGGATGGGAGCTGAAGGGCATCCACTGTTACAAATTCTTCAACATCAGGCATTCATGGGAAAAGGCAGCGGAACTATGCAGAAGGTAAAGTACACAAGAACAAATAAATACTTTCCCACGATGCTGTAAACGCGTCTATATATTTCCGATATTCGTTCGTCAAAAGATCGCAGTTGCAGTTGATCCTCGATACTTTCCAATTACGCGCCTGTTACTGTAATCGAGAGCGCGCACCGCGCACGCACGATCAGATTGAGTAACTCGGGCATGCAAATAGGCTACTGCTCCAACTAGTACTCGTAAACTTGTGCTAAAGGCTTAATTATGTGAGCAAGAGCAACTCAAGTATATGTTCTTCTTATAAGGGCGAAGAGGCAAAATGAAACATCATTATTTTCATTGAACTTGTTCCTAAATTTTACTGCACGTGAACAATCATTTGCATAATGCGCTGATTTCTTATCAAGTTTTAACTAAAGATACGATGTGATAGTTTATGAGGATTTCTTTCTAATCTCGGTGAATCGATCGAACCACTGTTAATCTAAATAAATGACTATTAAGAACTCTCTGCAAGTTGATCGATGATGGATGAATACTCGATGCTTTACCATAACAGCATGTAAGTTTGAAGATTAAATCATTACTCAAAGATTTTCCATCCCAAAAACAAAAAAAATACAGATACGGCAGCGAGTTGATGGTGATCGAGTCGTACGCGGAAAACAACGTGTCGGTCTCGATGATCGGCCGTCACTCAGACCGCTATTGGCTTGGATTAGCTTCCCTCGACGACTTGAGAACCAACACCCTCGAATCCGCTGCTGGTATGCTCGTATCGCAATATGCCGGTGAGTGCATCATTTGCTTTTGTGTATTTACCAGAAATAACAAATTAATGCCAAGTACAACTATACTGCAATATGCACATCAGAACTGGCATTGTTACGTAAAAATCAATGTTAATAGAAACTCTATAAATCTCCTGTATAAAAAAAGAAACGTTGCTTCTCTTATGTAAAAATACCAGTAGTTTAATTGTATAGAAATCCGTCTTGTTAAGTATATGCATGGACTTGATGCAATTTCAATAAAACCATCAGAGCGGAAGAGAAATTTGTTTGCGTTTTTCTCTTTTAGAATGAAGTGTGATATATTAAGTAAAGCGTCATTTATTGATCATAATTGATGCGTAACTTCTTTTTTGACCTTAACGTAAAAGCGATTGATTCACGTGCACAATTTACATCGTATTTTCTCTTTAATATTCATTCCGAGTTAATGAAACAACAGCAGTGATATTCTGTAAGCCAACCATAAACCATCATGACCGGATGTAAAATAGCTCTGCGGCAAAGTGAGCTTTCATAACAGCGATAAATACGCAAATAATCATCTTTTCGCAGCGCATAAAAATCTTTTTCCTATACAGCAGGCCTATTTCCGTTTTCTTGATATAATCTACCATCGCGACAGAATGCATAGCAATTGTCCAGTCTGAGATTTCGAAAATGAAAAAACATTTTCATAACACATTATGCACGAAAGCGAAATCGTCGCATCACTGGTATTTAGCGAAAATGACATGCTCACCTCGTCAAGTAATTTATCAATGAAAGTGCCGCGAATAAAAATGTCGCTCGATTACGCGTTCGTCTTGACTACTCGAGCTTGAAACGCCGTGCGAAATCGAAGTCTAGGATTTTGTAATAATTGTCATTGCGATATTTATGGATTTTCACAACTTTTTTTTATGCTAAAAGAGTATGGCGAATCGACGAAATAAAACGCCGTTTATCATTATGTAAAAAGACTGTGCATTAATTATTTCGTAACATGGAAACGAATGTGAATTATTTAATGACTACTGATTCGCTATGTAATAATTTATTACAGTCTGCGAATATCATTTTAACTGCGAAGCCAGCGTCTAATTTTTTCGTAGATTTTTAATTAATTAGTCACAGCGTTTCCATGAAAACTGTAATTTTAATTGATGAATTTCTTTGCTCATCAACTTTTTAAAAATTTATAACTCATATCGTCAACTTTACTCATGAAAGTCGTTCCACTTTGGAATTTATTACGTTTTTTTAGTATTTTTATTACGAAACTTATTAAATGTCCCATAATTAACATGATCAAAATTAGAAAAGGAACAAAATGTCGTTACGCTCGAAAAGTCATGTACGTTGGCAATGGCCATCAGGCGCACGAACACAATGATGTCTTCAGTCACGTCAACCGTTGGAATTTTCTAAAAGAGCTCGCAATCGAGTCCACGCGAGCGAGAAAATCGCGTTGGCTCACGCAGAGGGTCTTATAGTCGGCAAAGTAGCATCATATCGAGGTCGCGGAAACGCGGAACTTGATGCTTGCCTCGCGGCACGAAGACACACTTTTCCCCGTACGTCCACACTACAATGCCCTCGCTTACATTAGTTGTACGGACGCGCTAGGCTGATTCCCTTTTTGCATAATAGGAACGCGGGAGTAGAATTAAAAGCACGTGTATATATAAAAAAAGAAAACTTGTACTTTTAAATTTAGGAAATTCCACATAACCAGACAAGTCATTTAAGATAATAAATGTTAATCAAGTAATTAGAAACGACTTTAATAGATTGCATTGCCTGTTTCTCTTCATAAATTATTAATTCACGGCGGTGTGTGTGCGTGTTTCACGCACCTATGTAGAAAGTCCAACGGGGCAACAAAAAAGATACGCGTAGGTTTTGTTATTACTGGTAAATGCGAAACGTTATTCATCTCAAATGATTGTTTTCATACGTATTGGCGATGAATGTAGGTTTCTGGGCGACGAGACAGCCGAACCCCCGTGATGGTGAATGCGTTGACGTCAAAGTTACAGACGAGCAGCATCAATCTTGGGAGCTCACGACCTGCGAGTCGTTGCTTCCTTTCATGTGTCGTGCCAATGCCTGTCCGGCAGGTGAGCTTAACTTTCCAACTTGTCGAACACAAAAAAATATTGAAGACTTGCTTTGGACTAATACTCGTTTGTCTGTTTGTTCTCTAGGCTCGTTTCACTGCTCGAATGGCAAGTGCATCAACAATGCATTCAAGTGCGACAAGCAGGACGACTGTGGTGATTATTCCGATGAAATTGACTGTCCAATAAATTGTCAATTTTATATGGCAAGTAGTGGTGATGTTGTTGAAAGTCCGAACTATCCACATAAGTACACACCCTTGAGCAACTGCAAGTGGACACTTGAAGGACCACAAGGACATAATATTCTTCTTCAGGTATATAGTTGGATTTGATAAATTTTTTAACATTATCAACAATTGTTATTTAATATACAATAAATAATCTTGTCGCTCCTCTTAAATATTGCACAACGATTTTTCAAGACTGACATCCTTTTATGAAAACATAACCACCTTTTTACGTTACGCTACTTAACTTGACAATCACTTAAAAAGTAATAAAAGACCACAAGCATAAAAACACCACAAATTAAAAAAAAAATTGCCATCAGTTCCAAGAATTCGAGACAGAGAAGAGCTACGACACAGTACAGATCCTAGTAGGCGGTCGTACCGAAGAAAAATCGGTGAACTTAGCAACGCTCTCGGGCAAACAAGATCTAAGCAATAAACTATTTGTCTCGGCGTCGAACTTCATGATCGTGAAGTTCAGTACCGATGGCTCGGTGGAACGTAAAGGTTTCCGTGCCTCATGGAAGACTGAGCCGCAAACTTGTGGCGGCATTCTTAGGGCCACGCCTCAGGGCCAATTACTCACCTCACCAGGCTACCCACAGAACTATCCTGGTGGACTCGAGTGCCTTTATATTATTCAAGCACAACCAGGAAGAATCTTATCGCTCGAGGTAAGTTTATTTTATTATGAATGAAATATCGTCATTTGATTGGAATATAACGTTCAATCTCGACGCTCGTCAAATTACTAAATTTTTTTTCTAAACCAACACGACCGCATGCTAATGCGAGAACTATTAACATCTCGCGATCGAAAAATTCAATTGTATCCTTGAAATGCAAATTAGTTTAACTGAAATCGACAATCGATATATACACGAAACAATACATCTTGCACGTTCATGGTCACATTCTTCAGGCAAACCAATCACGAAACCCAAAATTACCAGGTACACTTTTTTTTGTTTTCTATAGATCGAAGATATGGATCTGGAATCAGAACGCGACTACATCTTGATAAGGGACGGCGATACACCAATGAGCCGACCAATTGCACGGCTTACTGGCGCCGACGACGACTACCCCAAGATTATTATGTCGACGGGCAGCAACCTCTATCTTTACTTCAAGACTAACCTCGGAGATTCGCGTCGTGGCTTTAGCATACGTTACACTCAAGGATGCAAAGCTACTATCGTTGCTCGCAATGGCACTGTTCAATCACCATCATTCTCCCTCAATGATTATCCCAACAATCAAGAATGCTTGTATCGCATTAAGAATCCTAAGGGGGGCCCATTGTCCTTGAAGTTCGACAGGTTTATCGTTCACAAGACTGATTTCGTACAGGTAAATAATTAATAAATCGTTTTTCATTGAGATTTGAGAAATTCCATTTGATCGACACCATGGAAATTCATCGGTAGGTTTACGATGGACCTAACACTAACGGTTTGAGACTACATTCTGGTAGTGGATTCACAACTAGTACACGTCCAAAGATTACATTGACAGCCGAGAGCGGAGAGATGCTGATTAGATTTGTCTCTGACGCTCTGCACAGTGAAGTCGGCTGGCAAGCTTCTTTCTCAGCTGGTTCGTCTTTCTAATATTATCACATCTTTGTTCAAAATAAAAATTAGAATAATTATTCTTCAGCTACATATTTATTTTTCTAGATTGCCCACCACTACAACCAGGTGAAGGAGCAATGGCATCAAGTCGCGACACAGCCTTTGGTACCGTAATCACATTTTCTTGCCCTCTCGGTCAAGAATTTGCAACTGGCAAAGCTAAAATTACTACCGAATGTCTGGCTGGTGGTAACTGGTCCGTCACGTACATACCAAAATGCCAAGAAGTTTATTGTGGTCCAGTACCACAAATAGATAATGGATTCTCCATTGGATCGACTAACGTTACTTATCGTGGAATCGCTACATACCAATGTTACGCTGGTTTCGCCTTCCCAACTGGCAGACCTACTGAGAAGATCTCATGTTTAGCTGACGGCATGTGGGAGAAGAAACCTGCTTGCCTTGGTAAAGCTTGTTTGTCTGATAATTAAAATTAAAAAATATGACTTTGCAGAATTTTAATTTGGTTATACTTTTTCATAGCGTCTCAGTGTCCACCTCTTCCGGAAGCACCGCATGCCGAGCTTACTGTATTAAATGGTGGCGGAAGAAGCTACGGTACAATCGTAAGATTCGAATGTGAACCTGGTTACGTCAGAAGTGGTCATCCAGTAATCCTTTGCATGAGTAACGGAACTTGGTCTGACAACGTTCCTGTTTGTTCCCGTGAGTTTCCTAAAAATAAATCTGACATTTTCATACATTGAGCAGTGGTAAAAAATGCTAAACTCATCATTACAGGAGCTAAATGTCCGATCCCACCAACTATCAAGAACGGGTTCGTGGTCGACTCTTCGAAAGACTACTTTTTCGGCGACGAGGCTCGTGTACAATGCAACCGAGGTTATAAATTATCCGGTTCAAACATAATCACTTGCGGCACCCAGCAGCGTTTCGAAAACGTACCCACATGTGAAGGTACATAGGTTATCTACTTAACTATATTGAATCATTTTTAAATTCAAATACAAGCCGATAGAGTGCATGAGATTTATGACCAAAAATTTTCTTAATAGACGTCAATGAGTGCGCTTCAAGCCAATGCGATCTCGCCTCAACAGAATGCATTAACACACCCGGAGCGTTCACCTGTAAATGCAAATCAGGCTTTGCTTCGACATTGGAATGTAGACCGATTGGCGATTTGGGTATGATTAACGGCGGTATTCCTGATGAATCGATTACCGTATCCAGCTCCGAAAACGGATATACTAAATCGGTATGCTTTGAATTTTGTTACAAAATATTCTCGCTGAATCAATGCATGTAACAGCTGTTACTTGTGCAGTATTTGCTCAGTTTGATTATTGAAATGATTATAGGGCATCCGACTGAACAACGGCGATGGCTGGTGTGGCAATAGTGTAGAGCCAGGAGCAAACTGGGCCACAATCGACATGAAAGCGCCGACCATAATACGAGGCTTCAGAACTCAAGTAGTTGCTCGTGCCGATGGAAATATTGCCTTCACTACCGCGGTTCGCATTCAATACACCGATAATCTGACCGATATCTTCAAAGATTACACAAATCCCGACGGCACGCCCGTGGAATTCCGCATCCTCGAGGCTACACTTTCGGTTCTGAACTTGCCGATGCCAATTGAGACGCGATACATCAGGTTCCGCATACAAGACTATGTGGGAGCTCCCTGCATGAAACTTGAAATTATGGGTTGCACTCGTCTTGAGTGTACAGACATTAATGAGTGTGCCACTAACAATGGCGGCTGTCATCAGAAATGTATCAATAATCCTGGCAGCTTCACATGCTCGTGTAATACGGGTTATGAACTTTACAAAGGCAATGGTACTGCTGGTTTTGCCATCGCGAAGTCTGAAAACGGCGAACGGGACGGCGATCTTTATCAGAGAAATAAGACTTGCGTATCAGTCATGTGTCCTGTTTTGGCTGCTCCTGAAAACGGAAAAATCTTATCTACTAAGGTAAATAGTATTTCCAAGAATGACTGTTTAAAAACATTTGGAGTTAGAAAAAAATCGTTAATACCCCCCCCCCCCCACATACACACACATACACACACATATATATATATATAAATTTTTTTAGGCTCAATATCATTTTGGTGATCTCGTAAAATTCCAATGTGACTTTGGATACGTACTTGCTGGACCTTCTGCTGTACTCTGCACTTCTAGTGGGGTGTGGAACGGCACAACTCCAGAATGTCAATGTATGTCGATACTTGATGATCTTTTAATTTTATTGAAATGTTTCTAAATCATATGCTCAATTTTTAGATGCTAAATGTGTTTCGCTACCGGACGACAAAAATGAAGGCCTGTCGGTACTTCGAAGTGACGAAACTAGTGTATTGGTTCCCTTTAAACAAAATGTTACACTCAAATGTAATAATAACGGACGTTCTCTCCGAAATACTGCTACGTCTCATTTCCGACAATGCGTGTACGATCCAAAACCAGGTTATCCAGATTATTGGCTCTCTGGATCACCGCCAGCTTGCCCACGAGCCGATTGTGGTTTACCATTACCGACTCCTGGTGCCGAATACGGACAATACATGGACACCAAATATCAATCTTCGTTCTTCTTTGGCTGTCAAGATACATTCAAACTCGCAGGACAGACGAATCGTCATGATAACGTAGTCCGTTGTCAGGCCAACGGTATCTGGGATTTCGGTAACTTACGTTGCGAAGGACCAGTCTGCGAAGATCCTGGGAGACCGGCTGACGGTTATCAAATTGCTAGAAGCTACGAGCAGAGTTCTGAAGTTCAATTTGGTTGTTCTCGCCCAGGCTATATTTTGATCAATCCCAGACCGATCGTTTGTCTACGAGAACCCGAATGTAAAGTTGTTAAACCTTTAGGTTTGGCTTCAGGAAAAATTCCAGATTCCGCTATTAATGCTACCTCTGAAAGACCCAACTATGAGGCTAAAAATATCAGGCTCAACTCGGTTACTGGTTGGTGTGGAAAGCAAGAGGCATTTACCTACGTTAGTGTTGATATGGGCAAAGTATACAGGATCAAGGCTATTTTAGTCAAGGGTGTTGTAACCAATGACATAGTGGGTAGACCAACAGAAATAAGATTCTTCTACAAGCAATCCGAGAGCGAAAATTACGTAGTTTACTTCCCCAATTTTAATCTAACGATGCGTGATCCTGGAAACTATGGTGAATTGGCTATGATTACTCTACCAAAATACGTTCAAGCTAGATTTGTTATCCTTGGAATTGTCAGCTACATGGATAACGCTTGTTTGAAATTCGAATTAATGGGCTGTGATGAACCAGTTGAAGAACCTTTGCTTGGTTATGATTACGGATTTTCACCTTGTGTTGATAACGAGCCACCAGTTTTCCAAAATTGCCCACAACAACCGATCATGGTACAGAAAGGATCTGATGGTGGTTTGCTTCCAGTGAATTTTACTGAGCCTACAGCTATTGACAATAGTGGTAGCATTGCTAGGCTTGAGATCAAACCACAATATTTCAAGACTCCGATCAAGATTTTCGAGGATACTGTTGTTAAATATATCGCTTATGATTACGATGGCAATGTAGCTATTTGTGAGGTCAACATTACTGTACCAGGTAAATTTATACATAATTATTGTTGTACAAATATGTTTTTATAGGAAAAGTCTATAGTAATAGTATATTATTATTCTCAGATGTGACTCCGCCAAAACTAAGCTGCCCGCAAAGTTATGTTATTGAGCTTGTAGACAAGCAGGACAGCTATTCAGTGAACTTCAACGAGACTCGTCGTAGAATTAACGCAACCGATGCATCTGGTCCTGTCAGAATAACTTTCATTCCTGAGCGTGCGATAATTCCAATTGGTGGTTTTGAAAATGTTACTGTTTATGCAACCGACTCCAGCGGAAATAGGGCACAGTGTCATTTCCAAGTATCCGTCCAAGCTACTCCTTGCGTCGATTGGGAATTAAAGCCTCCAGCAAACGGAGGACTCAAATGCCTTCCCAGCGAGAAGGGATTAAATTGTATCGCAACTTGCAAAGCTGGATACCGATTTACGGACGGTCAGGCTGTTAGGCAATACTTTTGTGACACTGTAAAACATTGGGCTCCAAGCTCAGTTGTACCAGACTGTGTTTCTGAAAGTGAGTTTATAACTTAATTATAAACTATTTCTCTGTGAAAAGATTTGTTACTAATACTAAAATTTTTTATTGACAGACACGCAACAAGCCGATTACCATGTTATTGCATCGGTCAACTACCGAGCTAACGGAGTTGTTCATCGCTCATGCCTTCCTCAATACCAAGACTTACTTTCACAATACTACTACAATCTTAACAACATCTTGACTCAACGTTGTTCTGCTATCAATGTACATATGAATGTGTCATTTGTTCGTTCTGTGCCAACATTGCTCGAAGAAAACCTTTTGAGGGTTAGTAATTATACTGTAAAAAGATAGTGAAGATGAAGAAGTAGTTTAAAATGGGACATTTATATTACAGATGGATTTCATTTTGTCGATTGTACCAGCGGTCCGTCAACCACAACTATATGATCTTTGCGGTTCAACATTGAATTTGATCTTTGATTTATCTGTACCTCAATCCAGTCAAGTCATTGAACCTCTATTGAATGTTTCGGCCATTGGCAACCAATGTGTTCCTCTTCGTGCTCTTAAATCATCAATCTCGCGAGGTTTTACTTGTAGTATCGGTGAAGTACTCAATATGGACACCAATGATGTTCCACGATGTTGTACGTATCTCAACCAGCTTTAGAATTGAAAATAACAATTCATAAGTTTAAAATAATAAATATATTTTGCCAATTTTAGTGCACTGTCCTGCTGGAACTTTTGCTGGCGAAAAGCAGAAACAATGTACTTCCTGTCCTAAAGGATTCTACCAAAATACTGACCGTCAAGGTACTTGCCTTCGCTGTCCATTTGGAACGTACACCAAAGAAGAAGGTTCAAAAAGCATCGATGACTGCATACCTGTTTGCGGTTATGGTACCTACTCACCGACAGGTCTTGTTCCTTGCCTGGAATGCCCACGGAATAGCTACAGTGGCGAACCTCCTATCGGTGGTTTTAAAGACTGTCAGACTTGTCCAGCTGGAACTTTCACTTATCAACCAGCATCCCCGGGCAAAGACCGCTGCCAAGCTAAATGTTCTCCTGGAATGTACTCTGACACAGGACTCGCGCCTTGTGCTCAGTGTCCTAAGGACTTCTTCCAACCTCAGCATGGTGCAACAACTTGCATAGAATGTCCCACAAATTCGTACACTGATAAACCCGGGGCTGTTGGTCGAGAAGAATGCAAACCTGTTCAGTGTACCGATAATATCTGTCAACATGGTGGACTTTGTGTGCCTATGGGTCACGGAGTACAATGCTTCTGTCCAGCCGGTTTCTCGGGTCGACGTTGTGAGATTGATATCGACGAATGTGCTTCCCAACCTTGTTACAACAGCGCAACTTGTATCGACTTGCCACAGGGATACAGATGCCAGTGTCCTACAGGCTATTCAGGTATAAATTGTCAGGAGGAGAAATCCGACTGCAAAAATAACACTTGTCCTGAACGAGCCATGTGCAAAGACGAACCTGGATTCAACAATTACACTTGCTTGTGTAGATCTGGTTATACTGGAGTTGATTGCGATATTACGGTAAATATTTTTATTAAATTTCAACTCGACCAAATCTTCTGTGCTACATCTAAATACTTCTATTGTAATTTTTCAGATTAATCCTTGCACTACAAACGGCAATCCGTGTCATAACGGTGCATCTTGCGTAGCCTTGCAACAGGGTCGTTATAAGTGCGAATGTCTCCCTGGTTGGGAAGGTCAGAGTTGTGAGATTAATACCGATGATTGTGCTGAACGTCCGTGCCTTCTTGGCGCTAACTGTACCGATCTTATCGATGATTTCACGTGCGATTGTCCACCAGGATTCACAGGAAAACGTTGTCACGAAAAGATCGACCTTTGTTCCGGCAATCCTTGCCTGAACGGTGTCTGTGTAGACAAGCTCTTTAGTCACGAATGTATTTGTCATCCTGGATGGACTGGTGCGGCTTGTGAAATCAATATTAATGAATGCGCAAATAAACCTTGTCGTAATAATGGTCAATGTACCGATCAGATCGACGATTACATTTGTAACTGTGAACCTGGTTATACTGGCAAACAATGTCAACATACAATTGACGATTGTGCTTCTAATCCTTGCGTCAATGGCGGTACTTGTATCGACCAACTCGAAGGATTTATCTGCAGATGCCGACCTGGATTTGTGGGTTTACAGTGTGAAGCTGAAATCGATGAATGTCTTAGTGATCCTTGCAGTCCTGTTGGTACTGAACGATGTGTCGACTTAGATAATCAATTTATATGTCAATGCAGAGAAGGATTCACCGGAGCTACTTGTGAAACGAATATTGATGACTGCTTATCTGATCCTTGTCTCAACGGAGCTACCTGTAGAGATGAAATCGGTGGATTTAAATGTATGTGTAAGGAAGGATGGACTGGTAATAGGTGCGAACACGATGTCGGTACTTGCCAGAATAAACCTTGCCAGAACGATGCCAACTGTGTCGATCTTTTCCAGGACTTCTTCTGCGTGTAAGTATTTATAAAGATATGCTTTAAAAAATTTCCAAATTACATTGATACAAGATAAACATTTAATACGAATTTATAGATGCCCATCTGGAACTGATGGCAAACGTTGCGAGACAGCGCCTGAGCGCTGCATCGGAAATCCATGCATGCATAACGGTCGGTGTCAAGATTTTGGCTCAGGTCTTAACTGCACTTGCCCAGACGATTACACCGGAATCGGTTGCCAATACGAGTATGATGCTTGTCAAGCTGGTGCCTGCAAGAACGGTGCAACGTGCATCGATAATGGCATTGGTTTCACTTGTATATGTCCCCACGGATATACGGGTAAAACTTGTGAGGAAGATATTATCGATTGCAAAGAGAACTCCTGTCCGCCATCGGCTACTTGTATCGATCTCACTGGCAAGTTCTTCTGCCAATGTCCGTTCAATCTAACTGGTGATGATTGCAGAAAATGTAAGTTTTTTAAATGAGTAGTATTATTATCTAATAACAATTTTGAATAAAGACTAACTTTTTATTTGAACGTTCTGCAGCAATTCAAGTCGACTACGATCTCTACTTCAGTGACCCAACTCGTAGCAGTGCATCGCAAGTTATACCATTCTTTACGGGAGCTAAAAAGAGCTTGACTATCGCTATGTGGGTGCAGTTCACTCAGCGTGATGAAGCTGGAATCTTCTTCACGCTTTACGCTGTCAGCTCTCCTCATGTGCCAACATACCGTAGGCCAATGCTACAAGCACATAGTAATGGAGTTCAAGTATCCATCTTCCACGATCTCCAAGACGTTTATCTACCATTCAGAGAATACGCAACCATTAATGATGGACAATGGCATCATATCGCTGTCATTTGGAATGGTGAAAATGGTGGTGAATTGACTCTCATCACTGAAGGTTTGATTGCTAGCAAAACTGAAGGATACGGTAGCGGCAGAAATTTGCCATCCTAGTAAGAAATAATTTTTTAAAACAATTCAGCAACTGTATCTCTATTTTAACTAATGAATTATTTTCCAAATTTTCAGCGCATGGGCCGTTTTGGGTAAACCACAAAGTGAAAGCCCAAAAGGTTACACCGAATCCGGCTTCCAAGGTCATCTTACCAAAGTTCAGATTTGGGAACGCGCTCTACACGTTACCAACGAGATTCAAAAACAAGTACGCGATTGCCGCGCAGAGCCAGTGCTTTATCCAGGCTTGGTACTTACTTGGTCTGGATATGATGAGATTATCGGTGGTGTTGAGCGTATTGCGCCATCGCACTGTGGTCAGCGAGTCTGTCCACCAGGTTATGGTGGTAGCAAGTGCCAACAACTTGAGACTGATAAGATTCCACCTAAAGTTGACCATTGTCCTGGTGATCTTTGGGTTATTGCTAAAAATGGCTCGTCGATTGTCACTTGGGATGAACCCAAATTTAGCGATAATGTAGGTGTTGTTAGGATACAGGAGAAGAGTGGACATAGATCTGGTCAAACGCTACTCTGGGGAACTTATGATATTAGTTATGTGGCATACGATCAGGCCGGAAACTCTGCTAGCTGTAACTTCAAGGTTTACGTACTTTGTAAGTGATGATGAAAATTATTTGAAACTTTATTTTATTACTTGAATTCATATACTCAATGTTTAACTAATTTTTAGACGACTTTTGCCCTGAATTATCTGATCCTGTTGGTGGTACACAACAGTGCAAAGACTGGGGTTCTGGCGGTCAGTTTAAGGTCTGTGAAATTTCTTGCAATCCTGGACTGAGATTCGCTCAAGAAGTACCTAAGTTCTATACTTGCGGTGCTGAGGGTTTCTGGCGACCAACCAATGATCCTGGTTTACCACTTATTTATCCTGCTTGTACAAGTAAGATATTCATATACTAGATTAATTCTTCGTTAAAAGAAAATATGATATTAAGAACTAACGTTTATTGTTATAGGTGCCACGGCAGCACAAAGGGTGTTCAAGATCAAGATGAACTTCCCAACATCCGTACTTTGTAACGAGGCTGGTCAAGAAGTATTGAAACAGAAGGTCAGGCGCGCAGTGAACTCGTTAAACAGAGACTGGAATTTCTGTTCTAATTCATTTGAAGGTACGCACTTTCATTTCACAATGGCTAATGTTGTTTTGTTAATAACAGTCATTGAATAAATTTTTAATTGGCATTATTCTCTGAGTAGGGACTCGCGAATGTAAAGATCTGCTTATTAATGTCCAATGCGATCATCGTGTGCGATCAACAAGACAAGCACCCAGTGACGATCCTGGAACTTATGCCGCCACTATCGATATTCTTACTGAGCCGTAAGTTCTCTTATATTATGTTAAAATTTTCCAGTTCCATAAATTTAATATTGATGCAAAAGAAACACTACGTAAATCAAAAGCAATTTGATAAAGCTAAAAAATAATTTCTTGCACAATAGAATGAGACAAGCGCGCCAGGGCAGTGATACCTACGAAGTGGAAATATCCTTCCCAGCCATAAAGTAAGATATGACTTATGCGCGATAAAAAAACCTCTAAATAGAATTTTCAGATATCTCTAACCATCACTAACGAGAGAAACTCATCATTCAGTAACCTGACATTGAGCAGAATTGTGGACACACATAACAACATTTTTTATAAGCAAAACTAATAATATCGACAAACATTTAACAAATAATACTCATATGGTCGCGTAATAATTATGTTACAGTTAGCGTTAGTATGGTGCATGGCTTCATCATAAAAATAAAATACACACTTAACAATATTTATATATTGACATATGCCTCTATAGTGCTATACATGCTTCATAGTAGTATACAGGTAATAATCATGGCTGCTGTAATGCATTGACGCTGATATAAATCGTAAGATTAAGGCAAAAAACCAACAGGATGGATGTACAAACGGGGCTGCTTCTGCGTACACAGCGCTGCAGTATACGATAGATTTTACATTTAAATAACAATTCATTTGCCAATAATTATATTATAATATCATGTCTCATTAACCAATATTTCGTTTGTAAATATTCGCGTTCATCTAAAACGAAAAGTAGATTTAGTATGTGTAAAATTAAAAACCTAACAATTGGTATTTTTCCGTATTTGTTTAGCGATCCAATTTTAAACACAAACTCGAACGAGCGAGCGTCAGTGCAAACGTTACTTGAAAAATTGATTCTCGAAGAAGATCAATTCGACGTGCACGACATTCTGCCAAACACCGTTCCTGATCCAGCTTCTCTAGTCCTTGAATCCGATTACGCTTGTCCCGTCGGCCAAGTCGTCATGGCTCCCGATTGTGGTAAGTTTTTGTCTTTCATCACAAAATGTTAACAATTATTATGATACTTCAGGTTAACCATTTGTCATTATCAATAAATAGTGCCTTGCGCCATCGGTACTTATTACGACACGACAACCAAGAAATGTGAGCTCTGCCCAATGGGCACATATCAGAGCGAGTCCGGGCAATTAAAGTGCAGTCAATGTCCCGTCATAGCTGGCCGGCTGTCAGTTACAATAGGCCCAGGCGCTCGAAGCGCGGCAGATTGTAAAGAACGTTGTCCTGCTGGCAAGTACTACGACGACATGGCAGGACTCTGTCGCAGCTGTGGTCACGGATTCTACCAACCAGAAGAAGGTAGTTTCTCGTGTCTCATCTGTGGTCTTGGCAAGACAACTCGTACAGCCGAGGCTGTATCGCGTGAAGAATGCCGAGACGAATGCGGTTCCGGTCAACAATTGGCTGTCGAAGGCAAGTGCGAACCTTGCCCACGAGGAACGTACAGAATGCAGGGTGTCCAAGCGGCCTGTCAATCTTGTCCATTGGGTAGAACAACGCCGAATCTGGGATCGGCTGCGATTGAAGAATGCTCGTTACCAGTTTGCGAGCCTGGTAGTCATCTGAATGGCACACTCAACCAATGCATCGAGTGTAAGAAGGGCACTTATCAGCCAGAAGCTCAACAGACTTCGTGTATACCTTGTCCGCCCAATACCAGTACTAAGGGATCGGCTGCTGTGAGTATAATTGACGAAATTCGCATCATGGTCAATCCATCAATGACATGTAATAATATCGAATAAAATTTTGAATTTCAGGTCAATAAAGAAGAATGCACGAATCCCTGTGAAGTCAATGGTGAGGAGATGCATTGCGATCCTAACGCTTACTGTTTACTCAACGTCGAGACAAGCGATTTTAAATGCCAATGTAAGCCTGGTTACAATGGAACTGGCTACGAATGCGTTGACGTGTGCCTTGGTTTCTGCGAGAACGAAGGCGTCTGTAAAAAGGACTCCAAGGGCGAGCCATCTTGTAGATGCAGTGGTAGTTTTACGGGCAAACACTGTGCTGAGAAATCACCATTCTTCTATATAACTGGTGGTATTGCCAGTGGCGTCGTGCTCATTATCATTGTTGTGCTGCTCGTTTGGATGATTTGCGCGAGGTTAGTATTGCTGATGAAAATTTTATTATGTATTTTATGAACGATGAACAAAAATCGAAATTTTAAGAATTCCACTTTAGAATAAAAATTGTATTATGTTACTTTCAAGAGAATACGAATCGATACAGAAACATTTTATAATATTTGTGTTGAAAGTAAAAATCTTATGTGCGATGTATTTGATTAATTATTTAGAGCGTCGAGGAGGAAAGAGCCAAAGAAGATGTTAACACCGGCAACGGACCAGAACGGCTCGCAAGTGAACTTCTACTATGGTGCACCAACACCGTACGCAGAGTCGATCGCGCCGTCGCATCACAGCACTTATGCGCACTATTACGACGACGAGGAGGACGGTTGGGAAATGCCCAACTTTTACAATGAGACTTACATGAAAGGTAAGAGCGAATCTGAGCGATCAGACGCCATTATATTTTGAGTACACAAAAAAAAATTGAAAGAACAGAAATAATTTCAAAATTGCCTCGCACACAAACAATACGTCGTGATAAAAAAAAGATACGCGTGAAAACTGTACAAAATGAAAACGGTGTGTACGAATTAAGTCATGCCCACATAATTCATCATGTTAAATGTATAAAAGTGTAAAACAAAATTGTATTCTTTGTTCACGTTGCACGCAGAGAGTTTGCACAATGGCGGCAAAATGAATAGCCTCGCACGATCGAACGCGAGCATTTACGGTACGAAAGATGATCTTTACGACAGACTGAAACGCCACGCGTACCCCGGAAAGAAAGGTTCGTAGAAATATAAAATACAAATACACACAGCTGTTCAAATTTAAAGCACTTTACTTTTCAATTCCTCTATGTTGCCATAGTTTTTTTTTGCACGTTTTTAACTTCATTTTTTATTTTTTCTACATATAGAGTTTAAGCTTATTATTTTTTGTTGTTGATAATATTATATGAGAGCACTTTTTTTGGGACCAATGAAAAGTTAATTCTATTGAATTGTGATGAATTTGTAGATAAGAGTGACAGCGATAGCGAAGGTCAGTGACTTTCGGGAAAAGTGGCCAAAATCGAAAGTGACGAATCTCCATAATTATCACGACGAGCTCAACGATGCGATTGTTTGACCGACGTCTGCGAAAATGACTTTAAAAAAACGATTGACACGCAACGACTTTATTTATTTTGATGCACGCTTTTTTAATCCGAATTGTGTACTTACCCATATAAGAAAGCAAAAAGAAAAAGAGTCGAGAGATAAGTTGAGGTGACTCGTAACGAATTGCTCGAGAAAAAAGCTCCTGTAGCCGCGATCGATCTTATCTAAGTTTCGAAGAAGGAAAAACAGTATATAATTAGCACACACAAGAAAATTAACGACGTACACGATCGCCGCTTCGGCGCGTTTTCCTCGCAGTTCGCAATTATTAGCATCGCGATCATATTATTGAAAGCTAAAAAATGAAATAACACTTCGAAAAATGGACGATCGTTCTGATTTTTTTTCCTAATTTTTAAGTACGGAATGATTTTTTAATTTTTTACTTTATATATGATAATACCAAGTACGACTGATTTTACAATTGGTATGAAAGATGATCGAGCGAGTTGCATATAACTTAGACCTACATGTAGATCAGTATATTTAATTTTGAGAAGTTGATTGAATAGGTGAATTTTTTTATTATACATACAATTATTTTATTGTTTATTACGTTTTAACAATACTCGAGTTTTTTTTTCTGCGACGGTGATTTCATTTTTTTTTGTTTATTCACTTTTTATTGAGTTTCCATCAGTCATATTGTGTATGTATTTCCGTAGTTAAGAATGAATATTTCATTTTTTAATACATTGTAGGATTTTTTTCTTTATATTATTTAAAAATTTTCATCTGAAAAGTCTTCCCAGTATAGTTCTTCTTTATATATATTAACGGTGCGAAAGTATATAAGACAAATGTGTGCTGACTGTAATTATTATACATTAATGAAATGATAATTAGGCTTAAGTGATTTTTATTTTATATAGATATATATTGTTATTATAAATATGTAACTATTTGTACAATAATTTACGTTACACATTGACCGAAATACAAGAAAACAAAATGCGAGAGAGAATGTTTTATAAAGTATACATATAACAAAAAATCTCTCGACAACTAACATTTATAAACAAGCATACAAGAAATATTTCATTATAGTCAGTAGGAAAAAGCTCAAAGCATTTTCATTGTATAAGACATTTTATTGTTTAAAAGAGGAGAGCTTGTTCTCCATCGACACTGTAAAAATGCTTCGACGAATATTGTTTTTAATAAAAAAAATATTTCTACTATATTCCCGGAATTGTTCCTTCATTTATCCTGTACTACATTTCTTGTTATGCGGTGAAAAAATTTGACATTGCTACAGATGCTGTAGATTGGCGTTAATAAAATAACCGAATGACAAATATCGAATGTTCTAATCACCATCTAGGACTACATATAAGACACGAGAGCTACGACGATTTTTGTTCTTATATAATTACTTACTGTACTTACAGTATCTAACTTTATCAATAGCGATACACGAAAAGATTATCATTTCTGTATTTTTATACTTTTGCAATTTCATCATTTGAAGCAATATGAAATAATCATCTGATTAGTTCATTCACGCGCTACTCATAAACAGAATATTGAATAAAATTCTTAAAGCACGTGAGGATTAAATTATTATATAATCGATACCCGCAAACTAGTGATATTTATTTTTAAACTAAACTCTATTTATTGCTAAAGTCTTACTATAATTTCTACACATCATTTATAAAAATCATATCAATTATATCATATAAAAATTGTTGTATGGAATTTTTACAATTGTACGTCCTTAGAAAACGTGTACAGTCGATTATTATTTTTGATTCATGATTAAAATCATCAAAAAATATAAAAAGCTTTTACACAAAAAATCCATATGTAGTAATTCAAAATTTATGTCGTCTGACTATTAGGTATGTTACTACTTAAAAATAAAATTCAGAATATGAATATATTTTATACATCTTAATATAGTAAAAGCAAAATCATTTGCTAAAACTAAAAATAGAAAGTAATTGCACCTACCCGCAATCGATGGAAATTGTAATAAACTAGCAATTATATTGCATGAGTAATTTCTGCAATTCGAATTGACAATAGAGTTGTTAAGTCGATCTAATCATAAATTTTAATCACTTCGTGCATTCTTTAAAAAAAAAAATTTTATATGGAATAACTATAAAATCACCAATTCTTAGCGTAATTTTCCGCCTACTAAGTATTCAGAAAACGATGTAAAATTTATAGAGCTTACGTAATGACTTTTAAGTCGAAAATGATTTCTATACTTTTTACAGAATGACCTCTAATGATTTTCCTTAAGGACAATCATTGGTCACTGGATTATTCCTTTCAAATAAATATACCAAAGTTAGAAATTGAGTATACTTGTGGAAATATAATACTATTGCTCGTATATAAATATGGGTAATTCTAGGCTATTTCGATTGACTTGTAACCCTTAGGTTACGGATTTTTTTTTAATTTGGCACAATTGTTGTACACATAAAACTGAGATTTTTTCCAAATTTTGGAGACGATACATTAATTATATCAAAAGTTATTAACAATTAAAGAAAAATGATAAAAAATTTTCAAACAGCTATATTTTAAAAACTAATAAAGATATCGAAGTCGGATTTTTTTCAAAATACTTATAATGCCTTAAAATTTCGAAATAATTACAACAATAAACAATAAAAATTTTTTTTCGAAAGTTATTAACTTTTTGTTTAAACAATTGCTAATATCTCAAAAAGTATATTTTTTTTTTGAAAAATTCTTGCTCCTACGTATTCCTGAGGATTTTTGCTATCGAAATCAATCATAAAATTCAAGGGCCCGACATATCGGAAAGCGTAGCCCTAATCAAAAGAAGACGCCTCAGCGTAAGACCACGAAGACGTCCTGCTGTCGTTGCGACGTACACTGAGGCATCTTCTTTTGATTAGGGCTACGCTTTCCGATATGTCGGGCCCTTGAATTTTATGATTGATTTCGATAGCAAAAATCCTCAGGAATACGTAGGAGCAAGAATTTTTCAAAAAAAAAATATACTTTTTGAGATATTAGCAATTGTTTAAACAAAAAGTTAATAACTTTCGAAAAAAAATTTTTATTGTTTATTGTTGTAATTATTTCGAAAGTTCAAGGTATTATAAGTAATTTGGGAACACTCCGATTCGGTATCTTTATTAGTTTTTTAGATTAAAGCTAAAGTACCTTTCGACCGTGAGTCCGCTGGAGCGCTACCGCAGCCTTACGCCGAGGCGTCTTCTTTTGATTAGGGCTACGCTTTCCGATATGTCGGGCCCTTGAATTTTATGATTGATTTCGATAGCAAAAATCCTCAGGAATACGTAGGAGCAAGAATTTTTCAAAAAAAAATATACTTTTTGAGATATTAGCAATTGTTTAAACAAAAAGTTAATAACTTTCGAAAAAAAATTTTTATTGTTTATTGTTGTAATTATTTCGAAATTTTAAGGCATTATAAGTATTTTGAAAAAAATCCGACTTCGATATCTTTATTAGTTTTTAAAATATAGCTGTTTGAAAATTTTTTATCATTTTTCTTTAATTGTTAATAACTTTTGATATAATTAATGTATCGTCTCCAAAATTTGGGAAAAATCTCAGTTTTATGTGTACAACAATTGTGCCAAATTAAAAAAAAATCCGTAATCTAAGGGTTACAAGTCAATCGAAATAGCCTAGAATTACCCATATATATGTATGTATCAACTCGTAAGATAAAATGGACCCCTGCAATTCCATCGCGGTGGTTTATGTCCACAATAAATCGATAAACTTTCTCTTATATGCACACAGTTAAACAAACACAAGTTTGTTCTTACCGCCCACCAGGCCGTGATCATCCACACATACACATACGGTCGTGTACACGATAGCAGTGCAAAATTGATGAGGCACGATGACGTCTAACTTTCGAAGCTTGGCTCTGATTGGTCGAGAATCACGACATGCCCACGAGGATTGGTGGCTATTGCGAGAGAGCAGAGCAGTGCCGCGGGCTCGTGACGCGCGTGCCGTGGAGGCTTGCTTCGATCCTCGCCGTGAGGAGAGCTGCTATTTGTGCCAGACATCTCTGGCGCCAGATACTACTGACGAGCGATCTAAAGCAGACGTGTTTTCGTACTCAGCGCACCGTCGCACGAGGAACTGATAACCACAGTGAAAGAAGCAAACTGCAGTCTGTGCTCGCATACTACTTGCCGTCAAGCTTTCACGTTGTTTATTTTTGCAATACGTGAAAGTTTTGCGAAGTGTAAAAACAAAAGACAATAAAGCAGCACAAGTGCATCAATTGACAGCTGTCGAGCAAGGACCAGCAGTACCCTTGTTCGAACCAGCCGTGCGTGACTTTACCACACCGGTGGACTTCGTAGAGTGGTTCGAAGCTTTTGGGAGGGTAAGTTTTCCTTAATCATTGCAAATATCCATTTTTGATTTTTTAATCTCGTGAAGATTCTCGCGACGAAATTAATTGACACCGAAATGTTTACGTAACATCCCGGCCGGTGAGTGCTACACTTAATTATCCATATAGTAGTTGCAAAGCTATATCTATGACTTTACGTAACTTAATCGTATCTAGTCAGCATACACTGCCCGGACATTAATTGTGTGCACCTCCCTCCGTCACTTGCGAGCAAAAACCCGTTTGATGTTATCGATGCTCAATCGTCGAAAATAATTTGGATTTTGAACTTCGCAAATCGCGAATTAATGTCCAGGCAGTGTACGTGCGAAACTTATGTTCGTTTTCTTGGAACTGCACGGACACTAAAAAAGTAGGCTACAGAGAGGCGCGTGACCGTGATCTTTTTAGTGAAGGTTCCAGAAGTCTGCGCTCGACCATGCGCATCCCTCTCACGAAACGGCGGATACGATACACATGGGTTGCTAACGAAACAACGAACTTCGTCTGACGTAATATATAGCATCAGGAGACGTCGCCACACGTTGGTTACTTAATCATCGTTTTGTAGAGAGCGCGCCACGACAATGTCGATGCATTATATCCGCAGTAGTAAGACGTCATCGTAGTATAGAGGGAGGTACTTTGTTTTTCTTGCCGACCAAGAGACAGACCCAATACGTATCTCACGTGATATTCACACGTTTTTACAAGCGATTTTGTTAATTTTACTGATGAGAAGGGCAGGTTTCAGAAGATGATGAAACTTTCCTCGTTGAGCACGACAGACACGCATGAGACGATGAGAGAGTGGGAGAAAGAGAGAGGATAACTCAGTGGAATTTCCGGAGCACGAGGCGGCAGACACGGTCAATGGACTTGGCTCTGACGCGAATATATTTAAGTCTGTTTCACGGGCAAGTTCGTGCCTGCACTCGAAAAGCTTCTTCGCTTCTCCACGAAACTGTATCTCTTTTTTTTTGGGAGCCGAGTGAGCGCGTGACTCACGGCGCTCGACCGAACTCTACACTTACAAGTTACTTGTTAGTATAGGTAAATGCACTCGTATGTGTGCCTTTCAAAGTTGAAAATGTCTACACATGAACGCTTTCGCCGTACACGATACTGTTATTGGGGGATTCCCCATGATCGTTCGAGGGAAGAATGTTTTTATATCTTCCCTTCATACTGTCGTCACTTTTTCGAATTATATTTACGGCCTTCTTTTTTCTTTTTACAACTAGTTATTAAAAAAAATTCCTCCTTAATTCGAATGAATTATTGATTTTTCCGAGAAAACCTTATTCATTTTATCCTTGTCTTATATAACAGTAAATTATTAATGAAGGGAATGAATATATAGATCAATAATTCGCTGCATTGATGTGTAGTCACGGATAAACCGATTAAAAAATAACAAATAATTTAACACTTCATAAAAGCAAAAATAAAAAAAAAAATGCCCTTTTTCAAAATAACGCGCAGTTCGTTATATAACCAATATAAACTACACACGAGAGTAAGTACGTACGAGTCGAGTAAGATAAGACATATGGCTTTGACGTATGTATCGCAAATAGCAAACGATTTCCTCGAATTTTGTTATTGATCCTCATACCTTTCCCAATCAGCAAGCTTACTTTGAAAAATCGTAGCTATTTCTTTATCAAAAAATTAATTATAAAGATACACCTCTTCAACTAAAATTCAATTGCTTCGTTTATCAATGAAATGTTTGTAAAAATTATATTCAGATATCGCTATGGCTCGTGTAGCATTCCTATCAGATGATAAAGGGGAAGCGGATAAAAACACATTACCGCCGCTGTGGCGGCGATAAGATCACAACGCGACCGTATCAAGGTCTCTGCTCGGCTCATGTATGTACGAGCTGTTGCTTTTTGCTCCACCTCTCTCAACTCGCTAGTTCTTTCACACACGCACACACCATATGAATCGATGCACACGCTATAGAGAAAACGGAGCACTGCGTCGCAGTACTAAAAACAGGGTCCAGCGAAAGTAGGGCACGACGTTTACGATCCTTTTCTAGGAATTCAGCGACACAAAGAAGGGGGAACATCAGTCAGTCTTCCTGCTAGACGAAAGCGAAAGCCGGCTGCCGTCGTTGCTCACGCGCTGCATTGTCGGTCGATAAATTCTTAACGAAACACGTACGAACCTGCACTCTGCCGCTCTATAGTATAGTACAGTGGCTGATGCTAAGGTTTGATATTGTATTTGTGCGACGACGTGGCCTTTCATTATCTTTTTTTGCGACTGGCGCGCCGCGCTCGCGAATAAATATATGTATAGAGATGAAATATTGAATGACTCACTGGCGAAAATTCTACGAATCGTTTGTTTTTTCTATCCTTTTTTTTTCTTTTATCGCGCGCACTCCTATGCTAACGGAATAAAGAGAGCTTGAAATTGTCGAGCGCATTGCATTCAACTCGCGACTGTGCCTGATGAAAGATACTGTCATGAATAAATTAGGTATATTCGTTTGGCTTATTTTTGTCCCGAGTAAATTAACGCGCGAGGCATATATTGAAGTTTTACGAAGTAATCAACATCAAAAATAGACGGTTTTATGTAAGACTTTCGCGAGGTAACTGTTTTCGATGGGTTGCAACGTTTTCAAAAACAATTGGCGTTAAACTAATCAAAACTTTAGAGGTCGCTCAGCGCGGTATAGGAATTTCTCAAAACTTTTTTTTCAAATAAATTGTTATAATATACTCTAATTCGATGAAACTGTTGAAATTAATAAAAGTGAAATTGATGCTGTTACAGGTATCCACAATCCCTCCCGTCTACGAGCGCCAAACGGCCATCAACATTTCCATTGAGCACGGGGTCGAAGTCAAAGTAAGCATTGTTTCTTTAAGATCTCCCCTGATTATTTTTAAATAAAAATGTCCTTGCTTCTGTGACGATTTAATAAACATGACTAGATGAAAATGTATTTTTCAAGTAAACATTATGCTTGTCGTGATCATATTTCTAAAAAAGCAATTAAGAGAGGAAAGAATACTATCTCCATTCTACAATAAATCTATAAACTTAAGTTTATGTAAGGTCTAAAAAAAATGTATAGACTAATTACTTGGTTTTTTCTTACTTTTGTGCATTATAGGCAGATCAATATGCTACCAACTGTATACGAGGTATAGAAACTAAAATATGGCGTATCACCCTCTATCAATTTATAAGGCATAAAGATATTCATAGAAAAATAAATTGAAAATTATTTTAAAAAATTATAATGCTTCATGATAAACATTGTGAACTACTAAAAAAATTGACGTACAAAAATTTTTGAAAGCATGGAAATGATAAAACTACCTTTTGATATAAACGTAGGATTCGTGATTTTTGAAAAGTACGCTGCAAAGCTGAATATATTGGTGACATTTTTTTATTATAAAACACTTTCTTTTCTGCATATATATTTATAAATGAAAATAGACCCAAAATATAAAATACAATAAAACAACAACAATGTAAAGCTACGAGCTTAACATGAATCAGTATTACGAAGGTCTAACAATGTACGACGACTTTGTTGCTCAGGGTTTAGAAACATGCAAGTTAAAGCATCGTCAGTCATCTGCTTCTCGTGGCGTGAGATCGCAGACGCATCTACCCATGGCGGACCTCTTCGCCCCGGTGAAAGTGGAGACGATTCCCTTGTTGAGTCCGACGATGGAACTCGAATTGATGCGCGAACCATGGTCATTCCCTCGCGAGCCAGCGAGTTACGCTATTGTCAATCCCGTTACAAATCAACCTCAAGAGCAGCAGCAAACAACGCATTTAACTCAGCAACAATTGAACGTCAACGCTACAACCCCATTGTCCGCTTGGGAGGAGAACTTCCAGGATCTAAGTGGCTGGTGCATAGCCGGCATTCAAGCCCGATGCGATTTTCCTGTAGGTGAATCGATCATGGCTTCTAAACTCACAGGTTTGTATTTCACTCGTGTCATTGTATACGTGTGATTTCAATAAAATTTCATCTTTCTTTGCAGGTAAATTGACAAAAATGTTGTCTTTATTGCGGTTAATTTGTTTCAATCTTGGTTTTACGTAACTTTATTAGTTCATTAATATTCCTAAATTATTTCAGTCCATAGAAAGCGTAATTGCAATTATTTGATAGATAATTGTCGTTAATTATATTGATAAATAATAAATTATTCTTTTTGTCAAATTTTAACGATGATAATGCAGAATCGTCTAAACTTGTTTTAATTTGAAACAACTATTTTGAAAAACTATATAGAGCTTTCTCAAACAACATTAGAATCTTTAAATTCCCAAAAAATATAAATAAAAATCTTGGAAGATAGGTTGAAATTACGTTACGTAAACAAAAATATTACATAAATTTATGTAGGGTAAAAGAGTGTAAATAATGCATCAAAGTTGGAGCAGTACGAATGTGCCCAAATTGTACTTTTAGGAAATGTTGGTGATTGAATATATTCGCTCATCCTATAGCTTCTCTTGAGCTAAATTCGAAACTAAAACTTGTAATCTTAAAGAGCTCGAGGACAGGCATACGCATACGCACATCTCTCAATCTTAGCAAGAGTTGTTTCAAGTAAACAGCTAATTTCGGTGTGACACATTCATGTTTCAAGAGCGAACAAATTTTTATTGAACGTGAATATTAAATTTTTTAATTTTCAGCCACTCACATTTGCCTCCGTTAGTCGAGAGTCATAACCAATGTTGAAATTCATTTTACAGATACAAAAAATGAGGGCAATAGCGACGTCTTGATTGTTGATGACGGGGCGACAAGGGATCTAATGAAGACAAATAATAATCACAACAACAATCTTGGCGGCACGAGCGACGGAGTCGACTTACCGCCACAGCATGACCATGCTTATACATTAGTTGATCATCAGCAACACCATCATCATCAACAGCAAAATATGTATTTCAACAACACTATTAACACAAATAGCAAAAGCAGAGCCATTAACACTTGGATGAATTCAAAAGACATCAAGCCGGAGACAAACGCGAGTAATAACGTTTGGCAAGAGCTCACTGATCTTGGTATCATTGCGATACCCAGCGGTAACTCTACCACTGCAACCATTACAACTGCACCGATATATCAGCCGAAAGCTACATCTGATGAGCTTAAAATGAAACCGGACGTCTTCCAGTCGATAGAGACTGATGCGCCCAGTAACTTTGATTTGCTATCTTATCTCATCGATGTAAGTACTTCAATGAGTCATTAAATATTGCTCACGATATTAAAATAGCCAATGATAGAATTCAATTGGAAAAATATGTTGTCGTCTTTTACCGCACCTTATCAGTTTTCGCAATCTCGCCATGATAACTTCAGTACGGCCGTGCTTCTGCTTATCTATACTGTAGAATACTTGCGCGTAAAATGATAACAATATTCATTGATGTAATTGTTAATCAACGTTGCTATGGTCTTATCTTCGCTTCCTACTCGACATGTCTGAACGTGAATTTCACCTAGATACTTAAATCAGCGATTAATCAAAGTTTTATGCTTAAATTTTAGGAAGACATTCCATCGCCGAACGACAGCATATCAACGAATTCATCGAGAGTGACTGACATCATAAGCATGCCATCGACCAACTTGCCCGCTCATATAGTAGTATCACCGCGAACGTACGAACCGATAGCTATTTCTGCACCCAACACACCCAGCGATGCGCTCAAAGCTCGACTTCAAACTGTGGATTCACCTCTGCCACATGAAAGTCCTAAGCACTCTCCACATTCATCTACGTCATCCGAGGTCACGGCGCCAACGCGACACTCGTACCGACAACTACGCAACATCATTAAAATCGAGAAACCTGACAGCCCACCTACACCAGTGGAAAGGCGATCAATGCGACCTCGGAGATCACGAACAATTTCGAGTACGAGCAGTTTCAGCGGAAGTAGTCGAGGTAGAAAGCGTACACTCGATGAAAGTGAGGATGACGATGAGGAAGATGAGGGTTACAGAGAGGTGCGTGAAAAAAACAATGAGGCATCGCGAAAATCGCGCATGAACAAGAAAGCCAAGGAAATGGAAATGGCCAGGCGATCAGTCGAACTGGAAAAAGACAACCGGATACTGAAGATGAAGGTCGAAGAACTCGAGAAACTAGTTAACTCGATGCGCAATGCTCTGTTGCGCTCGGCCCTCAAAAGGGATGTCAAAACCACTAATATGTTCTGAAGCGTTTTGACCCCCTCTGAAACAGGGTTCAGCTTTTGATTTTTAATCTTTCTTTTCTATTTACGTTGACGTGTCGCTGCCATGGCAGTGTTGGTTGATTCTGAATTTTAATAATTTCGATCGAGGAACGAATATACGTAATCATGTGCATTTCCAACTATTCGGGAGAGATTTATTTATATTTTTACAACAATTTATCTGCTGTGAAAGGAGACATTTCTAAGATGCGTGGTTTTATGCAAACGCTTTGATAATTCTGTGATACACAGTTGGACATTGACAGTGAAAAATCAATGATTTATGATTTACAAGCAATTAAATATATTATTGTTCCTATTAAAAAGACACAATATGTTTTGCATTATATAAATATATCCAACTGTGTACTCATTTAATATAAGATGATAATTGTACGTAACTAATGAGTTACGTGTTCTATTATTTTTAATTATTAGACACTGCTATATGATATAACAAGTAGCTGTCAACATAAATGTTGACGAAAACGTTATTTTGAAAGTTCACAAAGATAGTTATGCCTTGAATTTCATTTTTAAAATTATACCATTGATATTGTATTTTTCACTGCAGACGACCGTATTCGGATGTTTACATACAGAGTACATTCGGTCGGTATATGGGTCCCATACGCGTGAACAGCTCCTCCTAGTGTAGTAGTGCTATTATATAAGAGGAGGCAGGAGACGGGATTGATTACACTGGAGGATGACTCACCCTTTAGTAAAACTTTCACTCATCACATGGGGTGTAGGTTAGCTAAATGAATAGTAGTTTTACTTTGACCCGACAAAGGCATGGTTTTGACAGCACATGTTTGTGCCAGCCGTTTCAATAGCATTGACAGTGTTCTTAATAAAAGACTTGGAAAACCAAAATTTTATTTATTATAATTAATATATTATAATCTGCGTGTAGATGCGTCGTTTATTACTCATTTACCCCACCGAGTGTGCTCTATATGTAAAACTCCGAATACGGCCACTTGCAGTGAAAATAACTAATTATTCTCTATATTATTTACTAATTTTGTTTTTATTTTATGGGAATTTGGATGAATTGTATATGTAATTTATGTTAATTTCTGTCGAAGTTTTTAAATGACAGTGACTTTATGATAAGCACCAAGTGAAACTCGCATGTGTTTATTAGATTTTATTGACCAAGCAATTGAACCTTACAATATAAACAAAAAAAAAGACAGAATATTTTGCAACGATGAAAATTTTATATTTTTAGAAAACACAGCGATATGTAAATTTTATTTTAAAATTTGAAAAAATCTAATTTATATTTTTCATAGATAATATACACAGTTATAAATTACTTGAAAATAAATAAATTATAAAATAGATGAGATAAAGAATAAATTTATTTTTTACAAAAGGCTTATGATATCTACAAAAATCGAGTACCTAAATAGAATTGATGATCACTGTAAACATGTAGAACGACTGACTCAAGCTTCTGATTATATTTTTTAAAAAAAGTTGCTTGGGTCGTAAAAGAAAGCCGTAAATATATTAAAAATGTTAGTATCTGCTTATTATATTACAAGTTTAATATATTTTATGATACAGAAGTTGATGATCATTGAAATCAATTAAAATGTATTTTGTTAGTGAAGGCCTATTTTTTTGTAAACTGCAAATCTCATTATTGATGTAAAATTGTTAACAAAAATGAAATGAAAAGTACGATATTGGTTTTCAAACTATTATTTGTCAAAATTGTTGCATATAATTCAAAATATTGTATTATTAGTATCAGTACTAATTAACTTTAGCAGTGCAACAAATACAATCTTTACCGATTTAGTTAATGTCAACAACATCATGTTTAACTTCGTCAATGGCAATCGTGATTTTGTCTCTAAAATAACTATATTTTATTATGTGAGTCAGTAATTTATTATTTTTATTATTTTATTGAATAATAATGCTGACTCATTTTTTTAATGAAATATTCGAATAAAATATGTGAAAATAGCTTGCCACAACGTAAAAACGTAAGCTTAAAAAATAAAATAATGCTTTTCTCAAAACATCCATACAAAAAATCATCTATTTTATTCGTGTGTACACAAAATTGCTATACATATTAATCTCTAAAACAAGAACGCAACTACGATTGGCAATGAGTCAAATGGCATATTAACTTTCGTGCGAATAAAAAAATTGTATCACTTATATGCAATAAATATACCACTAATTTGAACGATTTTTATTATTTCCACCTTGTATGTTTAGTTAGAAAAATAGTATATAGCGAAAAAAAAATTTGCTTATGCAGATATTAAAATTTTTTTTTAATTTATAATTTCTTTTCTTTAAATTCTATTCCATAGAACAGATACTTACAGTATCTAAATCTTTATATTAAATTCAAAATATTACTATTGTATTATCAAAGCAACTATTTTATTTAATTTTTTTATATTAAAATAATTAATTTTCCTAACTTTATTTGTTTTTATTATAGATGAACATTCTCATTTAGAATTTCATCTGATAATCGATTAGATATGATAATAGATAATCTATTTTTTTACAGAAAACTTATTTGATCGTCCAGATTAATCCTCAAGTGAAGTATCTAAAAACGCATAATCACATAATTGATACTTCATAAACATACGCTAAGTAAATTTATTTACTTGAAGCAAAGAATGTTTTCTTTTTCTCTTTTGTTACAATTTCTTACAATAAAAAACATCAAAAACGTTAATATGATAACAAATATTAAGCTTGTCTCTGGGTAGAGTAATATATACCGTCTTCGTCGTAAGAAACTGCCAAATTAGGGTTACATGAGATTTGATTGCCCATTGAGACGTAATCAGTGATGAGCTTTACAAAAATACTTTATTATTGGATTCTGTAGTAGTCATAGCATTCAGTCCACAAAGCAAATAAATATTTCAAAGCATAATTTCTCGTTGAACTCCGCGGTGTCTACTTTGTCTTGAAAATCCAGTATTTTAAAACCAGGCCAAGGAAAAAATAATTTAAAAGATGAAAGGTAAATTTATCCATAAAATCAACATGTATATATACTTACATATATGGAGGACAACTTGGTATTTTACTATAAACTGATTTTCATATGCTTTATAGTCAATTCTTTAACTAAATCTAAAGAAATGACTGATTAACTGTGCCCAAAGATGTTTTTTTCAACAATAACGTAACTATTTAAGCTATGCTTGTAGCTATGATGTACTTTATTTTTTGTAATAAGATTAACAAAAAATTTTTCTTCTTATATAATAAAAGCCATAAAAATATTCAATGTATTTCACTCAACATTATTTAACATAATGAATGGATTAACAAATTAGTATAAAATAATATGAAAATACGAATCGAAAATTATTCTATTTGATCACAGGATTTGAAGAAAATCAATTTTCATATAGTTCAAACTATTTTATTTTTATTGTAGCCATAAACGCTTATAATATATCCGGGATGATGACGACTATTATTCAAATTACAATTAACAATGAAATTCACGAAAGTAATAAAAATCCTCTCACTTTATCAGCAATAATGACATGTATATATACAATTTACTAAATACGTTTACTTGTAATAAGATGTACATAAAAAGTTGATGGACAGTATATTGCCCTTTCAAAACGTAAGTAATGAATATGTCTACAACACTTATAAGGTGTTTATAGCCTAACGACAAATTTAACGCAATTTTGTTATGGCTATCAATAATTCGTTATAAACAGAGCTGAAAATGCGCATGCAATGATTAAATTTATTTTTATTTAATATTTCGAACAATGTTTCAAACCTTGAATAAAAACATTATAAAACACGTTAAAGAAACCGAAGAATGTCTTCAAGAGGATCCAATTTTCGATGTCAAAGCCATTCAAAAAACATTAAACATTTCACATGCGGAATTGAATGCAGAGCACGTTTTACCAGATTATACAAATCTGACTTTAGAAAGCTTCTTGTCATGTGATTATTATACAATAAGGTAAGTGAAGACATCATTTCTTCCAACTATATTGAATACTTCGCACAAAAGCTACATCTTTTTTTATTTTTCACAGTTTCTATTGAAAATAAGCGGTATAACCGGTGCAAATCCGAAATTTCACAATGGTGACTCATTGCTCAAAAAAGAATTGCCAAGAAACAAGATTACGACACCGATCGGAATCAACAAATGCCCAAAATTGAATCGATCTATAAATTATTCGGGCAGGGGGTGAATACGTTATAATGATATTCACACTGCTAGTGAGGTGTATTTTGCTTTGACCTTCAACATGCGTAATTTTGAAAAATAATTATTTATGAGTAAATAGATAAATAATAAAAAACGCAAAATATTGCGCGAATTTGAAGTATGCCAGTAAAGATTACGGATCTCTCGTTATTTACACTGCACGCATAAAACATGCAAGATAATACTATATTTTTATATTTACATTCGAGATAAACATTTTAAATTTGTATAATAATAGTATTGACAGGCTAACTAAGCAAAAGTTTTCAATTGATATTACATAAGCTCTTGTTCTGTATAAAAGCGCCAATAAAGTGGACTATATGACTACAACAGTGCTTTATTATTACATACTATCATAGGTAGAAGCACACTTGCGGAAGAGAATGTCGATTTGCTGTTCGAGCTTTAAGAGTGGGGTACATTTATGAGAGGGGCTTCCTCTTTTATGTCAAAGAGTTTTCCGCCAAGTACAAAGTAAATTTGTCGCCGACTAGCTGTTTAGCTGCAATTTTACTTGGATAAATTGTAAATTGTTTTGAAAACCATCCTAAAAATGGGTCAAGGGGAAAGCAATTTAAATAATAAGTGAGTTAAAAAATTATGAAGATCTATTCATATTATGCAATATAAGCAAATCAATAGAATTTATAACTAAAAATTGTATTTGGCATACTTCGTGAAGATTAATAAATTCACATAGATTATCTAATTGAGAACCATTTATATTTTTAATTTTTAAAATGGTTGTTTCAAATTGTTAGCATTGATTGAAACGCTCAGCCGGAATAATATTGTCATCAATTTTAAGATTTCTTGGTAATTTATAAATAGTTTGAATGATCGTTTCACCCTGAAACTCTTCTGATCTGAAAGTAAGTTAACTTTTCTTCAGTTGCGCTTTTGTCAATTCCTATATCATGAAAATACTCCTGCACGATACTAAACATCATAGAGAACGATTAATTATATTTGAAAGCTCATAAGATCTTATAAAAGTGGAGGTTTTCTGGACTATACGATTAATATTTATACTTATTTAACTTGTACTTATTAAAGGGACAATCAAAGTGAATAAAAAGTACATAGAAAAACGGAATATTTAATGATTTGCTCGGGACTATTGTAATGTGTAAGTCTGTATCCACTACATAAAACAAAATAACACACTACGCGTACGAAGCTTGTTGAGAAACATGATATTATCTTGTAACAAGTTTCTACCCACGCATTTGACATACGATATTATGTACCTTGTTATCAATCTAATATATACCCATGTACTAAAAACCTGAGGAAATGACATGTCACAACATTTTTGAAGAAAATTGTAAAATATTTTGAAATAACATTTTACGTGTTCTTTTAAAAATTAGCGGTAATCATTTATCGACTATTCAAGACGATGCTACAGTTCAACTAACGATCAATAATATCATGTACAAAGGTGATCCTGAATTTTATCATTACGCTATCTTTTGATAAGGAATAGCGCTCAATGTCCTATTGATGCTTTTAGTATCTAACGACATACCTGTGGATACATCGTTAAATACGTTTATTCGGGATATTGCCAAGTTAAAAGGTACAAAAGCCATGTGCCACGAAGGAGGATGTGGTACATGCATCGTGGCAGCGGAAATGAATGGATATATAATGTCTGTCAACTCATGCCTTGTTCCGGTTTATATTTGCGATGGGTAGCAAAACGAACAAATTGATTCCCTTTCGTTTATGACAGTTCTTTTCATTGATTCATTTTATTCTTATTTTACAAAGCTGGAAAATTACAACGATTGAGGGTATTGGTGATCGGAAGAAAGGTTACCATACATTGCAAGCAGCACTCGCCGATATGAATGGCTCACAATGTGGTTTTTGCTCCCCGGGATGGGTCATGAATATGTTTAGGTGAGCATAATAAATAATATCTGAACGTAATGCAATTATAAATCGTTGATTTTGTTGTGTAGTCTTGCGCAAAATGGCAAGATGACAATGAAAGAAATAGAGAATTCGTTTGCAAGTAATCTCTGTCGATGCACCGGATATAGACCTATTTTAGATACCTTCAAGAGTTTTGCTAGTGATGCGCCACCGATGATGAAGGCGAAAATAAAAGACATTGAGGTGGGAATGAAATTACTATCAGTACTTATAATTTCTATATCTTGTTTATGACTATTTTCAGGAGCTGTATAAGATTGAAGCGTGCAAGAACTGTCCCAAAAGGATGTGTAATGGTACATGCAGCGATCTGGAAATCGTGAATAAGTCAAGTATTCCGCGAACCATTAAAGTACAATTCAACGATGCAGTGCAATTTCACAAAGTATTGAACGTAGATCATGTCTTTGAAATATTTCAAAGAAATCCAGATGCATCGTACATAATCAATGGCGGAAATACAGCTCACGGTACGACAATTTTCCGTTGCTTCCAAATAGCATTTCCTTCGTTGATTTGGTTTGTTTTAGGTGTTTATCGTTCTAAAAAAATGCAAATCTACATTGATGTCAATAATATTTCTGACTTGCATAAAATTGAAAAAGAAAAGGACTCCTTGATATTGGGGGCAAACGTTACTCTGTCTATGGCTAAAATTGCGTTTGAAAAATACGCTGACGAACCTGGATTTGAATACTTGAAACGTATGGTAAAGCACATTGATCTTGTTGCAAGTGTACCCATTAGGAATGTGAGTATAAACAGATTCCATTTAAGTAATCAAATTTAGTAAATATACTTCGGCAGAATGTTGAGAAAACTTGCAAAAAATTTTACTTTCTTTATAGATTGGTACAATAGCTGGAAATTTGATGATAAAAAATCAGTATCACGAATTTCCTTCAGATATATTTCTGATTTTAGAAGCTGCTGGAGCGAAAGTCCATCTCTGTAAATTAAGTTATTTTTAAACATAATGTATTTTTAAACATAATGACATATTTATGTAGTAACATTTTTTCTTCACTTTAGTGGACTCTCCGGGTTCGAAAATAAGCATGACTCTACTCGAATTCCTCAATACAAGCATGAATAAAAAATTAATATATAGCATTGCTCTCCCGGCTCTGGATAAAGAATATTTGTACAACACCTATAAGGTACGTTTCACTCAATAGAAGTTAAATGAATATAAAGATCATGTTATAATGAAAAAAAAACTTACCTACATGTAGATCATGCCGAGAGCTCAAAATGCTCATGCAATTGTGAATGCTGGTTTTCTATTCAAATTGAATAATAAAGGCGTCGTTTTAGAGACGCCAAATATCATATACGGTGGTATACGACCGGATTTTGTAAGTAATTGCATTGCACGCAGCTATATTTTATGGTGGGGAAGAAATAAAATATCAAAACACTTTATTTAAAGCTTCACGCTATGAAAACTGAAGAATTTTTCGTCGGGAAATCAATTTTTGACGTGGATACATTGAAAAATGGATTTAATATACTTTATGCGGAACTGAATCCTGATCACGTTTTGCCAGATTATAAGCCTGAATTCAGAAAACTTCTTGCGATATCTCTACTTTACAAGGTAGCTAAAAATCCATATTTTTCAAAAAATGAAATTCCTTGTTCTGTGTGGTATGTGTATAATTTATTTTTCGACAGTATCTTTTGAAAATAAATGATAATAAGGTCAATCCCAAATTGCGCAGTGGTGGGAAACTGTTGAAAAGAGAACTGTCATCGGGAAAACAGAATTATAACACAGATCGCAATTTATGGCCGGTGAATCAGCCGATAACGAAAATCGGATCAATCTATCAAACATCTGGTGAAGGTGAATACATCAATGATATTATTACCAACGACAGCGAAGTTTTTTGCGTATTAACCTTAGCTGAAGCACCTGGCGTTATTGAAAAGATTGAATATGAAGAAGCTATGGTAAGCTCTTAATTGTATTGAGATTAACTTGTAAAATTATCATAAGTTATTTCATTTACACTTTTGAAAACATTTACTTTATCGACGCTTTTTAGGACATAGATGGCGTGATAGCGTTCTACTCAGCTAAAGATATTCCAGGACAAAATTTGTTTTGCAATTCATCTGGCAAATGGCCTATATTTTTAATAAACGATGAAATTGTATGCATAGATATTTTAATTTACGTCAACTGAACAATACTTACATATACTTTATACAATGTGAAATGAAATGTTTTTTCTTACCTATTCTTAGCTGTTCGCAGATAAAGAAATCACATACGCAGGTCAAGCTTACGGTATGATCGTCGCCAAGTCTCGAACGATAGCTCAAATGGCAGCATCGAAAGTGAGAATTGTCTACCCCGAGGGGCCAAGACGAAAGCCCATGGTAACCGTACATGATGTCATAGCAAGTAATGACAAAACGCGCATACTAAAAATGTTTGAAATGCCTGCTCAACAAGCACCAGGTAACTTTCACGCTGTAACTACGTTGTGCAAGTCGTTCAATTATAGCAAACTTGTATTTTATGGATCGTTAAACTGCGTAACAGGTAAAGATTCAAAACACAAGATAAAAGGTAGCTACGAGTGTGGCCCGCAATATCATTTCCACATGGAAACTCAAACTTGCCTATGCGTTCCCGTTGAGGATGGCATGGATGTATTTTCTGCCACGCAGTATATGGATTTGGTACATGCAAATATTGCTAACGTTTTGGGCGTACAAATGAATAGGTAAAGAAAAAAATTTTAATAATTCGATCGCCACGTATCGTTAAAACGAGTCTGTTATTGCAGCATAAACGTAAAAGTTCGAAGACTGGGTGGATCTTATGGTGCAAAGATAAGTCGCGCCACACAAATCGCCTGCGCCTGTGCATTAGCTTGTCACTTATTGAATCGACCAGCGCGTTTGGTAATGTCAATCGAAGACAATATGCGTATGGTCGGTAAACGAACACCTGCGTACATTGAGTACGATTTGACCGTTGACGATAACGGCAAAATTCAACAGCTGGACGCAAATTATTGGGGCAATTGCGGTGCTGTATTTAACGAGTCACACTCGATGCTTACTATTTTCAATTTGTGTAATTGCTATGACCCGTCCACGTGGAACATGGTTGGTTACGACGTTAAAACTGATTTGCCATCTAACACTTGGTGTAGAGCACCCGGTATATTTCTTGTTATTGCTTTTACATTCTAATTTATGTTCTTGGATGTGTATTTTACGTAGCCTTTTAATAGGTGCGACTGAAGGTAATGCGGCAATCGAACATATCATGGAAAGAATAGCGAGAGTGACAGGAAAAGATCCCCTTGATGTCAAAATAATTAACATGAACCCTGCCGATAAAGAAGCCTTGATGCCAATGATCGAAGAATTGAAAAAAACTTCAGATTATAAGCAGCGGAAAACTGCAGTTGACAAATTTAACAAAGTAATGTTTAATCGCTTAAAAAGAATCTTTAGCACATTAATTATCTAATTATTGATTTGTAGGAAAATCGATGGAAAAAACGTGGAATAGCTATAGTGCCAATGAAGCATCCTTTCCTTGTATATGGACAATACCATTCCTTGGTTGCAATACACGCTCGAGATGGTACAGTGTCTGTAACAACGGCCGGTATCGAAATGGGTCAAGGTCTTCATACTAAGGCAAGTTTGTACTAACAGTAGCCATTTTCTCAAAAGCACAAGTAATATGCAACTAATTCAGTTTTCTTCTCAATGTGTCCATTACAATATTATAGCTCGCTCAAATAGTAGCTCACACCCTTGGCATAGATATAAACAAGGTGAGTGTCAAACCAAGTATCAGTCTGACATCTCCAAATAGTACTAATACAGGCGGAAGCATTGGCAGTGATGGGTGCGGATATGTGAGTTTTACTTTCCAACATATTAAAGGAATTTTAAAAATCAAGCAAAACTGAGCTAATTCCTGTCGTGCAGGCGGTTTCAATGGCATGCAAGGAACTCTTAAAAAGGTTGGAACCAATCAAAGAAAAACTCGGGGGAAATCCTTCATGGACGGATTTAGTGATGGAAGCTCATCAAAACGAGGTTGATATGTGTGCCTCGCATATGTAAGTTAAATTATAATTTGAGAAAAAGTGAATATTGAATTTAAACTACATGATCTTATCGTTGGCAGGTTTACAGGGTCACAAGACGAAATCAAGATGTACGCTATTTACGGTGTAACAATTACTGAAGTGGAAGTAGATATGCTTACAGGTGAACATTTAATCCATCGTGTAGATATTATGGAAGACGCTGGAGTTAGTTTGAGCCCAAAGATTGACGTTGGTCAAGTAGAAGGTGCGTTCGTTATGGGAATTGGTTACTGGACGTGTGAGGATCTGATTTATGATCCGGAAACAGGAGGCTTAACCAATTACAGAACTTGGGTAAATGAAATATACATATATATTACAAATGTATATTACAGTTTTCAGCTTAAATTATTATTATTATGTTCTCTGAAAACTCATTTGTTTTTTATAGAATTACAAGATTCCCGGGGCCAAGGATATCCCAGTCGATTTCCGAGTTTCATTTTGTCGAAACTCTTCGAATCCTCTTGGAATACTTCGATCGAAAGGTGTTAATGAACCTCACGTACAGAAATATTAGCGTTTTAATTCTCTGATAACATTTTACAAAATTATTTTTCTCTTACTTAGCTACTGGTGAACCGCCATTATGTATGAGCTGCTCAATTCCAATTGCAATACGTTATGCTTTGAATTCAGCGCGGGCTGATACTGGAAACAACGATCTATGGTATCAGTTGGGTAGGTGAAAGCATCGAAAGCTTGTTTCTTTAGCAATTTTATATACATTATATATTTATCTTTTTATTTTTCAGATAATGCTCTTACATTAGAGAAAATTCTCCTTAATAGCTTAACTACTATTAATGATATGGTGCTGTGAATACAATGTATTAAATATGTATGATATTTTTGATTGTATCGTAGAAAAGTATGCAAAGCAGTTAAAATAAATTTCAATATTATGACCATTCTATCTTTATCAGGATTTTATATGATGATTTCCATTTTTTTTATCAATTCAGTAACGTCATTCAGATTTTTGAGAACTTTTGAGAGATGAAATTTTCATATAACCCAATGACCCAATAACCCAAATGACCTATTAACCTATGGCAACGTAATGGCGACCCACAGCTTGTTTGGTAATCGTTGGAAAGCCTCAGTCAGGTGTCTCAGAGCTGCGAAGTGGGGCAAAAGAGACCGAGGTTCGGGCGATCTTTCGAGGAGAATGCCGCGACGAGTTCCTTTCCACTCGACGTAACTCCATCTGAGGACCCCAAGCTAGTCTGCTTACCATTTTTACTTAATGACCAACGAGCTCTCCCGAGCACCCTGATTTGATGCCGCTACGCTTAATAATTCGTCATATATGTGAGATCTGATAGCGAACTTTATTGCGCTACAAATTTGTTAAGACTATGCATATATATATAATATTTGTAATGCGTTTCTCAGATCAGAAAGCTTATAAAATGTTCGGATTGAAACTGAATAGTATATTACATAGAATTCCTTATTCCATTAGATCTTAACAAAATATCCTCGAACTTTAGTATAAATAATAGGCAAGTATTTGAACATTGGGATATAAAAAATTTATAAGCTTAAAATGTTTACACATAGCATTGGTGAGGCACTGAACACTTTTTTATTTTTTAAATTATCGTTACGTCAGATCCTGTTCATACAAACAGGAATATAGAAAAAGATTACATCGAACTGCACTTGTTGCTCAAGCTTTACGAGTGGGGAACATTTCAGAGAGAGAGAGAGAGAGAAAGGGATTTTTTACCATTCAGTAGTGATTGGACTGTTGAGCACAAAGTAAGTTTCTAAATTTCTTAGCAAACAAAAGTGTTATTGGTCATTCAGAGTAAATCATAAAAACAGAAAGGATCTGATATTATATTACCACGTACATAAAATACAATTATTTTCTGAATCATCTTAAAGATGGATCAAGGAGAAAGTAATTTGAAACAAATGTAAGTTTCCAACATTTCAAACGTGCCATAAATATATTGTAGAAATAATTAGATTTTATAGTTAAAAACAAATAGTTTTTAATATTATTTATGCAACGTATTAATTTGATTGATGTTATACGCAGTAGGTGATTGGTCTGTTATAATAAACTAATAACGACCTTTAGTCGTTAGTATAAATTTCAAACGATTGATCATTTCATACTTTTACCATAGTATCTCAAAATTTGAATCATCAATAAAACTGACTCTTTCTCAGTTATTGTGCCTACTTGAAGTAAAAACCTTTCTATTTATTTAATTTTAATATTTTTACGCTGTATTGTTCAGGAACTTGTAAGTCAAACAAAAAACCGCTAAGATATAAAAAAGGATTATCGCTATGTTATTCAATTATTAAACTACAATGTGTACATTAATATTGAACAGTTTAAAATAAAATAATATAACAACAAGCATACTACGATTATTAAGAGAGCATGCCTTGAGACGAGATACCAATGTAAAGTCAGTTAGTTACCTACTCGATTAAATGTCTACTCAGATCATTCTAACTTGATCTTGAGTTCGAACTTTACTAAATTATGAACCGATGCATGCGTTAAAAATAGAAAATTCCAATAAAATTTTAGAATTTCTGAAAATTAAAACAATCTTATTTTGGATATGTTTTTGTAAAATTCAGTGAGTCTTCAACTACGTTTCGTAATGGGGATGATACGATTCAAATAACGTTAAATAATATAACGTACAAAGGTAATTATTTCGAATCGTTATTGTTATTTCATGACTGAGATGGTATTTAAAATAATGTATTAATGATTTTAGTATTTAACGACATACCTGTGGATACATCGCTAAATACGTTTATTCGGGATGTTATTAAGCTAAAAGGTACGAAAGCTATGTGCCACGAAGGAGGATGTGGCGCGTGCATTGTAGTAGCGGAAATGAATAGCCATGTAATATCTGTGAACTCTTGCCTTGTCCCAGTTTACATTTGTGATGGGTAACACGGCAACAAATTCTTCACTCGGTAGCTCATTAGATTTTTAATAATAATTAATTCATTTTTTCCCTGTTTAAACAAGTTGGAAAATCACAACAATAGAAGGGATTGGTAACCGGAAGAAAGGTTACCATACATTACAAGCAGCACTCGCCGATATGAATGGCTCACAATGTGGTTTTTGCTCCCCGGGATGGGTCATGAATATGTTTAGGTGAGCAAAATAAATAATATCTGAACGTAATGCAATTATAAATCGTTGATTTTGTTGTGTAGTCTTGCGCAAAATGGCAAGATGACAATGAAAGAAATAGAGAATTCGTTTGCAAGTAATCTCTGTCGATGCACCGGATATAGACCTATTTTAGATACCTTCAAGAGTTTTGCTAGTGATGCGCCACCGATGATGAAGGCGAAAATAAAAGATATCGAGGTACCAAAAAAATGCATTTGTGGATTTAAATTATGACCTGTACAATTTCAATAATAATTCTTTTCAGGAATTATATGAGATTCAAGCATGTAAGAATTGCCCCAAAAAGATGTGTAATAATACATGCAATGATTTGAAGATTGTTTATGAATCGAGTATTCCTCGAACTATCTATGTCGAATTCAAAGATTCTGTACAATTCCATAAAGTGCTAACCATAGATCATGTCTTTGAAATATTTCGAAAAATTCCAGATGCATCGTACATAATCAATGGCGGAAACACGGCTCATGGTATACAGACAATTTTCCGTTGACGCCAAATAGCATTTTCTTTACCGATTTACGTTTATTTTAGGTGTTTACCGATCTAAAAAAATTCAAATATACATTGACGTTAACAATATTTCTGACTTACACAGAATTGAGAAAACAAAGGACTCCTTAATATTAGGGGCAAATGTTACTCTTTCAATGGCCAAAACTGCATTTGAGAAATACTCCAATGAACCTGGATTTGAATACTTAAATCGTATGGCAAAGCACATTGATCTCGTTGCAAGTATCCCTATTAGGAATGTGAGTAAAATGATTCTTCTTCAATGATCAAAATTGTGAAATGATTTTATGAATGTATCGCGAGAGCTTTGATTTTTTAATTTTATAGATTGGTACAATAGCTGGAAATCTGATGATAAAAAATCAGTACCACGAATTTCCTTCGGATATATTCTTGATATTAGAAACTGCTGGAGCACAAATACATATTTGTAAATAACATAAAATTTGTACTATTAGCGTAAGCAATGTCATAACTATGGGGTTAATAGTTATTCTTTCTGTAAACAGTGGACTCTCCAGATTCAAAGATAAGCATGACTCTTCTCGAATTTTTGAGTACAAAAATGAATAAAAAGTTAATTTACAGTATAATTCTTCCATCTTTGAGTATAAAAGATTTCAAGTACAATAGCTATAAGGTATGTTCATATAATATCACTTAGAACAAATTTATTGATTAGATAGAAAATAATAAAGGAACCCCAAAGAACACTAAATTTAATATATATATATATATAGATCTAATTTAATATAAATTTAATATATATATAGATTTAGGATATATATATATATATATATATATATATATATATATATATATATGTGTGTGTGTGTATATATATAGATCATGCCGAGAGCTCAAAATGCTCATGCTATTGTCAATGCTGGTTTCTTATTCAAATTAAACAGCAACGGCGACATTCTAGAGAAACCGAATTTGATATTTGGTGGCATAAGACCAGATTTTGTGAGTAAATGAAATTTATACTGTATTTTTTAAAGGTGAATTTTAACAACAATTATAAACAATATATTTTGAAGCTTCATGCCACGAAGACTGAAGAATTTTTTGTCGGAAAATCAATATTTGATTTAATGACATTGAAAAAAGGCTTAAATATATTAACATCCGAGTTGAATCCAGATCATGTTTTGCCAGAATACAAGCCTGAATTTCGACAACTTCTCGCTGTATCTTTATTTTATAAGGTATTTTATAAACAAGTTTAACAATAGAATAAAATTCTATATACTGTAATCGCCGTACTTTATATTTTCCTTTCCATAGTATGTTTTGAAAATGTACGGTAACAAAGCAGATCCAAAATTGCAGAATGGTGGATCTCTACTAAATAGAGAATTATCCTCAGGAAGACAGGATTTCGATACAGATCGTAATTTATGGCCACTGAATCAACCAATGCCAAAAATTGGATCAATCTATCAAACGTCTGGCGAAGGTCAATACATCGATGATATTATTACCAACGATAACGAAGTATTTTGCGTTTTAACTTTAGCTGAAAGGCCGGGTGCTATTGTTAAGATACAATACGAAGAGGCCATGGTAAATAATTATAATGTATTATGATTCATTAATACTATTAAAATATATACAGAGGCTTGCACAAACATTTCAAGTTGTCTCTCATTTATCTATAATATAATTTACTTTCTTTAGAATATAGATGGCGTCATAGCATTCTATTTAGCTAAAGATATTCCAGGAAAAAATTCATTTATTAATTCAGGCAATAAATGGCCTTTATTTTTATCATACGATGAATCTGTACGTATCCAGCCAAATCAAATAAGCAAATCTCGATAATAATATTTAATATCTAATATCTCAATATCGATATAAAAAGTTCTTCCTTGTCTAGCTATTTGCAGATAAAGAAATAACATATGCAGGTCAAGCATACGGGATGATCGTCGCTAAATCTCGTACAATAGCTCACATGGCAGCATCGAAAGTGAGCATTGTCTACCCCGACGGGCCAAGACGAAAGCCCATGGTAACCGTACGCGATGTTATAGCAAATAATGATAAAATGCGTATAAAGAAAGTAGTCGAAATACCTGCTAAACAACCAGCAGGTATCATTCATGTTACAATTACATCGTAAAAGTCAATCAACTACCTCAAACACGTTTTTTATTAATTGTTATATTGCATGACAGGAAAAAATCCAAAACACAGGATAAAAGGTAGCTACGAGTGTGGGCCCCAATATCATTTCCACATGGAAACTCAATCTTGCGTCTGCATCCCTGTTGAAGATGGCATGGATGTATTTTCGTCCACTCAGTATATGGATTTGGTACAGGGAAGTATTGCCACAGTACTAGGTGTAAAAATAAATAGGTAAAGAATACAATCAAATAAATAATTAAACCATAACGTTTTAATCAATCAATTAATTTGTTATTGCAGCATAAACGTCAGTGTGAGAAGGTTAGGTGGAGCATACGGTGCGAAGATCAGTCGCGCCACACAAATCGCCTGCGCCTGTGCATTAGCTTGTCACTTATTGAATCGACCAACGCGTTTAGTAATGTCAATCGAAGACAATATGCGTACGATTGGTAAACGAACCTCGGCGTACGTTGAATACGATTTGACCGTTGACGACGATGGCAAGATTCAAGAGTTAAATGGCAATTATTGGGGCAATTGTGGTGCCGCTTTCAACGAGTCACACGCATTGATTACAATTCACCATTTCTACAATTGTTATGATAATTCCACGTGGAATATGACTGGTTTTGATGTCATAACTGATGTTCCATCAAATACTTGGTGCAGATCACCAGGTAGTTTTTAATTGCTTAAGATTATACTACTATTTAGTGCTTAACAATCCTACAATTCTCTATCTATCGAATGTTATATAGGTTCGGCTGAAGGTATAGCGACAGTCGAGCATATCATGGAAAGAATAGCGAGAGTAACAGGAAGAGATGCGCTTGATGTTAAAATAATTAACATGAACCCTGCCGATAAAGAAACTTTAATTCCAATGATCGAAGAATTGAAGAAGACTTCGGATTATGAGCAGCGGAAAACTGCAGTTGACAACTTCAATATTGTAATATTCAATCACAAAAAATTAATGTTTAGCGCAATAATTGATAAATTATATTCTTCTAGGAAAATCGATGGAAAAAACGAGGAATATCCATTGTACCAATGAAGTACCCATTCCAAATTATCGGAAACTATCATTCCTTAGTTTCAATACACGCGCGAGATGGCTCAGTATCCGTAACAACGGCCGGTATCGAAATGGGTCAAGGACTGCATACTAAGGTAAGTTTATACTAGCAACATATATTTTCTTCTAAGTATAAAGCAATATACAACAGAAGTTGAACTTTTGAAGTTTCTGTCTTCATTATAGGTTGCTCAAATAGTAGCTTACACCTTTGGGATAGATGTAAACATGGTGAGTATCAAACCAAGTATCAGTCTGACATCCCCTAATAGTTCTAATACAGGCGGTAGCTTTGGCAGCGATGCATGCGGATACGTGAGTTACGTAATATTACACATGCAATAGCACAATTTCGTTTATAATTAAACTATTTCCAACTCTGTATAGGCGACTGTAATGGCATGTAGAGAACTTTTAAAAAGATTAAAACCAATCAGAGAAAAACTTGGAGGCAATCCTTCATGGCCAGATTTAGTGCTTGAAGCTTATAATAGCAATATTGATATGTGTGCTTCTTACATGTAAGTTAGACTTACACGTAATATTAAATAGTGCATTGTTTATTATAATAGAAATATATAGGAATTCAAACTAAGTTAATACGATCACATTCGCGCAGGTTCACTGAGACCCAAGAAGAAATAAAGCCATACGCTATTTATGGTGTGACAGTTGCAGAAATAGAAGTAGATATGCTTACAGGTCAACACTTGATCCACCGTGTAGATATTATGGAAGACGCTGGAGTTAGTTTGAGCCCAAAGATTGACGTTGGTCAAGTAGAAGGTGCGTTCGTTATGGGAATCGGTTACTGGACGTGTGAAGATTTGATCTATGATCCGGAAACTGGTGGTTTGACCAATTACAGAACGTGGGTAAGTAAAATATGCATCGTCAGCTTAAATTTTATTTTTCTGAAAATTCTTTTTTTTTTTTTATAGAATTACAAAATCCCCGGCGCTAAGGATATTCCGGTCGATTTCAGAGTTTCATTTCGTCGCAACGCTCCAAACCCATATGGAATTTTGCGATCGAAAGGTATAAGCTAATATAAACGTATATATAAAATTAATAATTTCAAATTTTCTGAGTAACTTTTTTTTGTAAAAATATATTAACGCTTAGCTACTGGTGAACCCCCACTCTGTATGAGTTGTTCAATTCCAATCGCAATACGTTATGCGTTGAATTCGGCTCGTGCTGATGCTGGAAACTACGATCAATGGTATCAGTTGGGTACGTAAACGTAACCAAATATAATTGTATATAATGATAATATAATGATAATTAAACAAGTTTTTTTTTCAGATAATGCTCTTACACTTGAAAATATTCTTTTGAGTAGTCTAACTAACGTTGATGCTATGGTGTTGTAAATAGAAATAAGAATAATGTTATCTATTCCAATGTATTGAAAATTTGTAAATCATTTCAATCAAGTATAATGATATTTGGTAGTTTATTTTCAAAACGTATTGATACTCATAGAGTTCATATGAAGCCACTCAATTGTTTTTCACGTTATTTATAAACACCGTTTGGTTAGATAGATTATCTTCATCGTTTTTCATAAAAAATGAACTAATTTTTTTACTCCAAAAAATTTCATTTGTCAAAATCATTATTGCTTTACTTTCAAAAGTGTAGGTTTATTGTTTATAAAAATGGTTGCAGACAAATCTAAATTCGATAGAGTTTTAGTTGATCAACTTCAATGTGGAGATGTCATTGAAAATAGCACTAACCTCGATGTAAGTTTTATAAACATGTTAAATTTCATAAATTTGAATTATTTATAGTCAATATCTAGAATAAGTGCAGTTATTGAGCAGTACACCGAATCGAAAATAATTTGTTATTTTTTACCATAAATTTAGAAAAATCGATCAAATTCATCCGAAATTCACCAAAGCTTGAAGTGTCATTGTGAAACTAAAGATCACTCAGATCAATCACTTGACAGTAACGATAAAGATGAATCTGGAGATAAGAATCAGAAAATGTTCAACAGCACGTATTTATGCTCGAAACCTTTAGGGGTAAACGGTAACAAAATTGATCAGATGATCGATAAAGATGATGAATATCCAAATCTTTCAATTCTGCAAACAGCTGAAAATACTGTCAAATTGAAGTATAGCTCCTCGAGTTACATGCAAAATTTGGATAATACACAGTGGAATGATTTAAAAAGGGGTATATTTCTATTACTTTCTTCGGAGGTCTAAATAAATTAAATTTCTGAAATTTGTGTTTGAACGAATTTAGAAAATTTAAGTATAGAAGACTTAATCATCGTTAAAGAAATGGAGAATGAATCAGTTTTGATGAAGATACGAAAATATCTAGTGGATTATCAAGAGCTTCGCGGAATATCTTGCGAAGAATATTCATTTTCTACTTTGATTAGAATCCTGGGCCAAGCAACTGGGCGCTGCTTATTCGCGCTATTCTACGTCGTTCTTAACATTGCACCTGCAATTTTAGAGGTCCTTATTGTTAGTTATTCAATAATAGTATAAGAAATTGTTGAAAACATCATCAACTCTTTCAGATATTTTTGCACATTGTACGGTTCGTTCTTGACAAAGTAATATATCTAAAGGAGACGGAAAATGTTAAACAAATCATCATGAAAATGTCGATCTTTGCCGCACAAATAACCTGCATCTACATTTGCTTGGTATTTATTTTCGGTGTCATAGTTTGGCCGGTTATTCATATGGCCTTTGATATTCTCACAAAAATCATGTTATACGATTAATCATTAATTGAGTTTAATTTTTTGGGTACTTGATGTAATAAACTTTTACATTGTATAAACATTGTTTTTCAGGATCTCATTAGAAAATCGCTTTGTTTAAGAAAATTAAGTAATTTATTTCAGGAAATAGTAGTACATTAAAATTCTTCAACTTGTTTACAATTTTCGTTATTTCTTGAATATGAACAAGATAATAATCAATTACGTATTATAAGAGATATTTATAAGCTTAATTAAATCTGCATATTTCAAATATACAATTAGAGGTTGAGACATTATCGACAAATTGATATCAAGTAAATCGGTGAATTTATATTTTCTCCCTCCATATTCGACTAATCGAATACGAGTCGTTTATAATTACATGACATTGCTTATTACGTGATAAATTATATGCAGGCTGTCGATCGTATGCTAATGCAAATAGATTAATTAATTACAAAAAGTAAATAGATTCATTCAATGCTACTACGTCATTACAAAAGTTACTTAATTATTATAATTTTTGATATATTTTTAGTAACTTCAGAAACTTTCTTAAAACTGTAAACTGTGTCTGTACTTGGGAAAATATGTACCTATCTCGCAATTCCTTAAAATTGAAGGTCAATTTCGATGAATAGGGATTTGCTCGTTTAACATGTCATTAGCACCCTAAAATCATTTTATTTCATCTTTATCATAGATAAAGCTGTCGGAAAAGAACAAAAAAAATTAATAATATTTATTATTATAATTCTCGTCAAAAAAGATATGAATAATCAAATTAACAAACGTTGTTACATTCAAGATTATATCTTGAAAGTTCAATTAGATATATAGGCAAGATTAACTATTTGTATAATTATAAGCTTTTAGTATTTATATACATAGTAAAAAGAATGAATATTTATGTTTACATATAAACATTTGATTGATGTATAAATATCATATCATTTTCTTACAATCAACGGAAAACCAACAAATAACAGGGACTCAAGTCTTGCAATCAATGAAATCGTACAAAAATGAAAAAACTCTTAAGAATTATGCGTTTCAGCAAATTTTTGCAATGTACTTCGAAACTTTATTGAAAAATGCAATTTTTTCGAATAATTTTTACATGTGAAATGAAATGACCTCAAATACAATACACTGCAAGGCTCAATGCTTAAAACATTCACAAAAAATTAGGCATTAACTATGTTGTATGGAGCTTATTAGAAAGTAGACATTTTCGTTAACATTGTCAGAGTGATTATTTTACTACAATTAAATATTTAAAAAAACCTTCTATTATATTTAGTATATATTTTTCGTTCTAACTATGTTCGAAATTAATATCCATGTATATCATCAAAAAGAAAACATGGATTCAGCAACACTCCAAATATGTATCAGTGAAGCATGCAAAAATTATATTATTTAAATTCAAACATAGGGTTTGCATCTCAAGATCTATATCGTGAAAATCGTTGGAATTTAATTTGCAACAATGTACTTTATAATCGCTTTTATCCGAATGTCAAACCTTTATGTGACTATTACACTCAAATTTAGCAATGAGTAGACTACTTGAATGTAACCACATACGTGTTATTTTACGTTAGAATTGTTTATGCACGTGGTTTGAAACGTTCGCATGGTATTATTATCATAATATTTATTCGTATGATGCAATCTTATAAAATGAACTAATTCATTTCATAAATTAGTCATTTACAACTTGAAACAAATGGCACATCAGCGCATATAAAAATGTTGGTGATAATTGTGCCTAAAATGAATGTATATAAAAAATGTATTCACAAGAATATATATATACATATATCTATATATATATATAGATATAAATATATAAAGTTTCTTTCCGATAAGGTACAAATGCGCGTAAGCCATAAAAGCTGTAAAGGCTAAGCTGGTACAGCTTAGTCCACACGCTTTATGTAAGTTCGTTAATCACCGTGAAATTTGTAAAAGATTTATAAAAGATTATTCTTCAAAATACCGTTGGTAAAATTCGTCTTATCCTGGTATCTGTGGTATTTCTTTAAAACCAAAATTTTAAGAAACACCATCTTGTTGATAATTGTTTATCGAACGTCTCATACTGTTAGTGTAAAATAATAAGCCACTCAATCATCAACTATCAACAACCCTCATTTTCATTGTTTCATAGCAGTCTAATAATGTTATATCTCACAATCACACGTAAAAAATTTTCTATTTTAGAGATTAGTAAAGTGTAACGAGCATCGCAGTCACAAAAGACAAAGCGAGCATTTTGGAAAGTTGCAACTTGGTACCAACTGACCATCCGCACTCAAGATCAGCTTTGAGGGCCTCCGACACGGGCATTTTATTTTTGTTCTCACAAAAGCTCTCCCTCAAATCGTCATCCCATCCATTGTCCCAGCACTCGTATTCACTTCCCTCCTCTCGCTCGTAATTGTTCAACTCGTTATGCGACATGCAGCGATCTTCTTCGTACTGTCTGTGCTTTCGCTGCCACATCTCAATCCAACTGAAATAGGAAAAGTACAAATTAGACATTTCGAAATATTTTCATGATATTGAAAAAAAGGAGATTAATTACCCGATGTCACAGTCGCAATTCATATGACTACCACGCATGCGAAGCCTAAGAAGGAATCGTTTACCCGGCACAGCCGGTTTGTACGCATTGGACGGGTTGTGTAAAGTGCGAATATCGTTGTTTCGAAGCTCGACAGTCACGTTCCTTACGAGCTCGGCACGTGCGAATATGTCCTTCTGCACGCTGTTGACACTAGTATTGAAGAGACCAAAGTGAAGATGAGGGTTTTTCATTCCCTGTGTGTAAAGCAAATTTTCGTTTGGCACATCGTAATGTCCTGCATAAAAATCACTTGAATCATATTAGATTTCGTCATTCTCACGTGTAAGACATCCGAATGAATACTTTTTAGTGCTCGGCCGTTGAACGTGAAGTTGTACAATTTCACCGGGAATGGGCCTTTCATTTCCTTTTCCAAATTCGTCTCGTTTTGAACCTACGATCATTGAAAAATTTGAGGATTGAACATCGAGTCAACTTTTTTGAGACTGTCACTTACGTCAATAAATAAATGCCTCAGACCATGGTTGTATTGCAAGAAATTAGGGAAGTTGAAATGCTTTAACCCTGTATACGCGGTGCAGTAGAGTCTTCGTAATTTCGATGCTTTGCACAACGCTCCAGCCTGTTTATAACAAATTATTGAAATTAGAGGAAAGCCAAGACTAGCGAAATATGGCATTTCGTGAGAAAAGAAATATTTTCATGCAAGGTAGAAAAGAGCAGCGGTTCATTGGTTTATCAAAAGTAGTACAACGGCTAAGTGAATTAAAGACAATGTAGCTCACTAAGCAGCAGCGAGCAGAGAACGAAAGCGGAACAAACCTCAAAAGTGGAGAGAGAAAGGCCGCGTATATCGAGCTCTTCGAGACTATCGGCGATCCCGAGGAAACTCGTGTTCGTGATTATCGTAATTGGATTGTAGGCGATATTGAACATCCGTAAGTTGGGCAGAGCATGGGTAATAAGTGGAACGACGGTAAGGTCGTTGTGACTCAAGTCTAGTGAATGGAGGCTCGTCAAGTTCGACGCCATCTCCGCTGGTACAGAAGCCAACTCATTATTCGCCAGATGAAGCCTTTGCAGATGTTGGAATGGTAATTCCGGGACCTACGCGAGGTTTTTTCGTAAACAAGCAACCATATTAGACAATATCTCCAGGTGCTTTGAATATTCACACGCAAACATGAATTTCCTCAATGATTTACACTCTTAACTGCTAATGTGATTGTCTGATATTAATTACATGGGAATGAGTCATGATCGCAAATCATAAGTTTCGATTGCATTAATATAATTATGAAATGTCACATAATTACGAAACATGATTCAATACATGCGTAATGAACAGTTACTTATGATTTTTTTTAATATCATGATTCTTACTTCGTCCTTCTTTTTGGGGCGGATCATGGAAAAATATTAAAAAATTCGATTTTATTATATTTAACACACAATATACGTAATAAAAAGTTATTTACCGATAGTAAAGAAATATTGCTGAGTCCAAGAAAAAGCAAAGAATCCTCCAGTCCATGAAAAGTCCTTCCTCTGGGTTCCAGGATCAACTGTTTATTGTGGCTGAGATCGAGATAGGACAATTGCGGCAAATCGGAAAATACGCCGTCATCAAGTCTCACCAGTCGGTTGTAGGACAAATCGAGCCAAGTCAAGCCCTACAAATTCCATCAATTGAAAAAATAAGGGCATCGACAATCCAAGAATTTACTTATCTACGGGAAAATCCAATAACAACCTCCAGCCATTCCCGCCTTCTTTTTTTATGTATTTTTATGAGATAGTATAAACGTTAACTTTAATTATGTCATTGCTTTTTATAGCGATGTGAGCTTTTCGAAAGCTACTATGTGTTAACGAGAGCTATACGTCGAATAGGTTTATTATATTAAAGGTGAATAGGCTTATTTTATTACGAAATGGACGTGAGTGCGTCCAATCCAATGAAACAAAATTCATGAAACTACGTAAGTACAAATATGTATGTGCTTATCTAACAAAGAATTTTAATTAAATTGAAAGTTTATGTATTTTTTAAAGAAAAATGAAATTTAGTATTGTTTTTTAAAAAGTATTGCAGTTACTAAATGAACTCCATATTATAAGTATTTTGTTAGTTGATACCTGTCGTTATTAATATCCCACGTGATACAGATTTTAATTTACTGTTCTTTCAACCATATACTATATGTATATTACATGAAATATTTAACGAGTCTATGGTCTGTTTGTTGCCATGAATTCCGAATTCTTAGCGTTCATCATTACATCGTGAATTTTATTTAGAACATAATTATTCAGAATTACTGAACTTGAAATTGTAACTTACTCGCAATCTAAATATGGCATCGGTATTGTGTACTCCAGACAAAAAGTTCCAGGACAAGTCAAGTATCGACAAACTGGCAGCCGCAGACATTGACATAGTTTTGATGGGCAATCTCATGAATTGATTATGGGACAGATCAAGACTCTCGATATTGGCTTCCATAAATAAATTGTCCGTGAGAGTTCTTAATCTGTTATGCGATAAGTCAATTATTCGCAATTTTTTCAGTGGTTTGAACGATTCCCCAGGGATATCCATGAGATTATTGTGAGAAAACTTGAGCACTTGAAGATTCCTTGTCTCTCTAAAACAATCAAAATCTATCTCCATCAGATCATTATAACTGAGATCAAGCCACTGTAGATGTGGCATATTTCCGAAAACACCTTGAGTCACATTGTAAATATCATTGTGCGATAGATACAAATGCGTTAGCGAGTATTCCACTGGCTTGAAGTAGTAACGCATTATCTCGGTGATATTGTTCCAGCTAAAATCGAGTACTTTGATATTTGATTGCATCATTCCGCTCACTGGAAAATACATTGAATCTACAAATAAAAATTATGTAATTCAAGTGATTTTGCAACTTACTATTGTTAATTATGGATGACGAGTATGAACTGTTCACTGTTAGTCGATGAATCTTGTTGTGACTAGCGTTGACTTTGAATGATGATAACGTCCCAACTTGGTCGAAAGCGCCAAAATCAAACTCGGAAAGTTCGTTGTAGGCGATGTCTAAAAATTCTAGTTCAGGTAGATTCTGTGAAAAAAAAGTTACATCCGTATGAAATTCACATCTTTTTTCACGACAGAAAGTATGCAGAATTGTTGATCTACCTGGAAAGCTTCGTCATGCATAGTCTTTATCTTGTTACCTCTCAAAGTGATATACTTTAATTTGTTCATGTTCATAAAAGCACGTCTTTCGATGTTGCTGATTGTGTTATCTTCAAGATTGATAGTTCCTAATATTGGTAAATCAACAAACGTGTGAGTGGCTAAGCTGTTGATACGATTGTAACCAAAATTAACGTCTTCCAATGATGAATGAATATCTCCCTGAAAAATTATAGATCATAAATAGACGCAATAATATTATTTTCCGATTCAAGTATTACCTGAAAAGTTCCCTTTTTAATAGAATCTATCTCATTGTCTTGCAATTCAATTCGTCTTATTCTCTTTAAAAAATGAAACGAAGTCTCTGGCATAGACCTTATCTTGTTGTTACTAAAATCCAAATGTTGCAAGTTGGTCAAAGATTTAAAAGGTTTATTTGGTAATTCACTAAGTGACAGTCCATGGGCGATTTTTAGAATCATCAATGAATTTCCAACCTTGAAGGAAAAGTATATACGTATTTTCGATTCTACCAATAGAATAGAATAATGATGAAAAGAAGATGATTTTTGTACCTCAGAAAATGCATCATCTTCAATCGACGAGATAGAATTTTCCGAGAAATCTAAATATTTGATTCCCCGAACATGTTGAAATGCATGATTCTTAATAGTCTGCAAGTTACTTTGAGTAATCCTCAGCTCTTTTATATCCATTCCAAACTCGAGAAAATCATTCGGCGACAATGTCGATCCTGGCATCTTGGAGATATGCAAGTGTCTTAAATTTCGCATTGTTCGCAAATCTTGTAATGATATCTGTCCATTCTGTTGTCCACTCAAATCCAAATGATACAAAGAGTATTGAAATCCGTTGAACACTTCAGCTGCAGAGTAATTAAGAACTGAGATTTTTATGAGTATACTGTTCAGGGGCCAAACGAAAACTAAATGCAAAGTTTTCAGCTCTTATTGAGTCTCATTGTAACTTAAAAAGTATATGCAGCAGAATTTAGTTTTTGCTTGCAGCCCCAAATCCGGAAACTACATCATATTAAGTAATCAATTTTACTTGGATTAAATGTGACGATATGATTCTCCGCGAAAATGAGAGTTCGCAAGTAGTCGTACTGCTGAAAGATACGATTCGGCAATGATGTCAAATTATTGCCAGAAAGATCTAATAATTCCAACGATGATTCCAACCCCATAAAATCTGGCGAGTCAACGTCGTATAAATCGCAATCGGTCAAGTAAAGCTCACGGATTCTTGAATTTTTGAATGCACCTTCCTTGAATACAAAACAGTTATTTTTTTATGTAATATACAGTAATGATATCGACGAAAATTTGAGGCTCAACTGTACTATTTAATATTACTTGGATTGGTATTTTTTATAAAAAAATTTCCCTTTCGAATATAGTTTCGAACTTTTAAGCCGTGAATCTATTTTTCAACGAAAAAGCATCTAAATATTACCTCAATATTAAGAATGGGATTCCCGTTCAGATAAGTCCTATTAACTTTGTAGAAATGTTGAAAAGATCCCGGCAACAACACGTCAATCTGATTGTAATCGAGCCTGAGAATATCTAAATTCATTTGTACATTTTTAATTTCCGCCTCCATTTGAGGATGTATCATCTTGGAAATACGATTGTAACTCAGATCCAACACTCGCATACGCTTCAGCGCCGACAGTTGATTGTAAGGTATCATATTGAGTTGATTATCGTTGAGGTAGAGATGTGTCAGATGAGCCATGCCATCGCGGAAAACCGATGGGTCTATTTCTTTCAAACTGTTCTCGCGCAAATCGAGATACTCGAGATAGGTTAGTCCAGCAAACGCATCAGCTGGTAACTTGTCGATAGTGTTACGGCCCATTCGCAGAGTCTGCAATGAGTTCTCCAAGCCTCGCCAATTGTCCGCGGCTATGCGTGAGATTTGATTGCCTGAGAAACATTAAAATACGTAATCTAGTCTGTTTACTCTTTCAAGTGAGCGTTTACTTGTAATCTCTTTTTCTTCAATTTTACACGTGTGACGTCGCGATCACGTGTAATTTACATTGACGTAACTGTGAAGACCGTGCAGTGATGTTTCACGGCGTGCGAACAATAAGGCACGAGTCTGGCGATTGTATATATATTTGCGAGCGAGGGAGATTGCGATTGTGAGATTGCGAGAAAAAGGAAAAACCAATACCTGTTAGATCGAGAAGCCGCAGCTTCTGAAGGTGTCTGAACGATTTGCTGGGCACCCTCACAAGACGGTTGTAGGGTAGTTCAAGCTCCCACAACGATCTTTCAAGCCCTACGAACGCCTCGTCCGGTATATCCGATAGGGGATTATGCCTGATCTGCAGCTTGTACAGACCTGGGACACATAAGGCATATACTCTCGCTGTCTGTGCCGTGCAATTTCAAATCTTCTTTTTCGCCTGTCAATTTTTATCGTCCAGCGCTATCAAGTAACGAATCTCGATATCACTGGCCTTTATTCAGAGATTAGGATCAGTTTTCTTTTTTCCTTTAAAATTCAATAAAGCTTTCCGAAAACTGTCGGAGAAATAAAGTACTTCAAAATTATACATCGCTCTTGGTTTGTTTAACGATCAACAAAAATTATAACTGTTATTCCATAAATTTAATACTTGTCAAGGATTAGAATCATCTTAATCCTACAAACGCTGATCAATGTTTATTTCAGAAATATTTCAATATCGGTTAATCAACAATTCTGATCTGCACGTTATTGAAACAATTGAACAGTCATCGAAATAATTACACGTCATTCCATTTCAGGACCAATTTATAAAATCGTCCTTATTGGTTGATTAACCCAACGGTCGGCTGATCCCTAATTGAATTTCCTTTATACACAATTTTAACTCATTTGAGCAATTTAATTCTTAAATACCTGAATTTGCTGTTATGTGATTTGCACGCGTGAATATTAAAAAAAATTGATAAAATTATTCAATAAACGCATAGATCTTTGAAAAAAAACGATGTTTTCATTTAACTGCGCAATTCAGTCTTTAATAAAAAAAATATTTAAAAATCAGGATCCCACACCAGAAAATCTAAACATATTCTGCAGTTGACAGTATTTCTCTTTTTCAAAGTACCTTGTGAGAACAGCCCAGTGATTTTTATTCGATAAATAAAGAAAATATGCAGAAGAATCATTTTCAATGATGCAAGCCTTACAAAAGCGAATAAGTAGGTGGTACGCGCAAAAAATGGACATAAGCTAGAATACATATTTAATTGAAAAACGCGGTTACACGTATTTAAAAAAGTAAAATGCACTGAAACTTACCAGTGTTCATGAGAAATTGAGGCTGAAGCGATCTTAACCCATTATTTTCAAGTTGAAGCATAAACACCTTAGAGGAGTTGATGGGATGTGGTATCCTTGGCATTGGCACATTGAAACACGTGACGATGCCTAAATCAGGTATAGCCTTGGAGCAGGTGCATAATGGATTGAAAAAGCATGGTGGATACTGGACGGGCAGCTCGTACATCCGTACCATCGACGTCCAGAACATCAAAATGAAGATGATGATCATCATCATGTAGCCAATCTTGACGAACGTCATGAGATTCTGGAATCGATCGTGTGTGTGTGTGTGTTTTTTGTGTATCTCTTTCTTTTCGTGCTGCTATACAAACTTGCTTTCTCAAACGATGCACTTTTTCTCGACTAGATGGCAACAATGATGATTCCTCTCATGCTTGTTTTTCTTTGATTGTCAATGTTTCAGAAATGTTTCATATACCAGCATGAGAAGAGGATAGACAAGAGTTTCTTGCGACAACGAGACAATGAGACAGAGAGACAATGACGAAAGCACACTGAAAGAAACGCACAGATAGATGGAGGTATCGAAAATGAAAATAAAAAAAATGCAAATGAGAGATGAGCAACACACTGTATGTATCACTTTTGTCACGGAAAAGCAGCGAGCAAGGTAGCAGATGAAGAAGAAGCCCGTTTTACCATGACGATCGAGGGCGTGCGTGCAGCGCGATGCGAAAAGGGTGAACCTCAAGAGAGATACTGAGCGACTAGTCTCCGTCTCCCGAGCGACGAGAGTCCGAGCTACTCTCGAAAAGCTAAGTCGTACGGCTTCTGGAGTACGCGAGCGAGCGCGCGAGCCAGCCGGAGAGAAGCAACCCAACCCAACATTTACAGTGCTTCTCTTTACCCGATTATACCTCGGCGATATTCTATTAGGTCGCGGATGAAAATAGTTGCGCAAAAATGTATAAGCATGCACGCTATCGGTCAGCCACGTTCCCATTTCTTCTACCTGTTTTTCTTCTATTTGCACTTCCCGACAAGGTGCGACGTGGTGCGACTAGACTTTTCCTAATGCGACTTCTGACTTGATTCTTCATTTTTAAATACGCTTCCGTTAGTTTCTCTTACAACAATATACTCTTTTTTTTATTCCAAACAAAACAGCTGATCTGGCGCAAGCTTTGCTTTTACGAAGACAGATGACTTGTGAAAATCTTCATTTTTATAAGGTTTCTTGTGATTTTCTTTGATTTCCACTTGGTTCTATCAAATATTCAATAATCTAAAATGATTCGTTTGAAATAGTAAATTTATTGACAAAACAGCATTTTCTTATATTTCATGCTAACATTTTTATTTTACATAAAAGTTGATAAGTATAATAAAACACAACTTCCAATTCGTGAAAGAATGATTATCTTCCCTAATAATTAATATTGTTCTAACAGTTAAGTTAAAAATTTTAAACAAACAGGTGTGTGCGGCATAACTGTTATAACAAACAAAACAGCCGTTCTAAAATTAAATGATACTAATAGTTGAATACCACAGGAAAAAGGGAAGGGGAATCGTGAAAAAAATCAACAAGAATATCTGGAGAAAATTTCATGTATTAAAAAATAACATATTACACAATACAAAAGTCGTAATTTTAGAGTAAAAAAAAGATTACATATAAAATGAATTCGTGTTAGTTTTTATGATTGCTTCGAATGAAAATATCAGTTATTCCAATATTCGCACGGAAAACTTCTTAAAAAGCATATTGCGACTTTCGCACCCGAAACGACAAAAAAATCTTTCATCAACATAATATGGAAAGACATCTAGATCGATTTATAATTGGTAACATTTTAAATGATCAACAAAATGAAGACTTTATACATTGTATTGTCATTTTGTGAATTGAAAAAAATTTATTTTTTTAGTTTCATCTCGCAGTGATGTATGAGCTGAGAAAATGAACAAGACATCAATAGCATCTATTCGATATTTTTCGTAGCGTAATTAAAGAAAATTTATAGAAAGACATATATAAACAAAGGTTTTACAAATTTAGAGCAAAAGCTCTAAAAGTGGAGATTCCGTTCGACTTTATTTGTTAGTTTAGGAAAAAGTTTGATTATCAATTCGGACATCGCAGCTGTCAGTCTCAGCTTTAAAACAACTGATCGAAGGCGATGCAACGTAGACACATTTTTTCAATTTCCGTTTATACCATTTGAACCCATCGGAAGCGCTAAATATAAACTCGAAAAATCGAGCAAGAAGCGTGAAGTCTGATAATAAACATCAACGCTTATGGGAATATTGTTCTATGGTTGTTGATCAGAAAACGTTTACACAGCTGATACAACTCTGACCATGAATTGTACAAAAATAAATATAGTTCAGAGTCTTTGAAGATAATTCAGTTTTATTTTGCAAGGTAAAAATGTGAATATTATAAAAATTAAAATATCGTATAAAAAGTATGTTTGCATTGTAAATTTTTCTTCCGAAATCTTATTTTTGTCTGACACTTGAATGTATTCTCATTTTATATCTCAAAACATAATTGGTAACGAATGTAAAATGAGTAGCATTTTCGTATCTTAACAAGTATGGTTAAATACAAATAAAAACTTAAATTTCTCGAAAGTATGATTAAAGTGCAATTTTTTAAAACAAAATTGCAAATATCGAAGTAATTGTGTTTTTCAAGGCGGTGTAAAATCACAAAAATTAACGTTCAGTAGAGAGAAAAGGATGCAGTATATGACAAGTGAAGAACACATAATGATATAAAGAATTATGTAACAACTAACAGTGTACACTGACTTTGCGTTAAGTATTCACTCAACATAAAGACTCTCTGAAAACATTGATAAAAACGTCTGCGTAATTATCTAAACCACGATTATAAGTTGTAATATCTTCTCTACTGACTCATACCGCGCATACCAACAAATACCTCATACACAACACTTGCAGTCCCTTCCTGCAAATATTCTCACAAACACTCATACGGCATACAATCTTACATGTACGTGTGTGTGTGTGTGTATATATATATATACACACACACAATATATAGTATTTGTAAACATATTCTTGTTTTGTTCTTGTCAACATATATCTCTTTCAAAAAATATATATGTGATGTATATGTGTGTATATATGACCGAGTTGCCGCTGCCATTATCACGCGCAACGACAGAGAGATGTTCAAACTCCGCTCTTCGCAGATACAATATCGCTCTCGACAATCCAAGAAACTCAATATGAGGAAAAAACCGAGACAATATTGCATTGCGCGCGGTGTAAAGTACGCGTTGACTGGAAGGTCGCTGCCGTCGCTCACTTGCCTTTGTGCACATGGCCATTGCTGGCCGAGGTGCGCTGTGAGCTGTTGTGATGGTGGGCGGCGTGCAACAGAGTGGCCGCTTTCTCGTGCCTTGCGTGATGATTGTGCTTGTGAGAGGCCACTTCGCGGCATGCCTTCGGCATCATAGGCAACACCAATATCGCCGACATTCCCAGCAAATGCGGTGCGAGGAACATGGTCCTGCAAAAACACACCGGCAAACATGCTCAATTGCTTGCTTCCTTTGTATTTTCATTGTCAACTTCAAATGCGAAGCTCGCTGTCGTCCTGTCTTGTCATTGAAAGCGACTATTTGTTTTTATTAATTTTTTACGCTACAACCGGTTCACGAACTGTTTGACTGTTGAGAACTGAGAAAACATTGTTCGCCAAGTGATAATCGTTTCTTTCTACGTATGATTCCGAACATAATACCTGACTCGCGATGGTTATACACATTTCATATAAATACCAAAACTAAGTGGCAAATCCCGCTAACAATATGGTATGGTTGTGGCGTACATGCACGTTGTCGAACAAACGACAAACAGAATTCGACTAATGTCAAAACTCAATGGATGCATGCAGACTGTCTCAAGGAAACCCGCGTACGATAAAAAAGATAATTTTTGTACTTGAAACGCCTGATACTAACATAATTTGTATGTACGAAGAAAATGGTGAGTTATCTTATTATTCACGCGCGGTCATATTGTCTATTTCCCTAAATAAACTGATTAAAATCGTAAACAATAGCATTTTATCAATAAACCGTTTAGACAGTCGTGATTTTTGTTATTTTTCAACGGCACGTAAGGTTCGATTGTTTACTCGATCATTCAGATTATTATTTGTCAAATCCTGAAAAAACTATGAATAATTAATGAGTTATCATTATGGAAATACTGTATTGAGCTCGATGGCGTTTTGGAAAGTTTTTCAAGGATGCATGATTTTATTTATGGCTCGTCGAAGAAAAATTACAAAGCGAGTACATGCAAAAGAGGAGCATCGGTCTCTCCTCCTTCCATGTGCATAGGGAAGAGATGCTTTGTATATACATGCGCAATACAGCAGTAAGAATATATATATCTATAGATATCGCACTATGCCCAAGCAACACGCGCCGGATCCGATATTTTGTGTACGGCCCTGCGGCCTACTGCGTATATTTGTTTTGGGCCTTGTATGGCAAGAAAAAAACAATCGTGAATATTTGTCAGTGTTAAGCAATATTGAAGTTTACTCGAAAAGTATGCTATCTTGATACGTACCTCTTGAGATGGTAACTTCTATGTACAGTTATTTACAGTAAATTTACAAAGCAGATTATTTCTGCATATATGTCACACGGCTTTTGCAGTAATACTTTAACGTGCTTTTACGCTGCTCGACTGTGTAGATTATCTCTCGAAAAGTAATAAATTCACTCGAATTACTTAACTTTGAGAAAATGTTACACATATTCTTAATACTGCGCGTAAAACGCTTGCTTGGTCTTTTTTATTTTGGAGTATACTGTCGCGAACTGTTATAACGTTTGCATGCACAGTATGTTGCTTCTATATCGGAGCTTAAAAGGTGACTGACTTTCGAACGCGTGTGTACTTGGAGACGCACGATATATATTTATTCCAAGCGTCATCTGGCGACCGAACTGTCCAACTAATCGACTATTCGGTCACGTATACAATATTATTATATTCCGCAGCACTCGATCGTAACTTATAGCACGATTAATGATAAGAACATAACATAAAAACAAAGATACTATAATTAGCGAACTTATCTCAAAAACACTTAATGATAAACATCCATGTGTAAATGGAAAATAACAAAAAATGGAACGTGTAATACGTAATGCATAAGGCGTCGTCTCGTGGGAACAACGAGGCACGTTTTGTTTTTTCATGGATTAAAAACGTGTGTACTGATATGTCAATAATATTGCCATGTCTCGAGAATACTCCTTGGAGTTGTTGATGCGTAATTTTTTAGATGTTTTTTCGGGTGCGAGCTGTAGCTATCGGTAAGTAGTACGAGATAAAAGAACGATATCAGAACCAGATGAAGAGGTATTTAAATATTTGTCAAATAATTGGTTTCGAGCGAGTAACAATGACCCGAATTCTTCAGTTCGTTAAATAAAGGTGTTTTTTCCAGACTATTGTTTGAAAAAGAAATTCGAAATAAACGGATATTAGATATTCTTTTGTTATAATATAATCAATGTGACTGACGTCATAACTATGAAATACTTTTAACCGGTGTACGCTAGTATATTTATAACGGTAATGTTATATATTCATGAATAAAGTGCAACAAATAGTTCACTTACAGGTACAAAGTGATACTTGGTTGGAACTCGAGAAGGATGAAGCTGAATGTGATATAGGTCAGTATCAATCGAGTCGTGACCAAGGTAAGCGCGTCATAAAATACTTTCTTTGTCTTTGAGGTAAGAAAATACGGTCTAACATGCCGACGAACCTGCAAAAGATAAAAATAGAATATAGGTCAAAGCGCACGAAACTCGATAAACAGTATGTGATACCGATGGCAATAAAATTGTTGTCGAATGCGTAACTCACTGTACGTGCAGCAACGGTGAAGAAGGCTCCGTTCGCAAAGGTAAGGTAGTAGCCAGGATAGAATCCATGCCACAAGGCAGAAAGACTGTAGGTAAGTATGGTTTTATTGTGCTTCACTCTATCGTAAACTATCATTCTTAACCAACGATTCGTGCCCTTATTCCAGGCGTCGATACTATCTTTTAAACTTAATGCAGTCTACAAAAAAACACAACACAATCAGTCATTAAATTGAATTGATATGCACGATAGGAATCGAGGATGAAAAAGCTTACCTCAAATTTAAAAGCGTCAACGTTGGACACGAGATCCCAACGTGCCGTGCCGTCTTCGTTGTAACCATTAAAACCCAAACCTGAGCAATTGCAAATGGCATCAGCGAACAGCCAAGCGTGATAATACTTAAAACGAATCAACATCGTAGATACTATTAGGTACCAGTACTTTTGCGCCGTCGAAGTATTGTAAAGAAACTCGTCATCTGTAAAAATACCTATAACGTAGCAATGGCAAGAACATAACATAATTTTTGCTCTAGAGTGAAGACATTACCTTTTATTTTTTCTATGGGATACGATGGAATCAATTGAACGAAAATCACAGCGCACAAAAGACTTGCTATGACCTTCTTTACCACTATCGGCGTTAACGATGGCTCCAAAACAATTTCATTAACTCGAGTGCTTTGCTCATCGTAAGGACTCTATGTACGGATCAAACAAACAAAATTAGCAACTATCTTTCCTATAAATAAATCGTCCCCATTAAATTTCAACGTTATACGAGTTAATACAAATTGAACATCCACAAGTCATATTCACTCTCGTTTAAAATATACTCCATATGTACCTTAAATAATTTCTGGCCACGCCCGTGGATGAAATCGATGTAGTCGCGGTAGAAAATTATGGGTCCCGCCATTAAGGCTTGGAACTGGAAGACGTAACTGAAATATTCCAACACTGTTGGCATTTTCCTATAACCCAATGAAAAAATCAATAAGAGTAAACCAATTTTATATACGAATTTTTTAATAAACTATCTGTAATGGAAATCTGTAGAATAACGGAAAGAAATTGGATGGTGCAGTGTCCTCATAAAAGCCATAAAAATAAAATGTGCCTATATATATAGATATATATATACAACGTACTGTACGGCATAATATCGCTGTGAGGGCGTGAGCTCGTCCTCCTTACGCGTCAGACCGTCGTGTACGCTGTACGCCAGGCTCGTTACTTTTTGAGTGATCACCATCAGTGGAGCTGTTAACAAGTAAAATAATAAATTGCAGAATTTTTATTGATTAAATATCTGGAATATTGTATACCTGTGACGTCCAATGTGCAAGAGCCGTAGTCGTACATCTGACGATGAAAATGGATACACGAGAGATATATGAGAGCAACTGCAAGAACAACCCTGCGAACAGAAAGACATTAACAAACGAAAGAAGCGAAGTATCGAAATATCTTTAAATCTAATCTATTCCGTGTCGAGGTTGCACAAATGGACCTTTGTTTACTCAGTACCGATCATTAACGTATACGCGGGCTTTGCGCATCGACGCTGCACTTCATACGCACACATTGATACTATGCTGAAAGCCAAATCGAGATAACGAGACAGGAAACAACGATTTCCTTTAATTTCGCGCGGCGAAAAAAGGAAAGAAAAACGGCAAGCGAATGAAAACGAAAGCAGAACGCGGTGGGTATACGTACAGCGATTGGCCGAATGGCTGCTGGGGACGTTCTTAATCCAATGAAATAATCCGAGGCATCCGGCGAGGATGACTCGCCGCAAAATGATCGAGCATCGTCAGCAGCGGCAAGTTATCGTCGCAAGTTAATCCTCTTAGATACATACGAAAGTAAAATTACGCGGCGCGCAGAGTGTCTCATACGGGAGCGACGTTACAAGCGAAATTTTATTATTTATTACAATGCGTCGTTTCTTTGTTATCTTGCGCCTGCTTACCTTTGCATGTGGTGAGAATCGAGCATCCGCATCGCCACGTAACAAAGCGCCGGAAGTCCCGCCAAGTGCACTGCCTGTCTGAGCAAGCGGACGATGGATTAATGTTTGTCGCATGCCTCGTGGCCGAAATGGTGTTCGCGATGCTTGCAACCCAATGAACGAAAATTCAACCGTCAGTCCAATCGACAACTGTACACCGTTGAGCTGACAGGGTTCCGCGAACGCGAGCGTTGTTCGTCGATTCGTTCGATAGCGAGAAACAGTAAGCCTGATCAGAAACCTTACTTGCCAAAATTGAAGTAACCAAGGACAAGGCCAATTACAAGACCAAAGGCATGTCGGCTTGCCGGTGAAGCGACTACTGGATTTAACGGCGACCTCAGTAATCCAGCCAATCCCAATGCCGTGAACTGGGTTATTAGGAAATTCACCTGCAAGAAGCCAAGTTCGTTAGTTGCCTACTGCTACTGCGCCGCTCGCCCGCTGATTCGATTATCGTATCTAACTTTAATACCATTGGCGCATTATAATCCAGGGCGAGCTTTCGATATTCATCCGTATTTTGTAAAACAAAGGGATTTTCCATTGATTGGTTTCTCATTAAACAGAGTCTACAAGTACAAAAGGCGTCCAAATTAACATATCCGTTGGATAATGAGCGAACGATCCGAAAACAGAAACAAGCATATACGCAAATGCTTCTTCGTGCAGAATCCACGACGACGTAGCGCGGTAACGCGCGCGTATTGATCTGCTTCTACGAGAACATCGGGCCGCTGCACACAACAAGAGCACGTGTGGGTAAATCGATCGGCGAAAAGGAAGCGACGGCGTCGCGTATCAATGTGCCCGCGGACTCGCGATTTCTCCTCCGACGCTCCTCCGACGCGCCTCTGTCGCTCCAAGACAAAGGCAAACGAGTGCGTGACAGAGGCGACCTCGTTGCGTACACCCGTTCACCAGCTCGGACGCCTATATCGGCAAATCTCTCTACGACTGGATATCAGTTCATCTCTGCGCTCGACATAACGGCCCTTTTTAATCTTGCGCTAACCTACACCTGTCACGCCCCGCAGATCTTTCAAGCTCGCCGTCTTCTTTGCAGCTACATTGATAATGAGATTATCGGAAGGAAAAAAAACACAGCTCTCGGCTGCCTTTGTTTTTCCTCCTCTATTTATGCATGTCGATTATTCGATAAGTCGGCGCGGGCAGAATTATCCCTTTGAAAGCTCGTCTCCTCCTCGGCGCTCGACTCGTACTGTCGCGCGATATATTTTTGCAGAGCGATAAATCGATATCTAATTATTTTTACCGTGCACGGACTTTTCTTACAACCAGTTTCGAACTGGTCGAATAGAGCACCAATTTGTCACAATCTTTCGCAAGCGTCCATGTCATTAGCATGCAACTGCAGTCTAAAAGGACACGATAGTCGTTAAGGAGCTCAGCGGCTGACAATTTTCGGTGACCTCGTTTAAAAAAATTATTCCGCGACTCCGTTGGAATGACTTGCGAAAGCTAAAAGCGCTCTCGTTCTTCGTGACAGAGCTCGACTGAAAACGTGCTTTGCGAGAGCACAAACCGACGGAGGTTAGCGGGCGTGATCAGGAATCGATTATCGCCTAATGAAAAAGACGCGCGTAATAATCACGCGAGACACGGTATAAGTCCGCTGCCTGCGCTTTGAATCAACGTACATCATCAAAGGCAGGCTCACTCGGAGTTTCTCGCTGCAAAGCCCTCTAACGGACAATCCGAATAGTCTTGATTGGGATTGCGTTCGTGATGTCTGTCACGCGTTCAACGGCAACTGACGGCCGTTCCTTTATGTATTTCGAAATATGATTGGTGTTCGATTTCATGTCCGTTCGGCTGAATTCGCGATTATCGATTGAACGAAAAGATCGTTGAAATGTTTCCCTCGAATTCGGTGGGCGGCCTCGCAATCACGTCACGCCGCGACTTTACGCACAGCTACAATAGCCTCTGTCGATCCACGTTTTTCAACGCCAATTTCGACGCGCGAGAAACCAAATATTTGGTTTTAGCACAAGCTTGCTGAGTTTTTTCTTGTGTTTTGCACTGGCGTTTCGTACAAAAGTCACTCAATAATGGCTACGGTGCGAATAGAATTTGAAATTGAAAAGAGTATGCTTTCATAACATGTTACGCCGTTCGTGAACGGATGTCTTCTAAAATGACACGCTCGACATGAAGTTGTTCGTAAAAATTGATAGTTTTTTTTTTCTTGTAAAACTGACACGAGAGTCAATTGGACACATCGATCTTGAATCTAGATAAATTGTCGTGTAATTACAGCGCCGTTCCAGTGTATTTGCCTTGAAAGTCGCACGACGGACGAGGCAAATGAACGAGCGGTATAGGCGCGGTCGCGGCGACCGTCGCGAAAGATATTCCATTCGACACGCCTGACATAATCGCGTCATCCAATAAATATAACCCCGAGCGCTGTGTGCACCCATTTGAATGACGCACTGCAACGCTCTTCGCGCTCGTACGCAGACTAAGATGAACTCGTACAATGATTGCCGCACGCGCGAGCTCGCGGCCCATAAAAAGTCGCATGTCGCTTACAGTTAACTCGAGATAGTTTGGCGTGTGCAAGCCGCGAGAGATGCAACAAGTAGCGTAAATACGCGCGCACCTACGTGCGTTTTCGTCGAGTCGGTATAGTCGGAAATAGACTGTTAACTGTAAATAAAGTCTCGTGCGAGTTCGCACGTACACGTGTAGTGTTATGCGACTTTTTTTTTCTTGAGAGACGCGGAAGATGTGGAAGTTTGGCTCTGCGGAACTGTTCTTCCGATGGAAAAAGTTTAAGGTTTCACCGTGGTGTTTACGGCGAGTACTCGAGCTGTAATTTGCACTTGTTTTGAGTCGTCAAATGTTGTTTGTTGATCCTCTAATGCCCAAGTTCGTAATAATCTACTAGGCGCCATCTACACATTTTCAGATGGGTCGTAACTCTGAAAATTTAGCATCGTAAAACAGCAAAACCAACGCCAGCTGGTTCAACCGCGTGCATTCCATTTCCCACATCTCATTAGCATTAGAAATAGACAACGTCTGCATCGCCGATCTTTTGTAATCGACGCAAGCAAAGTTGTACATCGTTTGACCGAGAAAAAATTACTGGTTGCGCGCAACTTATAAATTAATGACTGAAAGCCACGTTTATATAATTACACACTCAATGTTATGACCGAGGGAAGCTTTGATTTTTACGTCCGATGACATAATCGTATGCGTCGATGAAAAGGTATATTTATACATGCGGGAACTTCTTGGCGACAAAGCGCCGTGAAGCGGGAAGCGGGTAAGGTTGTAAGGGGAACGACAATGAGATAAAGGCTCTGATTTTTTTACACGCGGGTTTTGAACAAACGAGCTCATCAAGTGAATGGTGTTTATCACTTGAATCTCATTCAGCGAGTCGTGGAAATCGAAGGCAGCCATTTCCATCGTCTCGAAAGCTCAACAAGTGTGTGCGGCTGTATACTCGCGTGCGGAAAAGAAAGAGCGACCGCTAGGCGCGTGAACGGAACGTTCCAGAACTGCCGGTCACGATACAGAATGCATTGAGCAAGGGAAGCTATGGCGAATCGCTGCTCAAATGGGGGTTTCATCGATGAGCTTCAATATCACCGTCTGGTAGTCCACTGAATCGCGCGCAGTTAGGTAAATTAAGGGACCGCGTGCGCGCGCGAAGCGAACGGCGTGAACGTCAATTCACGCCGACTTAGCGGCTTAGCGCCGCGAAAAATCGGCGATCATAAGGTTCACTTATCATTTTTACATAATTTTTACGTAATTTTGGAGCGAGGAAACTTGGCTGCGTGGATCTCGCAGGAACTTAAATGGGGCGTCTGCCCAAATAATTTTCGCGCTCACACTTTGAAACTAAAAATACTATTGGCAGTGAGATCATCGCTATTTGCCTGGAAAAACGCTGTCGCGCCGTTCTCGCGTGAAAGCCAGCAGTTTACGAAAAACAGCGTAAGTTTCGCTTGTTTCGTAAATGGAACAAGTATAACATTTTCCATTTCGAGGACCGGAAACAGACAGCGAAGGCATCTCCGCGAGGTTAGAGGGCTGAAAAATCATATTCTGTAGACACACCCGCGGTGAAAGTAAGCTTGACCGTAATTTGAATTGCTCTCGGGATGGAATACCGTTATGACAAAAAGGGCATTCCCACATCGGCAATCGGAAAAAAAAACGAGCGCATCGGAACGTTACTGTGGCGCGTGTTCTCTTTCTCGCACGCACGTATTGTACACACGCGGACGATGCGATGTATACAGGCGAGATGACAGATCTCCCCTTTTGTAACGAATTTTCTGCAACGTTCCTCGCACGTGTCACGCAAGATGTACGTATACATTTCCCTTCATCCTAGACTCCAGATAGCAGAGACTAGCCGGTACAAGATGGGCGTATCCAAATTAAAAAGGAAACAAGAAACGTGCACTTTTCTCGATCAAAAAGTAAAACTCACTTGATCGATAGGGATGTCAACGAGTTCGGACAGCCAACTGAAGGTACGAAATCCATCGTAATAGAAATCTTCAGTTGCGACTGCCATGGTCAGGGCCACTGCCGCCTTTTTTCTCTTTTCTCTTCTCTCTTTCTCTCTCACTCGTTACTCGTTTGGACGACACACTGACGGCGACAACAGTCCGCACTAGTTTTACAGTTTCTCTTCTGTTAGCCCGGTTCTCTCTCTCTCTCTCTCTCTCTCACGCGCGCACTCTTCTACCAGAAACGCACACAGCCTGCGCAGTGCGCACGCGCTTCGCGGATCAAGCTACGTTCACATTGGCTAGTTTGAAATGTGGCTGCGTGAGCCACCCTCAGATGACCAAAGGAAGGCAGAGCCAAGAACCGCGTGACATTACTTACGCATTCGATCACAGATGAATTATAGCTTCTGTCTCTCTCGGCTTCGAACGCACTTAAATCTATTGGTTATTTAATCAACATGTATGTACATATTTTAAATCACTCATTTGAACATATTCGATCACTATTTACATATTATGTTATGATATAAAAACTCAGACATATTTCAAGTTAGTGCTTCGTAAAGGTGCGCATTGAACGTTTTTTTACTAACAACTACACTAGCAACATATATCTGCAATTACTATCCTTTATAATACACTCGTGCTAGTTTATTATAGAATACACTGTGTTATGAACATCAACAGAATAATCTATTGTCACAAGAATAATTTATTGTTTCATATTATTTTAATCATTATCCTGTAAGAATAAAAGTACAACCACATACATATTGATCATAACATGTCTTAATTTGATCAGTTCTTTCTTAAAAGGTATTTATTTTTTACAGTTTAATAATTATCACAAGCAATGTGATAAACTATACATGCATGACGAGACACGGACATAAATTAAATTTAAAAACATTAACGATATTTAATTAATCGCGATAAAGCATAGCTAAATGATAATCTCAGAATGAAAATGTTACGTTATAATTATGCATGTGAAGATGTATTGTTTAACTAAATTATACAATTTAACGTCAATAGTAATATTTTCTATTAGTTATCCTAAAAGCTTGTAATTTACCAATGTAAATAATTATATTTAAAAATATCCTTATAATGGTGTACATCATATCGCGAATTAGGAGTGGCAATTCAACCTATTTTGAAAAATAAAGAAACTGCCATTGTGTTTTTATACATATACTTATTGATTCTGAAATACAGTAATTTATTTCAAAAACAAATTGAATATATTGCATTATATTAAATATTACAAATATATTCATAAAGAATAAAATTTCTAGTATTTTTCTCTTTCATACTATCCATACAACTCACGTAATACTTACTTGTTTTACAAGAAACTGTTATAGTCATCCTAATGTCGCAGCTAATCGTCAAATATTTGTAAAACAGTCAACACGAAAATACATTGATGTACATTTTGTCTTGAATAATGAAACTTATAATCTTTACTGATAATATATACATAACATAAAAAATAATTTTCGTCATTATGGTAAAATCGTGTTAAAACTTTGTATAAAGAAATAATAATTACTTTTGCTTGCAACTGCACAGAAATCACCAGTAAAACACCTTCTAAAATTTGAACATTGCTACTGGGTTTTAACAATAAAAATAAAGCACTTCTGGCGTTGTGAAATTTGCTATTTACCACGAAATCCACTTCTAATTTTCAGAAATACTTTAGATACTAAGACTTCTTAACAAGCTTAAAATGTTTAACAATATTTTTTTCTATGCACTTCGAATATATACTGGTAGTTGCTGTTAAATATCTTAACAAACCGACGTAAAATTTAAAAATCAAACGAAGCAAACGTTAACTTCAAGCTTACGTTTCATTTACTATAACTCCAAAAGGACATTTACTTGCTAATCTGTTTGTTCTATATGAAATTTTTTTTCTACGTGTAAGCTCCCACGTATTATCATAGATCAAAACGTCAACTTTAATTGAGTTCTTAACAAATTTGGTCAAGTTCAAATCACAATATTCTTTGTACAATGGTACATACCATCCAATCTAATGGCTACCCACTAAAATGTATGAAATGATTGTCTACTTAATTTTAATTTTGTGTAATTTTAGTTTAAAACCTAATAACTCCGAAAGTACTCCAGACAGCGCTGATAGAAGAACAACTTTTGTTATTGTATATAAATAAGGATTAGCTGATAAACCAGAAATTTTAAATGGACTTTCAAGCTCCTGAAAAATGATTTAATTAAAAATTTAATTATTTATAGCAATATCTTAATTTAGTAGTAATAACATCTTACCTTGATCAAATCTGCTGCTAGCTTTAAAACGCTATTAGCTACCATAAATTCTTCTTTTTTATGAGGTTTTTGTTCAATTTGCAAATAAAGGTTAATCTAAAAAATAGTTTTTTTTTTAGTCAAATAAAATCAATTATTTTGTGTAAATAGAGAATTTTTATTCTCTTCAGAATTACCTGCTCCGTGATTAAAATTGATAGATTTCTATACTTTTTATTGATTTTTGTTCCAAGTGTCATGAATCTTAATATGAATAGACCGAGTGAAAAACTCCAAAACAAAGCTTCTACATTGCAATGAGAGTGTAATGTATCAAGATCCTGAAATTTAGAATTCAAATATTATTTTTTTAAACAACTTTCTAAAATATATCACAACATACCTTAATAAGTTCTAAGCAAACAAACGATAGTAATGCTAAAGTGATTATAAAAACTGAAGACACGATTACATCAACTGATCTTTGAGGACCTCTCCTCTACAATATTTAAATAATTATATCAAAATACATGTTTATAAAAGCAATAATTAGCTGTAAAAATTTACCAGAAAATATATACCTTCAAATATGACCTTACACTTAACCACGTTTTAATATTTCTAACTTTATTTAAACGGAAGTGTGGTAAGTCAGATTTTCTTGCACGTCTAGACGACGTTAAATGCGAAAACAGTTTTGCATATAGCAATCGTTGTTTATATGTTCGTTCGGCTACTGCTAATAGAAAAAATAATAGTGATGCTAAAACAAGTCTTTCAAATGCTGAAGATAAGATCAATACGCGATCTCTGTAAATGAAAATTTTCTTAAATCGTTATTAATTCTTATTCGTTATTATATGTATGAATAATACTGAAATTTAGTAAACTCAACTTACATCATCGATGAACCAAAGGCGACGTTAATCATTTTACATATTATATCTGAAAGCGTCTTCGGATCGACAGTTAATAATTCACTAGGTGATAAGGAACTAACGGTATTATTCACGGATTCTATTCCAAAGTGGTCACTAACACGTCTAAGAGAAGGCACAGAAGACAATAAAACAGCTAATACTAGTCCAGCATAAAAATAATCCATACTTTCCGGCATGGATTCAACTTTTGCTATTATTGCTGAACTGATATCTAATACCGACAATTCAGCTTTTTTAATATCTCTATGTGTCCAAATTGTACAAGAAACTAAAATTCAAATAAAATCGGAAATTGTAATTATTTGTTGAATAATAATTTATTTTTCATATAAATATTTTATAAAATTAATTTTCACCTTTGTCGGATGAAGTAGTACTTGAATTCAGGAAAACTGATGGTGGTAGTTCGAATTCCCACGAAAATGGATGTTCTATAAACTCTGTATAATTCACTTTAGCTTCACTATCATGATCAGATTCCTCAAATTCAGAACTGTAAATAATTAGAATCTCAACATCTTTATTTACAATAAAGCTATAAAAATAATATCTGCACAATTGTCAATATAATTTTTACTTTATACCTGTAACTACATTCGTCACTATTTGTAGTAACACCCATCCATTCGGTTGCAGAAGTTGTAGCTTCCATCAAATGATTGGTCATGGTTTCTTCACATTCTCCTTCTTCTTCACTCTCGCAATCTCTCCTATTGCTTCTTGAACTTGGAATTGAAGGATGTTCACTACTCTGTAATACAATTATTTAGTTAACCACTTGATCATGTTTCTTCAAACATATCAATTTTCAATATTTTCTGGTAAAACAATCAAAATTGAAAATTTTTTATTAATTCAACAATTGAATCAATTGATTTTATGGTCATCTAATATTATTTTATTAAATAACTTGGCTACTTACCGGACTGTCATATTCATCTTCTTCACTGTCATTAAAATGTCCTTTTTTCCTAGAAACTTTAGAAGCTGCATGTAAAGTAGAAAACGTTGATTTAGCTAAGTCATCTTGCCTTTTTAAAAAAGATTAAATCATATAAAACACATTACACTTTTTTTAATGAGAATGGCTAAAACTGATTATTTATCATACTGCAATGAGTGTATTGTTAAATATGATAAAAATGAACACCAGTTACAATTTTTGATAAAAGATATAAAATTTAACTCAATTATAATAGTACAAACCAATTTTATCACACAAAGGATTTTCTTCTTTGTCATTATCTTCTTTTGATTTTACTATACTTTCTGAATTTTCATTTTGATTGTCTTCATTCTTGGAACTAGAGGCTTCTCTGTCGTTATCACTTGATGCATTACCATTTAAGCTTTCAAAACCATCGTCATCTTGGTGAACAACATTTTCAATTTCTTGATTTTCTTCTAAATTATTTATTAAAACTATAAACAGAAGTAGTTATCATGTTGATATAAAACAATATTATTGTTACATATTTTATAAACACTTACCTATTTGTTTTTCTATAGCTAAATTCTGGGCTTCAACATAAGGTTGAGGATTTGACAGTGAATTTCTACGACTATTACATACAGAGCAATCTTTTATTGTGCTAGAAGTACTTGCTACAGCTGATGTTTCAATTATGAGTTTTTTTGCAAATCTAACTGAAGGTGAGGTTTCAGTAATTATTGCACTAACTTTTTCTGAATTTGTATCTACAAAAGTCTTTGAATCGTCATTCTCGCCTGAAATATTACCATGTACATTAATTCAAAAAGAATGAAATAAAATGAACTAATTCTATTATGAATATATCACAAATATAAAAACATACGTATATTCCTTCTTATTCTTTTATTCAGTCGAGCTCTACCATGCCTAGCACGTCTAATTCGTTGTCTTTCATAGCTATTAGATATCATTGGTCCAGAATTTGTTGATACGATTTGTGAGTGTACCATAGATAAAGTTAACATCATTACTGCAGGTACAAGAACCTCTGACATTGTCACCACCTAAGCAAATAATAGATTATAAACAACATTTTTACATTTGAATTTCAATATTTATTAATTTCAATATTCAATAATTCCAATTAAACTTTTACATCATTTTCCTTCAGGTAATAATTTAAGTAAATGTAGATATTAAGCATTTGCAGGCCATAAAGAAGTAAAAAAAATATATAAATGCGAGTGCTTGTTTGTTGAATCCACCATTGTGCATTGAATGGTAAAAATAACAGCCTTTGAACTGCAAGATAAACCACTGTCCCCAGTCCATGTTTTGGTTTTGTTTTTGTGAAAGATGAACCTGTTTTCAATCATCATTAATAAAACAATTTCAAACTATTACTTTTTATGAAGTAAAACCTAAATTACCTCGAACTAAATCAACATCGATCAGTTCTGTTTTAAGTTTTGCTGTTCTCATAGGAACATTGGTAAAACCAGAAAATATTTTTTGCTCTACAGTTTTCTCCCATTGCTGCTTGTCATAAGTTCCTATTTTTTTTTGATACCTGAAATATTCATTATTCAAAGCATATACATTTAAATAAAATATGTATGTAAAACAACATTAATTAAATTAATTTGTAGCTTTAAAAATTTGGTTGATAGTGAAAATGTTATTCTGGTAAAGACTATTTACGTATAGAGACGTAAAAATAATACACATACCAATAAACAAGATTGTTTAATGCCATCGCATTAAATTCCGTTTTAATACGAGAAATCAGCTACAAAATTTCGTCGTTTCTTGAATTCTTTCAGTTTTTGGAGAGCTCTTGAATAAAGCAATAAAACTCTCATATTTTACGGGGATATATGTAACCTCGAAAGCTCTTTTCTCGATCTCGACGAGCGAGCCGAGTAAGTGAAATGTGAACTGTGCTCTAAAAAATTTTAAAAGATTGCCACTCTCTCTCTCCCTCTCGAATAATCGGTGGGGAATATCACTCGGCAACCGAAGAATAATCGCGACGCTGCCAAGTGCCTTTCCCATTGTTTTCACTAACTTCCGTCATTGTTGTTGCGGCTTTGACTGCGACATTGAAGGTTGACGATTGAACGTCGAATCGTTGGTCTGGTATGTGCACATCGATATTCTATATAAAATTATTCTTTTTTAGCTGCTGTCACGTCTGCGCAGTTAGCTGTAATATTTAAATACATACTATCTTGACTCAACATTTTGCTGTGATTTATTATAGGTACTAATAACAATTATTGTAACGAAGAATTTTCTTTATTTTGAAAATCAGCCAATAATTATGGCATTAAATTTATTACATAAATACCATAATTAGGAGCTAGTTTTGTTTGCCCGAAAAAAAATGATTGATCAGCAGACTGTATTTCTGTCGACATACGACTACACTACCACTATTGCATATATTTCTCACATATACTTATTCTTTACAATTTCAGTATTCAGATATTACATTCTTCTGCTATGCAGCTTTGCTTGTCAAATCGTTAAGAGAACGTACCTAACCTACAGATATATATGTGATCACTGATCGATTTATCGGCTAGTATGGCCAAAACTAAATTCGGATTTCATACCATATGCATAGTTAAAACAGCATAATTTTAAGAGCATATCATATGAATATCAAAAATTTTAAGTATAGTAAAGTAATTGTTTAAATTTTAATTGTTTAGAGATTTTGATTGAGGATAATATATAGAAAACACAATCAGAATACTCCAACAACAAAATTCAAAGCCCTTCTGTGAAAAAAATTTTAAATTGATAACTATAGAATAACACATGCAGGAAGATGTTCATAGCTCTGTTAAGTTTGATTATAGCAAAATGTGTGTTATTAGTCGATGGCCTACCTCAAAGGTTAGAAAAAAAAGACATACTGAAATTGCGAGAAGAGACAAGAGCAATGTTTGATCATGCCTACTCTAGTTATTTAAAATATGCCTATCCTTACGATGAACTACGTTCATTGAGCTGTGATGGATTTGATACATGGGGAAGTTTTTCATTGACCCTTATAGATGCTTTAGACACATTAGCTGTAATGGGTAATTTTACAGAGTTTCGCAGAGTAGCAGAAATTATAGCATCAAGATCTGACTTTGAAGCTAATATCAATGTGTCTGTATTTGAAACTAATATCAGAGTGGTTGGTGGTTTACTTAGTGCACATTTACTTTCAAAAAAAGCTGGTATGCAATTAGAACCAGGGTGGCCATGTAATGGGCCACTATTACGATTGGCTGAGGATATGGCAAAAAGATTGATTGTTGCCTTTGATACTCCAACTGGAATGCCATATGGAACAGTAAATTTAAAATATGGAGTTCCTCCAGGAGAGACTACCATCACTTGTACAGCTGGAATTGGAACATTCATACTGGAATTTGGTACTCTGTCAAGGTTAACTGGTGATCCATTGTACGAAGAAGTTGCTATGAATGCAGTAAAGGCTTTGCATTATTACAAGTCAAACATTGGTCTTGTTGGTAATCATGTAGACATTTTAAATGGCCACTGGACTGCTCAAGATTCTGGAATAGGTGCTGGAGTTGATTCCTACTTTGAGTACTTAGCTAAGGGAACTTTGCTCTTTCAAGATCCTTCTTTAGCAGCAATTTTTCATGAACATAGAGCTGCTATTGAGAAATATATACGTAGAGAAGATTGGCACCTTTGGGTTTCTATGACAAAAGGTCAAGTGACTTTACCAGTTTTCCAATCACTTGATGCTTATTGGCCAGGTGTTTTAAGTCTTTTCGGTGAAGTTGGAGATGCAATGAAGTCACTTCACAATTACCATAAAGTTTGGAAACAATTTGGATTTACTCCAGAATTTTACAATATTCCACAAGCTGAAGCAGGAACAAACAGAGAAGGATATCCATTGAGACCTGAATTGATAGAATCAGTCATGTATCTTTATAGAGCAACAGGTGATCCTTTTCTTATACAAGTTGGAGTAGATGTTTTGAGAAGTTTACAACACAGTGCAAAAACCACCTGTGGGTATGCAACTATCAATGATGTTAGAGATCATCGCAAGGCTGATAGAATGGAGTCATTTTTCCTTGCAGAAACAACAAAATATTTATATCTACTTTTTGATCCTGATAATTTTATACACAATGCAGGTCACAATTCAGTCTGCCTTATAATAATTTATTTATCAATGATATTTGATGTGTTATATTGTTATCATAATTGATTTAATTTTATTTAGGAGAACATGGTGATGTCATTCAAACCCCATGGGGACATTGTATTGTAGATGCTGGTGGATATATATTCAATACAGAAGCTCATCCAATTGATCCTGGTGCATTGCATTGCTGTCAACACCCACACAATTTGTTTCCCCAAAAAAAATCCAGAATGCACAAATTTGTTGCAGTTAGTAATAGAAAAAATGAAGATCCAATTAATGTGAATTATTTTGGAGACGATACAAATAAGAAAGTTGAAAATAATCAAACTATAAAAATTCAGAAACTCTCAGAGGTTAAACAAATTAAATTAGATGATGCTGTTAATGTAACAGAAATATTGAGTGTAGAAACATCTGAAGAAGTACTAACAAAAAAAACTGATAATCTTGAGACTAACATGACAATAGACTCAAGTGACTATAAAGTTAGAGTAGTTGCTCCTCCAAGTGTGATTTATAAAGTGGATGATAGTGAAAATGTAGAAACAGTGGTGACAACCTCCAGAGATAGCAAAGAATTTCAAACTTATAATGACGAGACCACTGATAAGAGTAACTCTACTGAATATAAAGACACTCCCTCAGAAAGGAAAGCTTTCTTTGATCCTCAAATGATGTTAGAGAAAATCAGGAAAAATAATTTGTATCCTTCAAACATTACTGCTAAAACGGATTTTCAGCTATTGAGCTGTCAGTCTCAGCCTTTTCTACAACGAATATCAATTATAGGAGAGTTCTTTTAAACTTGTACATATCTCACTAAAGTTTGTCAACTGTAACTTTTCTGACTTAAAAATTGAAATAAGTACATGTACAGGCTAGTCAATGTTCTAATGAAGTTTACTTTTTACTTACATTGTTCTATCTATGAATTAATTCCTTATAAATGCATTTATTGGTATGAAATAATTCATATAAAATATGTGATTTGACTTGTATTGTAAGTGAACATATAAGAGAAAATTACATTTTTAAGTTTTAGTTATTTTAATGGATTACTTTTTATAAACTATAACTATAAAACGTTTGTTTAACAAATGTTTTTCTCATCTGTCCATGAATTATTACAAGTCTAAAATCTTATGAAAATTCTTTTGGAACACAATTATTGAGATAAAATTTTTATGCGATTTAAATCATAAGAATCTGTGCAAATTAACAGTTATAATGGTTTGAAATATATTTTGTTTGAAAAGAAATTACAAGCTTATACTGTACGATTTTTTCCTACTTAAAATACCATTGTTAATAAATTGAAAAATGTTTAAAAAATATTTAAAAAACGGTTGATTATTGTGTAAGTTGATAGCTAGAGTTTATATTTTTTCGATTTATTAGCACGTCATAACATACACCTGTGATAATATATACGTGCACTTGTTCTGGAAATCTTGAACATTGTGAGAATCAGAAACTCGTTCCTCCGGTTGTGTATCCATATTCCCCAACTTTGAAACATAAATAACCATATTCACATCACTACAGCATAGATCTAACATAAATTGACTTACAGATATGTCTATCATGATCGTTAATTTTCACGATAATCAATATGTGTACTATATAAAAAATCTTTATCATCCTTCCATGATTATGGAAAGACTGAACTCCATTTAGTTTATCTCTTAGTTTTATCGTATACAATTGGTAGAAACACGCTCGGATTCAAAAATGACCGTTTGAGTTTCGACCGCGGGCGATTATTTGCTTCTTTGCGCCATAAGTCCCTCCCCTGCCCCCTCCATTTTACTATACATGTCTGGATGTATACTTAAAATGCTCTGTTTTCGTTCATATGTATCCTTCAGAATATGCTAGGAGTATGAGAGTATTTTAGAGGACTCCGATTTCTACGAAGTTATCTCGTGAGAAAGACAGTGGAAAAAATCTCACCGCACATACATCATCATGCATTTGTCGTCGGCCGTCATTCAAAGAAGTCGGTAAAACGTGATTCTTCCCACATAGTGTATATTATAGAAATCTAAGTGCAATTGATAATTATTGCTGCCTTTTCTGTGGTGATACATAAAATTTCTTCTAAAGATGAATTACAATATGTATTTACCAAGAAGTCACCATAATACATCAGAATCAGAAGGTGAGTCAATTTTTATATTTCTTTTTTCAAAAATGTAGAGAAAAATGTTTGTTGTTTTGTTTCCAAATTAGAGTCAAATACTTTCCAGAAATCACATGAACTAGATGTTTATTTTAAATTAACAAAAATGTTTTTATTTTAAATAGAAAACATATCTTAAACATTTTGATGATCAACATTAAAATGTCTTAACATTCAGAGCATCAAAATATTATTTATAAATAAAATACTCAATAATAAATTTCAGATTCTAAACCTAAGTCAAAGGGAGAAGCTGCATGCAGTTCATCAGATTACAGCACATGCTCTGATGATCTTCAAAGCAATATGTATACTATGAAGAAAATATTACAAGCATCCAGAGATTCCGTTATTCTAGCTGGACATATAGTATTAAATGAAACAGATTCCAATAGCGTGTTAGAAGATACAAATTTCTCTATTAGTTCATTAGACAAAGATAGTAGTAAACCTAATCTCAATTTGGCTATTCTTTGTTCAGAAAGTAGTGATGATGTTTATAGTGATTGTCGAGATCTTAATTACAGTAATTCTAGTAATGACAGTACATTGTATATGCATCTAGGACAAGTTTTTAATTCAAAAGAAGGCCATTCGAATTTATCAAATAATATTTCAAGTACAAGTCAAGCTGAACACCAGAAGATAATTGATGTTAAACCTGAAGACTGTTCTCCTGTGTTAGAAACATTACATGAAAAACTCTTAACAATTATTGAAGAAAAAGAAATTACAAATACTTCAGATTATTTTCTTAAAAGTTTATCTCCGAATGATTCTAATACAAACACTGGTAAAGTAGTGGCAGAAATTATTAACCAAGTAAAAATTCATGAAGAACAGAATAACAATTTTAACAGAAAAGTTGTATTTACAAATTTAGATAACATAGTAGATGAGCAAACTAACAAATCAGAGCCAAGAAAGATGGGAAAATCAATAAATAGTCATTGTAGTTTGCCTACATCTAAAAAATCAAACAATATTTGTAATCATAACACTACTGAATCATTTGTTCGTTGGGAAAAATTTTGTGAGACTTCAGAAAAGTTAATGACTCGTAGTTTTTCTTTTACACAGTTAAATTCAGTTACTGAAAGTTGCAACGGGGATGATGAATACTCTACCAGCTGTAAAACTGTTGATGATATGCAATTATCTAAAATTCCATTAAAGAATTATAACACATCTTATCAACATAAGAGGATGAATAGAAGTAAATCTTGTGAAAGTATTTTGAAAGAAGTTAAGCATTTACCTCATCTTCTGTATGATAGATTTTTGAAATTCTTATCTGAAGAAATAGAAAAAATCAGAAAAGAAAGTGTTGTCTGTACATGCCAAAAATTATATAATAAAGAAAATCAAAGAAAAAGAAGTCCAAAGAAGTCTCCAGTTAAATTGACTAACAAAATTAATAATATTGGCAGCAATGTAACAGGTAATATATGTCATATATATATATATTGAAAGTAAATTTCATTAAAAATATCCAGGTAACATTTTGTAATTTGTGTTACAGAATCTAGATTACCTTTAAGATCTCAAAATTATGAAGAAATAGCAAATAAAACTAGATTATCACCTAAAATAACAAATAGTATATTTCTATCACCTCCAACAAGAAATGGAATCACATTTTCATCTAGAACAGCCATCCCAATAAAATTATCACCTGAAGTAGTTAATCAGACACAATTGTCACCTGGAACTCATCATCAAACAAAATTATCACCCAAAGCTGATAATCGAACAAGATTCTCACCTGAAGTCACACCAAGAAATTTATCTCAATTTCAGACAAGTCCAAGATCACCTATTAAAACTCCAACTACACCATCAAAAAGTCGTTATTTTTGGAATAAGCAAATTGTATCACCAGTTGGAGAATACATCAGAGGAAAGAGACAAAGTCCTTTCCAAAGTTCTCCAAACAAAAAGCAATAAGTTCATTTTAATTTTATATTGCAGCTAATACTTTTATATTTTATTTTTCGTTTTCATTGAACTTGATTTTATAGCAAAATTTTTTATTGAAATATTGATTTTTAATTTTATTTAAAAATATAACTTCTCATATATAGTAAATCAGTTCTCTGATTTTAAATTAAAAAGTTAAAGTTAATTACACTGATATATATATAGGAATTTTGTACTTAAAGTAAAGGTACATAAAAAGCAATTTTACTTGAATAATAAAAACGTTCATAATAAAAACAAAAAAAGCTTATTCATTAACACAATTGTTTAAAAAATTCTACATAACAAAACTATGCAATAAAGAATATGTACAAAAATTATAAATTAACATATAAGTATGTCGATCTGTGTATTAAAGTCATGACATTTTTACAATTTCTACAAAATGTACAATTTACTTAAGTCAAAAGTTAAGTTATTGCTTTGATAAGATACTTTTACATGTAAGATTTTTTTATAACATGCGCGTTACATATAAACGTGTTTAAAGTTACGCTTTTTCTGCATCAATCAGTTTAATTCTAATTATCTAACTACATACTATATTTTGCTTGCATTTGCTCTTCCATTGCTTTCATTTGTTCCCTAGTTTGCTCTTGGGTAATGTGCTCCATAATCTCATGATTATAGGTAGAATGAAGCAATAATGCAAGGACACCAGCTCTTGATGCCATATTTTGTCGTATTTGTCTTTCTTGTTCAAAAAGTTCATCAATTTTTAACCACTGTCTCACTCGTTCCATATCAATTTCAGCTCTGCGAAGTTTCTCCCAAACATGATGTTTTATACAATTTTTTTTAGGTGCTCTACAGAATTCTCCTGTCATGTCAAACACATTTGTCACTAAAGGACAACCACAAACTTCAGTATCACTTATTTTGGGATCTTTGCAATGTTCTGGACATAGGATCCGTAATCTTTTACAGTAAGTGCGGTTGATTGGATTATAAAAATCACAAAACATATTCTGCCCTTCAATTCTTGTTTTGAAAATAGATCCAAATGACGCTTGAGATTCATACTAAAAAAATTAAAAATGTGAAATACAGTAATTTTTTAAAATTATTACTATGTTAATAAATTTTATTACCTTATTAAAGCATTTCTCCATGTGTTTTATAGCAGTTCGCGAATTTACTTCATGACCACAAGTAATGCAGTACATACTCATCTCAGTGTCATCATTATCATCGATATCAGCTTTAGGATCAATAGTGGCATGCCTTGCTCTTTCCACAATTTTGTCTAATTCTGCATGCCGCTTGTCTAATTCTTGAAGAATTCTTGAAACTTCATCTTTTTGTCTTCTTACATTTTCTAAAGCTGTTCCATTATTTTGTTCGGCAATACATGATGTAAGTGCCCATTCTTGAAGTCTCTGAGGAAGAACTTGAAATATCCTACTAGTAGCTAACTTTATTCCACAATCTTCAGAACAATATTTACTACCAGGTCTAGATTGTTTGGTGCAAGAAGGGCCATAGCAATGTCTAGGAGGTTCCAAAAAATCAATTCTTTCACTGCTAGAGTCTCGTCTTCGTTTTCTATTTATTTTGACATTGCGGTTAAGACTTCTAGATGGTTTTAACGGATCTGTAATAACTCTGCAGGCTCTTTGCTCACATCTTAGTTTCAGACGAATTGATGGACCGTACTTTTTTAAGTGCCTATAAAAATTTATAAAAGTAACAATTGATATAGTTTCACTGAGTTAATTTGAAATTCAAAACGAAACAAGGATTGAAAACAAAAATTTTAAACATAAATTTTAATGACCTGCAAGCATCACATTTTCCACAATTCTCAGTCCTTAAACAGCCAGAACATTCACCACAACGTTTAGAAGACTTCTTTAGTGGACTCACTGGATTCCATGGTGCATCATATTCATATTTCAGACCTCGTTCTTTGTCTTTAGATTTTTTATGTTTTCGATCATCTTGATCATTCCTTTCAATCCTTTCAGTTTTCCTTGGTTTGTACCGAGTAACCAAGGTTGGATCTTCTTCTCTACATCTCTGTTAAGATAAAATATCAGCATTATATTTGTTCTACTATTATTATTCATATAGGCTTAAGGTTTGAGATTGCATACTAACCACACAAAAAAACTGTTTTATATGTTTGGCTTCTTTTTCTGTAACATCTATACAATCACCATGATACCATTCTTCACAGGCATCACATCCACTATAAAAAACAGAAAAACATTGTGATAGTATCATTTAAAAGAGTTCTGATCACTAAAACATATACTTACATCATAAAACGTGAACTGTCTGAACTACGACAAATACAATAAGCCTGCCCATCTTGCTTCAACAGAGTTGCTATTTTACTTTTTCTTTCAGGAAGCATAAACTTTTTAGCAATCTCTTCTTTCTGTAGTAATTATAAACATATTAAAAACTATGAAATTGAAATAAAAATAACTATTTATTCTTTCATAAACATAACCAATTTGTCCATACTAAGATACACTTTATATATATAAAAAAAGTGGCGATTATTAATTTAAAAGGTATCAATCTAAATAATAATAATCAAGATGATATATCATATAATTGAATAAATAAAATCAAATTTACCGATAATCCATGACTCTTATCTCCCATCGCTTGTATGATGCAAGTTATTAATTCCAACTGATTTGATACCTGGTAAGAGCTATTTTGAATGAATGGTGCTGGACGTGGTGTTAAATTATTTAAAAACTGATTCAAACCTTAACTTTTACTAGGAGAAATGTGTACACAAAGATGAGTTCATTCCAGTAAGCTCTGTTAATGAACATACATATATATATGCATATTGATCCAATCACTGTACAAGCTAGCTTGTAACCCTGGTAGCATTCATTCAGGCGCACAATCGGCAAAATTGCTGTAAGTTAAAAGGGTGGTGGACAGTCTTTTAATAATTAATGATAAAATAATATCACCGATAATAAAAGCGCAAGATTATAATCTAATTGTTAACTTAGCATGAAAATAATGATAAAAATTGCTAGTATTAGATCAGTTTATTTAAATTGCATGTATTCGTTAATTCTATTTTGTTGAAAAAAAATAGATAAAATTTAATTTAACGATCTTATGGTAATATTTTGCAAAAAACTGAATATACTCAGTTACATTGACTAGTATTGAAAAAACAATGGAATATCGTATTTGGAAACGTGTGGTTGTATGCATATGCCATTATAACTTTTTTTATTCAAGTGCGATATGACAAGCGAATTATTTGAGTTCGTTGGTGGCGTACAGGAATACATGACTTTTATAATACGTCTTGGTTACGTTTTCCTTTTTTCCTTTTGCATTTACGCAACATCAATTAGAGCTTATGTGCTACGTCGAGCTCTCATTTTCCCACATTTTATACTTTGATCTGAAAGTCTTACCACTCTCGCATTAAGCTCTTGATATTCTGCAGTTTAAGTGCCAACAGAACAATTGCTGAAGTTCGTTAGAGAAAATGGTGATGGTAAAGTTTGTACCCTTGGAAGAGGAAATGAAGAAAAATCCCGAATTGAAAGAAGCTGACATTCAAGCTTTGAGGGATTGGTGTCAAAAACAGCCTTATCTGCCGAAAATCAATGATAGCGAGCTTGCGCTATTTTTGCACAGTAACGACTATCGCTTAGAGCCAACGAAAATTACCATCGATGCATTTTACACCGTGAGGACTCATGTCCCCGAGTTCTTTTCAAACAGGGATCCACTGCAGGCCAAAGATTTCTTGCACATTTCCAAAGTGGCGTAAGGATTCGTTGAACAACATATAATATCCAAAAAGCTTTAACACCGATAAACACATTTACATTGGTATTCTGAATGAAAAAATTAGAATTAACATGCCGCTCGAGCAGCCCACTGGAGATGGCTATAAGGTGATTTACGGTGCTCTACAAGACTTCGATCCAAGCCACTACGATTATACGTACAACATGAAGTTATTCGGTATGGTGATGGATCTTTGGCTTTATCAGGAGGGTACAATGAAAGGTCACGTAATCATCGTGGATTTAAAGGGTTTGGTAATGGGCCATGTGGCACGCTGCAGTCCCATGTCATTTAAAAAGTTCTTTTACTATCTGCAAGAGGGTCTGCCGGTCAGGCTCAAGGGCTTTCACTTTATCAACATCAATCCAGTCATGGATGTACTTATGAACATTATGAGACCTTTTATGAAAAAGGAACTGTTGGACATTGTAAGTTCTTACTTTATATTTCTTTTACCAAGAGAAATAATTTGCAAATTTCGTCTATAAAATATTCATTGTTTTAGTTGCATTTGCACCAAAGTGCCGATGGTATCACAGCTTTTAATATTTCTAAAGACATACTCCCAAACGAGTCGGGAGGTAAAGCTGGTCCGGTAAAGGAACTCTTTGACAAGGAGTTAAAGAAGTTGGAGCAGCATCGTGACTGGTTTCTTCAGGAGGAACAAACTCAACGTGTTGATGAGTCCAAACGCCCAGGAAAGGCAAAGAACGCTACTCATCTTTTCGGAGTTGAAGGAAGTTTCAAGAAACTTGATATTGATTGATCAAGTTAATATTTTATTAACTATATTCATATGTATACATTTATTTTGAACAATTAAATTACTTAATAATATTGTTGATTATTTATTATTTTTATTAAAATAATTATCACGTTTATCTCGTTAAATTTTTTTTGATTCCGTGCTTAAAATATGCCAGAAAGATAGTAACTAATTAATCATTACTTTTCTGTAGAATGGTGTATGATCAAAATGAAATAAAAATTGTTATCTCATGATCCATTATTTTTTTTTATCATTTTTCAAACAAGAGAATTATTGGTATTATAAACGCTATTGACCTGTGACGCAATAACGGCAGTGATTTGATCTAAAACATTTCTCAATTTTGTGATGAATCTAGCATCTTAATAAATTACTAAAACAATAAATTATAAGAAATAATCAAGACTCATAGAAGGAATAGGAGAAAATTAAAAAGTGTAAAGCTCTGAACTATTTTTAAAAAAAACTTTTAAAAATGCTTTCATTTGAAATTTTTACATTTGTTTGTAAAGAAAACTTCTAATATTGTTGTTCATAATAAAGATACACAGTTGTAACTTTTTGAAACACATGAACCGTATTTTTTATTATTGCATTTATTCCTCATATTATTTACATAGTTTACGAAAATTTCTGTACAATATTATGGACAAATCGTTAACAAATTGGTGAATTTTTGAAAAAAAATTGAAAAATGAAAAATGTTTTTCACGGTTATTATATAAAAAAATTAGGTAAAAAGATAATAATAATGAATAAGCTCATCGAATAGCTCATTAAATTTTCTTTGAAATATAACATTTCTGTTTTTTAATAAGTCGAAAACTCGTTTAGTAAATTCCTGAACAAACTTTGAAAATAGTGAAAACCTCATTTAGAGAAGATCTGTGGTGTACATTAACTCGGAGAGGCAAGCAACTATAGTAAAATTCACCACCATCACAAATAAATCTCATCGAATTTCGATTTAGAAAGTTGACTGGTCATTCTTGAAATCTCGTACTTCCGATGTGATTGAGGATGAAAGATCAAATTTTTCATCAACGTACAGGAAAAGGGCAATAACTGTTTTGCGTATTGCTAACCTACATAATATAAGTTAGATCGCTTATACGATTATAATTAGCACGACAGTGTATGGAAATAGAATTAAAAAAATAAATACGCTTGTTAGTTACATTCAGCTTCTGTCACGCATTCCCCATTCAAGGTATTCGAACAAAAGGATGTAAATGCATGCGGGGGCGGTCTCGTGTACAAAAATCATAGCCGAAGTAGCAATTTTACCGAGTATGACATTGGCTACGAGTATCATTACGTTAGTATCTTTCGTTGAAATCACAACGCTAACTAGTTTTCCGTTAGTCTGTTTAATGCAGTTCAAAGAGTTGGTATCACAACCGATGAATTGAATAATTCATTGGAATCCAAATTTTAAATCAACATTATGTCTGGAAGTATTAATTTACTTTCTGTACCTTTCGAGGAGGAATTGAAAAGAAATCAAGAGTTGAAACAGTCGGATATTAAATCTTTGAGAGAATGGTGCGAGAAGCAGCCACACTTGCCAAAAATTTCTAATAGTGAATTGGCTTTGTTTCTGCACAGTAATTATTATCGTATGGAACCTACGAAAACTACTATCGATACGTTTTATACGGTCAGAACGCACGTACCGGAATTTTTCGCTAATCGAGATCCTCTTGGTGACAAAGATCTCCGACAAGCTTTTTATATATCGTAAGTGATCTTCCACAAAAAGTAAAAGAAAAAAAAAGAACACGAAGTAACTTTAACAATAGAATCATCGCTTCTATCTCCGATGTATTTTTGTTCGTATATTCTTGATGCACGATATTATTATAATTTTGCATATCATTTCAAGATAAGTGATTGTTACTCAATGTTGATTTCATGTTATTAAAATTTTAATTGTCACGATAGAAAATTGTAATTCGATGTGTTGTTCTAAAATTCTATTTGATCCAATGAAAAAGTTTTTCTACCAAGATTAAATCGGCTTGGGAATTCAAATACATATTTATAATGTGGTTTTTCAGGTCTTTTATGCCTCTTAAACAACTAACCAAAGAAGGTTATACCGTTTTTTTGGGTAAACTCATTGATTTTGATCCGTCAAATTACGTATACAACCACAACATGAAATTTCTCAATATGGCAATGGACCTGTGGTTATATAGTAAGGGAACCACAAAGGGTCATATTCTTCTATTTGACGTCCAAAAAGTGACCATTGGCTATGCGGCACGCTTGAGCCCATTGGGTCTCAAGAAATTTTTGTATTACTTGCAGGAAGCTTTGCCCGTTAGATTGAAGGGATTGCATTTTATGAATACCACTCCAGCGATGGATGTTATTTTGGGCATGATGAAACCTTTCATGAAGAAAGAATTGACAGATATTGTAACTATAAGGCTATTCGTGCAGAATGTTGCTCAATACTTAGAGACAACTAATCATGGGCTATACTATTTTTGTAGCTGCACCTACATTCATCATTGGAAAGTGTGGCACAGTTTTTGCCCGTTGAAGCTCTTCCAAATGAGCTGGGAGGTAAAGCTGGGCCATTGATGGAACTCCACGAAGCTGAAATCAAGAAGATTGAAGAGCATCGGGATTGGTTTTTAGAAGAAGAATCACGTGCTCGCGTCGATGAAAGCAAACGTTCAGGAAAAGCGAAATCGGCGGATGACCTTTTTGGAGTTGAAGGTAGTTTCAAGAAACTGGATATCGATTGAAATCTGTATCATGTTATCGCTTACCATCGTGTATATTTTCTTTGATTCACGATACCTTCATCAATAATATAACGCGTACAGTAAATTCTCTTTATGGAGAAGATAATAAAAGTTGAATGACAATTTTTGTTACATCAATGTTTTATCAACACTATAGTAGTCTTAATGCGCGCCGCGCGCGCTATATAACTGCATATAGGCTTATAAAATATCAATATTGAATAAAGATCGGTTTTACTGAGGGTAGTCTCCTTTGAAATGTTCTGGTCACGTTTCATTGTTGACTTTATGAAAGCATAACTTTGCGGTTAATTGTATATTTTGAAATTCAAGTTCATCACCAGAAAGTTAGCAAATTTATGCTTCAAAACTAGTTCAAGTCAAATCAAAAAGCTGGTTCAACGATGACGTAATCGAGATGCTTATACAGTTATTTTGACGTATCTAAGTTTGTTCGGTTACTTGGTAACTTGACGAAACTTGATCTTTATTAATTAAATTTAAAAAATCAAGTGCTATGGCAATCATTTTCTACAAGTGTTGAACGCATAAATAGAGTAGAATGAAACTTTTTCAATAAGCTTTATTCGAGAAAGCATCGCGTTGTTTGTCTGTACTGGGAGTGGAAACGTATAAAAACACGAAGCTTGTCCAATCGCAGTCTCTTTTTATTACGAGCAATTATTTCCGTCGGTATATTATTATAGCTGTAGTGAATAAAGAAATACTTTCTAAATGAGATAATAAAAATGAATCGACTGTCATTTGAAAAAGTACAATTAAATTACTAAATAATAATCAAGCTGTTTTTATACGATAATCGAGCAAGAATACTAAACATAGATCGCATGATGTGCATTATATAACACTAACTATGTTTTCAATGAAGCCTTCTATAATAAAAATGATGTGAAGATTATGGAATTAATAACAAAGTTGAATATAAAAGGTTCCAAATAGAAATCAAAACGTTTAGAAAATTAACTTTGATTAATAATAGAAGCACTTACAATTGGTATCTAAACGTTGAACGTAAGTCATTCTTTTTAAATGCGACATAGGTAACGTATGCGTGACCATCGGGATGATGACGTGAGATTCAATTGAAATTGCACTCTAATACTATATTCCAGTCTTTGCCGAGCACTTCAAACGCGAGGACATTTGAAAACTAGTCGTTGACTTGTAGTGCTCTAGATAACATTTCATAAGTATTCAGTTAAGTACGTTGAACTAAGTCACACCGTCAGACATGGCAGAATCGATTTTTTTCTCTTACGAGGAAGCAAAGAAAAAGAATCCTGAATTGAAAGAATCGGATATTCAATCGTTACGGGAATGGTGCGCGAAACAACCATTTTTACCAAAAATTACTGACAGCGAATTGGCTTTATTTCTGCACAGCAATTATTACTTGATGGAGCCAACCAAAAATACAATTGATACGTTTTATACCGTCAGAACCCACGTACCTGAATTTTTTTCAAATAGAGATCCGATCAACTGTAAAGAGTTAAGGAAAATATTTGATACAATGTAAGTTACTAGCTATTATTCGAACAATATGACTGATTTAGATTTTATCTTACACATCTGTTAGACTTGAAAAATTACAATTTGTTTGCTCTATTTTTATTAATCGCGTCATTGAACGAACAATGTTTATATTTATAGAAATTAATGTTGCAATATTATATTGCAATATTACATAGCGAAAGTAACTTGATTAACGGACTTGTTTTGAAAAATAATACTCGTTGCGGTTTGCAATTGCCGCGTAAGTGAAAACATCACTTGAATAAAATTTCACTTTTGTACTACAAGGTTTTCAGTCTCGAAATCTTATATTGATATATGTGTAGATATCGGGTCCCATGATTTTTAACGCTGAAACTAAAATACAAAAGTTACATCGGTTTGTTTGCTACTGTTAAACTAATGTCCATAATGTTTGTATATTCTTGATACACGATATTTTTTTATATTTGCATATCATTTCAAGATATTTATTTCCTCTCGAACAACGTACAAAAGAAGGATATACCGTAATATTTGGGCGCCTTCGCGACACTGATCCAGCCAATTATAACTACAACGATCACATGAAATACCTTACCATGAATATGGATTTGTGGTCGTATGGGACAGGTCCTATTGTCGGCCACGTTATTTGTTTCGATGTCGCCAACTTGGCGCTTGGCCACGCTGCTCGCGTGAGCCCGTTAGGCCTTAAAAAATTCCTGTATTATCTGCAGGATGGCATGCCCGTGCGATTGAAAAGTTTGCACTTCGTAAACATGAGCTCTATCATGGAAATAATTATAAACATGGCGAGACCTTTTATGAAAAAAGAGCTTTTAGATGTGGTGAGTGTGACATTTAATCCGCTAATATTGAATATTTAAAAATAATTCTACGCAGCTTTTTAGATGTACTTACGTAAGGGTACACAATATTGTCAAACAAATTGATTTACAGATGCATTGTCACACATCAATGGAATCCGTGGAAAAGTTTTTACCATTAGAAATCTTCCCAAATGAGCTGGGTGGTAAGGCTGGAGCTCTTGAGGATCTTCACAAAGCACGAATCAAAAAAATTGAAAGCTGTCGTGATTGGTTTCTGGAAGAGCAGGAAAGTGCTCGAGTCGACGAGAGCAAACGGCCCGGAAAAGAAAAAACAGCCACGGATCTTTTTGGCGTTGAAGGAAGCTTTAAAAAGCTCGACATTGATTGAGAAGAAACAAGATGTTTGTGTAAAATCATTTTACTGTTATTTCTTGCTATTGCATGTACTACAGTTATCGAATTTGGCGTGGTTTCTACTATATTTCTACGATTTTTTTCACATTGTCATTTTCTTTAAAATAGTGGAAAGATTTTGCACGAGAAATATTTTTGTAGACGATATTATAAGTACAAATGCATAATAAAGAAACACAAATGTATGATCTCATTTTGATGAATAATTTTTATAACAATATTTTTCAACATTCATCTAAGTTGTGTTTTGCATCTATTTATCTTGCAAAAGTTCTTTATATAAATTTCTGAAAGCACAGTTTAAGGAAAATAGTTTTAAAAAATGTCGTTGGAAGTAGGAAATCAGTCCTTGGAATGAATCAGTCGTTGGAATGAAAAAAAGGTAAAAAATTTACTTGAATATATGAATATAGGACAATAAATAGCAGAATCTATCTTACAAGTTCACTAATAGTGATTAGTAAACTTGTAGTGAAGTTAATAGTAAAAAGTAACACTGAAAACTACTTTTGAATGAAATTTTATTTGGCTGATGTTAATTTTGAATGAGCCTCAATTTAATAAAATTTTCACCCACTTCCACTCATGTCTGTATTTATAATGAATCTACTCACAGTAAACATTTTTTACAAATTTATTTTTATCCACTTTTTAAGAAATTAACGTTATTTTTTATTGAAATTTTTACTTATGTAATGGGTAGAAAAGACTCTTATTCAAAATGTTACGTACATGTAGCACAAATCTAATTATTTGAAGACGAGCTTATAAATTTATAAAAATTTCAAACTTTCAGATAGAAGTTTTCACAAAGTAAAAGAAGAGTTTCTATATTGAGTAGAAAACGCTACAACATTCATATTAAAATCGTCTTTTTTCTTGAGTACGCAGAATCATCAAGATTGATAACCGGTTTTCTTCACGATTATATCATCATGAAATTTCCAATCATACGTAAAAATAAATTCTTGCAAAACAAAAAAATTACTACACCATTTCACACTCGACCAGTTTAATGTGCAGTCAAATTATAATTCAAACTGAATGTAAGCATTTCACGTTCTTTTATAAGAAAAAAAAAATAGTAAAATAACGCCTCTATATTTCAAATTCAAAAATTCAATTCCTCGTCAGAGAGGTCTACTGACAGACTTGCGCGTTTCGTCAAACTGCTTTTAAACATTACTTTCACTGCTCTCGGAACTTGGAACCGCAAAGACTATCCCATGTCTCAGTAGCACGTCGCACAAGGTTCCGCGACGTTCGTCTTTCCATTGCGTACGAGTTTTGATGTTACGATGAAGATTCTCATAGTAAGTACATTCACGCAATATAAAGCCTGTTTACAGTAACTACGGATAAATGAGTGCTGGTTCGTTTGAAAGGCAAGATGCAATGTTACCAACGAGAATCATTTCGCGAGTATAGCAAAGGAAAGTGAAAGTAGAAAGTACTCGTGGTAATTAAACCGCCTTCGGATGGTTCTCTGCCAATAATGTTTCCAATCGGAATTCTAATGTTATGCAGATTACCTTATATATATTGAATAAAACTTTACTTGAGAAACTGCATTTCTACGTTCGAAACAGTCACCTCTCCAAAAATTTATTGGAAATATAACAAACAACAACTCGTCGGATCATCATAGATTAGATGTCGTAAAAAATTCGTCAAGGAAATGATAGTTTATAACGGAATATATAATATAAGATAGTTAATAACGGAATGCGTACGCACAGGTTTTCCTCGCGTTGGCGAGTTTAAGCAGTGGCGACGTGTCCCACATTTTGCATGAGCAGTCAGCGCTAACAGACGATTACGAGGCCGCAATAACGACAACGACGCAGGGACCACCAAACCCTTATAGCTTCCAATATAGCGCTGGTCGCTTTCCAGGACACGTTGATCGTGTTCAAAGCGAAGCAGGCGATGGCACTGGCCGCGTTAAAGGTACGCGCATATATACCTATATTTATCAGTCTATAACCATTATTGCTAATACTACACCATCTCTGTTCTCGGTATATCAACGATTTCGCGATTTTGTTTTAGTCCTATTCTGCTGATAAATCTAATATTATTTTTCAATGATAAATTCTTTGTACATTGATTACAATTGCATACTGAAAATCACGATGAGTGCAGCTCTTACATCGAGACAGAAGATTCGTTACTTTGATGTTAATTGAATAACGCACATTAATTATTATACGAAAACAAATTCATGAATAATCGGCATGTTTAACCAATGATTTTCTTTACAGGATCCTTCTCTTATATCGACCCGAAATTTAAAGTGCGCACGATTGAATATACTGTAGATGAGAATGGATTTCATCCTTCCTTGATTAATTACGACGATGTATTTAAACAACCAAAAGATTCAGAGGCCGTAAGACGAGCAAAGGAAAGACATCGAATACTTTATGATAAAATTGCTGCTCGCAATTCACAGGGGATTCCAGTTCAACTACCCAAGGTATTGGTAGTCGATAAATTCTTTTTAATTAAATAGCCAGAGTTCGTTATATTAAAATTTATTGGTATTTTTAGGAAATAATGTCAAATGTAAAAGAACATATTATCTAAATTCACTTTTTAACTTCAATTTTTATATCGTGCAGAATCAATAAGATCAGTCGTATTTTTTACTTAGTTTAAAGTTTTAAATATAATATTAAAAATTATAATTATAATTAATTTTAATTATGGAGACTAACAAATGATTAATTTTTCTAAATTGCCTGTATCATAACAAAAATGAAAACTAATTTTTATTTTAATATTTTCAGGAGACGGCTAGTGTAGAGAGGGCAAAGAACCGTCACTTTGATCTTTATCAAAAGATTGCAGCTGAACATGCGGCAATAGCAGCAGAACGCGAAACTAAACGTTTAGCCTTTGAAGCGACTTCCGTGGCAAACGATGTTAACGAGTCGGAGGTGTATTTTCAATGACCTCGAGTCGTTTGAATTAATATAGAAGCATTTCTACTCTTTGCACATATTTAAATACCTATGCAGTACTGAAGAAGTCCAAATGATCTAGAAACGTTTTATTTAATTTTCCTTGCTTAAGTATAAATTGCTTTTATGTAAATTTTCTTTACATTATTATAATGGTAAACGTTATGCTTTATACATGATGAATTCATCAGCAGTCATAGATTTCAGTTTTTTTTACAGAAACTTTTTTTTTTAAATTGAGTGACATTTTTATATTATATGAGCGTTTTATAACTGTCATAGTAATTATCTTATAAAAATATTAACAAATTATAGAATAAAAATGTGTCTTAATTGAAATAATTTTACACTATCTATATACACAAAGTTCTATATACTTTTTTTATATAATGAATTCCATTTAAAACAGTCAATATAAAAGTACTATAAGTCGATGGACTAACTTCGTTATAAATAAATCTTATATTGAGTACAAATTAACTATTATAAAAATGATACATTCACTGATATTTTTAAAAGAAATCCATTGAAAATTGTACTAAAAATGAACTTTCTAATTTTTATCCACAAACGTTTAATTGATAATGCATCACTTTTATGGGTTCTCCAACTTTTAGATAAGCAAATTCACAACAAATAAATTAATCAATTTATTACTTTTTTAATAAATGTCTAATGTCTTTATTTTGTCTTTGTAAAGTAATATCTGCTTTCTCTGCTTTATCAGTGATGCTATCAATCAAATCATTTTGTGTATCGATTTCTTCTGACAAGCCAATAGCCAAACCTTTCAATCTGGAAATTGAACTACTCATTTCATCTAAATTAGCCTCTAAAACTGCAGTTAGATTCTTTGTTGATGGATGAATATCTTCTTCCTCTTCGGTCATACCTCGAAGACGAAATGATGGATGTTCTGAGTTACGACGAGCACTTTCTGCTGTTTTATTCAATCTGTCAGCTAGATTTGCCTCTGATGTTGGTGACAAAGGTGATTCAGGAGTTTTTATTCCCCCTGCACTAGATCCAGGAGGTGCATCCATGGATTTACTACCACTGAAATAGTTTTTCAATCCGCCAAACACACTTTTTATCCCTTGAATATGTTTCTGACTAAATCTTAAAGTATTGTTGATATCATCGAGACGCCTGTCTGTTCGCTCCAATTGTTCTCTTTGACGTATTAATTCCTGAAAATCAATTTATGAGTTTGAGCAATTGGACATCTCTTTTCAACTTTATCAAATAAACTTGACATGTACAAAATAAGTTTAATGAAAAGTCCTATAAGTATTAAAAAAACACACAACTAAAATGATTGTTTTGTCATTTTAAACCACAACTGGAAATATAAGATGATTGACCTTATGTCTGGAATTAATCTGTACTTTTAATCACTATTACTGATAAATGAAAGTAGATACCTCAGCAGTGGCAGTTCCGACCTCTTCCGTGTCTCTCAATAGTGACATAGAACGCATAGATGATTGTAATGTTCTCTGTTCAACTTCCTTTTTACGTTCAACAAGTTCTTGATGCTTTTTCTCAAGTTCATTATCGTAATTCTGAAATGGGTTTGTGGAAGGATATCTAGGTGGTGCACTTTTTAAAAAGGTTTCATCGTCTACATCATCTTCTAGAGAGAAAAATGGATTCTTTGGATCTCTCAAATAATCGTTACCAGCCATTTTCAGATGAAATCAATTAATGAAAATGATCTGAAAAATATAAAACTAAAAATAAAATTATGATTGTGAATTCTACTAAGAAATATGCTAAACACAATTTTACATTTTCACTCAACGAACTAATTAAATAATTCTCAGTTAAATTAATTATGAAGATTTTTAAATAAACAGAAATGAATGAAAATTGTTGCTGTAGTTACAAATATTTGTACTATATTTTACTCTTATTGTGATAGCTCGTTCTTTGTGACTCACCAAAGGGAAAATCTTTCTCACTCTCACTAATTGACAGATTATTAACTTTCAAGAAAGTTCACAGCTTTCTATAATATGTTATAAACTGATCAAGTGTGAAATTATCAGCAATACTGAACTATATCTTTGTTAAATGTAAAATCATACATAAAAAAGACCTGTGAAAAGTACTAAGTGCAGCATTGTAAGAATACATGTAGACGAGATAGACTGACACAATGACACGGGCAAGGCAGTGGACACTGACAATAACACTCAAATCAGCGTTGACGATACCAGTTTCCACGTTATTATAATAGATGGCGGCACCATGTCTATCTATTTTGGCGTTGATCTTATAAAAATTGGTCAATAAAAACTTACTGTACTCCGACGCTGATATAGAAAATATTTGTAACTTTCGTTCCTGCTGATTCAACTTATATTTTGGTGTACATATACATACATACATACGTATATGTTATGGTCTTGTCTAGACAACTGCGTAGGATTACATTAATACACGAAACATAATTTTGCAGCGGAGAAAAATAACGTTAGTATAAATTTCATACAAATATATTATTAATTTATCGTCTGTTTTATTTCCATTAAACACGTTAAATGATGTTAAAATCGATAAAAGTTTTAATGTGATTTCTATTGATAATAAGATTAAAATATTTTTATGGAATTCAATGATTCAACCGTTCGTAAAATTGATTAGCAGAACTTTATTTTTATAATTTGTTTCTGTATTATGAAAATGCCTTTAATAATCTGATTCGATGTACCATTTGCTTTTTGATGTAAATATCGACAAAAGCGATAAATATTGAGGATATATTTGAAGAAATGTCAATTTTCAATGTATAAAAAAATACATTATATTTTCGAAACAAATATCATTCAATATTTACAATATATAACAAGAGAAGAAAAATGTGCGTAGGGTTGGGTGGGTGGCGCAAGCAATTTCCAATCGTCGAGCTCTATTTTGCGGGCTTCCTGTGGTACTTGGCTGTTCTGCCAGGGCGCTTGGAATGATCGTCGCGGCGGAAGTCGTTGAGGTAGCTGTGCGTGCACTTTGCCCTCGGTCGTTCTACCGGCGCGTTTAACGCCGCCGTCCAAATCATCGATGCCACGATTCCTAAAGCTCGCGACATACACAGCACCAGCTGGTTGTACTCCATGTCGCGCAGTCCATAAAACTGCAATAGTTCAATTGAGATTTTAGTACATCAAGATTTATTTTGAGAGCCGACGCTCTTATCGAGGTTTCTCAAAGAATTTCCGCCCAAAATTGGGACCGTATTACTTGGAATAAGGGTGCGGCAATAGCATTCTGTTCGGCGACGACCGATCGATTTCGCGCCTCTTTTATTTGCTTTGTGTAAATGCTGGATACTTCTTGCGATAGCTGGAACAAAAGGAAAAGCTCGTTCTGTTGCTTATTTATTTTTCTTTTCAATGGAAACGCACAAGCAGTAAAAAGAAAAAAGCTTGGGATATTGAAAATGTCGAGAGAGGAGAGAGAGAGAGAGAGCTTTCATTGGATTTCTTTCTCAGCTCCCTTGCAAGTTTGCAAAATGTTATTAATCACCTTGATTTCCGGATCGTTGGGCACGTGATTCTTGACGAAGTTCCGCAAGACAGTGTATCGCGTGTCCTCGAACTGCGCAATTTTATGGCCAGCGATTTGAAAGCGCTTGTCTATGAGCGAGCTGAGAAAGTTTCTCAAAATATCGTTTTTTGGTTCTCGGCCAACGGCGTTCTGCAACTTCATCAGGAAGTCCATATACTGTAACATATTTTTCTCTCTCACCAGCGCTACACCAACCTCGTGCTTATAAATCTATCACGGAATCTTACATTTTTCAGTCGGGATCTATTTGTTTGGAAAACTTCACGCCCAAAGGAGCTCGTGGTTATAATATTCCAGTGGAACTTTGCAAGCGAGTAGACTCTAAACTTGACTTATTTTTAGGTGGCAAAATACCAGAATATTTAACCGTACGCGATATTGTAATCAAAATAAAAACCTAATAAAAGTCAGATTGGAGATATCGCGCTCTAGATATTCCTTACTGTTCGATGCAATCTAGTTCATTTGCTTCAATGCCAATAATACAACATACGTTGTATTATTTTAATTATTCGTCAGCGATATTAATAATGCGCCTTTGGCAATTTGTACTTGTCAAAGTGTAATTCGCGGATATAAACGCGAACCATCATTGCTATTAAAATCCGTCGTCAAAGGTATCACGTTTATTAACGCGATGCAATATTTGGCTATTGTAAATAATTAAACACGCGGCGTTATTCGTGAGCGAACGGAAAAACAAATATTCCTTTCGCTCGATAACAGTGTAGCTGATGCTTGCTGCTGGCCTGCCAACGGCGAATCAGCCGTAGCACGCACGAAAGGGTGCATATACGCCGACACGGGGAGTCTGACGTGGAACGTGCGAACTCGTGCGAACAAATGGAGAGGTCCAGCAAATTGACATATTGCGGCAGGTAGTGGGAGGGGGAGGGGGGGGGGGGGGGAGTCGAGAAAGATTTACGACGGCTAGCCGCGTGTATATATACGCACCTGACTGAGCGTTCCAGTGATGGGTTCATTGGCATAAGCGAGAACGCCTGCGGCCAGAGCACGGCTTGCGTCGAATTGGCAGGATCCCATGATTTGGGCCACGTGCGCTCCAGGTATACCGCCGTCATCGTCGCTGTAGTACGTATCGCACAGAGCAAAATCAGCGAGCTTCAGCGATAATACTCGGCCTGCATGTGTGTGCTGTACGCGTGCGTTCTGTTGCGGCTGGCGAGATTGATGAGGGGCCATTGTTCTTTCTGTGATCCCGTGCGGCTTATTGTTACGGAAACGGGAGGCGCGCTGCTCCGTTGATTTCGATTTATCATCAAATCGCGGTATTCGAAAAGCTGATTGAATTATACATTGCATTTGTTTTCCAGCCGACTCGACGAATCTGCGCGCTCTTTATTTTCTTTCTTTCTTTTTTCTCCCTTTGACAGTACGTATCTAAAACGACATCGGGAGTCTCGTGCGCGCAGTGTGCGAAATTCAATCTCGCTTTCGCGAGCTTCGGCGCTACATCTGTGTTTTTCTTTCTCATGCTAACGTAATCATGAAAAATTCAATACATGCCACTTTTAGGTGAACTGCTTATAGATATCTATGTACTTTTTTCATGAATAATTGAGCGCGAAATACAGCCCTTTTTTCGTTTTATAAATGTAGCCAGAAGAGTATAAAAGCTTTGAAAAGACCGGGTAAGCTTTGGTATGCAAAAATATCACTGATTTCCCTATTATACGTCTCGTGCATTTCGGATTTATTTACATAGGATCATACGTGCGATCGAGGGAAGAGTTTGCCATGTAAACGTTCGATCGAGAATACGCGCACATGCATAAGAGCCGAGTAATAAGTGTTCTTTACCACTGGAAAAAAGCAAAATACCAATAGCGAAACTCACGCGTTGACGGCGATGAAGAGCCTGAGGAAATCCACCAAACTGTGGCGTTGCGCCTCGGTGAAGGTGTCGCGAGAATTGTGCAGACAGTCAAGAAAGAAGTCGGCCCAGTCGGTTTTCCGGAGCAGCGTAAGGGGCGTGGGACGCGACTGGTTGTTGGAGCCGACGAGTGCAACGATGGCCGGAAGCGACGCCAGTAGCTCCATACTGTCCTCGTAAATGTGCTGGTGGGCAAACGACGACGACGTTATCGAGCGGTAATTGATGGGGGACATTGCGGCCACGAGGGAATTTCTCTTAAAGGCAGACGCGCCGCTGTAACGTGATTAAACGCTCTCCGTGCGATTATTATTTTTCATTGTCTGCCTCTGCAGCAGACGTTCATTTTAATTCAATGACCCGAGTAGCAGATAATACGTAGGTCAAACGCGTCGATGGATTGTTGTTATTGCTTTGCGAATTGCAAATGACGTTAGTCGAGTTTCCCTTAGCAGAATGGAAAGATTAATATTGATGAGGCGAGGAGATTAATGTTTGTCGACTAAGCTTCTTACGGTGGTGGAAAAGCACACGAGAAGAAGAAATATTCTTATTTTAATAGAAAGATTCCTTTGATTAAATATTTTACAGAGAAGAGGATTACTCATGATGGCTCTCGTAATATTCATGATTTGTAGTTATTTATGCAAAGTAGCCTTTTGCGCGAATCGTAGAAACGTTTCATCTATAAAGACTTGGTTCCTGATAAAAAAATCACTTTTGCAGAGACTTAAGATATAAATAGCTTCCCTTGAAACGTATAGCATAGTCTGTTCCTGTGAAAGAACTCAAACGAAATTCAGTTGAAGTTTGCATAACGTCTTGTCGTGGCTTTTGTATATATACCTTTATGTAATGAAAGTACGCGCATGGACGAATCCAGTTACCAGTGTAACTGCATTCGTCCGTTTACACGAAATAAGTTACTTTCAAACGTCTCCTACCACTGCAGCCTTTATTTTGTGTTTAAAAACACGTTTAACGTGCGGATGTCTAAGCTGAAAAAAAATCTCATCAAGCTCTCTCTCTCTCTCTAAATTATGATTATACGCTCATTAGTCTCCATCTTCGCGCTTTCCGCTGCAGTCGCACGTTTGTTCATTCTAAATGCAAGAGAGGAAAGCAAAAAGGTTTTTTTCCTTGTTTTAGCACGCTGACGGCTTCTTGCGCAAAACGTGACGTTACGACGCTCGTGGCTCTCTCTCTCTCTCTCTCTCTTTACGTTTGCCTGACCTATTAATCTGAATCGCAAAAAGAAAAGGACATCTGCCGTGCCTTTTCACGGTATTTTTAGCGCTTCCGCGATGCCGAGCTTCCGATTCGAAGGTTAAATGACAATAAAGTTCAGGCAGCAGTGCGCGGAAGCAGGAAGAGAAAACGGCAACGGTTATGCCGAATAATGTTATCGCGGCGCGTCTGCCTCGTGACAATTTTTCAGCCGAAAATTCTGTTCGAGCGGCTCACTCGTCCGGCAAAGATTTACACTTTGACGGCATATTTTTTGTTTGTTCTTCTTTTGTTTCATCGCGGAAAGTCAGGAAAAATGTATTTGTCATTTATTACAACGTCGCTCCTGTCTTTTCATGCGGCGACGACCACGCGCGGGAGATCCTTTATTCCGCGACGACTTTTCGCAGCTACGTGAATTCCAGGAATTGCCGTTGATATACACGCGACAACGCGGTGATAAATCGCTTACTTTCAACTCGAGACAAGTCTGATGGATCCCCCAACTTTCTTTTTTTTCTTCCGACGTCGAGCAAAACGTTCATCCGCGATATATATCGCTTTTATAGGATAAAAAGAAACTGTCAACGCGTTATGGTAATGCCTCGTGTTTAGGAACTTAGTAACGCGATGACTGTGGTAAACTGATCGACGCGTTTTTCAGAAGCTGCGATAAGAAAAACGCGTGTCATGGGACACTCATGCCACAACACGCTTAAGCTACTACGCGTAACGAATACATAAATTTTAGTCAACTGTGCTCGATAATTTGTATCCGCGTGTATGAGAAGAGGATGACTGGAAAACTAAGACGTAGATGGATAAGCGAGCACAAAGATCTATCAATTGTGTCTAGCGTGACAACTTTGGAAGCGTGCGACAAGTCACGAATTTGATAAAATAAAAACAAGCAATTGCAATCAGAATTTCGATTGAATGGACGAAGATGGAAACTATTCACCCTCGAATGAAATGATGCAAATAAAGATAATCGGATGTATTTAATGCGATTAAAAACTCTTCTTTTGATCAACTCGAAAATCTCATTAGTGCTGCGGGGCAAAAATATGATCCACTCGACCGAAAGTTTTACGCGTAACTGAATTGGATCGCGGGGATCGGCCTTAAAAAAAAAAAAAGAAGGAAAACGTAATTTGCAGGCTGGGAATTGCACAATTTATAGCTATCGCTTGCACCTCAAAGAGGGATGCTCGTTCGTAAACTCGATTATATCGATCGAAGAGCGCCTTTTTCCCGTTCAAAGCGGCAATATCTCTTTGCAATCCACCTCGGAACCCTCATGAAAATCGCAATCCCGTAACTCGATCGGGCACCGACAGGAGACAAATGGGCAAGAAATTTACCTCCCAATAAGTGTAGCTCATAGCCCCCGTCCGCAGAGCTCTCTTGTAATGCTGATCGGCGTCGAGGGCAGTAAGGGCAATAGCAAGTCTGCCCACGGGGGGCACATTGTCGGGCAGAGCACGAAGCACGTTGCCAACGACACCGCCGCTCTCGCTCGACGACTCGGACCACCACCAGTTTTTGCGCTTCTCGCGTCGCTCCGCCCAGTCGGCCACCAGCGATTCCGTTTGCTCGCACGTCGGTACGTCGCCCGTGAGCAGTAGCCAGAACACCGCCTCGGGGCTCGGCGAGTTGCCTCGTCGTGGCAGCAGGTTAAACAGTTCCGGGATCGATAATCCGCGGTACTTTACCTGCAACATTTCGCGCGCCCATTCTCGTTTTCGTTTGCCTTCCTCCGGCCGCGGCGCAGGCAAAAACAATCGCTCTCCGATGAGAGCGCGACGAAAACCAATGCGACATGAATATGCACGCGAACAGACAAGTTCCAAAATGCAAATCGCAGTTCACTTTGAAGGGATCCCGCCGCCAGTAGTATTCCGACTGCGCGCGAGAAAAATGCACGGACAGTTTCGAACTCAGAGTGCGAAATCCAAGTTTTTAACGAATATCTCCCGATGTAAATTATTCGCTCGCGCAGCGAGCCTGCAAATATTTAGTAGGACGCGCGCGGCCGAGGAATAACGAGACAATCGATGGGACGGCCTTACTCCAAGTTTCCGTCATCTATGCAATTCAAATAATGAAAAGAAAAGGAGCAGGAGGATCGATCGTCGCCGTTGAAATCGGCTCGAGCGCGCTCACCCCGCTTTGCGAGTCAACCTCCGACGTCTCTCTAATTAGAGCGTCCACGCCGTCTAGGCCACGGTAGATGTCATTGACAGTGATCTGGCTGACCACCTCGAGGCCGTGTAGCTGTTGGAACTTGCGTAGTAGGTCGTGGTGCAGCGGTATCTTCTCGCAGAGTGCCTCCTTCAGGTCGTTGCTTGTACTTGGCGCGCCTCGCGTTGTGCTCAACTTCGGAACACCGACAACAAAATTATAAATTTAAATGCCCGCTTTATCGATCGGAGCTTCCGTCCGACAGTTTTCTCTAGTCTATCCTTTGCAGTACCCTTACGTTTGGTTTTTCTCTTGAGTTCGAGGAAAAAATCTCATACGCGGTGTCGCACGCGCGCAAGCTGCTTCTCTTTTATTTCTTATAATTTATGCAATGCACATTAAATTTCGATCCTCGTTTTCATTGAATTACGAATTAATAGCACTGAAAACTGTTGGTTATGCGTGTCATTATAATTATCAGTGCTCAGTGGCTTTTTAAAATCCATCCTTAATGCATGTCGTGTAATTTACCCTTAATTGGAGTTAAGTGGGGATCGTAATTTAATATGTCCATTACTAAATGAATACTATAATAATAAATCAAGCTGTCGTTAATTAATTAATTGCCGCCTACTATTGCATCAAGTGTACAATTGTCACTGGTATGGAATAATTACATAAAATTTACAAAAAATCAAGATAAAGCTACGTCAAAAAATAGGATATAAATTGAATTTGGAGTTAGGAAAATCTCAAACTGGTGACTACCATTGGAAAACACACTTAACCTATGTAATTACCTTTATGCGGAATTCTTCGAAACTGCTGATGAAACTACTGGATGAAGATAATTGATCGAGCTTTAGTAACACCATGTTGACCGAATTCAAAAAATTGCTTTTGTTTTTTACGTTTTGACAGATTTTCAACATTTTTCAAAATAAATACACATTTAGCACTTGGCCAAATGTTCTAGTACTTTAACGATTATAGCGAAAGAATGAATCACTTTTGAATAAAGCTACTTTATAATTGAAATGGTAATTTTGAAATACCGCGCCGAAACTAAGCAGCTTGCAGCTAGGTGAACTTGGAAATTTGGAATGAGAAAAGAGGTTAGAGATTGAACAGAGCCGAAGTGAAGGTTTTTAGTACTCTATTTATTTCTTAGCGTTCATCGTGTCACTCCCGCCAAAAATCACAAATGGCAACAACGTTTATTTATTTTATTTTCCAACAGTCGACGCTTAACGCATCACTTTTTTTTTCATCTAAGATTCGTTTAACAGTCCACATGCTAATAAAGAGTGTAAGAAAGTTCACGGTAAAAAGAGTCGACTAAAACTGATTTACCATTATATGATTCGAACATTTGTGTGTGTAGCTAATAATACAACATGGCACAGTTTCAACGTTTGCGCGACTCAGTTGCGAAAAGGAATCACTTCAAGGTTAGACTTACGCGTTGTATATATTTTATCTAACTTATTAGATACAATAACGTCAGGCTTAAACTATATTATGATAAAGTCAATTAAATCTTCACTTTTTTTACAATGTTTTTTTTTGTTCTCGCTCACGTTGTAACAGTTAAAGCTCGCAAAACGTATAGCTCTATTTTGTCGCCTCGCAGGCGTAATAACAATAGATATACATATACAACCGCGCGTGCATGAATGTGTATATATATATATATATATATATATATATATATATATATATATATATATACACACAGTCAACTCTCTAATCGACGAATAACAGATATTAATTTGGCACTGCATTACATGTACGACACACTTGCTATATCTCGTGTACTTTCAAGCAAACTGATCAGATAAAACGTCATTGCACTTGATATTCCATCGCCAATCGGGCAAAGTAACCATCAGCGTTCAGAAGATGAAAACTCATAAAACTAAAGTGCAAGAGAGGCATTAAAAAAGGAAGGAAAGAACAATGTCGGACATTCTCTGTATATCTCGTTTACTCTTTCGAGTGATTACTTTTTTGTCGTTAGAAGTGCAGTGTTATGCATCTCATTTTCTTTTTTTAATTTATCATTAATTACCGCGAACGCGTAGCTTTGTTGTTCTATTCTCTCAATGTCTACAAATTGACGTTAGCATCGTAATACAATGTTATGTTTATCTGTTCCTTTTTTTTCTTTTATTCTTAAAACCTAATTGTAATGCACTATCTATAATTACAATGTTCTCTCGTTCGTTATATTACTGATTTATTTTTCATATTTTTTTTTGTCGTTTTATACATTTTACAAACAATATATACTGCAAACACACATCGCGCGCCCTCAATTCAGCGGACGCGTTCGTCAACGGCTAGTTATATGTGTGTGTGTGTGTGTGTGTGTGTGCGCGCGCGCGCGCGCGCGCGTGTGTGTGTGTGTATAATTTTTTTTTGCTTGCTTGTTACGATTTTTTGTTCTGTATTAACTCATATGGCTAGAAGAACGTGTATGTATATTACTCGGTGCGTGTTATTCTTTGCTCGTAAACGATCATCAACCTCTGTATCGTGTATGTGTTTTTGTTGCTGATGTTACCTGTCGTGCGCGCGTGGTCGCCCCGAAAAGATTCTCGCAACTTTTAATTACAATAGCAAAATATACAATGCCTTGCTCGCCCCTCGCTAGTTATCGGTTATAAGTATATTAATAATATTGCTTGGAGCCGTTTTTCTTTTTTTTCATTTTTTTTTCTTATTTCGGTCACTCACATTATATATCATGGCACGTTGCTACGTTAGGCCGTGTACGTTTAATCGTCGCGATGTATATAATATCTTTCCTAAAATTTGTTTTATTTTCCAACAGGTAATGAAACGTATTTAAATACATGAAGACGGGCGTGTTTGTATATCCGATAAAAATCACAGAAAAATTGTCGCTCGATCTGTATGCATAACCAAAATGTATTGTTGTAAACGTCGAACCCAATGAAAAATACTTTTGTTGTTTTTGTCTGTTTGATTAGCACAACATGTATGTACTTACTTCTTAATTGGAAAGGGGTTTACGGTGGCATGAGAGGAAGGGAAGAGATGTATTTATTAGTGATCGAGCCGCTCGTCGTCGGGCTTATTCGCCTGATGTCAGAGAAGTGTGCACTTGTCGGAGCCACTTGCACCTGCCGAAGCGGGGTCGTTACCACTCGAGCTACCTGATGAGGTTACCTCCTGCGAACGTAGTAGCGGCAAGGAGCTCGTGGGGGACGACGCGGTTTTACCCTCCAATACGGCGATGCTCTTCATCAGCTCACGGAATACCTGAGAATGAAGCAATAGATAAACCTTCGGCTCGGTAGTTTCCAAGTTTGCACGCTCAACAGCTTCATGATTACACAAGAGTTCTCTCAGAAAAACATACATTATACCTACTACAAATGTATTTTAATTATTTTAATCCGTAAGCTCGAAACCTTTCTGTCCTTTTTTACAGCTACATCAAAGGTTTTTTTCTTTTCTTTCTTTTTTTTAAAGCTTTAAGCTTCTGCGTGGAGTAGAGTGGGTAGTGCGGTGAGAAAAGAAAAAAGGTAAAGGCACATTCTGCAAAGCTTTGAAGTCGAATAAACGTAGTTATGCGATAAAGGCAAACAAAGCGAAAGCTTCTGGAAAGTCGAGCACAAGTAGTTCACATGTGCAAAATTCAGCATCAGAGAAATTACAACCAATTAGCATATGTGTGCGGGTTTGAACGTAATTATCCTGAAGAACACAAGCTCAAGAGACCATTTTAAACGGCACGACATTTGCATGAAACGTGGAAGTTGAACGCGCACGTGGTTTCTCCTTTATTTACCGTGCATTCTTATGCTCTTTAGCATGAAAAATTTTTACTTGGAAAAGCTTTCGATCCCTATGTGTGATGCAATATATTTCCTCTCGCGCGACACGGCAAGCAGAAGATTTTTATGTAGAAGCTTTTCTAAAGAGACGGCTGCTCGAGAGAGAAGGAAATACAAATTCGAAATGATATGCGGGATCTATAGAGAGTAAGAGATTTCGCCTCTTTCTCCGTCTCGTTTTATGTCGTCTGTTCTGAATTGAAGATACTATATAGCTTTGTTCTTCGTGAGAATAAATCCCAACGTGCGCGCGTTTCATTTTTTTTTATACATTGCAAGACGTTTTTTCATTTCTGGGCAGCATCTTTCTTCTTTTTAGACATATCTTCGACGCAAAGGAATGAAACTCGAAAAAAAAAATCGTTACGACAATTGTAATATTTAGCCTTAACCTTATGATTCTCGTCCATAGTAACAAGCGTCTTTGCCCCCTCCCCTTTTTTTATTAGTTGCTTCAAAAAACATCTGCTCTTGTTTGCTTATCACGACTCGATAATTTCTTAAATATTTCGTTATTTTGCATCTTGATAGATATGGACACTATACTTTAGTAAAATATTAAAACGATTAGTATAAATTTGAGAAAGAACAGCTGACTCAACGAATACAATTATTCTCAGTGGATAAATGTTTAACGATCTAAGGTACAACGAAAGTCCGTAAGCACAAATTAGGGACAAACAAATTGAACAACGAACAATATTGAATGTTAGTAAAACAGATTAATTGGGCAAGGAAAATTTACGGCGCATTATAATTAAAATTTAATAGCGGCGCTAGCCATAACAAAAGGAAAACGGCATAATTTCGTTGAATTTCACAACAAACGGAATAGTCAAGAAGCTCCGAGCGTATAGGACCCCACGATGCTCGACTCGCATACGAGCGCGATCATACTCAGCATAATTCACCTACCTACTTGGCCACATAATGCCAGCATGATATTTTAATATGAATTTACACTGTACTCGAGTGCGCCTCGAGAAGGTGGAAATTCGCACTCTCTTGAGCAGTTAAAACACGACAACGTGTTGTGCAGAAACTCGTCAACGACGCACAAACACAAATCGCCTCTCTACGTCTCTCTCACGCGCAAAATCGAATGCCAATAGGCTACATAATGAAGTCTGACATTGCGCGTGCGGTGAGAATGCCATCGATGACGGCTGGGATAAATACTCACCTGCACGACGCGGCAGTTGAAACGAGCACTGCACTCGACGTAGCCGCAACGCCAGTGTTTGCGCACCAGGTTGACGATGTCACGATGCCTCGTGCCGGGCAGCCCGCCGCCGCTCGAGCCGCTGCCACCGCTGGCGCCCGTACCGCTCGGGGGTAGCTTATCCTGTTTGTTGCCCACTACGAGCACCGGCACGTTACGCATGTCGCGAGCCTCATAGATCTGCTCGCGCAACGTCCTTATGTACTGCGAACACACAAAGCCGATTGGCGCGGGTCAGTTGGCCCTGCGTCCACTCCCGACGTGCGCGTCGGCCCCCGCGAGCTTGAGCGATTCGATTCCATCGCGACGGACCCTCGGGCCATGCGCATTCGCGAAAGCACTTGAGCGCGCCAAAGGAGACAGGTCCCTCTCGAAACACAGCCTAGGCAACGCCAGACCGGCGGCCAGCACCAGCGCGCGTTTTCCGGTCAGCGGCGAGATTTCCATAAATTGAAATTCAGGGCTGTTCGATCTCCGCGTCCTGTGTCACGTAAAGGCGTAACGCGCTCGCATTCATATTCGAATGGCCACCTCTCTGCATACCATCTATGTAGGCAGAAATGTTTGCACGAGCGCGCGTCTTCAATGAACTAGTTTCAACGCTGCCAGCAAGTCAACCTACCCCCCTTTTGCAAACATCAACTGCTCCTGTGTTTATTTATTGTGAGTGTGTATGGGTGTGTGTGTGTATGTGTATGTGCGCAGCCGAGGGGCAAAAAGGACCTAGCCAACTTCCGGGGAATTCAATTTCCAGAGTCTGTTTGATTTCGCAGATTGCCAAGGAAAAAACACACGCGCGCAACGAATAAAGATCACTGACGGTGATTGATCAATTTTTCCGCAAATTGAATTCTGATGGGATTTCTTTTTTCTTACTTCTCGTAATTTATCCACGATGTGCTCAATTGTTTCAGCATTGACAACCATAATACCTAACAGCTTTGTTTTAATGATTTATTGGGCGTGCGGGGGGGGGATACCGAAGGAGCATCCCATATAAGCTGCTTATACGGGTTTCTTGCAAACAATCAAATTTTATTTTCATTTTACGAGGCGAGAAACGTATTTACTTTTAATATTCTCGATGAATTCTTACAATTAAAAAGAGACCAAGAAAGGTCGATACCGCATGGGTTACATATACATTGTACGAGTAAAATAAGAATTCATTCGGAGATGCCGTTCCAATTGTGGTCGTTGTCGTGAAAAATTGAGCGTTGAAAATCCACCCGGCTCGAATGAAAAATCGAGAAGTACTATCGATTCATTATACGAAATTGACGTTCTTAGCAGCTAGAGAGAACAAAATGCCTCGATATAATTGCGTTCCTGTACAGGACGTCTCTAAACGAGAAAAATGAGAGATGATAAAAACAAAAGGAAGAAGAAGAAAACCTCGCGATGTAAAATTTAATATCGCCGGTGATACTTCGCAGTGGCTCATTTGCACTCGAGACTCGTTTGGATTTTATTGCGAGTGTGTGGCTTTTTGTTTGCACGCGCGAAAAGTTTCGCGTTTACTTTGCGCGTCGTATGATTTAAAGCTAAAATCTCCCTCACCGGCCTTTTTTTTTTACAGCGACGACGAGGGCGTTAAGTTTTCATGGTTACGAGTTTATTAGAGCTCGGGCGTTGCGGATAAATGAGGATGCGGCTAACTACTCTGACTTTAAAACTTTTTTTTTTGTAGCCCGTCGCAGTCACGGCTCACTAGGTCAATGGGATTATTTGGACGAGAGATTGGTTGTTCTGGCTGTTAAATTGGCAGTAGCCAAAGTCAACGGATATGCCCTTTATTTTTGTGGGGAAAAAAATTGTTAATTAGTTCCGTACCGAAATTTTAATAGCTATTTGCACATTGTTTTCGAATTTCCACTATATGCTGTGAAAATTTTAATTAAAACTTTTAATCAAAGGCCACGTCGTCGCAATTAGTTTCAGTCGATGGAAAATTTTCGGAAATTCTCGAGTGTCAAAATTCGAATAGTTGGCGAATGTCTCTGCGGCGGCGTGTACATTGTCATGCGCATTTTTTCTATCAATTAATCTGGAGCGAACGAAACTCAAAAATATATCGCTAAAAACATGTTTGGAATGGAAATCTGGCTGAATGGCGCAGTCCATTGGTTATGTCATTAATTATTCATGAATAGCAGTGCACTGTCGTATTTTTATCTGTCTGGATTGTAATAGAACTCAGAGTAAATGTTAGTTCAGCCAATATTGAAGATTAACTCTCTCTTTCTCTTTTCTGCCCGAGAGCAGACGCAAAATTAGCTGTCCGTCGCAGCTCGAAGCTTTTCTCGATCGGCGACGCTCCCGCAACTTCGCTGTCGATATAACGGATCCGGCTTACCGGTGTGCCAATCATATGCAACTCCTAGAAATGTGTACTGAAAAAACCTTTCCGTTTCAGCGCGGTCGAATAAATTACTGGGTGAAAATCAGATGAAAACCTGCTGAAAATAATCTCGCTTCTAAAAGCAGGCAAATTCTAATAAAAAGAACTGACGAAAGCAACACACCTGGAAGGTCTCCTGATTGCTGAGGTCGAACACAAGTACGTAGGCGGTGGCGCTCCGCAGCCCATAGTAACGGAAGTCAGTCCATTCGAGGTGCGAGCTGACGGGGAAATATGGTATAGTCGGCAGATCACTGATCTTCAGCTCGTACAACCGTTCGGCCAGCACGACGCTCGGGTAGTAGGTTTCTCGGCGCTCGGTCGGCCTGTACTCCTCCGAGAATTCGCTCCATACGAATTGCTGCAATCGATACATCAGCTCTCACTCACACGGGCACACTTTTTTTTTTCTCTCGCGCGAAAAGCTTTTATCCCTTCGGCGTGCTTCAGCGTGCTCGCGCGGAAACTACGTAGCAACGTTAAAAAGACCTTTGTCAACGAAACTACGGCATGCTTATGTATCTCGCCCCGATTCAGCTCGGTAGTACGCATTCGAGCAATTAGAATCGAACATTTTTCCCTTTTTTCGTCCTCGATCACTCTGAATTCGCACTTGATTAGACGTCAATGCATTTTTCCCTCGATAGCCTCAATCGTTTCATATTCAACGTTATCCCAACTGTCGAGGCAAATTCCCACTGAAAGTTTACGAAAAAAAAACACGCTATTTTTCCCCTTGGCGGTAAAAGCCTCTTTCTCGCACAAGTTAATTTAGGTGGACGTCTACCAAAAATCGCTGCGTCCACCGCGCGCACTGCATTTATTCCCCCCCGCCTCGGGGCGTAAATAGCTCTCGGAAAATGAAATCGGTATAAAGCTCCCACTGATTGTATCGCCAGGCAACAGTGCGGAATGCCGAAAAGCGAAAAATAAAGAAGCGAAAATACAACGCTCTCTCTCTCTCTCTCTCTCTCTCTCGTAAGATAGCCCCTTTTTCTAGATTAGAGCGTCACTCGTTTCGCCGTAACTGCACCATTTTTATTTTTATTATTATCGAAAACCTAAAACTACTTTTGCTCGCGTATTCTGTTTGGCACGATATTCAATCAGAGAGGATTTTTCGCTAATTAAAAGCGGAAAACTTTCGGGGAATGGAGCGTGTGTTGTATTTCAATTGACGAGTCGCGCGTGCGCAAGTCACTCAATTAACCGCGCCGAGGAGCTAATCATAAGACAGAACGGAAGTCGTTTCGCGGGCGAGCGCCTCGCGAGGAAATGGATTTTCAACTTCTCTCTCGTGGAAAGTAATGGCATTGATCGGGCGTGCTCCCTTTGTTTTTTCTTTTTGGTTGGTCGTCACGGCGAGTATACGCGTCGGCGCGCGAAAGGAGAGGCGAGAAAATGACGCGCGTCGTAGTTTTTTTTACGTTCTCGCGCGCCTCTGTAATTATCGACGCCCATGAAATGCTCGCCCGCGCGATATTCCATTTCATTATGCCGTCGCGACTCAGCTCGCCTCTCGAGCGCACGCCTATCTTTCCAATACTTTGCCGCGCCGTTAATTCCTAATGGGTTCGTCCCTCCGACGCTTTTAGCTTACCTCGTCGCGTCTTCCTTCCTGTTCGCGGGCAAATTTTAATAAAGCATTCAGCCGCAATGCTATACCTCGTTAATCATGCCGATGGATTGCTTGTTTATTCATTGTGTTCTTTATGAATAGTTTGACGCTTTCACAAGAGAGCCCTCGTAACCAACGCACACTATTGTATAATTCAGTCATAAGCCCGTGCGTCAGAGGGTCGATTAACGAACACTCTCAGTTTAGCTTATTGCCTGCACGATCAAGCCTTACGTTTAAACGACCTTCAAGGCCAGGGAACAGAGAAAGTCTCGTGTGATTTGATTTGTCATTGTCTGCAAAATAGTCTTAAGGATACGTGTAAGAACATCTTTACATTGGAATGGTTTTACGTTCGTTCGGCGTAAAACCATTTCTTTATCTTTCTTTATCGACGCTAGGCTGATGTATTGACATACTGAATATTTAATTTATCCTTGAAATCTTCCGTTTACATTAGCGGTTTGTCATGTCGTACAAACATTTTTTTTCCAATTCTATTGTCCGGACGACATTTACCGCAAAAACACGTTCAGTAAAAATGTCAATAAGAAGCTGTAGCGCGCTTCGAAAAGTGATGCCTACTTCGCTCACGCATTGCCCAGGCAAATGCTATATGGATGAAATCGCATTAGAGCTCCTTTTTGCTCGAACGAAAAAAAGCTCGGACGCGAGAAACGGACGCTAATTACAAAAGCGAGCGAGCCTCAAAAGTTGGCTCTCTCGTTATAATTAGTTTGGCAGCGTCGCGTAGTTTTGCAGGAGGCCAAACGAAATTGCACCGAGAGGGAGAGAAAGAGAAAGAGAGACTGCAGACTGCGGAACGGTCGACAAAGGCAAATTCAATTTGCGCTTCGAGACGCATCCGAGCGTTATTGCCACCCGCGCGTGCACGCGCCCGCCGACGATTCGTTTTCGGCTTCGCTATTGTTTTCCAACAAGCGATACCGTGCGCTCCTACGTCTGTTTGCGCGTCTGCCGTTAGTTGTTGTTCTTTTTGTTTCTTTTTTGTAATCGAACCGGCGGCTGGATACGGAATGTTGACGATTCGATAGTTTGCTTTGAGTGCCGCTTTTCATTCAATGGCATTCCATCGAATTGAAGGAAATTCTCGAGAATCTACTCACTTACAACTACCGCGAAATAAACCCAGAAACTTTGCTTTTTCAAACAACTCTTCGAAATGTTTAACAGTTACATTAATGTCCACTTTCTACGATTTTCCACGGGTTGCCAAAGGAATTTCGAATTCTTTGAATTCAATTTATTCATTGTCTGAATATTCAATGTGTATATTAAATGGATTATTCAATATTCCACTGAGGTTTAACTATTTTTGAGATTTAAATTTTCAACAATGGAGCTTGAAAATGCTCGTAACCGTTGGCCCGTTAAATTATTAAAGCATAATGGGAATCGCAAAATCATTAATATTCGTGGGAAGTTTGCGCGAGTTGTTCGATGTTCCATCGGTAATATGAGCAACAATTAATAATTCATCAACTGAAGCGAATCCTTCGAATTTATGCTTGAAACTGCTTATAACATGCGCCAAAGCCTCAGCTATGTTGCGTTAAAAACTTTGGATAAATATTGAGAGCAATTAGCATAGATGAGCCGTTCGGCCAGGCATATTTAACTAGATAAAAAAAGTAGAACGAAATGTGATTAATACTGGTACGCGAGGTTCGCTTGATTAAATAAAAATAATGAGATTTCAGCGTAACGAAGTGTTTATCAACCTAGATGAAGATAAATTACTGCGGGTGCGGTTTGCTCGCTCTTCCAAATAACGTATCGTTAATAGCCCTGGCTATTTTCATCCAAAATGAAATGCATACATAAAAATGTACGGTTCAATCCAGTAAAATACATTGCCAGCGAATTTCCGACATTACTGTGCTCGATTTCAGATGTTGGAAAATTGTTGGTCTATAAATTTCGAGATTATCATAGTAGCAAAGTACTCGTGATAAATTAAAATCGAAAATAAAAGTCCTTTATAAATTTGAAAATCTAAGGTTGAAATGGTTCCGAAGTTCTTTTACGATCCATCACAAAAAAATCATATAAAAGTTTTCCCGAGTTTAACAAAATTTTACAGCTCGAAAGGCATAACCCGATTCTGTAGTCAGCCAGATGAAATGTATGTTTGATGAAATATGAATAACGAAGCGGTTTCCCAACACTTTCAAAAATAAATACTTCAAATAATTTGTGTAACAAACAACTCAAGATTTTGCCTGCGAGAATCCAAAACTCGATAATTAAACAGTTGCTACTTCTTCTTTTAATGAGATCATTAATTGCACGTAAAATTTGCTTGCTTCTCCGTGACTCCAACGAAAAGTCAAGTTCTGAAAGCATTCAATGAGAAAGATTCCATAATTTTCCGGTTGGTACAAACTTGATTAATAGCTGTTGTGACTGAAGATATCAGACCAGACTCTCAGTATTTCATCTTAAAGACTTCTTTCATACGAAATGAATGGGATTGCACAAGGAAGCGATAAAAATCAGCATTAATTCTAGAAGAAGTTATGGCTTGAACGTACGAGTAAGTTAACTTATTCTCGAAACATTTGCGCGTCTTTTTGAAATGTTATATAATATTATACATTTTTATATTACATAGCTGTAGTAAATTGTAGACAACCAAAAAGATGTAAAATATAAGTACAGTGACAGATGTTACGATTGTGACTTGTGAATAAATAAGCAGTTATCTAAAATGAAATCGAGTATGAAACGAGAATCTGAGAAACGGGGATTTGATATTTGCCGCACAGAAAGCTCGTAGACTGCATCTGCGATTCTCTGCCGCGTGAACGTAAAATCCGGGAGATAAGGCATTTCCTCGCGCGCCGACGAAAAGCCTAATTCGTTGCCCGAAATGAAACACAGCGAGGACGATTACGCTCTCAGCTGCTGTCCTCCGTATCTCGGCGGCCCGTAATTTCCTGTTTTGTCAGTGCCGGCAGCAGGTGCGTGTCTACGTATTGTATAAACTCTCACCCGAATAATGCTGGTTTTGCCGACGCCAGGTGCCCCGAGAAAGATGACTTTGACTCGTTCGAGTGTGTCGGCCGGACTATCCTCTTCCTTGTTAGCTGCGCTGCTGGCCGTCGCAGCGGCTTCTGCCTCACCAAAGCCGTCACCTCGCCGCTCCAAGTAGTCGAGGTCGAGCTCTGTAACACGCACACATACGCACACTCATACATACACCTACTGACATAGACGTGTGAGCAGATAGTATAGCAGTATACCGCAGCCAACTTCAACTTTAATTAGATTGCCGCCGAACGCGCTTTGATCGATAATTGCGGAGCCGTGCTGCTGCGGCTACCTCGAGTGTCAAGATTTCTCACCCCACGGAAAACGAAGAGGCTTTGATGCGCGCTTTTGTGCCTTTTTCTTTCGGTTCTTCTCTTATTTCTCGTTTATCGCGAAAGCCAAGCAAAGCCCTGCTGCTGCTGCCACTGTTGCAAAGCAGTGCATTTTCACGATGTAATTTTAACGCGACGGGCGGATTTTTCTAATTTCCATTCGCTTCTCTTATATTTTTGCCTATTTCATTTCTTGGCGTGTATCTGAGAACTGGCGAATGATGGGGCACGAGTTTACCGGTGAAAAAACTGACTTACGGCTTTGATCAAACTTTCGGAAAACAATTTATCGTGGAGTTTGCCTTGCATAGCCTCGGGAGGATGCCGACGCGCTTATTTTCACGGGGAAGTTAATCTCCACCCGACGTTAAAGTAAACTACATTTTTTAATTATTATTGTGGTGTAAGATGATGACCTTTATGCATTGCTCACTGTACACGTGGAAACCGTCGGAATGAGCTTGTATCTTGAGCTGAAAGCCAACTGTAATATCACCCCGGCGTTCTGAAACCTTCATACCACCATGAAGAATCTAATGCGTAAATCCGATAACAACCAGCTGCGCGAGTAGAAGGTCGAGCCGGGTATTATATGAAGTTTCTGAAGCTCATGCTGCAGAGGATATCACAAATAATATTGAAAATTGCATGTACTTTAAAAAAAATTTTAGTTTCCAACTTTATTAAATCTTTTGCGACGCAGATTTTTTATTACTTTATTTTCGTCAATGAATATTGGTAATTCCTTTGAATCTTGCGACATGAAAAAGGACGTTTGAAATATGGAGGCTAGCGATAGGAATTTCGCCTCTGTGTATTAAAATAAAATTTTTTTCCCTTTTGTATTGAAATTGAGTCCCTTTCCACAAAGACAAACGGACAGAGAGAAAGAAAGAGAGAGAGAGAAAGGGCGTCGGTGCACACAGAGGATGTAATTAAAAACAACCACGCGGGTAAATCTGGCGAGCCACGTTAAAGAGATAAAAGCCAGCTATATAGGACTATTAACCGCTAATTCAAATAGCCTTATTATTTGTCAAAAGCACCTGCACTTATTATCCAATAAAGGGTTTGCTGCGTCAAAACCGCTCTGGCGTTTTCAATTTCTACTTCGAGGCAGCGAACAAATACGCCGTTTCACGCGCCGCTTGTGCGTTTTGTCGCGCGCATTTAACGGGTGTTTAACGCCAAGATAAGAGATTGCTTAAAGCATACCACGAAGCTCCTCTTTATACGCAGTTCCCTGTGATCGTTCAGATTACCTGATATTACGCGTAGAACGTGGCATATGCAAACGACTAATTTTGATATGCCACGCGTTGCATTGCATAATTTATATTAGTTGCTGCGTTTGAGACAAGTTCCCTGTAATGCGGCTGTAGCTTGTCTTCCTGCCACTACTCGTCGCAGCGCCAGCTTTATTTTACCAGTGTTGCTGGCATGCACTGCCAACATAATTACCTATTTACCCCGCACCTGATAACAAGCACGTTAGATTAATGATAACTTCGTTTGACACTAAGTTGTTCGATGTAGACACACGCGTCAACGACCATTACCGCGTATGCATTTCGAAAAGAGCAAATTCTTTGTCGTCTCAGCTTTAATTCTGTCGTGGCCTATGGAAATTCAAAGAAACCTCATCTGACCGAGCTAGGAATAAAGGATATGGCTCTATTTGTTGTCAGGAATGCGCGCGATAACGATAAAGGGCGAACGATCGGCGAGGTCGAGTAGCGCAGAATACACAAGCGAACAGTAATGCGTATTCGTATGCCAGACGACTGCCCGATTGAGGGCCGTGGAAGAAGACTTCGCGGGACCCATTTCAAAGGCCGCGTCAAAGAGGCTGCCGCTACTTCCATTGGCTCAAAGCTTTTCACCGGTAACGCGATCTATATACAGCACAAACGGGGACTTTGGTCGCCCTCTCGCCAGACGCGAAATTCAAATAAACACGCGCGCGCACGCGGAAAGCTCACTCGTTTCTATCTTTTGACGGGCGAAGAGCCTGCACATGCACGCTTTTCCAACCTACATATCTGCTATGCAAAATTGTGCAAAGCTTATATAATATAATCCCGCGAACGGAGAGAATTTCGCGCGCGCCACTATATGCAGATTTATATGTGCAAGTTAGCTGATGAGAACGACAAAGTCGCGAGCGGACGAGCGTCACTTTCGTGTACCTCACTGCACTTCAAGGCAACGAGCTCGCATTGTCTTTGGTGTGCATAAGTGCTCTATCAATGTTTTCATCTTGAACTACATAAAGACTTGTTTTTGTGTCAAAGCCAACGAAGAAGATTTAAAGTCTTTCGCATGCCTGCATGTATTTTAGTGTTTATTATTCGCGTTTAGTCTATAGTATATATGTGTCTAGTCAATAAGTAATCGTTGTTATTCTGGTTGCTTCATATCGATTAATTCGCTTTCGATGCGACAATAATTGTGGCATAATTTACGTTATTAGTACTTATTAACAACCTTTTAATGTTAAATAAATAATAACAAAGTATGATTTAGCAAAGATTATTTCATATGAATCTTATACGATCTGTTGTACTTTGTTACGCACAAATAGTATCTCATTCTCGGACTAACGGAAATTTGCTTTATTTGTACGTCTGCATGTTTTATATTTTTTTTTATTACTTTTTTTATTTTTCATTGACTTTTTTCTTATTATTTATTTATTTTTACTATGTATAAATGTATCAACCTATTCACCGTCAGTCTACAGGAGAGAAATTCACTCTTGGTTGTAAGAATTATATGTACTATGCAGTACAAATAAGTAGATACAAAACTTGAATATTATAAACTTAATCTAAAAAATACTTAACAATTAGCACCATAAATATAATAATAAAAATAAAATTAATATTTCATCATAGAAATTATTATACATTCTTTGTTATCTAATTTTTTGTTTTTGACAATACTTTTATGACAACATAAAACTTATTGTGTGGATGATCAATATTTTAATAACAATAATATAATTACGATTTTTATGGATCGTTTTGTTAATTTTGAATCTGAATACTTTTGTTTCTTTTTTTTTCTTTGGTAACGTAAGAATTCTAATACATAATTTTGATGCTGTCGCAGTGAATAATTCTGAGTTATAAATTTATTTTTACTAATTATTTTCAGAAGTTTGTTTTGCAAGTTTTGAAATGTATATAAAATACTTATTCCAGTTCCTCTCTACATCTACATTTCATAATTCACAATTCCACAGAATATACACGGTATATTTGTAGTAGTATTTCAGCGACTTTTGTAATTTTTGGTAATTAATAAAAAAATTCGAAATAGTTATATTCAGTTTTTTTTAGCAATTATGTAGTTTGCATAACAAAACGATTCAAGATTATAATAAAATATTTCCTTAAATTACCCATTTAACTCTCCTTTTTTATGTGTTTATTAAGAAAATTAATCTCAAAATTTGCAGATATATTTATTTTGTAGCTGTCAAAAGTCATATAAACTATTTTATCAATATTTAGTGATAATTTATGAATATATAGTCTACCATTACCTACTTCTACATTTAGCTTTTTGATATATAGCTGCATACTAGTAGAGTAATAAGCAAGGCTTTACTTTTTTGGGAAATATTGAACTGTGTAATATTGAAATTTTTTAGACGGTGTATAACGTGTAAGAAATTATATGCAAGGAGAAGAGATACATAAAAAATGTTATGAAATTAGTTTGTTTTACGCGAACAAAATGAATTAAGAATGAATAAATGAATGAAGTGAACTACTTGTATATTGAACATCAAAAGCCCTCAACTCTATTAGAGATAAAGAGTTACAATGAAAAGCTTTTTACCACATTAATTTCCAGGCGAGTAGCCGTAGCACTGATACGTGTATTGTGATTACGACGTTAGTGTGCGTACAGCGTCTGAAACTCTGTGAGCAAGCCTTCGCTTTGCTTGAAAAACCAGAAACGACGAAGCGACTAGATAGATACTTTAAAAGAGATCCGCCAAATGAAAAAAAGCACAATGCACGAGGGCGAAAAGAGAGGGAGAAAAAGGAAGAAAGCTAGGCGCCTTTTGTTCGCGATTTTATTTTTCCGCCATTAAGAATCCGAGTTAATCTTCACGAATAGAATGAAAAAAAGGATCGATTGGGGACAACAAAAAAATATTCTGAGACAAAACTTAAGAGGATTGTACTAGAAGAAAAATGCAAGTGTGCGTGTGTAGAGCCATGTAAAATATAACTGAGGAAATCCAACTTCGCTTGAAATGGGTATAATGAAAGTGTTATTCGCTTTATTACGTGAAAAAATTATATATATTTTTCTTCTTTAAGTTTTAATTATATATTTTTTCTTTTACCTCTCTTTTAGGATGCTCACCGGGGGCATCACATTGGGCTTCGATTCGTTAAAATGGGTGAACTTTTTAGATTTAAATTTTATAAAATTGCTTAGTCGCATGTAAATAAAGTTTAGGTGGTTATATTGATTCTATTGAATAAAGAAAAATTCGCGTATATTTGATGTACAAATTGTACAAATAACAAAATTTGTCGAATTTTTATCATGAATGTGAAAAAACTCCATCATGCAGTATCCACAAAAGTCGAATACACATCGGTAAATCTTTTATGAGAAAGATTGGGAAGATATTAAAATGATTGAAAACTGAAATTTGCATTGAATGCTGCACCAAAATATATCATCAGCAAAGTGAATAACCTGACAGTATTCGCTCATATAGAATTCTTTTTTGAATAATAACGCTTTTTTTTTCATGAATCAAAAATTGGAAATCAACAAAATACGCTTTTAATGGTGATTTTAAGTACTTATGAATTATAGCATCTGGAAAAACATTTTTGATTAATTATATTTGCGAAGACATCGCAATGTTCTTTATTTAATTGACTTAATTTGACGTGGCAGCGCATCCGAGCCAAAACGGCCAAATAAATATTTTGCAGAGCGAGCTTTCAACCGCAAAAACAAATATTTGCGAGCACGGCTTTTTCTCCGGTAAAAGCTTTTTGACTTATTGTCGCTGCAAGTTTGAACAAACTACTGCAGAGCCCAGCACTCTATACGCGATTTTTCTCATTTTCTTTGAGCACTCATCATCCTTCTGCTGTCTATAAATCTAGAATCAAATCAAGTCGAGAAGTTTGGTATCCCACAATTCAGCGGAAGCCTGCAAACGAAAGCAATTTTTCTGGCTCCCGCGAGGGAAAACAAACAAACGAAAAGTAAAAAAGAAAATCTATAGTCAAGTAGCAACAATCCATGGAAATGTGGGTGCGGTGAACGGATTTGTTTACCGAGCAAAGTCTTGCTTGCGACAAGAGCTCCAGTGCGTAAGGTGGGCACAGCGGCAGCATCGGTAGTGTGATGGCTCTTTTCGGCGAGGTGCTCGTCCATCCAGTGGCCATTCAACAGATCGTTGGCTCGCGCAACGAACGACAAAGAGGACAGAAACCAGAGGCTGGGCTGGCTGAGACTGCTGTCCCAGAGACTGGGCGACTTGGCACTGCTGTTAACGAACTGGCCGTCGTCAAGCTGCGACCACGCGTCCTCACTCATTTCTCCTCCACGCACACGCTATGCAACACACCAGCCGCGCACACTGAGCACGTCGAGCAGATTTAAGAGATCGTCGCTCGCCCAGGCGTTGCGCACGTTACCTGCATTTTTTATTACGCACGTACACTTGCCGCTTACACTTTCTTCGCAAACTGTTTTTGAATATATTGCGCCGCTGAGTTACGCACGCGTTTCCAAATTTTGCCCAATTCGCTGTCAGGCTTAGCTCCTATTCTCTGATGCTACTTCTGCAGCAGTCATAAATGTATACGTGCATGCATCTGCACGTTTGACTGCAAATCCCAGACGGGGCAAGCAAATTATCGGGAAAATTTCTATTTTGCCGTGCTTGCGCACATTGTATATTGTAGCGCGTAGTGTATATTGTAAATATGTCGTCGGCGCTACATCCGCTAGCATCTATTTTCTTCTTTTTGCTTTTAAAGACACTCGATTGCATTTACTTGGAGCTCGATTATGTTTCAGAATCTCAATAGACGCTAAAACTCGTATTATCGATGCAAATGTGTTCGTTTCTCGTGAGGATGAATATTCATTTCAGGGTTATTCACATTTTTAACGGATTAATTTTATTATTTGAAAGGAAGTCTTTTGAAATTTTATCAAATATAAATTGGAAAGGACGCGTCAAATACAGTAGTAACTGTTTTGATTGTTCATTTGTTTATCACGTATAACACGAAAGCAGTAAATTACTAAAGATGCTACAAACGAGAAATTATTATCGACAAATATTTGTGTCTCCTACTGTGATAAATAAATGGTATAATGGTATAAATTTCATTGAATTTCTCTAAAAAAAATGTATTCACAACTCTTATTTCCCGCAGGACTTGCAGAAAATTCAATCAACAAGCCTTCGAGAAACAAACACACGTACAATCAGTATAAATGTTCGTCAAACCACAAGAAATTTTAGTCCCAGAAAGTTGTTATTAATTCACCAACTTGGCGGATAATCCCATTGGAACTATTTTGGAGGGGGTAAAAACTTTGAGTCGCGACTGGTGCTGTTATGGCAGAATCTTGTATTCCCCATATAACGTCAACTTAGCATGGGGAAACTTTTGCCTGCTCCGGGCAAACAACACGGAAATACCATTTAAGCATATGAGGCTGGCCGGGTTTTCGCGTCACTCGTCAAGAAAACAATCGTGAAGCACAATGACCGCGAGCATCAGTGGGAGGCGCGGGCGTGCGAGAGCAAAGAAAAAAGCCGGCAGGCGTGAGATACACTCCTCCGCGTGGCAGTATCGCGGCTCGACTGACCCCCCGGCTCGGGTATAGGGAGAGCGGCGCGTTTTCGTGCCCCCTCTCTCCTTACCCTCCTCTTCACTTTCCGTGCGCGCGCGCATCGGATTAGAGATATCTCTCCGAGTGTACTCTTTCTTTTTTGCTGTTCTTTACTTTTCGTTTTGCCTCCTTTTTCCGCCTTTTTTTTTTTTTCCACCTCAGCCGTCGCGGAGATAGAGCGGACGCAAGTGCGCGCCGGATCGAGTTCTACAAACGACGTTAATTAACTTCTAACGGGGAGAGACGAGCTTCTCTCCCTCTTTTATGATGCGCTGTTCCCTCGACGACACTTTTTATCAGAGCGGCCAAAGTGCCTTGCTCTCGCTATCTTTTACCCCAAGAATGCTCGAGTGCACTGGGTGGTGTAAATGGACGTGATGAGTCATTGTGCGAGTCTCGGGAATGTTTCGCTCTCCTGCTGCCGACTTTCATTTTTTTTTTTTTTTCATTATGACGTCTCTTGTCATTTTTTTCATCTCGGATTTTGCTGCGAGTTTTGTCGTTGACTAACAATGCATGTCAAATTAGAAACGATCACTGTACCGCTTGGTAAACAAGACGCGATGCTCCTTTGTTACTCCAATGATGATGATGTTCGTGGCTAGGATTTCGCGACCGATACTGAATAATTACTATGAGTGAATTTCTTTCCGGTGTCGCTTGTGCATTTGAATTGTGCCAAATACCAGTATGCCTATCTGTGTGCATAATAATGCAGCATTAACCCACTAAAGCTATCACGAAATGTAATTCGTATATTTTATGCCGTTTGTAATTTACCATATTGCTATCATCACTAATTAGTGATTTCAATTTTATACTTTATTCAAAGATTGTTAGCTATCAAACTAAGTCCATATAATTTAGGATAAACAGTTCCAGCCCTTACCAAGCAATTAATTTGTACAAGACTGACGTCAGTTACGATGCCAAGTAAAACTTTCCATGTCTTATAATCATTTAGCCGCTTCCACCGTTATTATACCGCTTAATACTCAATGCTGCTTTATAAAATTGACTCTTTTCACAAAACTTCTTATTTTCATCAACAAGTATCTATTATAAATGTAGCACCAATTCCAACTCGAGCGTATTTATTTAATACCAATGATTGTCAATGCGATGGATCAGTAATTTTACTCGAGACAAGTTGTTCTAGAAAGCTCACGATTAAAGATTGATTAATTCAAAATATGTTTATAAATCTTTGTCGTCGACTATAGCAAAGACGGAACTTTGATTCTGACACGAAAAAGTTCAATTCACATTTCAAGACTTACGTTTTATTAGAAAGAAGAAGAATCGAAAAGCTTTTACAAGTGTATTTTTGTAACCTCAGAGCGCTTTGCGACATCAACAACAGCCCTCTTCTTTACAAAACGAGTGAAAAGAGATGATTTTTCCGAGTCTGACGGAAAAAAAGAAGGCTATCGAGCATGCCTTTATTCACTCACAAGTTTGACCTGTCTCCACACGTTCATCATTTCAGAAATCAGTTAGTGTTCTTATTAATGATTTCACTATCGTGTGTCGTTCTAATCGTTCATTTGCGTTACGTTATTCAGCTATACGTTCAGTCCGATGGTAACTCGTCCTACGCCAGGCTGAAAGATTTATTTGGCCAATCGTACGTGTTTTTATGTGATAAAGAATAAAAGTACGTTAATTATAACAGGCGAAGTGTTTCACGTCAGCGATTTTAATTGTAAATTCGTTGTAAGGTGTACATTCAATTCATTGGATTTGCTGAGTTCCGACAAATCGCGAGTAAACACGAATCCTACTGTATATCAACGTCTGCATCAACGATACACAGCCACCGATATCCAGACGACGCGTGATTAGCATCAATAGCATCATAACCGTGCAACAGTGAAAAAGCAGAGAATAATTTTAAATTGTCGTGCAGCGCTAATTGGTCGAAAATGCAATCTAGCAAATTCGCCGGGAAATAGCGAAAAAGAAACCGACTTCGCCGTTCTGGCTTACTCGCTCCAACGGAGTCATCTTTTCGAAATGATATTTCCGGCCGCGCGAGCGAGCTCGACTTTGCAAACAGCGAGAAAATCGCCGCTGCGGGTTAAAGACAGTGTCCAAGTTTGTTTGATCTATTTTAATCAAGGAATGCCGTATAATCGTGCAAACATCGCAGCGGCACTGCCGTAGTCGCTCGAACAAACAAACAGCAACAACAACACACGCCTACCTGCCTGTGTATCCCTCGGGGAGGGTGGACTGCCCAGCCCAGCCGAGCAATATATTCACTGTCAACATCGATGATGCGCAAGGAGTGCAAACGAGCGAAGACAGAGGCAAGAGGACAAGAAGCGCAGCTGATCATGGAAAAGCAATCTGTGGCCGATACGCGACGCTCCGCTTGCTTGCTTGCTTGCTCACTCGTTCGTTTGCTTGCTTGTCCAAAAGGGGACCCCAAAAGGCTTGCAAACAAGCCGGAAATTAAAACTGATGCCGAGGCAACAGCTATACCGTCTTTCTCCGATGCCGTAGTGTTTGGGTTTGCGAGCGGAAATTAATAGGCCGCGCTCTTACGGAGCTTTCGCGAAATGACTTTTGAAACTGAATTACGTTGTAACGAGTCGCGAGAAATGCTGCGAGCGGGCTGTAGTCTTCTTGAAATCAAGACAGAAAAGACAGAAAAGAGGACACCGAGCTTTGCATTTTCTTTGCAGAATTGAAGTGTAACCTACATCGAACCGCGCGCAGCCGAGGAAAAAAATATAGAGCCTTGCTGGCGTTTGAAACCAGTGACCCCGAAAACGTTGCGGGCCTCTCGAATGGGAACTTTGATACTTGCTCGCCTATTCTTTTTTCGCAAGTACAAAAATATTGCAAACAACGTTGACGCGATAAGTAATATCGTCAAGTGCCATGCTGCGACTGGAATAATGAAGGCCCGGACGAGTTGTATCTCAAAAGCCGAGAGAAGTAGTATACAAGTATTCGTAAAAGTGTTCTGCTGAAACGGTACATCTTTGCGAATAATGGTCGCATATAGCCCGTCGTCGGTATTTGTCCGGGAGCGATCGTGAAACTGCAGAACTGCACTTTTAATGCGCTTCGGTGTGCTCGTACGAGCTTGGAAAACTTTTTCCGTTATCGGCCCCACAAAGACAGCCAGAGCTTTCAACAATTATTCAAAAACTGGCGGACCAAAACCCTGTCAATCTCTCCTTTCTTTGTTTTTTTTTTTGCAAGCGTCATCGGTTTTAAACGTTGACGAGTGCCAGAAAACTTTCATCAGCTATAATCATCTTAAAGATTTATTTATTTCATACTTTCCTAGGCGACCAGGAAGTACTTTAGCAAATTGAGTTTCGAAGATTTGCCCAACTATCTGGTCGCTGATTATGATTGGCAACGCGTAGATTTACCGTGAAAATTAATGTCGCGTGAAAACTTTTGGGGACTAGCGCGCGAAGAAACTCACTCCGATAAGAAAGTAAACGAGCTAAGTTTTTAATAAGTTGAAATTCTAATGTCTTCGGAAAGTGTGAAATTTTTTCTTTCTTATTCGCGAGCATGCGATTATAATTGACGAGAGATGCTAAAACGAAATAATTTCCTCTCGCAACGATATAAAAGGAATATCTGCTCGCGACGGTTTTTTGCCAAGTGACCGTGTTTTCTCGCATGAAAGAGTTGCAAAGTGACTTTGTTCTCGTGAGAACATGAACGAAATAAAACCTCCCGGGACATAGCCACGATTAACCCCCGGAAGACGTATTTTGTCTGTCAACCAGAAAAAGAAATTAACGGGATATCCGACGCTGTACCACTCCCATCTAATAACACTTCATTGCGAATTGTCATAGAAGATTAACGGAGAAACGTCTAAAAATATTTGGATGTTTCTCCGGTTAAATCCCAGTGATCGACATTTTTTCCGATCCGCTAATAAATCCAAATAGTCGCTGTGAAAGATAGTGGCTATGTTAGTTGTGTTATCTGATCAGAAGTGCTTCAAGAACGATGCGAAGCGTTTCACTTTGACGACGTTGTTTACTCTCAGTCGGTTGACTACGTTGTGTGTTTACGAGCTTCCTAAAGTAAAGTAGTTCAACGAGGAGAGCGAGCAAAACGTAATAACGCATGATAAGTGTTGCCAAGTAGTTAGGTTAAGTGGGTGTTAAAAATTTGTCTTCGAGAAAGGTAAAAATAAAAACGAAATGCATCTCAACGCTGGGCACGAGGGTGTAAACATCTCGAGAAGGCACTTATTTGTCAAAAAAAAAAGAGAAATTACGCGAAGGCTAACTTTCGAGTACTCGTTAAACTGGCCATACCTTTTTTGGCTCTTCAGTCGACGAGCCGCTCGCTCGCTCTTAGTCGAGTGATCATCGTAAAACGATCTTATCAGTGCATCTCGACTCGTGCTACTCTATGCCACACTTTCCTATCAACCTATATCTACTTGAATTATCGTCATTTCCTCCTATATGTAGCATGCGAGCCAACTATTCGAATACCCATTTTTCACATCGCGTTGTAGAGCATCGCCAAGGTAAAACAGTCGCGTAATGGTAGCAGTTACATGCACAGGTACATTGCGTTTAATACTTCTGGCAATTAATACTCCTGACTGCATATTTTTCTACTTTTATATAGCTTTCAAGAGCGCAACATTAGTTTTTTCAATAATATTTAATATTTTTGGAAGGAAACTTGTATCCCTATGATTTCACTGTTCATAATGCCACGTCAATACAGTGCATGCGTTGCGAATACTTATGCAGCAGCAACATCGCAAACGGAAACGCTTACAAAAGCTGTGATAACGAGAAGATGTAATCTGAGTCTAGATCGCTCAATAGCGAAATTTGGCATGCGGGCGGAACGGCTCACGGAATCTAAGATGAACCGACTTTGTAGTAATGCTAACTGTTAAGGATCTATTTCGCTCAATCTGAATCATTGAAAACTAGCTGCATTAAAAGTTTTAAAATCGATTGCACAGTTGAGATTGCAGCCCTTTTATGTAGATCCATTTGATGGATTTTTAAGCGAATCCTCTAAATTTAAAATAAAATAGAATCATTATTGCCGGAACTTGGCTATGAATGTGTATTAGGAAGAATTAAATTACAGGAACGTATGGCTTTAACGTAGCTTTCACTGCAGCGAGAGCCGATTTTAATTAGTTGAGCAACAGGCAAAAGTGAGAAAAGAAAAGCAACACCAAGAGCTTGCGTATTCAGAATTGTCCCTAAAGATGGCGGGAGCTTTTTGCATTCAAATGTCCCCGAAACGATTGATATTATTTAATATGTTATCATTAGCATGGTTGTGCGTAATACACGCGAATGTCAAAGGTGCGCGCGCGCGCCAACCGAACCGATGGTGCACAGATGCAGTGGCGCCTTTTTAATTGCTCACGGTTGAGATGTTATTTATTTTAGACGAAGCGCGTTCTGGATAAAAAAAATATATATATTCGAATGCTCGCGGGCTCCTCGCCTGGTTCGCTATTTTCGGTGGCGAATTCGCTTGGCTAGATAATCGACCGAGCCATTTCAGCGTTTCCGAAGGATCAATCGAAGTTGCAAAGGCTCTCTCATCCGCGCATCGAAATGAAAAATCGCCAAGTGGGGTAGGGATGTAGGTGGTGCGCGTACGCGTTGCGTAACGGTCGTCAATTCGAGTAAACAAGCAACGTTGGCTCATGACTTTGTCGGGGTAGCGATTGAAAAATTAAGTACTCACGGCATTGCCTGAGCGCCGGGAGGCTTTTCCTCCGCCTGCCGCTCCCGATGGCTTTCGTCCCTATGGTGGCTGCTGCTGCTGCTGCTTCTTGCCAAGAAGCGCTAACAAGTCGTCATCATTATCCTCATCATCATCCGTAACAACGACGACGAGCAGCAACTGCTCCTCTTCATCTTCTGTTCGAGCACTTGTTATGTATCTTCTTCTCGCTCCCTCTCTCTTGATCCTTCTCTCGTATTTTTTAAAAATTGGCACACATGTAAGTGATGGGTAGGGAAGGGTTACCTTCTCGTAACTGATTGGCACCTTCGTCTCGTCCCCATATCTCTGGCGAATGCGCGGCACTGAGGAATGAATTATTGCTATAAGTGTATGAACGAGGTATTGTCTTGGTGGCTGGCTGCCGCGGCTGCTTGGCTGTCGTCGCTGCTGGTTGTCCACGACGACACATCGTGCTGGAGGCGAAAAGTGGCTGGGGGGACAGCACGAGGTTAAGCCTGCCTCGTTTACGGATGAGAGGCGCAACCCCGCGCGCGCTCTCTCTCTCTCTCTCTCTCTCTTTCTCTCTCTCTCTCTCTCTCTCTCTCTCTTCTCTCTCTCTCTCTCTCTCTCTCTCTCTTTCTCTCTCTCTCTCTCTCTCTCTCTCTCTTTCTCTCTCTCTCTCTCTCTCTCTCTTTCTCTCTCTGGCTCGCTCGTTCAGCGTGCCAGCCAGCTCCACCACCGACACGATCGAAGCTCCCCTTTTCGCTCCAGCCGCCGCCACTCTACTTGCCCGGGCGCATGCGCCACGCGCCGCGGCTTAGCTGCAAGCTACCAGCAGCTACCTACACGCTTGCAACTTGCGATCGACTGCGCGATGAGCTTTTCTGCGCTTCGGCCTTCGCTCTCGCCAGCATATCAGCGACTGTGATGCGATGCACGAGCTCGCCGAAAAGCGATGCTTATTTAATGCTTGCCACTGCGATCACCTGTAAGCGCGCCCAAAATTGATACGTTCACGGTGAACTCTGTCGAGCTCGCAGTTTATCGCTAGACCCTATACGTATCGCACGACTACTACTGACAAATTCAACGGTGGCCATTGACTCGAGAAAAGATCAATTAATGACAATTCCTTCTTCTCTCTATCTAATCCAACCTAATAATTACTACTGGGATTAGAATTTCCGTCATTTCTTTAATTGCCATTTTAATGATAAATTCAAAAATAAAAGTACTTGGAAGTGTTTGACAAAAGTTATTGCTGCTTCATTCAAATATCATTCACGATATAAAAATAGTCTGCAAAAGTTTGTATTTATCTATTTTTTCATTATATTAAAAAGCTTTCTGAAATTCTATTTTAATATTGTTCTTGGAATTGTTAATTATACTTCATTCTATGTATGTACTCGAGTACGATATCGTGTTTTCGCATATTATGCTTTTTAATGATCCCCTTGGCAGAGAAAGGTTGGGATAAAACTTTTGTCGACATACGTCGACGAAATTTCTTTTTTTTTTACTGAAATGTAAAAAAAAACTTTATAGCGGGTACAACTTTTTATAATAGACGATGATGTTAGTCTTGGTTAGACTTTTTTGTCTCGCTGTTATCCGCCATTTCATCATGCTCGCCAAGTTTTATTTGAAAACTTCCGACATGTGAATGCCTCTGAAATTTGCACTATGTAGAGCTTTTTCTTCTTTCCTCAACAAAGGTCTTCCAAGCCAGTGCGTAAGTACTTTGAAAGCATATAAAATACTGGCAGAATAAGATAAATTTTTTATCAACGAAATCCATTATTATATAGAAAAATGAAAAATAAGCAATGAAAGTTCTTTTATATTGGCAACTCATATCCATTGTTTTATTTTTAATCCGTAATAAGTGACGGTATAGCAACAAAGTTTGAAAATTCGTAGTTTTTATTAAAGAAATATAGTATTTTTACACAAATTTACAGAGAATAATGTTTTATTATGTTATTCAGTATAAGACTGATTAGAGAAAACAAATTAGAAACACCAATTACCAAAATATTATTGCACTTTAAAATTCAATTTCTACTACATTTAAAATTTTTTTTTTTGCAAAAATACTCTGTAATTTTATTATGATATATTAATCCAATACTATGGAAATAACGTATATCATAACCAAAACATTAGGTAAATTTTAACGAAATAACTTATTCCCATTGAATATTTTATGTCGTTCTAAAAAATAGTAACGATCTCACAATCGCATTGACTTTATTATACAATGATATTAATTAAAACGTTGAATACGAAGGCCCTAAAAAGTCTGGTGTATTTTTGTTTTTTATAGGCAAATAAGGCGGTAATATTACATTATTACCAATTAGATTGGTATAAGTCAGTATCTATTTCTAAACAAATCATGCTTTTTGTAATGCTGCAAATTAATGAGAGAAAAGGATAATTGATATTTAATATTTAATACAAAAAATTCATGGCCCAAAATGAGTCATGCTTCGCTCAACGTGTTAATATCCTAAATATTTTATTGAAAAAATGCAAACGTTGCAATAAACAAAGTTATCAGTTAAGAATATGGCTAGATTTATTACTTTACGAAATTTGAATTACCAACACCCAAAGTAAATGCGAAATTATGGTCGATTTTTTACTCAGATACGTATAACAATATATAATCATTTCGATTATAAAATGATCAAAATTTTCCAAACTATACTCTTGCATAGAAACAGCATCAATTGGAAAATAATTTTGAAAAATAGTAAAAAATTAACGTGATTTCAGAAGTTGGTGAATTGATATTTATATTCAATGTGATCACAGATATTTTTAAAAAAGTATATGGCTGCAAAAATCAACCCCAAAATACCAATGCATTTTTATCAAATTAAAGTTATTTTGGTACATAGTGTTTTTTACTAAATTATTTGACATCCAGTTTCCTCATAATTGATTGTAAAACAAATGAAATATTTCTTTAACGTTGAAGTATAAAATATCTTAAGACACTCGTTTAGTAGTTTTGCAGTTTCTTAGTTAAATTATTTCAAACATAACTAAAAGATTAAATAGAGTTTAATTATTTTTTTCAAAAAAAAAAAAAAAGAAAATAGTTAACAATGATGTGGGATTAAAAAATAAGGAAGAGAAATAACATTTCCAGTTGGTATTCAAGAGTTGATTTGATTTACAATTTCTTATACATTACCTTAATAAGATACAGCATCATAATATATATGTACACTATGCAAATTATCATTCACAAACTCTATTCATATATTTTACGTATTAATGTAATTTGTTTTGTTAGTTTAAGTTTATTACACATTCATCAAATATTTTTTTGGAAAATTCTTGAAAAGAAATTCTTAAATATTTAGAAAAAAATTATATTAATTATAGTAAAATATACTTGTCTTTCAACCGTAACCAATATAATAGGAAATATATTTACAGTTATAGGTTTTAATAATTTTCTTATTCGCATGATTTTAAGGTAAAAGAAAACAATCAAAACGTACACAAAGCTTATTTTGATGTCCAAATAAAATGCTACAAAAAAATAATGTAATTAACAATTGACCAGTTTAGGTAACGTCTTAAAGTCGTTGAAAAGCGCATCATGCAGTGTAGGTATTATGTAAATTAAATTTTCTGTTTACTTTATGTATTCATGAACTAAGCTCAACAATCAACAATGGATAAATCATTTAAAAATAATACATTGTTAACTGTTATGCAAATTTACTTATGTATTTAATTATGTTTAGCGTATTATTTCCCCTGCAAGTATGTTAATACTTTGAAATTAATAATCAATATTGACTCTTCACAGTAAATCAATAAATAAATAATAATTGTAAGCTAACCACGGCAACGATAGCTCAAAATAAACATGAGTAATCTGTAAGAAGTAATTCATCGGCGAATATACAACTCGCTTGCAGTAGTTCATTCATCTGGCTGTATATCTGATAATCACACTCGGAATGTGTTTGATCATCAGCTGGCTACCATAGTGAATGAAATTGATAAAAAAACTATAAATGAAATACGTATCGAACATTAAAAAAAAAGTAAAGATATTTTGTGTTTAATATTCTCTAGCCAGAGTAAGATATGAAATATAGAATAAAATTTGACGAGAGGCAACGATTGAAAATGTTTTTTTGAGCAAAGAAAAAAATGTAAAATAAGGTTTTGATTGGAGAAAACAAGGAATCCTGCGAGATAGATGTCGGGCCATAAATAAATAGACAGCATTCTTGGAGAAACGGCGATACTCGCCAAAGATGTATGCAAGCCCGGGTCTCCCAAGAGGTAAAAGCACACGGCGAATATCCCCCCTTCTCTCTCTCCCTCAGCCTCGCATCGAGAGGGAAAGAGAAAAAGATAGTAAGCGCGGGAGAGCGATGGGTTTTCGTCTGGCTGCGCAATCTCCCAAATAACAAAGTTCGAGCGGGCTCGCTCTCTCGAAAGATAGCGAGCTGCTGGATGGAAGCGATCCCAAGTTGTAGCTACTAGTCGTAAAGTCGAATCGATATTGTTGTTCACTCGCTCCGACAATTCTCAACGTTTACTTCAGTTGCACTAATACCATGAAGTATGTCACTACAGCGCCCAATACCTATGTTGAACCAAAGTCAATTGCATTAGTGGCTCGGGTTAACTATTCAAGATATGGTAAATGTCGAGTAAGTTTTTCCTCACCGAGGCGAATAGATCAAGCGATACCGTGAAGAACTTGGCACCAGATATAGACATAGCTTTCTGACACTGCTGACACACAATTTGTACGAAAGTTTTTGCCTCCTCCGAACCGTCGTACCAGTGGCAAGAGTATGCGGCTTCCATAACAGATGAGCTCTGCGCAAAGTAAAGGCAAAGAGAAAAACAAAACAATATTATACATTATGGCTCCCTTGGTAGCAACAACAAAGTTATCTCATAAATATTCAGAGCAGTGTGCCAACCTCCTCGATAAGCCGATTGCCAAAGATGCAGAACAGAAACACCTGGCCCAGAGTGTAGAGCAGGTAACCGATAGTCGTCGCCGCGTACACATTCACCCCGTTCACCTACACACAGTTCATCAAATATAAAATATTGCGGCTAGGCCAGTTATTTCACGACTCAAACTCTCGTAGTAATGAATTCAAGCGTACTTTCGTGGCTTGGTAAGCGAGTAGAGTCAAGGTAATGGTAGTCGTTAACATGTGAAGCAGAAGAGCAACGCCGTAAGCGTCACCGACCGTTGTTACCAGCCTGAAATCAAGCGATCAATTAGAAAAACGTGCAAATTGCAATTCACCCACATGGCAATGAATGTACGCCTAGCAATACCGGCCCCCGCGTCATATTATCATTTTCCGACGCTAATCACGTTTATTGGCCTTGTCAATCGCTCCAATCCGATAAAACGCTTCATTAGCCGTTCGCTCGATAGGCGTGCTTTGTAAAACATAAAAGAGCCCGCTAATAAAATTTAACGATATCATCGCGGCGCTTTATGAAAAGTACCATGGCTACGGGACAGAAAAAAAAGGCCACAAAAACGAGCAGCAAACGCACGCTATATATAGCGATTCGCGTTACTAACGAACATCCTATTAATGTTTAAGGGGGCAGCGACGGAATTAGCAGGCAATTACCAAGCCGATGGTCTGCATTATTCATGTGTAGTCGAACTTTGGAAACCTCACTTTCCCGTCGCTCTCTCTCTCTCTCTCTCTCTCTTTCTCTCTCGCTCACTGCCATCCGAGCTTTCAAGCGTCAATCGATACGCGCGCGCGCGCACACAATTCGAAGGGTGTATAGAGTGCGTCTAGAGTCTGACGCTGGCAAGCATAAGGTGAGCGTAACTACACGAATGAAGCTATGACGATTGATTGCAGCTCTGCACAACGGCCTTGCCGTCGTTTATAAGCTGTATGCGCCAGACAGACCCGGAACAAACGCAAACGCTTTCGCGTATATCCCCGCGAGGAAGTCCCCGATCAACAGTCAGGGATGCGCCTGTACTGCCGGTTATTGCACGTTTTGCATCAAATCAAACGATGTTGCGGGCTTGCCTCCTCCATGTTAGTTTCTTGATGTGCTGACCCTGTGGCCCCGGGGCAGATTTATTAACCACTGGAGCTACGCTTATGACGATCTTGGTAGGTTTTTATTGACGTTCGGCCGAGCACGCGCGCACTCGTGTCACAATTACATTGAGCTAATACAAGTACGTACTTGAACAAAGAAACAAAGAGTGCTATTGATAATTACAAAGTAGCGCATGTCGCATAGGACATTGAAAAGTTGTCTTCTTTTTAACCACGCTGCAATATTGATTACGCATACCGCTGCTAGTGTAAATAATCGACAATTCACACGGTGGAAAGGGAGAAATAACTTCATGCACTATCGTGACAGAAAGAGAGAGAGAGAGAGACTTACACAGCCTGAAAAAATAATTTATACAACTTTGAAAAATCTAACCGACTCGTGTACTGGCAACTTTTAAAGGTTGAGGTCAAGAATAGAAGAAACCGCTCGCACAAACACTCGACTGACTATGACAGTTGTGCCTAAGCACCTACGTCGTAACAAAGTTACGACTTTTCGACATCATCAATTTAATGTTTGTTTCATCGATCACTCAGAGATTAGTCAAATTCACAACTTACATAGTAGCAGGTTAATTTATTTCCATGAACTTTTTCTACTACAAGGACGCTTTTATTCCTGGAAGGGAAAATGCAACCAAGGTCAATCAACTCCCTCTCTCTCTTTCTCGCAAACTTCATTTTCCTCGTAGCTCATCCATTTTCTTCTCGCCGACAAAAACCCACTTCTCTCTCTCCCTCTCTCACCACTCTAACGCAACTTCGATCAAACTCCACCTCCCCTCGAGATGAAAAAAAGACCTTATGTTCTCTCCTCTCGCCCGACTAAATTGATCGTCATCTCAAGCTTCTCTTTTTTTGCGTCCTTCACGATCGCTGTCTTTCCAGGCCTGAAACGCTGTCCTCATCGTTGAGTAGCGATAAGAGGAGCGAAATAAAGGGACACGCGCACCAGTTGCACTCCCCCGGCACTCGCTTTCTCGCTGTCTACGCCGCCCGAATACCCGAGCGAGCTGCTAATGTCACGCTCTCGCGCGCACCGGTCCTCGACTTTCGCCCGTGGCCTCGCGTGCTGCGTCGAACATTCGACGCTCGCACGCGAGTTCTTCCGCGCACCGAGGACGCTTTTTCCAGATGCACGAGCGCATCTATTCATTTCCGCGCGTTCGATTGCGCTTCAAGTTGCGGGGCGGTCGTGATTAATGCGCAGCTGCGTCGTTTGTCCAGGGCGCTCCGCGGAATGAAATTTGCACGCGCGGCGCTCGAGTGTTTTTCGGCCCACGCTCAAATGATTTCCGGCACGCGTTCGCTGGAGCGACTTGCGCGCGAATTCGGTCAATATTTTATCGCAAATACCGACGTATCGATTCTCGCACGTACGCCCGCACGCGTCTCCCGGATATTTGCCTTTCCGACGCTCGGCGTAAATAACTTGGGGAAACAAGGCGGGTTCGCCTGCGATTCGTACATTTTTTGTAAAAATACTCAAGGTCGGATTGCCGAAGGATGCGAGATGCGCGTGTTAATCGGAGATTTCCTTATCCGTCGGGAAACTTGGACATCACCGCTGAGTACCGCGTGTCGTAAGAATTGATTCGGCCGAACGTGCAGAATCATCGATTGGCCGCGCAAAAACAATTCTCGTCAATGTCGTAAAAAAAATTGAATGCTCGCGGGCGATAACGAGCGTCCAGAAAAAGGAGACGACGAGCGCATTGCCGAGTGATTAGCAAATCACTCGAATGCATCTATCTATCTCGTGAATCGCGCAAAGTGTTAAACTTCGTACGGGTGTGCGTGACAAGCTGAGTGATTACGAGTTACACGCGTCGGGAGCGCTTTGTCGGGCGGCACAGCATTGATTGATAGATTTAGTTCCCTCTTGAGGTAATTGCTTGACGCTGTTTAGTCCTTCCGCTCCCTCCTCGCTTACATCCCATTTCTCCATCGACATGTGCAATTAACGTTACGATGGACGAATACGTCAATTACTTGGCACGAACTGGCGCTGCGGTGGTCGTGAAAATCGTCGTCTCATTATTTCCCCGCGTAATCGATGCCGTCAGCGAGACACAAGCGCGAAACAACAACGAAAAACGTTCTCTTGGATTTGCTTGCGACTGCGTGTGTTATTATCGATCGACGCTAAAGGTTCGCGCGTACTTCCTTTTTTCCCCCCAATAAAACTTATAACTACGAGCTCGCGTTGTTAACTGTGCGCTGCCAGCAAAGGCTCGAGTATTGCAGACAGCCGCGAGCGGCGCGGTAGCTTAATGAACAAAGTCGCTGTGTACCGAATCGCACCCTACATTTTATCGCGCTAACTAGTTAGGGAATATACCTTTCGCCGATGAATAACGCAACGCTTTACACGGCGAAACTTGTTAAACTCTAATGACGGCCGAGCTGTGCGTAGTCGGAAATAATTACAAAGTCAACAGTCGCGAGTATGGCTCGTCGAAGCGAAAACGCGAATTTCCGTCGCACGGGCATCTCGGAAAATCCGCGTTCGGGTATTTCCTCGACGCCGAGGAAGCTCGCGTAGACGCGCGCGATTGGTAAGCCACGCCGCACCTTCGCGAGCCCGTCGCTCGCCGCGAGAATCAGTAGAGCGGCGTAACCTGTTGACCCTCGTAACTCTCCTTCCTAGCTCTGGCACGCAGCGTCGCGTTCCGAGCATCTTCATCGTTCATCGAGCCCGTGTCTGTAATATAATGGGTGTTTCTGGTCTCTTCGCGCATGAATTATTTGCGGCAAGCGCTGGCGTACGATCGATTGGTCGACGCGTCGTCATATCTTCGCGCGCGCGCGCGCGCGCGCGAGAGAGAGAGCGAGAGACAGAGAGAGAGAGAGAGAGAGACTTTCTTTTTTCTCTCGCGTGTGCACGTCTAGAGCTTTTTCGACGAGCGACGACCGAGAAATATCTCGCGAGACATTTCTAAAGGATTTCTATCCATCTACTTCACTTTGGTTGCGCCAAAAAGTGAGATGGAGAAATTTTCCGTTTTCACGGTATTATTATGTTTGGCAAACGAGCACGAGCTCGTTAAATCTGCGAGGATAGACGTTTGAACGAACGCAAAGAAGCCGACGATGATTAGCCTCGTTGTCGCGAGCATCTGAATAATTGAGCGAGCGAAAAGAAAAGGAACGAAAGTTAACGGCGAAGGCTGATGTGCATACATGAGGTCGACTTGTCGGCTCGGCTCGGCTCGGCTTGGTTAGCGTTCGACTGACAAATGTTGACAGAGCCGCCTTGAAGGGTTAGTTAGCGTCCTTGCTAAAGCAAACGATTAAGCGGCCGCCGCGCGCGCTTGCAATGGCAAAGATCGCCCGAGCTATTAATGATTGACGTTGGTTAACCTCAGCCTCTATCCGACTGACGCAGCTCTCTCGGCTCTAACTGTTCGCTTGTTAGCCCTTGAGCGATCGCTCCCGCTGGCTGGCCTGGATTTCGCTCCACCTAATTACCCATTCCCTCGTCTTTTCCCACGGTCCCGCCCGGAATATCCTTGCACTTCAGCTTGTTTTAAGCGCGAGGCTTACCTACTGCCGGAGACTCATTATATCGCGGAGTTCACTCGGATTAGAATAGAGGATTTTCGACGTGCTCTTATCGCGTCCGAACTTTATTTACGATTGTTACGTAACTGCTTTCATCCAGAAGGAGAGCAGACAAGTCGACTTTACACGCCGCTCTATGAAATTCCAGACGCTTCGCTATTTCCCTCTCCGAGCGCAACTGCATTCGCTCTGGCAACTGCCAACGTGAAATTTGCGAGTCCAAATGGGCGGGCACGCTCGCAGCTGCGCGTTCACCGCGTAAGATCCGGATAAGAGATCTGACCGTCGATAGTGGCACCGCGTGCCCGCGAGTCTCCCTCGATTTACGATTGCGAAAAATCACTTGGAATCGAGTCGCGCAGCTCTCGACGCGAAATGCGCGTGTTGCATATCTCCCGCGAGGCAGCCCCGCGCTCTTCGTCATTAGTTTAAACGCCGTGCAATTTGAGCGTGGCGGCTCTCTTTCCCTCGCGGCCTACATATTTCGGCGAGCGATTCCGCGCGCGGCGCGGCCTCTGATTTATGGCGTGGCGCTCGCTGCGCATTCGCGACTGACGTATACGTTGCGGTTTGTATTCGCGAGTGCCTCGCGTCCCAAAGCTGCGCGCATATAACACATCGGTGCGCATCGCATTGATAGGCTTCCATCGAGCGATACGCCGACCGAGGGACTGTGGCGTATCAATCGATCAGCCGCGCGATGCTTTTCCACGATTACTGCTGCAACTCACCTGACGACGTGCTTATGTCTCTCGACCCAATACTTGATGGCACTCCGCACGAGCATCTCCTGTTTCTTGGTCAGGCCGTTCGGACCGACGCCCCCGTTGAAAGTCGTGCCGGCGGTCGGTCTGAACGTCGCCGTGAAGTCTTGGCGATTGCTGTATATGCCGCGTACGTCGACGTCGAGCACGTTCTCGCCGTTGCTGCTTGGTTGGATACCCGACGATTCCCTCAGGTGGTCCGCGCTGCCAGCCTGTAAATTACCAGCTCGAGATAGCGGCTTTACGTTGTCGAGTGTCGTTTTATTTATCGGCAGAAATTGGATCGCCGGCCAGATTTATGGATTGCGATGCAGTCTCGCGGCCCGATAACGTTGATTTTGAGAGCTTGCGACAACATCTGTTAATTCATCATCGTGACATCGTGAGGCGCGGTCGAGCTTGAATGGACCGATTGGTCGCCGCATTCGCAGGTTCGCTGATTGCGCGCTAGCTTGTTAGTTTCATTTTGCAAAGTTAATCTTTTAAGAGCGAAATCCGCAAGGGACAACGCGGCGCCGTCAGCTAGCTCGTTAAGAGCGCCTGAAAGAACAGCTACCTTGAACAGCTCTCCGCTGTTGGGTACGACGGTGTCCAGTGTGGCACTCAGCTCCATGAGTGGCTTCATAATGGCCTTGAGATGCTGCAGCTGCTCGCAGGCGAACAGTAGGAACGAGCAGAACAGCACGTCAAACATGTTGCAGATACCCATTGTGATGGCCAGATAATAGAACTGATAGATCAGCGAGAAGATGTGCGCTACGCCGCCCATCGCGTTCCACGGATACGCGGAGCGGATCATCAGTCTTGGAACCTGCAAATTGTTGTCGCTTGGTATTTTTCCGGGATAAGGCAGCGGCGACGCGTCACCGAGTTGGAGTCTGTACGTCGCGTAAGCATTATTCGATAGCTCATTATACAACCCGCGATAATTGGCTCGCTCATAGGCGCACGAGCGAGCGCGAGCCCGTGACTGACGGTGCAATTTCTGGAGCATTTTTGAAACGCACAATTGTTAATTATTCGAGCCAACTCTCGTGTTGGCCAATTCGGAATGTAATCGATCGTGCAGCTGAAGAGGAAGCGTAAACGGACAAATTTCACTCACCGGTATAGTGGTGGTCTCGTTGGTCTCTTTATCGTGAATCGTGCGAATGGGGTCCTCGAAAAAGGTAATGCCCGTCCAGCACAACACGGAGAATATGACGGCGCCGCAAACGCAGAACAAAAGTTTCCTCATCTTGGATAGCGCGAGGGCGTGGTAGCGCTGGTTGCTCTCGGCGAATAACGGATGGCTGTTGGGGCTGTTCCAGATGCCCAGGCACTTGTAGAATATCTTGGCGCGCGCCGCCAGGTAGATCACTTTCACGATCGGGTGCAAGAAGAACAGCACCGTGATCGTGTTCGCCGTCAGCTGGTCGACGTCGTCGATTTCCTTCACCAAATTCACTGCCATAGTGCCGAATTGGAACAGCATCAGAAACAGCGTCACCTGCGTAGATTCGCCGCATTTTCTCTTTATGTTTCTGCTACTTGCTGCCGTCGCGCGATTTGCGTTGCTATCGATCCTGAACTCACCATGCAGTAAATTTTATGAGGGAATCTCATCCCTTCGCTGTAGTAGTTGAAGAGCCAGTGACCGACGGCTTGCGTGATCCTGATGTTGGGCATCAGGTCGGCCACAAGGCCCACTTGCTTCATTTTCATCATCTGCGCAAATTGAAATGCCAGCAAGCGTGTTAAAGGTATCGATCCGCATCGGACTTTTACTTATGGCTAATTGGCGCTGCACGTTTCTCCGACAGCTCAGATTGCTCGGCGTTCATTAATGAGTATGTTTACGAGCTCTCTAATGAAATAACAATGACGAGATAAAAGGATGATTTTTCTTTTTTTTTCACATAGATCGAAATCTACGTTGAATAAAATGTCTGTAAACAGCGTTAAGTAAAAGTATATTGCACAGTCGCTCGTCTATAGCTCGCGTATGCGATCTACGCGATCTGTACATCTTGTATACGTTATAAAACGTTATTCTGCAGCGCGGAACATAGTTAACTGAAGCGTATACATATAACAGAAGTTTCTCGAAACATTCAATCTTTAGAGTTTGCACTCGCGCGATGACACTTTCACTCGGGTTCCGTACATACGGTACATCGATCGAATGCATTTTCCGAGTTTCTTTTTTCTTTCGCTACGATCGAAAGAAAATATAGCGCATAAATGTTTTTCTGCTTGGTTCCGCGAATAATGCAGTATAGTAATCCTGGCGGTTTCGAAGTACGTAATCGAAATATTTAGCCGGAGCCTCGATCGAACCAGAAATGTCGCAAAAACAAACCAATTATTGAATAATTTCACAAGCTTTTGACGTTCGATGTGCTTAACCTTTAAGTGCGTACTATCAAGGTCCTTGATGAACATTAGGGTATAAGCAACGGTTAACTTCGCTCCAAGTATTTACGTCGTAGCGACGACGACGTCAACGACGACGATGACAACGATCGAAGCCCGAATTCGAATTTTCGAAAGTACGCGGTGTCGAGCTCTTCCACTTTTGTTATTTACTCCATATGACGTCAGTTTTTCAATTTCACGAATATACCTCGCGGAAATTTCCGGTGGCTTAACATTTTATATTTATTTTACTCTAGTACCACAACATTGTTACATAATTAATAATGCAATACCGCAATGCTATTTCCATTTTCTGCTCGCTTTTTCTCAAGCTTACTTGTTTAAATGGTAAAGAAATTGCAATGCATTTTACTGCAGATTTAGCTTCACTTTCTGGAACGAGAACGGGCGTACGGTCTAGCAAATATCCCAAATCTACGATGCAACGGTGTGCACAGAGTCGTTATTTACGAAGGAAATTAATTACAAAGCGAAAAATGAAATTCTTACGAGTTTTGTAACGCAACATATCGTAACGGCTAGGCTAACGATTTCTCATTTTTGTGCTCCAATTGTGCGTGGTTTCACAATTCAGTATCCAAGTAATTAAAGTGAAGAGAATCAAAATAACATTGTGTAATACGTTGTATATATACAAGACTATAGGTTTGTACTGGCTTCGATAGAACAAAAAAGTTTGTTTCCTCGTTCTCCCGTTTCACTGCCGATTTTTGCTTCCGCGTATTAGCATTTGCCAAGAAAAGTATTAATACGACTATTTCGCTGATTAAATGCTTTGTGTCACAGTGTGTGTGCGATAGGTGAATCGGTTTTGCCTATCCGTTTGTAACTTTGTAGTGAGAAAATTGAAAGATTGCAAAATGATTGGCGTCGTCAAGCTCGGCGTGAGTGCAAACATCATAATATCGAGCAATTGATCGAAATCTCAAGATGAAAAACCATTGGCTCGCATCTCCATCGCAAATGGTCAGAGAACACACGCGAGCATGACAATAACGTTCGCCGGGCGGCCGAGGAAGAAGAAGAAAGGCGCGCACACGGCAAGGCGCGATTATCGCGAGAAGTAAGAGAAGCGAAGCCCAACCTCCGAAAAATCAGAGCTGGCCCGAGCGACGCAACAGGTCACGTGCGCGCCTTCTGCTCTCTCGATAAGCCAGAGAAAGGCGGCGATGGGAGGGGGGATTCGTAACGCACACTTCACTCGCAAAAAGCCAGACAAAAGTGAAAGTGACAGTCGTACCTTGAAGACTTATATCGCGATGGCAGCGTTCGGCCCCGGAGAAGCAAAAAAAAAAAGCAGAGATGATGTGCACACCCGACAGCGCGCTAAGACACACTCGTCAACGTTGCCCGGTTGAAGCGTTCGCCAAGCCCTCGCTCGCTCGCTCGAGGGTGTATAGTCGGCGGAAAGAGAAACACACACGCGCACGCACGCGCACGCACACACACAAGCCTTATAGACAATGGGCGAGTGTGCGCCTACACGACCAGTGCGGGTGAGACGGACGACCTAACGTGGACCAATCGGCGTCGCGGCTAGCCAACGATACTCGCCATCGCGCCGCCGCCGCCTTCATTATTCATAAACGCATACTCGAGGAACCTTATACTGCCCGGCGAGTGCTATAAGCGAGGGGAGGCACACCGATTTTCTGTCGAGGGAGAGTTCTCCGCGATATTGCTGTTACGCACTTTTCTTCGATGTTTACGCTGCGATTATCGATTCCTCTCGGCTGTTTGGCATCGCGGCCGCATTCGTATACGAAGCTCACGCTGACAAACGTTCCATACGATCGGCATCGGCTTTTCTTGCGGTATTACAGGTCAAAAGTTCGCTTTGAAATTCATTCACTTGGGCGCTTCCTTTCAGCTTCTCGAAACTTGTCGCTGGCATTCTATCTGGATGGCTCTGGATGGATAATGAATTTGCGGTTGGAATGTTTTCAAATATTTCTCCGTAACTCGTATGGATCGGAAAGTGGTTGCGAGCTTATAGTACCTCTTTCAATAACGAATAACTCAACTTACATTTAATCCATACGCTACATTTTCTTATCCCAAGGCGCACTGAATAAACTAGCGTAATTGTGTGTATTTCGTACGTGCTGCGTTGCGACATTTCTACAGAATTGAAAACTTTCATACTGTATATCTGTTGTTCACTGTTACGGACTAACAGGTGACTAGAACTTACTCAACTATATCAGAAAGTGGAAATGATGGATATTCGATAAAACAAAGGTTTAGGCAATTTTGTCGCGAACAGTTTGACTGTTGATTTTTCTATCGAGCGAAGGAAACGTAGAACTTGACGATAATAAATAACGATATTGTCGGCGATCCTTCGAAACAGCGGAAGAGCCTTGAAAACGCGCTCGCTCGCGAGAAATGCCGAACGTTTGATTTTAGAAAGGCAGCGTCGATCAAAGGTTAACGTGTGCAAGCTCAATTAGAAAAGCAAAGTAAAGCCAGTAGTCAAGTTGTCCGTCCGTAAGCACGTGCATTGATCAGTCGAAGCATTGTCGTCGTCTTTCGGGCGGAAAGCGCTTAACGAGTGTATATATACGCGCGAAAGTCCAAGCAAAGTACTCTGGAAATAGAGCAGAGCCGATATATGCACGTACATGTGAGCACTCGTGTGCTCTTTTGTTCCATAACGATTGACCCACGTAGACGCCGACTGTGAGAAAGGGACCTGCTTGCTTTCTCGCTCGCTTCTTGTCAAGTTCGCAGATATCGATCCACCAATTCTCGCGCGAAGAGGAAAATTATTTCCGTCGAGACGAGCGTCAAACGTGGGCTCGGGCATTACTTTTCCATTTGAGCGAAACGTGTCAACATCGAGTGCTACCGTACACCACCTTTTCTCCCGACCGAATTTGCCCACGAATAATTGGATTTGTCATGCTAACGATCACGTCAATTAGTTCGTCCTGAATTTCATCATATACCTATGTATATATACCGAATCATCGATCTACGCCAAAGCGCCTTGAAAAACACCGTCGATATCGCGATTCTGTCATGTCGAAACCTCGACTAACGTGGTTATTTTTGTTTTCGAACACGCGGACAAACGGCAAGCTGCGACGAATTTCAAATCGTTCGCTTTTTTTTCGATCGTTTGTGAAAATTTGCGATTTTTCACTTTTTTCTCCAGTAACGTAGCAACGAACCAACATTCGTGCGGGAAAAGTTCGAAATCGTTCAATTTGTTCGGCGTAACGTAGCAACAACTAAACATTCGTTCGTTTGTTAATTGGCCAGACGAGAATTTTTCATCGGCAGCGACGTCATTCTACACTTGGATTTCCGATCCGCATAATCGCTTAAAAACTTCTTTAATAGTTATCACTCGTGACGAATCTTTGACGCTTCATTGTGATTTGAAGAAGCTTGTGCTACGATGGAACTGAAGAAAGCTTTGGTACTTTTTGCTTTGCTGGGAGTCTTCGCCAGCGGCTTTGGAGCTGGTAATCAATCGTTGCTTTGATATTGGCATGCCTATCCACGCGCGGCCCATGTAAAGGATGTCTTTTATGTTTGGTGCTTTTTTATTTGTGATTGCTAGAATCGAACGAAGGAGAAAAGCTTCTATCGCCGCCATCTATGAAGCTATTGATGAAAGGTGCTATCGAAGCTGCACCGGTCCAAGAGGATTCGCCAGTTGCAATTGATAAAAGGTCAGTCGAGTTGAAGCGAAGGTTCGACTTTATTCAGTCGTTTTATAGCTAATGTGTGTGATTACTAAAAAACTTACTCGCATTCGAACATGTATTTACTTTATTTCGTCTTCTCTTTTATGTAATCGAATGACAATGGATAATTCTTCATGCGCTCATACGTAGCAGCAACGACAGACCGCTGAACGTGATTCTGCTGCTAGTCGACGAGCTCTACCGAAGCGACGTGCCTGCGTACCTCGAAAACCGAGATGAGTTTCCCGTTCGCGGGCATTTGGAGGTTTGTTCAATTTGGAATTTGAAAATTCGGCAATTTTTCTACCTGAAGACAATTTTCTTTTACGACCTGACGTAAATTCTGTAAATTGCTATATTTCGCGAATCGTCCAGGAGCATACCAACCAATGCAAGTATTTTGTAAAGAAAAATCATTTTTTAAGAACATTCATATATCCGCAGACCTGCCCCGCGGTCGCCGGTCATACGAAGGGGGATGTAAGCTGCGATTGCGACCAAAAATTGGGATCGAGCATCGTTTCGTTGATTTCATGGGCTGAACGAACCAGAAACATGTCGATAAGTAATTGATTGTTTTAGCACAAAAATAAATCGATTGCTTCACTGCTTGCAAATACACATTTTTTATAAAACATTTTTATAGGTGACCTTTACAAGATATCACCTAGTCTTTCAGACTCTCGAGCACGTCTGATCTATGGTCAACGTCGAGATGCATTAGAGTTATCGCAAACTGGTAAGATTATTTTGCAAATCATTAAGTATAAAGTTATACTTAGCAACGCGAGAGTTCAGTTTTACGAATTGATTTTATAAACAATAAAACTAAGCTTCCAATGTAACTTGTGAACTTGAATTTATGTTGCTAATAATTATATGTATATACGCTGCAATATTATATAAATATTTACTTAAATAAAGCAAGACAAATAATTAAAAAAGAATAGCCGCCCTGCAACAATTACGTAAAAGCAAAATAATAAAAATAAAAACACGATCAACTGTGAACTGTTCTGAATTTATAGTTACTTAGGGATTATATGTGAAATTTGATTTTCTTTTTCTTGAAAGAAATTTCTAGGAATGTATTGCTTTAATTGATACCTAACCTTTCTTGTAATTTATATTTTTTATTAATTTAGAGCCAACCTCGCAGGGTGAGAAAACGAAAATGCCATTGAAGTTTAAAAACACCATCTTCGGCAGCCTTGTCGATGGATTGAGGAAGACTCAACTGCGTGCACCTACCATTGTTCATCTTTCCGATGTTAAAAAGTTGAGCTTCAAAGAAAATCAACGAGGCCATCTAGTAATTATGCACGTTGAAGTCGATGAGCTTGGCAACGTCCTTGAACACTTAAAGCACTACGTAAGTATTGTGTTCCATCAGCTATCGAATAATGAAAAAATAGAACTCAGTTGTTATTTACAAACTGCCATGTTGTCTGTCTAACTCTCATCGGTCTATGTTTTATTCTTTGCCGCCATCTCGTAAAAAGTAATAATAAAGAAAAATTACGTTTACAAGAAAGATATCTGGGAAACATCGTTGGTTGAGTTTGGAATAATTAAAAAATGGTATTTCATGCAACAACACGTTAGAAAGCTTATTTGCGGATATTTTTTTTATAGAAATTAGTGTGTATATATATAAATCTAATATATTTTTGTAATTTAAATAACTGTTCCATTGTAAGTAAATGTTTCCACATAAAGTTCAATTTGAAATTGTAATTTAGGTTTCACCATCAAATACCCTGACGATTGTGATGAACTCTTGTCCACAAGACCGTACCAATTTGGTACCGTATTTCGCTGGTGGAAGTGGCGCGGAACAACTTGCTTATGTTGGTAAATTAGAGTACCTCCAAAATTTGCCTTCTGCTATTCCTGCCATCATTGGTCAACCGGCATTTGCTAAGATGGAAAAAATTTATTACGACAATAATGAGGTGAGATTTTAAACTTCACATTGAATTTCTCTTCTAAATAAAACTAATCATGCTGAATTTTCTTGTAGAGACGGAAAAGACAAGACGCACCAGCCGTAAGAAATTTCTTTTTATCCAATCATCTACAATTGAATTAAGATATCTATTTTTACAGGATGACAGCGGCCAAGAAGCTATTACCCATTCAACATTGATGATCATTGCTGTTGTAACTGCCACAATTACTCGTGCTTTTAAATTGTAATTTCACACACATTCTTATTGTTTATACGTACATATTTACATTGTTCGTTCAAATATTTAAATTCAGTTTGCATCATTTGCGATTTACTAAAGTAATGAAATTTTAATAAAATAATGGCTTATGATCAAAGACATGTGTATCCGAAATCTCAATATAAAAGCACTCAATAGAATTTTTACTCAAATCAATTACACAGATACTAAGTTTTCGATTATGTTTTGTTTATATTCTTGATTCGCTACGTTTCCTTTTATATTATAAATAAAGCAAATAACACACATAATATACTATTAACGTTTTCATACGCATCAAATTTATTTTACGCCTCTCCCGCAACATACATTAATTCATTTGCAGGACGTTTAATCAAGCCGATTATTTGAAAATTTCTCTTAGTTGCAAAACTTGATTTTAAATAATTATCTCTGCCAAACGAACTAAAATTAAATCACTACTACCGTACATTACTAAATTATTGAGTCATATGCGTTTTTCCACGTTATTAGAGACTCCAAGTAAAACTAAGAAGGTAGATTTTACACAATTTGGTCTGGTGCGCGCGCGTGTGTGTGTGTATATCACATCATAAAAATTCATGATGTCACTTTCACATCGCATAAAAGTTTAATAAATGTTATATTTTATTCCTGAAATTTCTTGCCTAAACTAGTAGACTAGTTGAGAAGAAATTTCGACTCATTCATCATAATAATTTCTTCTAAAGAAATTCATAAAATTCAGGCGCCCCATCAATGTCCCTAGATTTATAATTAATGGAAAAAATTAGTGACAACATCGCCCCTATGGCTTACTATTACTACTGTACTTAAACAAATTACACGGTTGAATAATAAGACTTAGAATGCGATTAATCGATTTGGAAGCGTTTTCTGTAGTGGTATCTTTGTAAAAAACAAAGATGATTCCGAGCTGTCATTTAAGTCTGTATGCAACTTTACTGATACAATATTTATTCTATATGGAGGCTAGTAGACTTATTCATGAGAATAAAACAAACGTCTAACCTGATATAACACGCTAGATATTTTATTTAGAAATAAACCCGGCTGAACATCGATGAAGGGGTCTGAACATGTCAGCATAAAAATCAAAGTTAACAAGGCAAACAATTGACAAATGACAAGCTAATTTGTATTATTTTCGCAATATTGCAATCCTTATACAAGATTAACTCTTGCAGAATGTTCATCGGTTATTATTGTGTACTTAAGAAAATATTCAAGTAAATTTCTAAGTATAGAATTCTGATGTTGCAATGATATTCATTATTTTCTCTAGTCATTAGGAATTATAAATAAAAATGCCCTATCAGCAGTAAGTAACTCTACTCCACCGAGAGAGAGAAGGGGGGAGAGACAGACAGAGAAGGACTGGCCACTTTCAGCTAATTTTTTTTATACAAATGATCATGAAAATGATATTCTTATTAGAAAACAATTGTAATTATGCACAAAAGTTACAGAGCCCATTGCCGAAAATTGAATTTTCGCATGGAAACGTCAAAAAATTTCAAAACTAAAAAATTCAGTACATTCTTCAAGTATTCATGAAAAAAGTAATTAACTACTTAAACTCGGTAAGAAAAAAGTAAGCAGAGAGATTATTGTCGATCAATGTTCATATCTAGATATCTAGATAATTTTGAAGCGTTCTGTGCTATTTCTACAGAAAAAATAATTTTTTAAATCAAAGCTTACTTGTGTCGAGTGTCGAAAGTTTTGGTTACCGTTCAGTTAGCAAATCAGCGTGGAAGGGGGAAAGAGAGTGGGTCCGCTATCATAAACCGGTCCTTGCTTTTTCCCACTCTCGTATACGCAGCATGGCTCTACGTGTGTTGGCATCAAGAACACAACTTAGTGTTTCTCTGTCCGCGGTACACGACGTCAAACCAGTCGTCAAAGCGAACTTGCCGTTGTCTACACCTGTGACTAAAAACGAAAGTGAACGCCAGTGAAAGTGAGTACTAAATATTTTATTTGGTCATTTTTGCGAAATGAAATGTGCTTACACGCGAGTGAAAACAGTGTACGTTTATACGTAGTTTCCATCGAAAGTAGTTTTGAGTGTAATATTTCTTTGCAATTTGATTGAATTGGTGGCAATCGATCACTATTTAAATATAGAGCGTTATGTTACCAACTTAGGAGTTTTCATCAAAACCAAACGAAGCCCTCAAAGAAATTTCATGACTGAATCTTATAATCAATGATTTAATCAGCATACAATTTTTTTTAAATACCAAACATTTTTCACAATCCAAAATATTGCAAAATTTAGTTGCTTTTACAAAATGAAAAGTTAATTATATATTAGTAGAAGGTTTAGTAGCATTTTTAATTATCTTTAAAATCAGATATTAGTCGTTGAAATCTTTTGAATTCTTTTTTTGTAATCGCAAACACCCCTGTAGCACCCCCTCGCACCGATACACATACGCACACATGCGCGCATACAAATAAATCTTAAAACAGGCCGCCCTATGTTCGATCATTATTCTTTGTTAGAGTATAATTGGAATTTGTAGATATATAAAAAATATCTTTTGATATGCAGTTTTTGATAAAGCAGATCTGGATAATTTTGTGCAGTCGTTTTATCAGAAAAATCAAGATGAAAATTTAATAATCAATTCAGCTGCCTCCAACGTAAATAAAACAAATATAAGTATGCTTCTGGTTTGCTATTGATTTTATAATCTGAACTTTACATCGTGTCCTTTTTTTCTAATAAAATGGTTGCACACAATCATTCGGAATTGCTTTAGTGCAAACTGCATATAAAAAGTATATTTGTTGTAAATCTGTCAAATATCAATTTTACTCGATAAAAGAATAGTCATAGAACAAATGTTTCCAATGAGTATCTGAATAATATGTACCGAAATACTTGGAGGGGGGGGGGGGGTGTCAAATTATAAAATTTTTCAACATGAAATAAAATATAATTTAATTAGTTACAAAAATTACAGAAATTTTAAAGTTTAATTTTTCGAGACATCTTATTAATAAAACATGTAATGAATGCTAGATCTCTAAAAATTAGTATTTATAAGCTATATTGGGTTATATGATAGTAACCATGTTAATATGAATCAATATTTTCTAGTGATTTTAATTTATTACAGCATAATAGTATTTACTCACAGTAAGTTACTACATGTCTAATAACTGTTTCGTTTTTAGGGGGTGCTCTTTCATTGTCAGTTTGCCTATTGTAAAGAAATTGAATAAGTTTATATCGGGTCCTGTGAGTTTTATCCAAATAAGACTTTTTCATATATATATGAACATTAGGTTCTATAATTAAATCAATATACGACCAACAAATCTAAAGCGCTTTATGTTAGTTGAAATATTTATAATCGTGACTTTAACACTTTCTATGTCTTTTATAGAGTGAGATTGAGAACCATTGTCACTCACGACTCCCAAATACAGACCTCCATAGAGCTGTGTCTGTTTATATACAGCGTACAATAATTGGCTTATACTTATAAGGCACACATATCGTAGTACACTATTTTAGCTTTATTGGTCGTGTGACTTGTGCTAAAATAAGAAAAATAAACCTCTAAAACTCGATAGCTTGGGCCTGAGCATTCAAAAAAATGAGCTTATATATGATAAAGTAGTATTGTTACTTTTATAAAAAAAGAAAAGTTTTATAGACAGAAAACAAAACTTTTTATCATTTTTACAATAAATATAGCGCATAGATGATTTTCACATAAATAGAAATAATAAGAAATATCAAATTCAGAATTAAGTCTCCATGCAAAAAGTAAAATGCTTCTCTTTTCCAATTTATTCAAATCTATCCACTTCATTATATTTTTCTCCGTTATATTATTTTTAATATCTTATTTGATTGATCTTCGTTTCGCCTCATAAACACATTATTTTCGTAAAACGAATAAATGCTTTCTTATTTTTTCCTATGGTCAATTTACATTTTTAGACATACATAAATGTTTTTATCATTTTTTTCAACAGTCAATTTAATTTTAAATATCTAAAAATAAAACTATTAATTTTTCAATGTGAGTTATAACATTTATTCTTTTATAATGTTTTCACTAACGTCGTCTTCTATAAAATAAAAAATTTATTTAACCATTTAAAAAAATCAACGTGAAAAAAATCGTTATTTGATTCCAATTAATTTAGTTTACTATATTCAAGTCTGAATTTTTTCTCGTAACAATGTCTAAAACACTTATTATCAGAGACGGCTATTTTTGGTCACTGTCACATAAGTATTCCATTCAGATTTATTGCAAAAATAAGTAGATAAACAAAATTATGAACAAAATAATCATATTATATCATGAATTATTATATACATGATACAAGTATGAACTCGCACTATAAAGACTTATTAATTTGATTTTTGAAATTAAATAATATAAATCATTACAATCATATAATTCTCAAAGAACTCTCATCAAAAAATCTCACCACCATATTATTTAATTAGTTTCGAGATAAGATCTTTTTAAGTGAATCACTTAATGTGTGTGCGGGTGTGTGTGTGTGCGCGCGCGGGTGTGTTGTCTATTTTCCATTACAATTTTCAGAACTTTTTCGTGACAGTAACCGCTGCAAGTGAAAGGAATTTTCATGCTCTGAGGCAATGGCTCTCTCGAAAGACTTGCCTGAGACGTAATATTATGATCAGCGTTAATAATGGCAATTATGCAATCACACGTATGCTGTAACTTCATGTATACACATTTTCAGCTCACTGAATTTTCGACATAATAGAGACAAAATTCCATGAATTATAAATTTACTTTTTCCTTTTCCCCAACAATATGAAGCAATTTAGGCCCACTTGTAAGATTTAGAGTAACGAAGCATAGAATTTAAGACCCGCCGTCCATCAATGTAGATCTACAGCTCTGTAAGACTTATAAAATTTATCACGTCTTCTTTTAATGCTTAATATGTAGGAAAGACAGTATATCAAAAAGTATAATTGATGTATTTCCATATCTAGATTACAGCTAATCAATCTTACAACATTTTATGCAGCCGTTTCGTCAGATAGTGTCATTGAACGTCCTGAAATTAATTAGCTATGCTTACGTAGATATTTTTCATATAAACAAATAATTATGGAAGAAAAATACAACAATCTTTTTCCGTTTTAGTTGGCTATGTAGATTTTAGTTGGGAGCTTTGATAACAAGTCTTAAAATTTGGAATGAAGTCAGTTTTTCAGTTTTTGAGATTCAGTTTTCCTTATTATATTCGATAATACATTAGAACTTTTCTATATTTCATTACAACTTACAATACTTCTATTAAGCTTCAACTTGAAATATAAAAACACATACACGTATTAAACATAACCTTTACATTGTTATATTTCTCATCATTTAATATTATAACATATATCTAAAAAAGTATGTATATAATTAAAATACTTTTAACTTCTTTAAATTATTCTTTATAAAAGGCATAGATTTATAAAAAATCTCTCACGTTACTCCTTTTTGTATGTGATCTAAAAATCAAGTTTAATTATATTTTATAGAAGCATGTGAATTCCACTTAGAAAATGTTCGGGACTTTATCAATGATTTATTTTAGAAAAAATTGTTATTTGAATTAAATATATATTTATATTATTCAAGTTTATATATGTTACTGTAAAAGTTTGAATAAAATCTAAATATTTCAATATAAAAACGTCGATAAGTACATTTAAATTTCGACTTTTAGAAATGTTGCTCATTCAACCGACGGAGGAAATGTCTAAGCTGATTCGCTTGGAGCTTAATGAAAATGTTGATACACGCGACAAGGATCTACAGTACATTAAAGATTGGCTATCCAAACAACCACATTTGCCTACATTTGACGGTGAGCTGTAACTAAAACAATCAATGGAATTATTCTTATGTTTTCTTTTTCAATTTATTCTAATTTTATATTATGACGTTTCGTTCGATCGATTTTTGATGAATAATGATATTACGTATTATAGATGACTACAGACTGATGACTTTTTTACGTGGATGCAAATTTTCATTGGAGAAATGTAAAAGAAAATTGGATATGTATTTCACGATGCGCGCTCTCGTTCCCGAATTTTTCGCCAACCGTGATATCACTAGACCCGAGATGAGAGAAATCACAAGCATTGTGTAAGAATTCAAAAATAAAATTCAGCTTTAGCACTACTTGTATTGTTAGGCAAGGTTAATTATAAATAAGATTTCCCACCAATATGTAAAACAGATTGAATGTATAGAATTTATTCGGATCGATTTACAATCGTTTGCCGAAATGAAAGAAAAAATTTATGGTACTCAAAAAGAATACGTTCGATAATGCTTATAATTAGATTGTGACCGATCAATTAAGAAACGAGCTATGTAGCCATTTTTACAGAGAAAACGTGTTAGTACATATTTTCCAACTGTTACTTTAATGACTGAAAGAAAATGTAACCTCATGTGAACAAATATTACAGATGGGAAATATGCTTACCTTTTATCTTTTATTTGCATGAAGCACTCTGAAAGTGATCAGTCGTAATTTAGGCACGGCTATTTACTGACAGTTTTCTTCACCGATAGTATGTTTCATTTAGACAAACGATTGGAGAGATAAGATATACACGAAGAGTCTTCAACTAAATATTACATTATAAATTTAAAAATTTATAACACAATAAAAAAATGTTAGTTCTTTAGCTGATGAGACGCTTGTCTGTCTTTGAATCAAAACGATTTTCTATTCGATTGCTATGTAAATATTTAATGGTAAACCCTGCTAAGTATTATTTCAGTTAAAGCATAAATTTAGTTGACATAAAAGAAACTCCTAATACATGGAGTCTTCAATAAAATTCTTCCGTTGGTCTAAAAACTGTTTTATTTTAACAGCCAGGTGCCACCACTCCCTGGATTAACTAAAAATGGACGCCGCGTAATTGTAATGCGAGGCATTGATAAAGACCTACCCACTCCTAATGTTGCAGAAGCAATGAAACTAGTAATGATGATCGGAGATATTCGTCTTAAAGAAGAACTTGTTGGTGTTGCTGGTGACGTCTATATTTTGGATGCAACAGTTGCTACTCCATCCCATTTTTCTAAGTTCACACCTGCCCTCGTAAAAAAATTTCTTGTTTGTGTCCAAGAAGCTTATCCCGTCAAACTCAAGGAAGTGCACGTTATCAACGTTAGTCCACTCGTTGATACGATTGTTAATTTTGTTAAACCTTTTCTAAAAGAAAAAATCAGAAATAGAATATACGTGCACGGTAGCCTGGAAAAACTTTATGAGTATGTACCGAAAGAAATCTTGCCAAATGAGTACGGTGGCAATGCTGGTCCGATTCAAGATATTCATGGTAATTTTTTATTTATCATGTACTTATGAAATTAATACGGTTCAATTAAATAATTAAAAACTTGAAATAATTAGTTTTGTTAGCAAAAATATATATAAATATAAAATTATTAAGGAATGAAGTTAAATATATTTTCTATTTCTTTTAGAAATATAATTGTAATAATGAAACGTACTTTATCCATAATCAATCAAAAAAATACATTTATTACAATGTCTATTCTCGTATAGTTATGATACATTGTTTATAGTAAATTTTGTGTTCAAATCAATGTTTTAAAATTATAATATTGACTATATTTTGTTGTCTCATGATGAAAAACATTGCCCTTAATTCGTACAAAAAGAGAAATTAACAAAAAGATGTACCTACAAAGCAAATGCAACAACTAAAGCTTTACTGAGCCATGAAAAAATTATTCTATTTGAATAGTAGCAAACAAGCTATAGTGGTATGATTTTGGAAGTTAGAAAATTAATACGTATATATATATTTCTTTTAACTATTAAATACAATTCAATAATTCTAGTCAACGTTATATATTAATTCACAATATCTTTTAATAGACAGAACAAGTTCAACTATACAGAGATATAATAGTTAACTGATCTGAAAAAGAGTCAAATCTTGTAAACCTACTTTTTTATTTACAGTATTTTCAAAATATTCACTTATATTTTCAGATACTTGGATAAGGAAATTGGAAGAATATGGACCTTGGTTCAAAGAGCAAGAAGGAATCAAGACAAATGAAGCATTACGACCTGGTAAACCAAAGACTTACGATGATCTATTTGGACTCGAAGGATCATTCCGACAATTAACGATCGACTAGGGACAGTTATTGTTGACTTAGTTTTTAAAATAAACTTTTCCATCAAGTTATTCATTGTTCTACGGTCAATGGAATTATTTAGACGGGGTAGTACTGACCATACTCTTACTAAAATTTTAATACATCTTGGTAACAGTATTACTACATCGCGTATTCATAGCTCTCTTGTAGATCTGTGAATATTCATTAAAGGCGTTGAGTTTGCTTTTTTACTTTCATTTTTGTCGCTCAAATAATGATTAAATACTTCTTAAAACTTTTATACAAGTTTTTAAATTAATACTCATGTAAATATTTATTTGGTGTATTGCTTAGCAAAATAAATTACCTATGCTCAACCACACTCATACTTTCATGAATTATGTCGGAAAAAGTCTCTGAAAAATTTTACTTTTTTCTAAACTTCAGAATCATTTTAAAAATGAGCATAAGATTTACAAGTTTTAAAACGACCGTAGTCGCAATCACAGAGATCATCTAATGAAACAGACAGGAAACAGTGGAAAAGATGGAATATAATTGATATTATCAACTACTGATGTATTTGTACGTTACGTATCGAACATAGTTCTTAATATAAATTTTGTTGGTGATGTAGGGTGTCGGTATCTATTTTTGACGTGGTATACGTATATCTTCTTTCAATTCTATTACAATTTCATCTCATGTCTCAAATAGTAATAATAATAATAATAATAATAATAATAATAATAATAACGAATAACTGAATAAAAGTTTTTATCCATTTAAATTCTTAATAGTCATCATAAGAACAATGTAAAAATTATAACAACAGTAAGAAAAAAATTTATTTTATATGCAATTACTGTTTTATAGATAACTTGATATTGTGTACATATACACTACATACACATCTACACATAGACATAAAAACTAGCATTCTTTATAAATGATGTACTATGATTCCTAACATCTGAAACCCTGTTTCTATAAAGTTTTCTCTATGAGGTAGCAAATTCAGTGTCATTAAATAAAAAAAATAATTCGTCATGGATTAATTTTAAATTTAATAAAAAATAAGAAACCATATCGTTAATCTAAGTACAAGTTCAAATTTTGCAGATCAAAATTCATTGGAAACCGTATTTCACTTAATTTTCCACTCGAAACTTGGACTGTTACAAAGTTTTTAAATTTGTGGCCTCGGTTGTGGCAATGCTTAAAAACTCAAAGCTAATGGAACTTGAGTGCTGACAGATTTAAGTAAAATTTTTGTTTCTAAAGTTCTGTAAGAAACGAAATGTCCAATAGAACTTATTGACTTTCTGGCATATTTTGACCTGTCAAATTGAATGTCGAAAACAAAATAACGCTATCCTATTCGTTTTCTACTAAATTCCAAAATCTTATAAAAAATCACTTTTTATTCTTATAGTTATTAAATCAAATCGACACTACTACGAACTAAAAAGGCGATGGGCTACATTATATTTAGGTAGATCGTATACCATAAAATTATTAAATCGAAAAGTAAAAAGCATGCATTATGAATGGTCAGTAGAAATGCTGTTTAAGATAGTTAAGAAAACTTTATTACATCAAGATATTTTTCAGTTATGTTATTCATAGATAAGCTCATTTGAATATGTGATCAATAATCTACGTTCCTACGTAAATAAAAATAATAGCATGAATAGCAACTCAATATCGTATGAAAAATTGTTGATGAAAATCAATGCTTAAGAGTCAGTCATCGATGTTCTCGTTACTTATATGAAATGTAATCCTTGCGGGAAATATTAGCCTCATGCATCACCAATCGATCGACGAGTAATTGTCGTTGAAAAGAAAACTAGTACTCAGTTAACTCTCTGTCCGCGAACGAAATGCTCAAGACCATTCTCATCACTTTTATTCCAAGATTTTTCTTGGTAATATTGACAAGTAAGTTTTTAATCATTATTTCGCATTATCGATATTGTATGTATTATTTTTATAAATTTTGTGCTGAGTGCAAAAATAAACGAATAATTAATTTTCTTTGATTTCATTATTGTAATAAACGAAATCACTTTCGGATTATAATGTAGTTTTTTAAGATATTTTTGCAGTCTAATGCTCTTGTGGAATTCCTTTATCAAATATTAATAACTCAAATAATGTTTTTAAATGGTCGATTTCATCACTGTTAAAGATGCGAGTGTTGATCATGTAACAGTATGCAATGAACTAACTTGCGAAATGAATGAGCAATGTGTCATTCGCAAGTTTTGGTGCGATTATAATGTGTGTCCTCAAATGATTTACTGTTCAAAGTCACAACTAGGTAAGTTTCTAAATCCAGTTATATGGATGATGTCATAATTTTCAGAGAAGAAATTTTGTGATGTTATACAAATATGATATTTGTAATATTCTGTATCTACATATTTTAGATGTCACATTTTAACATATATATTTCAAAATTCAAATTTGAGAAAATTTTTTAAACAAACTACTTTTTAGTTTACTTTTAGTTTACGTTAAAAAGCAATTGTTGAAATTTTGAAAAAAGCTGGTATTTTTAATAAAAAAAAAGTTTTCTAATTTAATTAGTATATTACACGTGCAGCGTTGGATATTTTGCAGAGTCACTGAGAGGTCCTGAAACTTGCAAATCAGTTTTCTGCCCCGATGGATACAAATGCGTTCTTCGAGCTCATGAATGCACGTGGAATAACGGTAATTAATAATTATGATGCAACTTTCACACAAAGTAAACTCGCATCGATCAAAAGAATGCCAACTAAACATTGATGAGGAATCTTTGTTTTTCATTTACATTTTTCATCGGCATTTCAAAAATTTTTGGTGTTTCCCTGCTCACTAATTCTAGAGCAACTAATAAAAATTATAATCAGTATTTAAATTACAAAAACATTTAGTCACTACGACAAATGAAGACCTGTATAAAAATTAAAAGGCCAGCCTAAGACTTGTGCAAACGCATAATTAAAAAAAATGTTATATATAAAGACATAATAAAGAAATGTCAATCTTAGAGTTCTTGCGGTATCATATTCAGAACAATAAAAGTCAACATTGTAATAAATGTACACAGGCAATTCCACTTTCCCTTAGCAGATACCTAGCGAAAGTCGGAATGATCAACATTGGATCAGTGGCTCCGCAGAGATTTAAGTACTTGTAACATTTATAGTGGAGATGATAATTGGATCGAAACAGCGTGCTGTTCATGACTCACGGGTTAAGCTACGAGTCGTGATGTCTTCAAATGAATATTATGTCGTATTTTACCCAAACTCTAACGTCGAGTCTTTTTTCATCCGTCGTAATTTAGAAGCAATATTAAATTTTTGAGGATGTAAGATTTTTTTAACATTCAATATGATGCTAAATAAAAATTTCAGATTAAGAAGCATTATTTTGATCTTTGAGTAAGATAAATGTTAGAAATGTTTATAGACCCACTTTTCGAGGCATAAATTACTGGAAATTATGCATATATCATGAAAAATATATCTTATATGGACTATACACGAATAATATTAATTCACAAGAATCGGAACGAAGCGAAGCAACCAAAGGGCTTTTTTGATTTATTTAAATAAATCGAATGAAATAATTAAAAAGTGGTATTCAAAAATTAAAAAGTAAAAAAGATATTCTCACAAGTAATATCGAAATATACTATTCTTTGACAGTTAGTAATATTATGCAAAATGTATATTTAAAATGTCTTTTTGTGCCTGAATGTCTAAATGCAAATGTACAAGAATCGTTTTTTCTTAACAATTCTATTATCTAATTGTCCGTTCCCTTACTAAAAACACAAATGTTCTACCAGACTGTTGAATAAAAAGTACCGTCGATGATATAAACTTTTATGTTTGAATCTTCTTTGCAGACTGCAAACAGCGTTTTGCTCGTTGCATTTCCAATGTAGAACTTGCAGATGAGCCAGTTTCCTGTTTAAATGTTAAGTGTGGAAAAGGCCACCAGTGCGTTCTTAGAGAGACGCACTACTGCCCGAGGCCACCTTGCCGACTTACCAAGAGCTGCGCTTATTCAGAAGGTATGTTTATTTTCATTCTGCATTTATAGTAAGAAAAAAATGTATATTTCAGAGAAAACTGCACGAAAAAGAAATATAAATTTTCTATAAAGACATTTTGACAATAACTCAGAGCCAGTTTCAGTGAGTAATAATTTTACTATCACGTTATTGTTATTCTATCGTATAAAAATTCTAAATACGATCGATGCATAAATGTAATAAAATTGTAAAGAAGAGCAGCGCTGAGAATAATGGGCACACCAAGCTTTTGTTTCCAATGACTTTTTATAGAGATAGGAGCATAGTTGTGATTTATATTTTAGAAAATAATAGAATTGTTGATATTTCCTTTATATTAACAGAAGGTTTTTATTTGTTCTCGTTGCAGATGTTGAAATATGGTTCGACAAGTGCAGACAATTGGGCTGTCGTTCCGAGCACGACTGCTTCCTAAGAAGACCTGCAGAAAAATGTGCAATGTCGTCTTGTGCCCACATACCCGACTGTCTTGTTACGCCAAACACCTGTGAGATGAAAGAAAACTTAATGAAAGATGATTTCTATTCTTCTCTGCAAAAAATTATACTTTTGAAAATACTTAAATATTTTTATTTGAATTGTTTATTAATGGTTGTTATTTGTCCTGACATTATTAAGTAAACTGTAAAAGTACAAATCATATCTTTGAACAAGAATAATTTATACTTTAAATATGAATAATATAACAATCATTGAAAGGATGATTTATGTTACGTTATGTTTAAATAAAATGTAGTTTTTCCATCATACAGGACGTTTCGTAATGAGTATTTAACTATTGAATGAATTCGGAATCAAAACTAAGTTATACTCTTATGCAGAAGCTCCTGTTTGTCTACTGCGGTTAATTGATTTACAAATGCGAATTCTATAATTAGGTTGATTGTTGTATGCGCGGCATTATCACGTTCCAGTTGAATCCACTTCAAGCAAGCTTTGCTATGGCTGGATCTGCCCAATAGATCAAGTATGCTCGGCACGACTGCAAGCTCCCTGTAACACCCCGGGCAACAATTGTCCAATTCTTAGATCCTGCAGTCGACCTTCATCTGATCTTACGCAGGTACTCTAATAATTATTGATTGAAATATGAGCTACAGATGAAACTATTAATTAGCACCCGGGCATTCGGACGACCCTTTCGGACATTGAGAAAGATATTTTACTCGGGGAGCAGCGTAGACTGCAGCAGTATCGCGAAGCGATGAATTTCACGGAAAAGGTAACTTGTAGATGTAAACAAATTTGAAAACATCTATTTAGTTTTCCAAATATCAAATTACTTTTCCATTCATCCAGTTTTATCTAGCAGTTTTTTATTTTTAGGATATTCAGCGATATTACGATGGTTTTTTATCGTGAGTATTTAATATTACTTCGTCATTCGTAAAAAAATTTCTAAATTCATATTCAATAAACTGTAAAATGTGCTAAATGATAGACATATATTGTACCTTAAATCTTAAATCTTACTCGGAGTTGAATAAAAATAATTCAACTCAAATTCGCTAAAAGGATAAATCTTATTTGTTTTAATATTCTCTTGAGAAACGCAAAACTTTCAAATTTCAATTTACGTAATTTACAATGCTTGTTGAACTTTCATCAAATAATTTCACTTTCTACAGCATAGCTGGTCCATCCTGGAAAAATCCAGACTACGCAGCGTCCCCTATGAAGTCGGGGCGGGTGAGTGTGAGTCCGATTATGCGGAGCACATCCCAGCACGGTGGCGATTCAGTCTGGCTGACCTATTTGAAGCGTCGAACTGGAGCCGAGGCGGTTCGATATTGGATCGACAAGGCGAAAAGTAATCAAGACTATGAGGTAATTTATTCGTTGTGATCTTAATTGAAAATTGAAAAAAATGCTTTGGGGATCTTAGAGATCGACGAGAACAATTCCATTTATTACGTATTTTTCATTATTTGGAAACATTCAATGGGAAATGTCACCTAACCGAATACATCATGTATATTCAAAGTAATTAAAGTAACATTTAAGCAAAAGCGCGTACGTATTTCAAATTGAAATATCAAGATCAATATTTATTTCGAAAATTGAGCTTATTCAATTTAAAGAAAATATATTCGATGTGAAGTACTATATTTATGCACGCGACTCGTGAGAAATTTCATAAAAAAATACCAAAATTCGACACTGTTTTTTTAAATGTCCAAAATATATGAACTCTTAATTTTCCGAGTATACATGGTTCTACTATCCTTTGCATACTCGTGAAAACTTTTTTTTGTTCGTGTAATTGTTGAAATCGAATGAAAGCGCTGAGACTAGAAACTCAGTTGAAAGAAAAACCTTATTCTCCGTGGCGTTTCGAAATTCAATCGGATACTGAGAAAGGTAACGCTAATCTGAGCTCAAATTTGGATTCCTGGAATCAAAATATGTCGCAAACAATAAGGTAATTGCGTTTAATATGGTCACTTCAAATGCAAACGTAACTTTTGACCGAGAGTGATTTTATCGATATGCGACGGCTCATATTAAATAATCAAAAGTTGTATTTGCTTTTAGTGCGGCCATATTAAGCACATATAAGTTATTTTAGCTCGAAATTTTGACCTTGTAAATACACGCAACTGTTAATTAAATGTATCAGCCCTGCATTATTATAAATCATACAAAATTACGTTCACTTTTTTGAATATTTTTAGAACTTTTAGAGAGAAAACAGGGTGTTAAGTGCAAAAGTGGGGTTAAATATTCCTAGCTTCCATTAGTTTCATAGAATAATGAATTCGTATAATTTAGAGTTTGCGTCCAATATGAAATTATTTCCAAGCGGTTCCGAGTAATGGTGCTTTTTTATGGAATTTTTCGTATAAGAACAAATCATTTTTACTATAAAATTTGAGGGATACGATACTTTCGTGAAATAAAACTCAATACTTCTACTTTAAGCTCAATGAAAAATAGCTCCAAGGAAAAATTCAGTATTTATTTTCTGGTGTTGTCCCGGAAGCTATATATTTTGTAGCCGGATAGATAGTCATTGCTATTAATGCTTTTTCCGATTGGAATGGCCATTTAGTTAATGTAAGTGCCATCAGTATAATAACAGCCAATGAAATATTATGTTCATTATATATTAATGATAACACATTAGAGAGCGAGAGAGAGAGAGAGGGAGATGGAGGGAGAGCAGTTGAAAAAAAATTTGCAGGGTTTTGTAGAATGGCTGAACACCGTAGAGGAGCTTCTCGATCCGGACACTTACCGACTTTGGCTGATGGAAGTAGAGTCAGCAAGCGCCAATGTACCCGAATTTCAGGCGTGGATTTCGCTGCGCAATCTCGCGGCCCATCGGCTCGCTGCTGTTGCCTCCCCCACTCAGAGGACTCTTCCAGTTTCGATAGCCGACAGAGCGAAAAATCTCTTCTACAGCGATGTGAGTATGCCAAGACACCTTTTTTCATTGCTATTCCTTCGGATCCAGTTTATACGGGCGAGAAAACGGAAAACTGGGTCGTGCTTTGGGATCGATCTCCCCGTCCCCCCTCTCGCTCTCTCTATGGATAAATTCACGGAGGCCCTATTCGATCCTTTTTTACCGGGAAGAAGGAATTGCCTGACGAGTTTCGAGAGAATGTTAAGAATTTAAATTAATACTCGAGCGATATAACTTATTTGACTTATTTAATAAACATAAATATTAGTTTGCAGTTGGAATGTGACTAACCAACTTTTTGTGCGCGAGCACTGCATTGAATAATTTACTTTGTAAAGCCAAAAGTTAAATCTGTTGATTTGAAGCCATGTTTGAAACTTTTCATCGAGTATATCCAACAAGTTGAGGAGATTTTCCAACACTTCGCAAGTATATACTGACTCCAAGTTTGAATAAATTTTTTCTTTGGAAGTTTAAGCATAAAGTAAATTCGTCTTTGCCACGCGAGAAAAAGAAGCGCCGAGAAATTCGCATGCTAGTCACAGTGAAATTTTACTAATACTTGAAACAGAACTTGGAGGATTTGAAACTACAAGGCAGAAATCATCCCCAAACTGATTTGTAAAGTTTGTTCGGAGAAATTCTGTATGATGTACGCGACAACGTGAGCGGGTTTTCGCGAAGCTGGCAAGTTTCCTTTGCGAATACTCGGGTCGCATAATTGAGAAGGTTTTCAAACTACCTAGAATACGAAATGTTAGTGTGTATTTAACTGAGCGCGCAAACAGGATTGTAAAAGTCTGGAAATTCCAGAAAAGCTTGGCATTTGGGGATCACCGACAAAAGGCCGAGTCGGGAGGCGCGATTCGGCAGCCGGCCAATTTCAAATTCAACGAGGCAAGTCAATTGGAGGATGGCCGACTGGCACATCTTGAGATTCCATTCCGACCTCAAGGTCCGTCGGATGTTGCCTACGGGGTAAGCATCCCCGATGGAGCCGTATTTCGCGTATCGACGAGAAAATACTTTTACGATAATTGGGCGACCGACCAGTAAATCCTTGTTCGATTGGAATAGCAGGCAATGGAGTGCGTTTGATCGCTGCTTTACGTTGGAAATATATGCTTCTATTTCTTGAGTGATCTTTTAGATATATATGTTTCGAAAAAAAGAAACTACATCCTCGTTGATCCGTCATTTTTGACAATCAGTTAAACTAACTAACTACTATAATGGCTTCTTACAGCTCACTTCGATCATATTAATTTCTTGTTTTAAGCAATCTGTAGCGAAACTTGATTTTATAAGAATCTTTTGAATCTTGTAATTTGTAGACATAATGGTTAATTACAGAAGATAACGCGCTATTCTATGCAAGGTTAATTAACTTTCGAGTCACTCTGTCGTGCCTTTAATCAAAACTTTTCCTGGAGGACGAAAACTTCAAATTCAAAATAATGAGGACTTAGAAGCGAGTTGGCGATTTTTTAGTGAACGAACATCATGAGATGGTGGCCAGTCTCAAACTAACAACTTGAAATTCTCGTAGCTGCCACAGAACTTTGGAGGAGTCGTCAAGAACTCGTGGAACTCGTGGCAATCCTATTATCAGTTAAAGCCGCCAGGTCTGTCCGGATCGGCCGGTGGTCATTTGGATACGAAGGCTCGCCAAAATGCAGGCGTGCCGCAAATGTTTTTCGTAGATGATCGATACGCCACGGCATTAAAGCATCAGGAAGTCTCGGCGGCACGAAGTCTCGGAGCGATGATAGAGCAGATTGAAGGTGAAAAACTGGATTTTTTCACTAGGCAAGATAAATATTAGTCAATTTTACGAACGTCAGTATGTTTCTTTACTTAGATTTCAAAAAGATTCGGCCAAACGTTGCCAAATTGGAACCCAGTCAGTCCACGTCACAGCTGATGCTTTCATCTAGTCCTAAGGATAATAAGCCGCTGCCAAATTTATTGATTTACTTTCCTCCACCCTTGAATTTTTTCATTTATTATTTCGTCGGGAGTAGTAACAATACCGAAAATATTACTTTACAAACCAACGATAAGGATAATTCTAAATCTCAAGTAGGCATGAGAATGTTCAATAGTGATAGTTATATACCGGAAGACTATGATGATAACCCTAACTTTTATAACAAAACTAGTCCGGTAGAGAAACAAAAAGAATTTGAATTCATTCGAAAAATTATTAAAGAACTCATAAATTACTGGGACGATGAAGAACAATCGTTGGGTAAATCCGACAAATTTAATAACAATGATACAGTAATCAGAATGGGAAATTATAACGGAAAGTCACAAAGCGTCACTAGTAGCGTTACTCACGGAATAAAATTCGAAGAAGCTGAAGGAAAATCAACTTTCAACAAATTTTTAGAATGGTTATTCGAAAATGGTCATATAAACTCGACACAATTGTCGGTAAGTAAATAAATTTTGTATAAATGAGCAAGAGCTATTGCAATATAAATATTGTATTCTAGAACTCGAGTTCGAGGAAAACATATCCACTGGTTCCTGAGGAGTCAGTTCATTCTCCCAATTCGCGGAATTCTGAAAATAATACAAACACAACATCAGGGAAAATCCGTATACTTGTCGATATCGATAAAAATCCGGAAATAATAAAAAAATTATTTTCAAAGGATATCACTGACAAGAAAAATGACTCAAATTCTCGACAATATCAAGTAATTGTTAATTTGGATGAGTACGCCGAATCCCAAGAAAAAGATTTAATATCCCAAAAATTAATCAATATAGCATCGACAAAATTACATCGAAATATAACTGGAGACGAGAAGATACCAAAAATGTTGTGGGTGTTCCCGGTATATGGAAATGAAGAAAATGAAACAATATTAAATGAATTTAAAGAAAGAAATAGAGAACAAATTAATACATTGGTAAACGTAGATGTTCCAACGACACATACTGATAATAACGACAGCTATCATAATTTACCAGACAATCATAAAACAAATAGCAGCATGAGAAATGTGGTTAGTAAAAACATAGCTTTACATAATACTACGTTAAATTCAATGAAAATCTCAATTTACAGAATCAAGTTAACAATTCTAGCAATGATCAGTCTAATGTTGACAATTCAACTAAAGATGCCGAAGGCGAATATTATGATGACCATGATATGTACGACGAATACGATTACGAGTAAAGCGACTTAAATGTATCGATGGAAAACTGATCGTATACAAAATGAGATTTGTATTAAATTAAGAATTGTTATAAATTAGTCGAATTTAATAACGTGATCTTTATGGAAATAAAAGTAATTTCGAAATGCAGTAGTTGTTTTGAGAAAAATCAACAGAATTTTCTAACCACTGAAGTATTGAAGCACCAGTACTCCACAATATTGAGTGTGCTAGTTGTTACTTGCTCAATTCATTACTTCTACCGCAACAAAGCTCTACCACATCCAACTAACCAATATTTCAAGCCCCTGACAATTGTCAAGCGTAATTGATTAAATAATCCGTTCTCAACGTTAATTAGTTTTTTAACGACGCTAATTAAAATTTCCAAGATAAAAAATGAATAATCCCTAATACGTCTGCATAATATACACGAATCTGATGCCCATATTTCAATTCGTTAAATTCCTGAAGCTGAGTCGCACACGATTTTAATCTCCAGCGAGACTTGTGGATGATGAGGTTTGATCGACGCAGCATTCCACATGGACGTGGTTCTTAAAGTAATAATAATAATAATAATAATAATAATAATAATAATAATAATAATAATAATAATAATAATAATAATAATAATAATAATAATAATAATAATAATAACAATAACGATAATAATAACATAAACAAGCGTTTGAAATTTATATAACTTTATATAATAAATTGAAAGTTTATTGTAACTGTTGTATCAGTAGTTCTAAAGGTACATCTGTGAATAGCTTGATAAAAAATAATCAATTTTATTGTATTAACAAGCAAAAACCAGTCCTCCAGTCGGCCAATTCAATGCAATGTTCAATCTAAAAGTTTTCCAATCAGTAAAGTACTGCAGTCTATAGCGAATCTGATGGTCATATTTCAATTCGTAAAATTCCTAAAGCTGAGTCGCACGCGATTCTAATCATCGGCGAGACTTGCGAATGATGAAGTTTGCTCTACACAGCGTCTTTCTCGGCCCAACAGCCATCGAACTGCTGCTACCACTTCCGATTGCTATAACTGATTGCTGCACGGTCGAATCACGAACTTGCGAGTTTCCACGATGTTTAGCGGCTACACTTCGCAGGTAGGAAGTTGTCTTTGATTATAAAAGTTTATCGCTGCTCGGATCTATCGCATTGTAATAACGAGAAAAACAATAAATATCTCGTTAAAATGATTTATCCGCAGTGGGAGTATACACAGCTATGCTTACGTAAAATTTCGTGTCGTAGGTTATTATTCTCAGTAAGCTTTGGGAAAATTGATTTTCTGATATGCGTATCGCGCGAAATATCTCGGTTGGCGATGCTATACGGTATTTTATCATATTGCATTGCATTTGCGGCAGTGTGATTTTTCATTCAAAAAATTTTTCTCATTGCTAGCCGCAGACTAAGAAAATGCGTTTTTCTAAACGAAAACCCATCCAATTTAATGACGAAAATTTATAACATCCACTAAGCGAAACTTCCAAACAGTGTTTTCGATTGCGTGCAAAAAGCAAAGGAACTAAAAACAACTAAGGGAATTTCAATTTGAGCTGATAGGATGGAATCGATGTCCTTGTCGATCCCCCTTTTTCTTTTACTCTCGATTCTCAAGAAGATTATTCTGAATCTTTGTAAGCGTATACCGGGTCAATAACTATCAAGAGTCCCGATAAAAGTATTTAACCATTATGAAATCTATGCTGTATATAATGTCAATATTACGTAAAGTTGTTATATGTTCCAGTTTCTATTTTCAATTTTATCGTGTTTACAATAAATAAAGATATGAAATAGGCGATAAATTTATGGACAAGAGTGGCCGTTGCTTTAATTCTTTAATTAATTTATTGTGATATAGTGTTTAATATGAAGATTTGTAACGGGAAAGTATTGGTTTTCATTTCGAACAGTACAAATAATTCAACGCATCCTTATTATTTCCATTTACGCAATGCCGTTGAGAAGTAAAAGTGATGGTCGGCAAACAAATTCGATCAATATAGTTGAAATATTTCATCCTTCTGACTGATGCCAAAAAGGAATTCATAACTTATCATCATACCTAACTTAGCAATTAGGTTGGTGCAGCCTTCAAATTTTCCAACTAATTATCGCAACAGCGAGCTTCACAACTCTCAACAACTATTAGAGCGGGAAAAAAGGCCAAAAGGTCGAAAGTCGCATCGTTGCTGACAACTGACAAGACACGCTTCGGTGTACACAAGGCTAAAGGAGAGAGGCGTCGGCTCGTCGAGAGTTGTCATTTCGTTTGGTACACGAATGTTCTGCGGCCTTTGTCCTAGTTTAATCCGTAATTAGCTTTCAAGTTCTATGGACGTAACGTTTGGCCTGTAATTTAAAGCGTCGATTCAGCCGTCATACTACGTGTACACGTGTAATCGCTATAGGATCTGAAGCCTTATACACGCCTCAAACGACTTCTTAGTTCTTTCAAACTCGCTATCGGATTTCTATTTCAATGAGAGCATTAGCACAATTGAGTAAATACTTACACGGAGCGAATCTAATCGAGCGATAAACAATTATCCATTTTCCTAACTGCAGTTCCTAGCCACTGCGGTTATCTGCAATGCGTACGTGTGCTGCTTTATGACGCTGTTTATTATTTATGCGCTAACAAACGCAGCTGCCGATGAATTCTTAGACAGGTAAACGGACTGATGCGGGATATGCCGTTCAATGAAATTAATTGCCCGAATGTTACATTTCGACATATCGATCGCAGTCAATGCAATACAGATTGCCGTATTTTGCCTTTTCCATGTCGACTAAATTCATCGTCACGAACGACTATACCGGAGCTTGCGATAAGCTGCGCAGCCCAGTGTGAAAGCGTCAGCAACAAAATCAATGACGAACAAGTTTGTTAGTTTGTACTCGCGCTAATTTACTCAAGTTCTGCTTGGAAATACGCTCACTGTGAACTAGTCGGGATGCCGGGTTTCAACGTTAAATCGAGAATTCCCTTATAAGATAGTTTGCCAACTCGATAGCAGATGGAGAAGTGTATCATGGCATACCCGTTGCTGCGACGAATCTATAGCAAGCTTTGACGAGTGTCCGAGTGATTTTTATAGCAATATACTCGTCGAAAAATCAAAATGCTTTCGTTTACTTCTTACAAATGACCGTAAGCAACCATAGCCTTAGCTACATAGAGGGAAGGAAGAGTTTGGAAACAGAGCGGCAAGTCGTCAAAGATTTTATTCGTGCATTTCGACCTTTACGGTTATTTTCTCGTGTTTACTGTTGTATTGCAAATCAGCGACAACGCTGTATACTTATATCATAGAGAGTGAAACGAATCACACGAGCGGCTCATTTTCTCTTTCTCGCGCTTAGCTCTGTTTTTTTCCACAAGTTTTTTCTTCGCGCTTCGCACTTCCGCGCTTCTGCCCCCTTCACTCTCCCGCTAATTATTCTTTCCGAAGCACTTACATTTATTGAAATGTGCTAGCTGAATCACATCGCTGTAGCTATTAACAACGAAAAGATATCTCTTAGAGCCGGGATGAAGTAGCAGCTGGCAACTTTCTTGAAAGTTGCAGACTCATTAGCTAGCTGCTCATATGAAAAAGTGTCAACATTTCTTGCTCCACTTGTTCATTTATTTGACAAGCCGCGGCATTATCGGGAAAATGACGCTGCAGTATTTTGCCGCGGCTCGTTCTAGCTCACGGCCGCGTCCTGATGGATCGTTGACAATAATGCTGGTAATTTGCAGATTAATAGCGCCGCCGTTATAAAACCAGATAGACGATAACTCCCTCATAATAGAGCATTTCACGTTACCGGCCGATGCCCGGGTGTTTACGTTGTTGGGCGCTCGAGCCTCGCTGTTTATTCCAAAAACATAGTCGCACGCGCCGCCGAGGGAATTCACGCGCGATATTTCATCGTCTAATGTTCGGCGCAAGGGTAAGGCATTACCGGCGCATGCACGAAATTTTCCGGGCGCGCCAATGGATTTGCGACGACGATTACGCTCGTCCCTCGAGGGCGCTGGCGGTTTATACGCGCCTGGATGCACCCCGGTACAATTTAACGGCTTCGACGTGGTTTCGCGTACTTCTGCGAACGGCCCGTCCCGAGGTCCCGCGTCCGAGCAGCTCGGACAGATTTGAATATTAAGCGCGGCGTACACGCGCACGTGGGGGGGCTCCCTCGGCGCTAGCAAAACCGAAAGTTCGCAAGGACGCCCGCGTCGCGCGCACGCCTCGACGAATAACCCGGCTCACCTGGCTCTGCCCTCACTTCGGATTAATTAATTCGCTGTGCTCAACGCTGTGTCTTCGTTACGCTTCTAAGCGCGATCTTCTGCCATGCTTTCGTTAAATTTACGCTTGCGAACGATGTCGAAAGCAACTAATTATTTTTTCGAGCGGCGTCATAGCCTCGTCGTTACGTTACGCTTCCAAAACAAATTGCGCTCAAGATTCTGTTGGCCCTTCTAAATACTTCGAGGATACATTACCTGAGCTTCCGCAGGCTGAGCTAACCCGTGGGCCATATCCTATATCGCAGTTGACCGGAGAATCCGACTGCTTCGAGCGCTACAATCTGCGCCCCCAGCGGCATGCGATCAATTATTATCAGTATCAAAATACAAATCCTCAACCTAATCCTTAAAGCCTCAAATCCCGAGTAACGTTGTCGAATAAGAGTGCACAGTGAAATGAGAATAGTTCGGCAAGCCAATGCGACGGTCAATTGTGCGATCGTTAGCACCCAAAATTATATTAAACGATTGTCATTAGCGTTGCACGCGAGAACGTATAGATTATAATTAACGAAGGCACTGGGAGAGGAGAAGGGGATTCTAAGCCTTCAAGCAGTAACAAAGGAAGGTTAGCTGTAAGCGCGCACGCCGGGAAAAGGGCCGTGGTGGTGGAGGTTCAGAGTGACTGTCGAATATTACAAGAGAGAGAGAGAGAGAGAGAGAGAGACAGACAGAGAGAGAGAGAGAAAGAGAGAGAGAGAGAAAGAGAGAGAGAGAGGTAACGAGCGAACGGAGCAGCAACGCCAAACAACTCGCCCAGTCGCGAGACTTTGGAGCTCAGAACATCGCGCGCCGCCAACTCGTGCGCGGATATATATCAGACGCTCTCGCCGTGCGACGAGACGAGAGATAGATACACATATATATATGTATATATATATATAGGCATACGCCTGCGTGCGAGGGAATAGGCACACGCTTTGCAGTGCAATTGTTTTTACACGCTAGTGGGACACTTTACGGGTTTTCTTACTACAATATCAGGCTGGAGCGGTCGTGTTTTAGCTGACGGTGAGTTTTTTTTGTTTTTTTTATTTTATTACATTTAATGATAAAATACGACAATCAAAACATTCAAGTATTATGCATTCATAGTAGATTTGAGATTCAAAAGGGCTAACAATAGGTTCGAATGATACAACCAAGTTCACAATTTTTTAAAATTTATTTAAAACTTCTATTTGGGCTGCCGTACTATTCGTTGATAAAAAAATGATAAAGTTTTGATGGCACGGTTTCAGTCAACTTTAAAATTTTGAATTTCAGCTGCTAGTATAATTTTGAGTAACGTTATTTTTTTAACGGATTACAAAAATAAATGATAATAAAATAAAATAAAACGCGAAATCCGTGCCACGACTTCATGAAAGTAATTTCACTTGATACCTAATGCAATTATTAATTTTTTTTTCTTTCTCATTCTACTACAATCTTCCGACTGGATGGAACTTGAAACGCCGCGCGCATGAATAAAATATAAGGTTTCTATTTAAGGCAATTATATAATTGCAATTGAAAACCGCAAAGGAGAACAGTAACGTAGAGCATTTCCAAGCGTTGCAGATATAAGAGTGATAAACCAATTTCGTTGGAGCATTAGGAGGGAAAAAAGAGAGCCTTCCGTACTAAAAGTAGTGTTACTTTTAGTACGCAGCCCGCGCGGTTGAGTGAATTGCCTAACGACAACAGAGTCATTGTGAAACTGCGTCCTGAGCGAACGCGATCGTCAGTGAATCCCTTCGTAACCGTGAAACAATGACCGTTGAAGGTTCGTGTTCAAATTACATTTGCGTTAGAGGTGATTGCAGCTTGCTCGACCAGGAAAGACGTGTGCGTTAGATCCAATTGAATTTTCAACAGTCGGAACCGGCGTTGCGGCACGCGCAAGTCAATTGGCTCTGTTTACATCTTGAATCAATCGACGCGATCACACACGCGCACGCGAGAGAGAGAGAGAGAGAGAGAGAGAGAGAGAGAGAGCTAGGGATAGAAGGAAAGCGCCGCCACAAGTGTACTATGTATATCGTCGCACGTGTAATAACCGCAGCTATCTCGTCAGCGTTGCATTGAAACTTCGTGGAAAAAGAAAAACGGTTGCCGATTGATTTCTTTCTTTTCTTTTCACCCACTCTTTCCCTCTCCGAGTTTCGTACTTTGACAACTTACGTAACAGAACTTAAACGTTTCCCGATAAACCTTAAACTCTCACAATCCCTGACATTTCGTCCTTGCCTCTCAAATACTAATCGATCTCACGTTCTGTCGTGCAACCGCGAGATAGTTGGTATAGAATGTCGTTAAAAATTTTGCTCCGGAATCAGCGCGACGTTTCTGTGCTATCCCCGGGTCAAACTGGGTATACATCGCTAGCCGGAATTTGACCGAAATTTTCAAGAATCCTGACATTCTTTGCGCAGAATTGTTTGCTGCGGGGGTATACACGCGTTGTCATTCAAAGCGACACCGAGAACGAAATGAAAAAGAGTGAGAAGCCAGGATCAATCAACGGTTAAATTGAATGGGGTTTTAAGTGCTGTGCCGAAAATCCGAGCAGCGCTATAGAAATCAGTTAAGCCCGGTTGGAAAGCTAGATACGGGACTTTTAACGAGCTGCTCAATTTCCCGAGCTCGCGCAAATTTTCCGTTCGTTCGCTCTCCTTAATAGTTTTGCCCCGGCAATTCCAGCCGACACACAGCCCATTTATCTGCCCCTACCCTTTCGTTGGCTAATTGGGAAAAGGGATGATGACGGCAAGGAAAGAGGCGAAATTCCAGAGTGAAATTTCTGGCCTGTCTGTACGTACACACAGCTCTTTCTCTCTCTAGCAACTTTTGTAAGCGGCTTATTGTTCGCACGCGATGCGGTCCGCTGAGATTGCAAGCGCTAAATTTGACAATGCTCTGATCAAAAGCGGCAAAGTTATGCCGTTTGTTTTCATACGAAAATAGCGGAAAAATTGCACGTTCCATTCCTATTCCTGCGTTGATATTCTCATTATGCTAGGCTAGCTGCCATGTTTATTATCCGACGTACGCCTCGATAATTTTCAGTCTGCGGAGTTTACTCGCTGGATTCCGGGACGGATAATGAGTTTTATCGCGTGCTTTTTTTCCCCGCGGCCGTCATTCCGATCCCGTATTATCCTTAATTGTAATGACCGTGCATGCGTAATTTCGTATTATGAAAACGAAATTCAAATGAAAGGAAACTTTCTATAAATTCGTCGAGAAGATATTGTGCCATTAATCCCTCGGCAAAGCAACGTAAATTTGAATTGCATCCTTTGCTCGCAAATGACCCGAGAAGGCCGTGCGCAATAGCGGGTAAACCAATCGCGCATCACCTTGCCAATAGCCTTCAACGAGCGGCATCAAAAAAAAAGGCCAGATGGAGCGCTATCGAGAATCCGTTTGGGCGCGCCGTAAGCGAGCTCGTAACTGTCGGAGGCCCGCGAGTAGACCCGTGAATCAGCAGAGTTGGCTGCGTCGTGGATGGAGCGCGCCGCGGATCAGGACGAACTCTCGACTATAGTGGCAGGGATGAGAGGGATATCAAGTGTACATTGCCCCTCAAATCCTTTAATGCAGTAGGTTCGTGCATGTGCAGTGGGGATTTGGCGTTAAGTGCTCAGTACTCCAAACCTCGGTTGCAGCCCAGGCCTACGGTGTTAAGGCTTGCTCTCTATTATTGACACTGTATCGGCCCACTCGCTCTTGCGTCGCCTCATTGAACTTCGCTTGCAGTGTATATGTCCGATTCAAGGGCTGCACCCGAGCTTCGCATTCGGATCCACGTACATTCACCAATTATCGTTTTCTGACATTCAAAAGTCAGCCTTGACCTTTGCTCTACGAAGCAACGCTTTTACGGTAGTAAACAGCCCAGTCGAATGCGCTTCTCGTGTACAGTCTCGTCGTATAAAATAATCTGGCAGAAATTTTCACAAGGCAATTGGCGGGTTGTAGCGATTAGCATTCCATCAAAGAGCTCGCGCGCGCGCGCGCACACACACACACACACACACACACACAATACAGTCTATCAGCGCAGGTTGGCCACGAAATTTCATAAAACCGGGCTTAACGACTAGATCCTTGACATGTAATCCCTCCTATGGCGTATATATCTATCCCGAGCCGTCTTTGTTATAAAGCAAGCTCGAGGCTATTTCATAAAGGCCCCTTGCTCTGCCCGCTAAAGCGCTTTATTGAGATTTAGCTTATAGGTGTTGTGCCGATGTGCGCTAAGCTTTGTTTGGATATCGCTCTTTTTTATTACGTTAACTCATAGGAACTACTTTCGATTTACGCGCCACGTAAGCGTTAAAACGTCATAGCCGCGTTATAACACCGTTCTTCAGTGAATGTTGTAGCAATGCTTGCATTCGCATGTGAAATTCCAATGAATTGCCGGCCTGTATTATTCATTATTAAACTTTCTTTCATTACTCGTAAACGCGAAATTACTGCACAACGCGCGCGCGCATGTGTACTGTGTACAACTGATCTTGGCTGCGCGTATAGTCATTTTTCATCTTCCATGTCTGTTATTGGGAAACGGCGCGCGTATAGCGTATACGATGCGCCCATAAAACCGATTCTCATGATAGTCTCTTTCCCTATCGATATACCGAGGGAGTATCTACAAAAGAACTGCCATTGCAGGAAAAATGTAGTTATGTACTGCAGTCAGTTCCCGCAGACATACGGGTGTCATATTTCAAAATCTAACACGCAGTAGACCTATTTGTAAGAGTTACCGTTCTATTTTTTTTTATTGTGGATCGCTATTGCAAAGAATAGGCGGGGCAAAAGGATCAAGAGTTTGCGAGTTTACGCATAACCAGATGTAGTTTTCTATTTAAAAAAGGAACGGAGCATGTATGATTGGCGAGTTTAGGACTGGACATCGAGAAAAGTCATAAGAAAGGAAAAAGAGTTCGAGTGAGAGTGAAACCGAAAATGAGACTCTTAGTGACCAGGGCAGTTAGCATCAATTTATTGGGAGCCTCTGCATACTGCAAATTTGTACTTTCCGCTTATGTCTGAATTGATAAATTCGATGTACTAAATTTTAAAGTACTTCTTAAATTATTCCGTCGTCACACACACACACACACACACACACACACAACCGCCATGTCACCAATTCCACGTCATTTCTTGTGGTCCCCGTACCATTGAATCACCCGTCGAAACCATTTTTTAACCTTTTCATTTCTATTTCATATGGATACTTGTAACTTTTCCAAAACGAAAAAATTAGAATTCTAATAAGTAATGTACGAAATAGGCGTTCGGTTCAATTAGAAAAGTCAAGCCACCCGCTGCTCTATATACGCGATGGAGTCGGGTTGATAAGAGAGAGAGAGAGAAACAGATCCATATCGTTTCCCACGCCATGTCCTTTTGCTGCCGCAGAGCGGATCGTGCCACCGCTAAATTAAGCAGTCGACTTCTCTTTCTCTCTCTCGCTCTCCCTCTTTTTTTCTTCTCCTTGGCCGCGGAAAATTCGAGCACGAGAAAGAGCTGCCGATGTAGATATCTGTAGGTGTACTGTGGATTATGGCGTGGGACTTTCTATTTATTTCAGGCACCGAGAAAAAACTTTTTATTTTAAAAGCCGAAATCAACATGACTGTTCAGACTTTATTTTGGAAAATCTCGAGTACTCGTTAATCTTTCAACTGCGGCTCACAAATGATGTCAGCGCAGCGGGTGATTTCAGATTATCAGATGAATTCATTGAACGTTATGCGGTTTAGATTTTTTTTTATTTCGTTGGATAATGTGTTACTAGCAGTTCTCACAATTAATCACAGGGTAATTAATACTAGATTATGTTCTTCTAATTTGCTGATCCGACCTACATTCTTGGTTTTATATTAATCTGTTGAATCACTACTCAGCTGTAATAATCAATCTTGTGAGATTTTTCAAAATGACAAACGATGGAATTACTCGTTCAGAAATCACGAGCCAAGCTTTTAATCTGAGTCACAATTCACTCA